TTGAGAACTGAGAATGGAGAATGGAGAAAGGAGAATGGAGATTGGAGAATTGAGAATGGAGAATGGAGAATGGAAAATTGAGAATGGAGAATGAAGAATTGAGAATGGAGAATGGAGAATTGAGAATGAAGAATGGAGAATGAAGAATGAAGAATTGAGAATGGAGAATTGAGAATGGAGAATTGAGAATGGAGAATGGAGAATGAAGAATGGAGAAAGGAGAATTGAGAATGGAGAATGGAGAATTGAGAATGGAGAATGGAGAATGGTGAATGGAGAATTGAGAATGGAGAATTGAGAATGGAGAATGGAGAATTGAGAACTGAGAATGGAGAAAGGAGAAAGGAGAATGGAGATTGGAGAATTGAGAATGGAGAATGGAGAATGGAAAATTGAGAATGGAGAATGAAGAATTGAGAATGGAGAATGGAGAATTGAGAATGAGGAATGGAGAATGAAGAATGAAGAATTGAGAATGGAGAATTGAGAATGGAGAATGGAGAATTGAGAATGGAGAATGGAGAATGAAGAATTGGGAATGGAGAATGGAGAATTGAGAATGAAGAATGGAGAATGGAGAATGAAGAATTGAGAATGGAGAATTGAGAATGGAGAATTGAGAATGGAGAATTGAGAATGGAGAATGGAGAATTGAGAATGGAGAATGGAGAATGGGGAATGGAGAATGAAGAATTGAGAATGGAGAATGGAGAGTGGAGAGTGGAGAATGGAGAATAAAGAATGGAGAATTGAGAATCGAGAAATGAGAATGGAGAATGGAGAACTTTTTTCTTGTACTTCTTTAGTCAACCACATCTGCTGCAATTCTTCTTCGTGTTCTTTGTATCCTTTGGATCTTTCTTTCTATATTTGACGCGGGTGACAAGAATTCCAAAAACTGACTTGGTTCAGGTTCGCTGTGTTTCAAGACACACCAAAAAGAAGATAGATGCCCTGAATTTGGTCCACGTGAGAAGCTGATGAGTTCGTCTTCATATGCTTCCAAAATACCAACATGAAGCAGATGTTGGAATCTCTTATTGGGAAGTCCATTTTATACCCCTGGTGCCTATTTTATTGTGAATACTACATAAACATAAGCCATTATTGAACCTCCTGAATGTACCAAGTAACTACACCACACATACAACATATCTAATTACTTGAAATTCAAGCTTTTGAAAGACTGAAGAAGATCGGTTGTAGAACAATCATCATGGCGGGAAGAAGCAAAATTTTTAGTTCGCCTATACTTTGGTTTCTTTTTGGCTTTTCTCTGTACATATTGGCATGTTTAAGTGGCAAAGATGCACACATCGGACTAGATATGCGCCTCGTCAAAGTAAACAAGCAAAGCTGGGATAATCATTGGTTTTTGAAACCGATATCTTCCATTTTGTTTCGACTCAATATCCGCCATATTGGATTCGTGTGGAAAGCTCGAGTCAGATTCAGGAATTCGAGAGTCAACTACTACAGCAACTCCGATGCAAGCTTCAACTTTGAATATTTACAACTATGTGGCGACATATGTCCTAACCCGGGGCCTGCTTCCCCTCTGTTTGATGCACTTCACGTGGTGAGAGACAATGGAAAGCAAGGAGTATCCATCGGTCACTCGAACGTGCGAGGCCTCCGTAAGAACCTCCCCGAAGTGAAAATACTTTTACAGCATACCAACCTGGATATCCTAACCATTTCTGAAACGCATCTGACACAAGATATAAGCGATAACGAAGTAAACATCGATGGATACCGAATTCTGAGAAGAGATAGGTCACACAAAGTAGGAGGCGGAGTCGCTATTTACTTTAACATTAGCCTAGATTGTGTACGTATATCCAAATATGACAACGACGGCATTGAAGCTCTCTGGATTGAATTGAAAGCTCACTCGCAAAGATTACTTGTGGGTTGTGTATATAGACCTCCTGACGTTACATCTTTCTTTGATGAATTCAACCAAGTATTGAGTACAATTTGGATGTCTCGCAGGAATGTTGTGATCGCTGGTGACTTCAATTCAGATCAGCTTGCTACTAATGGAAATGGTGCGAAATTCAAACGCATCTTACAATCTTATAACTTTTGTAACATCATAAAAGCACCCACAAGAACCTCAGCACATTCTAACACTTTGATCGATCTGATTTTGACTATCAATACCTCAAAGGTCTCAAAGTCTGATGTGATTGAGTATTGCATAGCTGATCACAAATTCATCTACGTTATCTACAAGCTGAAGATCAGGAATCCAAAGCCTTTTATTAAATATGTCCACAACTTCAAGAACGTGTTGGAAAACCCGAAAGACTTCAAACATGACCTGGAAAGTGCTCCCTGGTGGGTCTGTTCCACCTTTGAGGACTTGGATGACATCACTTGGGCTTGGAATTGCATGTATAATATTATTGCAAGCAGTCACATTCCCTTACGTAAAGCCAAGGTTAGAAAAAATTCACTACCTTGGATGAACAGTGAGATCCGGAAAGAGATGAATAAGAGATATAAACTTCTGAAAGCCTGTGATGGCACACCCGCTACTAATAAACTCTGGGTTGATTACAAATCCTCTAGGAACAAAGTATCTAAGATGCTACGACGTGCTGAAGCTCAATATTGGAAAAAGAAATTTACAGAGACCAAGGACTCAAAATCTTTCTGGAAAACTGTGAACGAGGCCACTGGAAAACCTAAGAATAAACATATTGGCCCCCTCAGAGATGCTGAAAATAAGGAAATCACAAATGACTACGAGAAAGCTGAACTGATTAACTCTTACTTCATAAATATTGGCAAGGAACTAGCTGAAAAATTCCCCGAAGTTGATGATCCCCATCAATTCATGTACAGAGTTACCCCACTGTGCAGGTCTTGGAGGTCAACATCAACAAACTCAAAACTGATATCAAGACAATTAAAATTAACAAAGCATCTGGTCCTGATGGCATCTCTTCTCGTAGCTTAGCTATTGCAGGAACATCCGCCCTAGAGGGCATTGTAACTGTTTTCAAGAGCAGCATGGCTCAGTCCAGCTTCCCTAACACATGGAAGATTGCAAAAGTTAATGCAATCTTTAAAAAGGAAACCCAGCAGATGTTTCAAATTATAGGCCAATATCACTTTTAAATATCCCCAGCAAGCTGCTCGAAAGCCAGATCTGCAACATAATTGATACCCATCTGAACAGCTGTGGCATAAAAAGCTGTAAACAGTGGGGGTTTAGCAAGGACTATCGACTGAAGGAATGCTTACCTCTATGACTGAAGGATGGAAGACAGCAATTGACAATGGTCTGACAGTTGGAGCAGTCTTTATTGACTTCCAGAAAGCTTTTGACACTGTCCCCATTATATTTTATCGCATAAACTACACGCAATTGGAATATCAGGATCTCTTCATGAATGGCTAATGAGCTATCTTACTGATAGATGTCAATTTGCTGAAGTTAATAATTGCAGGTCGGTCACTGACTATGTGCGATATGGAGTCCCTCAAGGCTCGCTTCTTGGCCCCGGCTCTACACCATATATGTTAATGATCTCCTGACCACATCGACTCGGGAGATCTATACATGTATGCAGATGACACTACAGTTTACTGTATTGGACCAAATGTTGACCAGGTTATGTTGTCACTAAATAAATCATTGGAGCAAGTTCTCCTGTGGAGCATTAAGAATCAGCTAACCATCCACCCAATTAAAACTGAAGCAATGATACTAAGTAAAACCTCTTTTGTTGGGCCTATACCTCCCCTCCACTTTAACACTGGCCATATCGACCTGGTTAATTACACCACTTGTCTTGGAGTTAAAATTGACAATAAGCTGACATGGTCTGTGCACATTGACTCAGTGAAGAAATCTTTTACGCAGAAGGTTGGAGCGTTGAAGAGAATGAGAATCCTTCCGAAGAAGGTTCTCGAGGAAATATACTTTAAAACAATTATCCCCAGTGTAACGTATGGAATTTCGGTATGGGGAAATTGTTCTCCTTCCGCACTGAACTCTCTAAACCATATCCATGCAAGAGCAGCTCGTATTGTGAATAACCTCGACTCAACGATGGCAGATGACACATGTCTCATGAAATCCGACTGGCTGCCCATCTCTTACTTCTATAAAAAATCTGTACTGTTCCTCTTGCACAAAGTATATTTTGGAACAACGACCCAGTCGATATGTGAACTGTTTTCTAAAAGAGTTTCTTCTAGATCTTCTCGTGTTCCTAACCAATTTAATGTCATTAGATTTAGATCAGAGACCGGCAGGAACGATACAGAGGTCCTGTTATTTGGAATTTTGTAAATAGATTAGTTAAAGTACCTGAAAGTTTTTATTCTTTTAAACAAATCTTACGTAAACATGTTAAGACTATTGACAATTTTTCATTTGAGAAAGAGGCAACAGTAGTTGCCAACAGAAAGGACCATTTCATTTACTTTTAGATTTATATGTTAGTCTTAGTGAACACCATTTTATTTGTATATAGTAGTTCTAAGTTATTATTGCAATTTTTATATATATGTAATTCCTAATATTTAGTATAGTAGGTCCACATCAGCCCTTTGGCTGCCTTTCACACAACCTACTTATCAAATAAAGAATGTATGTATGTAACGGAGAACGGAGAACGGAGAACGGAGAATGGAGAGTGGAGAATGGAGAAAGGAGAGAATGGAGAATTGAGAATGGAGAATGGAGAATGGAGAATTGAGAAGGGAGAAGGGAGAATGGAGAAAGGAGAATTGAGAATGGAGAATGGAGAATTGAGAATGAAGAAAGGAGAATGGAGAATGGAGAATGGAGAATTGAGAATGGAGAATGGAGAATGGAGAATTGAGAATTGAGAATTGAAAAAGGAGAATGGAGAATGGAGAATTGAAATTTGAGAATGGAGAATTGAGAATTGAGAATGGAGAATGGAGAATGGAGAATGGAGAATGGAGAATGGAGAATGGGGAATGGAGAATGAAGAATGGAGAATGGAGAATGGAGAATGGAGAATGGAGAATGGAGAATTGAGAATCGAGAAATGAGAATGGAGAACGGAGAATGGAGAATGGAGAATGGAGAATGGAGAATGGAGAATGGAGAATGGAGAATGGAGAGTGGAGAGTGGAGAAAGGAGAATGGAGAATGGAGAATATGAGAATGGAGAATGGAGAATGAGAATGGAGAATGGAGAATGGAGAATTGAGAATGAGAATGGAGAATGAGAATGAGAAATGAGAATGGAGAATGGAGAGAATGGAGAATGGAATGGAGAATGGAGAATGGAGAATGGAGAATGGAGAATGGGAGAATGAATGAGAATGGAGAATGGAGAATGGAGAATGGAGAATGGAGAAGAATGGAGAATGAGAATGAAGAATGGAGAATGGAGAATGGAGAATGGAGAATTGAGAATGGAGAATGGAGAATGAGAATGAGAATGGAGAATGGAGAATGGAGAATGGAGAATGGAGAATGGAGAATGGAGAATGGAGAATGGAGAATGGAGAATGGAGAATGGAGAATGGAGAATTGAGAATGGAGAATGGAGAATGGAGAATTGAGAATGGAGAATGGAGAATTGAGAATGGAGAATGGAGAAAGGAGAATGGAGAATGGAGAATGGAGAATTGAGAATTGAGAATGGAGAATGGAGAATGGAGAATGGAGAATGGAGAATGGAGAATTGAGAATGGAGAATTGAGAATTGAGAATTGAGAATGAGAATGAACAGAGAATGGAGAATGGAGAAGAATGGAGAATGGAGAATGGAGAATGGAGAATGGAGAATGGAGAATGGAGAATGGAGAATGGAGAATGAAGAATTGAGAATGGAGAATGGAGAATGGAGAATTGAGAATTGAGAATGGAGAATTGAGAATGGAGAATGAAGAATTGAGAATGGAGAATGGAGAATGGAGAATGGAGAATGGAGAATTGAGAATGGAGAATGGAAATGAGAATGGAGAATGGAGGATGGAAATGGAGAATGGAGAAATGGAGAATGGAGAATGGAGAATGGAGAATGGAGAATGGAGAATGGAGAATGGAGAATGGAGAATGGAGAATGGAGAATGGAGAATGGAGAATGGAGAATGGAGAATGGAGAATGGAGAATGGAGAATGGAGAATGGAGAATGAGAATGAAATGGAGAATGGAGAATGGAGAATGGAGAATGGAGAATGGAGAATGAAATGGAGAATGGAGAATGGAGAAATGGAGAATGGAGAATGGAGAATGGAGAATGAAAATGGAGAATGGAGAATGGAGAATGGAGAATGGAGAAGAATGGAGAATGGAGAATGGAGAATGAGAATGGAGAATGGAGAATGGAGAATGAGAATGGAATGGAGAATGGAGAATGGAGAATTGAGAATGGAGAATGGAGAATGGAGAATGGAGAATGGAGAATGGAATGGAGAATGGAGAATGGAGAAATGGAGAATGGAGAATGGAGAATGGAGAATGGAGAATTGAGAAGAATGGAGAATGGAGAATGGAGAATGGAGAATGGAGAATGGAGAATGGAGAATGGAGAATGGAGAATGAGAATGAGAATGGAGAATGGAGAATGAGAAATGGAGAATGGAGAATGGAAATGGAGAATGGAGAAATGGAGAATGGAGAATGGAGAATGGAGAATGGAGAATGGAGAATGGAGAATGGAGAATGGAGAATGGAGAATGGAGAATGGAGAATGGAGAATGGAATGAATGAGAATGGAGAATTGAGAATGGAGAATGGAGAATGAGAATGGAGAATGGAGAATGGAATGGAGAATGGAGAATGAGAATGGAGAATGGAGAATGGAGAATGGAGAATGGAGAATGGAGAATGGAGAATGGAGAATTGAGAATCGAGAAATGAGAATGGAGAATGGAGAACGGAGAACGGAGAACTGAGAATGGATAATGGAGAATGGAGAATGGAGAGTGGAGAATGGAGAGTGGAGAGTGGAGAGTGGAGAATGGAGAATGGAGAATGGAGAATGGAGAATTGAGAATGGAGAATGGAGAATGGAGAATGAAGAATTGAGAATGGAGAATGGAGAATTGAGAATGGAGAATGGAGAATGGAGAATGGAGAATGGAGAATGGAGAATGGAGAATGGAGAATTGAGAATGGAGAATGGAGAATGGAGAATGAAGAATTGAGAATGGAGAATGGAGAATTGAGAATGGAGAATGGAGAATGGAGAATGGAGAATGAGAATTGAGAATGGAGAATGGAGAATGGAGAATTGAGAATGGAGAATGGAGAATGGAGAATGGAGAATGGAGAATGGAGAATGGAGAATGGAGAATGGAGAATGGAGAATGGAGAATGGAGAATGGAGAATGGAGAATGGAGAATGGAGAATTGAGAATGGAGAATGGAGAATGGAGAATGGAGAATGGAGAATGGAGAATGGAGAATTGAGAATGGAGAATGGAGAATGGAGAATGGAGAATGGAGAATTGAGAATGGAGAATGGAGAATGGAGAATGGAGAATGGAGAATGGAGAATTGAGAATGGAGAATGGAGAATGGAGAATGGAGAATTGAGAATGGAGAATGGAGAATTGAGAATGGAGAATGGAGAATGGAGAATGGAGAATTGAAGATTGAGAATGGAGAATTGAGAATGGAGAATGAGGAATGGAGAATGGAGAATTGAGAATGGAGAATGGAGAATTGAGAATGGAGAATGGAGAATTGAGAATTGAGAATTGAGAATGGAGAATGAGAATGGAGAATGGAGAATTGAGAATGGAGAATGGAGAATTGAGAATGGAGAATGGAGAATGGAGAATGGAGAATGGAGAATGGAGAATGGAGAATGGAGAATGGAGAATTGAGAATGGAGAATGGAGAATGGAGAATGGAGAATGGAGAATGGAGAATGGAGAATGGAGAATGGAGAATGGAGAAATGGAGAATGGAGAAATGAGAATGGAGAATGGAGAATGGAATGAGAATGGAGAATGGAGAAATGGAGAATGGAGAATGGAGAATGGAGAATGGAGAATGGAGAAGAATGGAGAATGGAATGGAAATGGAGAATGGAGAATGAGAATGGAGAATGGAGAATGGAGAATGGGGAATTGAGAATGGAGAATGGAGAAATGGAGAATGGAGAATGGAGAATGGAGAATGGAGAATGGAGAATGGAGAATGGAATGGAGAATGGAGAATGGAGAATGGAGAAATGGAGAATGGAGAATGGAGAGGAATGGAGAATGGAGAATGGAGAATGGAGAATGGAGAATGGAGAATGGAGAATGGAGAATGGAGAATGGAGAATTGAGAATGGAGAATGGAGAATGGAGAATGGAGAATGGAGAATGGAGAATGGAGAATGGAGAATGAGAATTGAGAATGGAGAATTGAGAATTGAGAATGGAGAATGGAGAATTGAGAATGGAGAATGGAGAATGGAGAATGGAGAATTGAGAATGGAGAATGGAGAATTGAGAATGGAGAATAGAGAATGGAGAATGGAGAATTGAGAATTGAGAATAGGCCATTTTACAGTTGTGTACTTAAATGCCAAGCCTTTGATTTGGAGTGAGGCTGAAGGTGACCTTGTTGTTTTAGAGACCTGAATCTAGTTAGCATGATAACAAATTAATTTGCATTTCAAAAGCAGCAAGGTTTGTATCATAACATGGTCACCCTTAGCCTCACTCCTGTTCAAAGGCTTGGCAACCAAGCACACAACTGTAAAATGGACTATTGAGAATGGAGAATGGAGAATTGAGAATTGAGAATGGAGAATGGAGAATGGAGAATGAAGAGAATGAATGGAGAATGGAGAATGGAGAATGGAGAATGGAGAATGGAGAATGGAGAATGGAGAATGGAGAATGGAGAATGGAGAATGGAGAATGGAGAATGGAGAATGAGAATTGAGAATGGAGAATTGAGAATGGAGAATGGAGAATTGAGAATGGAGAATGGAGAATGGAGAATGGAGAATGAATGGAGAATGGAGAATGGAGAATGGAGAATGGAGAATGGAGAATGGAGAATGAAATGGAGAATGGAGAAATGGAGAATGGAGAATGAGAATGAAATGGAGAATGGAGAATGGAGAATGGAGAATGGAGAATGGAGAATGAGAAATGGAGAATGGAGAATGGAGAATTGAAATGGAGAATGGAGAATGGAGAATGGAGAATGGAGAATGGAGAATGGAGAATGGAGAATGGAGAATTGAGAATGGAGAATGGAGAATGGAGAATTGAGAATTGATTTTATTTTACAGTTGTGTACTTGTGGAGAATGAAATGCCAAGAATGGAGATTTGGAGTGAGGCTGAAGGTGACCTTGTTGTTTTAGAGACCTGAATCTAGTTAGCATGATAACAAATTAATTTGCATTTCAAAAAGCAGCAAGGTTTGTATCATAACATGGTCAGGAATTTAGCCTTGTTGAGAATTGAGTTCAAAGGAAATGGCAAATTACCAATTTCAAAAGCAAAGGTTTGTAAAATGGACTAGAATTGAGAATGGAGAATGGAGAATTGAAATGAGAAAATGAGAAATGGAATGGAGAATTGAGAATGGAGAATGGAGAATGGAGAATTGAGAATGAAATGGAGAATGGAGAATGGAGAAATGAAGAATGGAGAATGGAGAATGGAGAATGGAGAATGAGAAATGGAGAATGGAGAATGAATGAGAAATGGAGAATGGAGAATGGAGAATGGAGAATGAGAATGGAGAATGGAGAATGGAGAATGGAGAATGGAGAAATGGAGAATGGAGAATGGAGAATGGAAATGGAGAATGGAGAATGAGAATGGAGAATTGAGAAATGGAGAATGAGAATGGAGAATGGAGAATGGAGAATGGAGAATGGAGAATGGAGAATGAGAATTGAGAATGGAGAATGGAGAATGGAGAATGGAGAATGGAGAATGGAGAAATGGAGAATGGAGAATGGAATGAAATGGAGAATGGAGAGAATGGAGAATGGAGAATGGAGAATGGAGAATGGAGAATGGAGAGAATGGAGAATGAGAATGAAATGGAGAATGAGAAATGGAGAATGGAGAATGGAGACTTGAGAATTGAGAATTGAGAATTGAGAATGGAGAAAGGAGAATGGAGAATGGAGAATTGAGAATTGAGAATTGAGAATGGAGAATGAGAATGGAGAATGGAGAGTGGAGAATGATGAATGGAGAATGGAGAATGAGGAATGGAGAATGGAGAAAGGAAAATGAGGAATGGAGAATGGAGAATGAGGAATAGGGAATGGAGAATGGTGAATGAGGAATGGAGAATGGAGAATAGAAAATGAGGAATGGAGAATAGAGAATGGTGAATGGAGAATGGAGAATGGTAAATGGAGAATGGAGAATGGGGAATGGAGAATGGAGAATGGGGAATGGAGAATGGGAATTGGTAATTGGAAAACTTGCCAGACTTTTGTAAATCGCCATTTTCGTCAATCTTAGAAGGACCCGATATCCTACATCAAGTGTGTGTGAATTTACCCTGGGTATGGTTATACTGGCAGCAATTTGGAGAACTTATAGCTTCAACGAGAAATTCTTCTTCCGCAGCAAGTATTGAAGCCAGGATATTAGTTTGATGCGATCCCCACAAATTTGGAAAGTGCAAGAACTTTACCAATTTTCGCTTTGTGAAAAAGTGGAAAAATATTTGAATTCAACTAAATGCGACCCGGCTCTAATAGGGGTTTTCTTGATCAGACACAAACCACTTGTTTCACTTTGCAAGCTAACGACCATAGGACGCGCCAATCTGATATCTCTGCCGTAAATATTAATAGCACGTGATGCATCAGACTCCTGAACTTCCATGGGTTTCCCGCAAATGTGAGTAAACTCATCTTTAACCCTTTAACTCCCAAGATGTGATTCTTAATTCTCCCCTCTGGCTGCTACACATTTCCTTGTAAATAAGTTGCGAGAATTTGGTGTTAGATCAAGATAACAACTTCGACCTGATACATTTGAGTATTCTCATTACCTATTTGCTGGATAGTGCATGGATATTGTACGGAGAAGTTACTTGTTCATCATTTGTGGGAGTTAAAGGGTTAAAATGTGAACGAACACCCGACCGGAGCCTTGATTGTTGATGTTAATAAAAATTATTCCCTCTTTTAGAAAATTAATTGACATTACCATATAAATTATACTCGTTACTCGCTAAGCTTCAGATAGTGACTTAACGAAACAAGTCGGGGTAACTTCTTTCAATTTATGCTTTCTCTTTAATTTTGATAAAAATATCTACTCCGCATTATAAACAATAAATTTCCCATTTTCCATTTTGCGATTTTATTTTCCCATCTGATTTTCCCATTCCCCATTGCTCATTCCCGCTTTTAGTAACATCCGTTTTAAGGCCCCGTGTCAGCCCATTAATGACACATTTGCTGCCACAAGTTCATTTTGAACTAACATTTTGCTGGCAAGCAAAGTGATTTGAGAGTGAGAGAGAAAAGAGAGGATTAATTACTAAGTTAGTTATCGGTTATAGGTCGTGACCGACGTCTTCGCTCAAAAACACTGCCCAGCCGGCACAACCGACGAAATACATTTTTGAAAAATGGCAACGAAACGTATGGATGTACTCGGCGACTCACGAAAGCGTTCCCGTGGGTGGAGATAGGAAAAGCAGACTGCAGAAAAATCCAATCAGATCGCAAGGTTCGCTACATTACCCTCTAATAAAAGAGGAAATTTCGTTATCAGTGTCATCGACTCAAAATACTTAGTTTGTCTTGTGTAAGTTCAGACCTATGTAACCTTTTCCGCTAAATTGATAGAAATTCGTTGCATTCGTCCCATTCCGCCTCTGAGAGATTAAGAAAACATTTTGAAAGAATGAACGCGTAAAGTGACTCTTAAACAACAGGATGAAGAGAACTTGGACCAGCTGAGGAATGAGTTCAATGGCGAGCATAAAGATTATCACGTTTTGTTGGAGTTAGACGAGGAAAAGAATATATCGTATCAATGGTTCGATATCCGGGACTGTCAATTCTTCGAATGATAAAATTAGAGTGTAAGAAACGTATTTAGGCACTAGATAAAAAAAATACAGTCTCAAACCGTCTAAGAAAATGAGCCACGGAGGAAGGTCCAATTCAACTGACAGGACAACATTGAGTTCTTTCTCTACGAAACATCTTTCTCGAAAAGGAAAAAATTTAAGACATTAAAAGATTTTCCCGAGAATATATCAGAAAGCAACAAAAAGAAGGTCAGAAGTGTCAAGAAGGAACTAAACTGAAAGAAAATATCAAAATATCAGAGCGAAACCTTTATGTCAACGTGCATGCTGCTGCATTCGTTCGTATGCCATCCTGTGCCTCATTTTGAATGTTTGAGCAGAGGGCTTTTGCTGTAATCCGAGCGTAACGATGTAAACACAGTCCTTCAAGATCACAAAGAAGAGACAGTAGTTCAAGTGCAAGCGCTTTCGCGTTATCATCCATCCTGAACCACCTAAAAGTTCATCCCGTCGTCAAACAGATCAGACCTGCCCCTCTGTAGAGGAAGTACACTACAGTCAAGTTCTTAAGAAATCCCGTTCAGGGCCTTCAGTTCATACTTTCATACTCGCCTTTGGAAGCCCAATACTTGTAGACTTTTTCCCAGTCTTTTTGTTACTTTCTGTGTTATTTCTTTTTTTTAAGCATTCTCCCTCAAACTCTAAATCAAATCGTTGCGACTTTCTCTTCACCTTTCCGCCGCTTTCTTTGTTGTGCTTTCGCCGACCTCAATCAATTTAATTTAAATATTTTGCACTGTTTGAGATTTATTCACGTGTTCTCGGCAAATGAGCATGCGTTAGGTTTCGCTTTAGGCGACGCCTGCAGGCAATTGTACACACCGTCGACTTGACTTGACTTGAATACCCAATTATATCGGGTTTGCCGGAATACAATGATCAGAATTCGTGGAAAAAGAGTTTTGACGGTTTTAGCTTTTGTGATGGCAATTTGTGTATCTTTCCAGCTAGGTCTTATATGGAGTACTCGTTCCTCCTTTTCTGACATTGTTCGTGAACAACTAGATGTCGAAAGCCATATGCAGCGGTTGCAACTACGAGAACTGGCAATGAATCACAAAGCAACTTCTACTTCGCAAGTTAATTACAAATCATTTCTTATAACCAGGAGATCTTGTATGCAGCATTACGATCTTCTTATGATTATCTCATCCGCTCCAGGTAACTTCGAAAGAAGGAATAACATTCGTAAGACATGGGCATTTGAAAGATCCGCAAAACCAAGATGGACTTCCGTTTTTCTTGTCGCTCAAACACGGAATGAAGCAGTTTCGAACGTGTTGCTCGACGAAGATGAAGCTCTTAAGGACCTTGTGCGAGCTAGCTATTATGATCACTACTGGAATCAAACCCGAAAGATACAAATGGGCTTCGAATGGGCAGTAACGTATTGCAATTTCTCGTTTCTTTTGAAATTGGATGACGACGTTTTCGTGCACGTTCCAAGAGTTCTCTCCTTCTTAAGCGTACCCACCACGCCGAAGAAGATGTTTTATGCTGGCTGTCATTATGCAAACATGGGCCCTCATAGGAAAGGCAAATGGATGGTAACTTACGAGGAATATAACGAGACAAGATATCCAGACTTTTGCCCCGGTTTTGGATACATTTTATCTCACGATGTTGTACGTGCATTTGTTGACACTTTCTCTTCTTTGCCGTTCTTCAGACTGGACGATGTTTACGTTGGCATGCTGGCGAGTAAGAACGGAATAAGTATCACAAACAATGTGGGTTTTGAAGTATGGCATCCACCCCAATATGTATGTGTTCCAACAAAGGATACTTTAGTCAGGCATGATGTAGGGGAAGAGTGCCAGATGAAAATGTTTAACTTAGCCATTTTCCCTCGGTAGTTCAATGGCGTGGTCAGTACATACGTATATTAAGACAAATTCCTCAACGAATGATGTTTCCTGTTCAATATCCGTTGTTCATTTGAATGCAGCTAATTAAAGCTATCTTTGTCTTGAATGGGCGTTGCTCGAAGAGTCAGAATCAGGGCATTGGATGCTACAACATTCACCGACAATCAGGCTGAGTGTCAGAGCAAATTGTATATCTGTCACTATTGGCAGTAGATATCGAGATACGACTATCGCAGTTGATTATTTTATGGGGAATGTTATTGAATCTTATTGCTTTCTCATCTTGTAAAAATTGATTGCAACTTTAGATACATTTATTTTTCCTTGAAAATGTACAAAAAGTGACTGTGGAGAAGTTTGTTGGATAAATTAGTAAAGTTCGTATTACATTGTATTGACATGCTTTAATAGTGTCTGAGGATGAGTCGCTCTTAGTGGCTAAAAACTATCAAAATGTGACGTAAGATTTAGCTCTTACCGACCTAAGAGCAATGAAGACTTTATATTCTTTGATCCAGACACATACAGGGTGAGGAAGCCAGATACACGGAACAATTTATTTCAGAAATGAAGTTGATAAAATGAATTCTTCCAGCGGGTTTTTAAGCAATCTTAAAACATTGACTCATACATGTAATCAAAGATTACTCAACGGAACTATTCCGTTTCAGTGTAGAATAGAAACTGTCACACTGCTACAGAGGTCAGATAACTTCTAGGCTTTCAATTTAACTTTTACCTATTAAAAGAGAGTTCTCATTATTATGCTAAGAAATGCTGACTAAAAACCTGGTTTTGATGTAAAAAAGATGTTGGTTAGAGTATTTATGTTTTACATATTGTCAGTTTAGAATTCATAAACTCATATTTATTCAATTCGAGTCAATTCAGTTGTACTGTTATATTTACAGCTTGACATCTACTGCTCGTAGATAGCAACAGCTAGTCGAGGCAAGCAGTAGTTTCACACATATTAAGAAAAACTTTACAGTAACAAATCACAGAAAAGAGATAAATATTCACTTGATAGTTATGCTAAGTAAGGCTGATTAAAAACCTGAATATACTATAAAAATATGTTGGTTAGAGTGTTGTTACTTATTGTCAGCTTAGAATTCATAAACCCATATCCTGCATGAGTTTCCATCGATCAATTCATTTTATAAACCTGCTTATGCCATTAAAACGTTGAATGGACTCATGCCTGCACTCCAAAACAGAGAACGCCTCAGGGTCTTCACTTTAAGGAAGAAATGCCTCACTCGTACATATACATTATGTAAAATTAGCTTCAGGGCGAACGGCCATGAGGCAGCATGACATTGATGTTTTACATCAGTCTAAAACAAAGATTCGATGTTTTTATTCAAAAAGCAGAGCAGAAGATGCTGCCTTCTTCATAGACAAGTTTAAGACCTTCATAATGCCATGTAGGGGATGAGATATGAACATTGAAGGCACTATTGCCCAATGCAAATCTCTTCTTTTACAAGGAAAGCAAGTCACTGCTGAGAAGGTGGATAGTCTTGTTGCGGCAGCGAGCACGTTTGCAGAAAAAATATTCTCGGATAGTGCCTTCATCGAGCTTCCAAAGCAGTACAAGCGGAAATTAAACGAAAGGAAAACAACCAGTGAGTAAATATGGAACAGACTGAAACCTTCATTCCATCTAAACAGTCGATCCGTAAAATCATCTTTCAGTAAATTCACAGCACACAAAATCCATTAGATCTGCAATCGTGAAAGAAGAGTGTCTTTCTCTTGCTCTTCTTGAAGTACGGACAGGCCATGTCGATCTAAACAGCATAAACAGAGGTTATGCCGGCAGAAAACACTCAGTACTCTTGCCACAGAACCGATTTGAAGAGCCTAAACAGCAGGATAAAAAGACATTCCAGCAGCGAGGTGGTTCTACGTCACCGAATCTATTCCGTGTAAATAACCTACGGGTCAAGAAAGACCTCGAGCTTTGGCTAAAAACGCCGAATGCAAAGGTTTCGGTCCTGGAAAATAGACAACCGTCGTGTTTCTCTCCGTAAGTGTCAGTCCATGGTTTTGGGAATGGGTCTTAGATTTAGACCTCCGCTAAAGCATCCGCCTGCGGCCCAGTTTGAAATACAAATCAGAGATAGTCGAATCTAAGTGATCACACGATTAAATTCCTTCCCGTCGATGACAAGCTTAGGCCGGCGCTTCTGTCAACAGATTGGGTGTAAATCGAGACACACAGCCGTCTGCACGATGAACTTTACTATTCCTGGGTCATTTTGAGGCACTGGTATGTTTGTCGTGACAGTAGAATAAAGCACCGACGACAGCTTATGTCAAAGTTCTGTCAGTTTATCGTCTTTTTCAAAAATAGCAAGATTCCTACGTGGTTGCGATCATTAAATGACTCCAGCTCAAATTTACGTTATTCGTCTAAATAAGACACCTACGGTAGGACGACCCATTGCTGTCTCTCACTCGTACATTACTTGGCCTATAAGTATTTTTGTTGATGAACTTCTTACGATAAAAATACACATGCCTTCTGTGCTTGGGGATTCTAGTGAGTTAATCCAAGTCGTTGAAAACACGGGTTTGACTTCAATTCAATTTCTCTCGTGTTACCGCGGACTTATTTCCTTTTTACCCGATGTGGATACAAAGAAAGCTTTGGTTGCCTCTGATCCCCTCCTTCGTAAGGCCCATGTGCTCGTTATACCATTATTGAATCAGATCGCCCATTCTCCATTCTCCATGGAGAATGGGCGATCTGATTCAATAATGGGGAATGAGGAATAGAGAATGGGGAATGGAGAATGGGGAATGGAGAATGGAATAGATTGTGGAGAAAGGAGAATAGGTAATTGGAAGACTTGCCAAACTTTTGTAAATCGCCGTTTTCGCCAATCTGAGAAGGACCCGATATCCTACATCAAGTGTCTGTGATTTTACCCTGAGCATAGTTATACTGGCAGCAATTTGGAGAACATATAGCTTCAACGAGAAACTCTCTTTCCGTAGCAGGTATTGAAGCCAGTACAAGTAGTGCAAGTGTCAACCAAAACGCAAAACATCAGTTAGAAAAAAAGAATCCGTTCTTCCTCAGCAATTCGGGCGAGATTTTTTCTATTTAACAAATAGAGAAGCCTTGACTGTGCTCTGTTTAACAAATAGATTCCAAGTTGCCGTGCGTCTGTTCAGTAATAGATCACAGAGGACGTCAAAATGTGGTAAGAACCTCAGTGACACACTCGGCTGTGCCTCGTGTGCCACTTTTTTGTTCTTACCCCATTTTGACGTCCTCTGTGATCTATTACTGAACAGACGCACGGCAACTTGGCATCTATTTGTTTTATATAATAAAGAATTGAAAAAAAGTTTTAATGATGACGTCATCTATACGTCTGTACTCCAATAGATCATAAGTGAGAACCAATCAGAATGCGTGCATCCATTCCCAGGTCTAGAGATTGGTCGGACCGTCCCATCTATGAAACCGAAGCAGTTATTTAGAGGAGATCCTTTCCTTGAAATGGTTTCAGAATACTGTTGAAGAGCAACTGAGCTTAGTACATCTCTATTCCACTCCGTTACGAGATGCAGTGATTGTTATAAATAAAATCCATGACTTCATTTGTGATTAAACTCAAAACAGAAACTGGTCTTGGAAAACGTTGAATCACATCGCTGAATCTGCAGGGATAACTTGTTTGTCTCAGCAGCACACACAGTCCCTCCAAACCAGCAAAAATGCTTCTCCGTTTGCAATGGAACACTGCGGTAATATGTAAGGCATCTGCAAGGCGAAGAAGGTCTGCCTTTTCAACACGAAATTCGGCCTTGCAGTCAGCGGAATTCATGTTTTCTAGATCGAAAACATCATACAATCGATAGCCGAAATCTGGATTTTTTTGAACGATAACATTCGTATAATGGAACAAATTCTTCGTCCGAAATGTTGTTGTCTGCATAGCTAAGCAAAAGTATCTCTTGACAAGTCTTAAATTTATTCATTTTCAAAGAACTCGGCAAGTTGCTGTCGGAAAATTAAGGGTGCTAAAGGTTTATATTTTGGCGGGAAGAACGCTGTCCTCGCCCCAGTCTCTTTCGTCCACCGACGTCGCCGCCGCTACGAAAACTCTCGGTGCTAAAGGTCCCAGGGGTGGATCCAGGGTAGTTTACCTGATTTCCGGAACTCACTCAAATTTTTTCCGACCTAGTTAAATGTTGATAAAAGTACTTTTGGAAAACACTCTAATTTCCCTTTGGAAACTACTGATACTTTTGTGGAAATCACTAAACGTCTTCCAGAAATAAACCATCTTCCTGTTTTACAGTTATTTATTAAAGAAAATACGTTTAGAATGACTAATTTCGTTATAATTGCGGTCATGAGGCGTTCGGGAGCGCTCCGGATCACGCGCTGGCCTTTCGAGCTTCGATTACACCTCGGAAACAGTCGGAAGCCGTCGGAAAATGTTCGTGGAGCCAATCTTTACGCAACCGGTGGGTGTAAGTCCTTGTTATTTGGTGACAATAACAGGCGGAACACAGTCAAAACCCCTCACGATTGGCTAGCAAAGATTTCGTCATCGGAACTCACTCAAAACACTCTTCTGATTGGCTAGTTGTGTTTGGAAACTACCTTGGAAACTACTGACAAAGTATAAAAAGGGCAGTTCCTCCCCTAGTGGGTCTCTTTCGTTGCTCCTACAATACAAGTACTTTTGAACTTGCACAGGGGTTAACGACGGAATAACAATTTACTGTTAAACGTTTAAAAAATACTAGTGTTATGACTCGCGGAGATCCTGTTTGTCGGAGGGAGGATTGTTCTCCCTTCGACATTGGCCTAGTTTTCGACGAGATCCACAACTACTCGCCGCATCAGAAGCTGGAGTTCGTCGAAAACGTGTGGAAACCAGGTGAGCTTTTTGATTTCCCCGTGTCAATGGAAAATGGAAAATCTCGTAAGTTTGTCTCGGGCTGGCTGAAAAGATTTCCATGGCTAGCTTACTCCAAATATTTCGATGGAGCATTTTGTTTAGCTTGTGTTTGTTTTGGAGTTCAGTGTGGGCGAAACGCTAATAAGTTAGACAAATTATTGAAGTCTCCTCTCACAAATTGGACTTCGGCCGCTTCTCGCTTAACCAAACACTCGCTAGGAAATTGTGAAATTCACAATTTTTCTATGACTGCTATGAATGATTTCAAGAGAATGATGCAAAGAGGAGCTGTCCCAATTGACCAGCAGTTAAATAACATAGTTCAACAGCAAATCGCGAGAAATCGGGAGATTCTAAAGTCCCTTTTCAAAACTATTATTTTCTGTGGGAAAAACAACATCCCACTCAGGGGGCGGAGAGATGATGATCCCACTAATGCTGCCCTAACCGGTAATTTCCGGGCATTGCTAGAATTCCGGGTAGACAGTGGTGACCAAACGCTGCAGCAACACCTGGACACTGCACCCAGAAATGCTACATACATTTCAAAGACCATTCAGAATGAAATGATAGAAACTGTTGGTGCTCACATTTTGAATGATCTATCACAGGAAATAAGAAATAGTAAGTATTTTTCAGTTATGGCAGATGAAGCTGCTGACATTTCAAATAAGGAGAATGTTTCTGTAGTAAGATTTCTGGATACAACTAAAACCATCCGAGAAGAATTTATTGGGTATTACATTTGTGAGGAGGGATTAACAGGGGAGGCTATCAAGGACATTATAACTGCAGCTGTAGCAAACTTAGGATTGACAATGGAAGACTGTCGTGGGCAGTGTTATGATGGTGCAGGCAATATGGCTGGAAGACTAAATGGAGCCTCCTCATTGATCAGTGCAGAACACGAAAAGACAATCTATGTCCACTGCATGAACCACAGGCTTAATTTGTGCATAGCAGACACTTGCCAATTGCCAATTGTCAGGAACATGATGGATATTGTGCGCAAGATTTCTAATTTTTTTAACAACTCTCCCAAGCGTCAACAACATTTAATAGCCAAGATCAGAGAACTATTGCCTCGGGCAAACTATACTGTTTTAATTGATGTGTGCCGCACACGATGGATTGAACGGATTGATGGAATGGACCGCATAGTTGAACTTCTCTACCCAGTCACAGCTACACTTGAAGACATCTCACTTAACAGAAACAGCCCTGGAGACTCAACCTGAATCCAACAAGCAGACATGATGCTCAGTCCTTAATTAATGCAATCAACTTTTCCTTTATTGTTTCTCTTGTTATTGTCAGACATATTTTGGGATTAACTAGACCACTCACAGTGAAGCTGCAACAAAAAAAGCAATGGATCTTCTAAAAGCTAAAGATGAACTTGCTCTTTTGAAATCAGTCCTTGAAGACATGAGCACTGACATTGATAACAGACACCATAATCTCTACCAGGAAGCAGTGACCATTGCAAGACAAGTAGCAGTCCAGCCAGAAATGCCAAGGATAGCCCAGAGACAAATGCATAGAAATAATGCTCCTGCTGCAACTCCTGAGGGGTATTTCAAGATCAATCTCACTAGAGTTTTTCTTGACCATGTACTCCAGCAGCTCAACATCAGATTCCAGGATGATGTATTTGTTTGCTATAAAGGTATTTCGATTATTCCCTCTGTTTTACTAGCTACTGACCCTGCCTGGAAGGCCAATGTTTTGGAATTTTGTAACCATTACAGACAGGACATACCAAATTATGCAGGATTACAGGCAGAGCTTTTGTTATGGGAGAGATTGTGGAAGGGAGGGATAACAGAGGAGATATTATTCCTGACAGTTTGGAGGCTACACTGAAGGATATTGACAAAGATGCATATGTCAACATCTATTCCATGCTGAAAGTCCTGATCACAATTCCAATTTCATCTGCATCTTGTGAGAGATCCATATCATCCCTTCGGAATCTTAAGAACTATTTGAGAAATACAATGACCCAGGACAGACTGAATGGATTGGCACTGATGCATGCCCACAGAGACATGGATTTTGACCTTGAACGTATAATAGATTTATTTGCTGAGTTACATCCTAGGAGAATGAGAATGGCAAACATTTTGTAATAATTTTTTGCACCAGCTGTTTCTAGAGTACTTGTGAGTTATGTTCTGTCTGGGTTATGGCCTTTAAGTCTCATAATCCTTAAACTGATGGAGAACAGTACAGAAGCTCAAACTGGTGCCTGTATAACTTTTTTCAACTCATTTCAAGGTTATTTTCTATTTTGTTTTACTTGTGATGATTTTCCATTGACATTGACATTGGGTTTTCATGTTAAGCTTAAATGGTTAACAAACATTTTCACTGAACTCAACCAGCTTCACAGCAATTCCCAAGGATGAAGAAAGGCTAGTATTATTTCAAATTATCATTTTACTTCAATTTGTATATCATTTTATGATTCTTATAATTTATATTTTTCTAATAATTGTTTTATTTTTTGAATTCCAGCTCCCAACACAGGCTAACCATCCATAAAGCCCTTATCTCTCTCTCAAATTCTTTTCTGTGTTGTGCTCCTATAAATGAAATGAATAAAAGCCAGCTCAGGAAATGTTGTTTTTAGTGTTGCTAAACATTTGGATTTATTGAGCCTGGCTTTCATTCATTTCATTCATTTCATTCATTTCATTCATTATAGGAGCACAACACAGAAGAAATTTGAGAGAGAGAAGGGCTTTATGGATGGTAAGCCTGTGGTCCCAAGGATGAAAAAGGCAAGTAGATTTTTATTATCAATCTTTAAACTATATCATCAATTGTGCTTGTTTTTCTTTTGTTATCAAAAACACTAACACTTGGTTCGTTTTTTTTTCTCCACATCTTGATTTTCCTGACTGGGAGGTGATGTTTTCCAGTGTGAAAAGTCTTGGTGATGACTTGGCCTTCCTGAAAACACTATATACACTGGTTTGCACAGTAGCTAAAGGTGGAATATTTGTAGATCAGAGTGTTTCCTGTAGTACTTTCAAGAAAAATAAATGTTTTTTGCCTTTTTGATTACATGCTTTTTTAGTCTTTTGGGGGCAATTAAATTTTCTAAAAATGCATGAAATGGCCTTTAGAGAGCTCCAAATTTCAAATTTTCTCGGGGGGGCATGCCCCCGAACCCCCCTAGCAGGAGTGGGTCCTCGGGTGGAAACTACTCACTCAAAATCCTGGATCCACCCCTGGGTCCCTATTAATAGCGCGTGATGCATCAGACTCTTGAACCTTCATGGGTTTCCTGCAAATATGAGTAAACTCATCTTTAACCCTTTAACTCACAAGATCTGATTGTTAATTCTCCCCTCTGGCTGCTGCACATTTCCCTGTAAATAAGTTGCGAGAATTTGGTGTTAGATCAAGATAACAACTTCTTCCTGATACATTTGAGAATTCTCATTACCTATTTGCTGGATAGTGTATGGATATTGTAGGGAGAAGTTACTTGTTCATCATTTGTGCGAGTGAAAGGGTTAAAATGTGAACGAACACCCGACCGGAGCCTCGATTGTTGATGTTAATAAAAATTATTCCCTCTTTTAGAAAATTAATTGAAATTATCATATAAGTTATATTCGTTACTCGCTAAACTTCCGATAGTGACTTAACGAAACAAGTCGGGTAATTTTTTTCAATTTATGCCGTTTCTTTAATTTCGCTGAAAAATATCTACTCCGCATTATAAGCAATAAATTTCCCATTTTACCATTTTATTTTCCTATCTTATTTTTCCATTTCCCATTGCCCATTCCCGCCTTTAGTAACATCCGTTTTAAGGCCCCGTGTCAGCCCATTAATGACACATTTGCTGCCACAAGTTCATTTTGAACTAACATTTTGCTGGCAAGCAAAGTGATTTGAGAGTGAGAGAGAAAAGAAAGGACTAATAAGTTAGTTATCGGTTATAGGTCGTGACCGACGTCTTCGCTCAAAAACACTGCCCAGCCGACACAACCGGCGAAATACATTTACGAGAAGTGGCAACGAAGGTATGATGTACTCGGCGACACAAGAAAGCGTTCTCGTGAGCGGTGATAAGAAAAACAGACTGCACAAAAATCCAATCAGATTGCAGGCTCGTGACAGTACCCTATAAGAAAAAAATAAATTTCGTTACCAGTGTCATCGACTCGCAATACTTAGTTTGTCTTGTGTAAGTTTAGACCTTTTGTTAAACACTGCTCAGCCGCTAAATTGATAGAATCTCGCCGCATTTTTACTTCAGCTTACGATAGTTTATAATAAATCGCTGATAAACGTCCACTTTGGTTTTCCCTGTTTTATTTTGCCTTTAAAGACGACCCATGAATACGTCACACTCGCTTAGCCTTTGTTTTCGTTTCGTCTCGTTTAAAAACTTAGCAGTCGCTATGAATGCTACAGTAAAATATCGCCACTTCATTCCACCTTCGGTTATGAATACAATTTGAACTTCGCCTTGCTTTAGAACTTTGTGTTGAGGAATAGCGTTGAGTATTGTTAGTGCGCCAGAATTCTTTCCTAACCACACGCCATGATGATCCGTACTACCGCAACACACCATAAACATTACCCAAGAGCGTGACAGGCATCGAGTCTTCCTATTATAAAAATTCTAAACCAAAATAACTTAGAGGAAAAATGAATGAGAAGGGAGAGGCTCGTCAATTGGAAATTAAACTAACTAATCGAAATTCAGCCTCTAAGAGATTAATGAAACATATTCAATATTCTCTTGGAAAAAACGAACGCGTAAAGTGACTCTGTAGCAGGAAGAGAGATTTCACTTGGACCAGCTGAGGAATGAGTTCAATGGCGCACGTAAAGATTACGACATTTTGTTAGAATTAGAGGAGGAAAAGAATTCATCGTATCAATTGTGCGATATCCAGGACTGACAATTCTTCGAATGTAGAATTAGAGTGTAAGAAACCTATTTAGGCACTAGATAAAAAATCCAGTCTCAAACCGTCAAAAAGGAGGTCAGAAGTATCAAGAAGGAATTAAAACTGAGAGAAAATATCGAACAAGAGCGAAGCCTTTCTGTCCACCTGCATGCTAATTCATTATATAATAACGATATCATAATTCATTATGCCATCGTATGCCTCATTTTGATTCTTTGACGGCTCAGGGCCTGTGCTACAATCCAAGGGTAACGACGTCAACACAGTTCTTCAAGATCGCAAAGAGGAGACAGTAGTTCAAGTACAAGCGCTTTCGCGTTATCATTCATCCTGAACCACCTTTATAATAAAGTTCGGATATAACGCGCGCTGTCATTGGTTGAAAGAGCGTGCTCTATGAGAGTGTAGAGCATAGAGCTGAGCTACAGCTGTCACGCCATCTGCCAATTGTACTATGTTCGAGCTTTTCCGGGACTTCTTTTTAGCTTTTTTCCGATAATTGAAAGTGAAATTTCGGAACTGAAGCGAGCCGGCAAGTAGCAACAGATGAATCAAACAAAGGTTTGTAAACATACCAGGCGCCGTAAATCAAGTTATTAAAACGTGAGCAGATACGAAAATCCTCAAAGGAAAAAAAAAATAAACATTCCGAGTTTTAAAGATTTTCACGCTCAGTTAGATTGCAAGCTTACGTACGGTAATAAAAATCAAACACAGCTAACACTCGTATAGTATATAAATTTCAGTGTTCAAAAACAAAACAGAACAAAACAGAAATGATGAAAAATATAACCAAACTGGCATAATTGTTAAAATTCATTCTAATCATGACGGTGTCTGACCGAAATATGATCATGCTGAAGTCCATCGCGGCTCGCTCATCATGGTGATCTCCGGTCATCACAGTAAAGCAAGCCTCAGAAACTACATCGGCCGCCCTTCGAGTGAAAAAAATAAGAGCTTGCTCTGATATCCTTTCCTATACGTTGAGTGGCAATTCACATCAGTCGCTGCAGCCGAGTTTTGCGGCGCTGTCATCACGAGCGATCTTCATGTTCCGGTGAATTCGGCTGTCGTTCACTCAAAAAACACTCGCCTTGAACAGTTTGTTTTCTACCTTGTCATGTGAAAAAACTCGCATGTTTTTATGAGCTATAATTCGGCTGAAGTTCACTGAACATTTCACTTCAAGATTCTGTATTAGAGACTTAAAAACTTCAGGCAAAAGTGTTAAATTCGACTTGCCGAACTATTTTAGTTTGTAAACTATCGTAGAATGTGAACTTTGATGGTTTTTGAACTTTGATGGTTTGACACTTTTGACAGCTTTAGTCTTGTACAGCCAATCAGATTATTTGAACCATTCTAACGAGGATTCTGATTGGCTTATTGTAACGTGCTTTATGAGAGTATAGAGCATGCTGACGACATTGTTGTTCGCTTTGGAAATAAAGTTTGTTTTGAAAATTGAAAGTAATGCTTGGGTAATTTAACGGATTCTTTATTATAAAACAAATAGAGAAGCCTTGACTGTGCTCTGTTCTGTTATAAAGCACTTAGGAAGCGGCTAGAGCACTCAAGAAGTGGGAGAAACACTCGACTACGTCTCGTGTTTCTCTCTACACTTCTTTCGTGCTCTAGCCGCTTCCTCATCGGCAGAAATATTGGACAAGAAGGCGGCCGCGCTTCCGCATTTCGTCCTAAATGGCGTCCAAGAAATGTAAGAAACTGTATGGAAATTTGTAAAATTTCTAAAATATAACAGTCAGGAGCTCATGGTCCCGTCTGCTCTCGATTGAGACATATTCAGTACTGATTCTGCTATTCATCAAACCTCACAGGGACTCGATAAATAAAAACACATACTTCCCGAGCCAGTTCTTTTGTCATTGATCATTGACCTAGGTCGCCATACAGTTCTTCAAAATCCGTCGTTCTCCATCCCAAACACTCGCCAGGAAAGTGCATCAATAAAGTCAACTGCTCTCTATCGAATTGACTGCTACAGAGTTCGAAGCGTCCAAATATCCTGTAAAATTGCCATTTCCTCCCATCAAAAAACTTCTCAACACGCAAGAATATCCCTTATTTTCCATGTTGAGTAAGTGACGAGACGCCATGTTGAAAACTATGACTGAAATAGTTAAACACGAGCAATGCTGATCTTCGAATCGTCGGCCATATTTGTTTATGTTCTTGCAGGGAAATAAATTAGTTCTCAGGTCCTTTTCAGAATAAAAATATGCCAGGCATTGAATGCAAATTCAGCAGTCTTGGCACGAAAATTAAATTAAAGCAAAACAAAATTCTGACATCATGTCATCGCTCTGCCTCGAAAAATCCCAAAGATTTACTTGCAGGTCTTCTTTTCTTTTTCTTTTCATCAAATAGAAGATCTGCGGTGCTCAAATTGTATAAGTCATGGTACGAAACATTCTTCTTTGCAGAGCCGTGATCGTCGCCAAATTGAATTCTTTTGATATTCTATTTTCCGGAGTGTAATACGATATACCGCTGAAAATTGTTAGCGGGCTCGAAATGTCCTTGATTTCTGGCGATGGCGTGCTTTATAACAGAACAGAGCACAGTCAAGGCCACTCTATTTTTTAAACAAAATCATCCTGTCGTCAAACAGATCAGATCTGCCCTCCTGTAGTGGTCAGCACACTCTAGTCAAGTGCAGCAAGTTTCTTAAGAAGTCCTATTCAGGGCCTTCAGTTGCAAAGGGTCAAATGACTTAAAATTTGCTGTCTGTTGTTACGCGACGCCAGCGGGGAAACTGTACACGTCGACTTGATTTGCATACGCAATTTTATCGAATATGCCGAAATACAATGATCAGAATTTCTGGAAAAAGAGTTTTAACCGTTTTAGCTTTTGTGATGGCAATTTGCGTATCTTTCCAGCTAAGACTTATTTGGAGTACTCTTTCCTCCTTTTCTGACATTGTTCGTGAACAACTAGATGTCGAAAACCATGTGAAGCGGATCCAATTACGAGAACTGAAAATGAATCACACGACAACTTCTACTTCGCAAATTCATCAAATCATTTCTTATAACCAGGAGATCTTGTATGCAACATTACGATCTTCTTATCATTATCTCATCCGCTCCAGGTAACTTCGAAAGAAGGAATAACATTCGTAAGACATGGGCATTTGAAAGATCCGCAAAACCAAGATGGACGTCAGTTTTTCTGGTCGCTCAAACACGGAATGAAGCAGTTTGAACGTGTTGCTTGACGAAGATGAAGCACTTAAGGACCTTGTGCGAGCCAGCTATTATGACCACTACTGGAATCAAAAGATTACTCAACAGCACTAATCCGTTTCACTTTAGAATAGAAACTGTCACACGGCTACAGGGATCAAATAATTTCTAGGCTTTCAATTTTACTTTTACCTATTAAAATAGAGTCCTCATCATTATGCTTAATAATCGGCTGACTAAAAACCTGCTTTTGATGTAAAAAGATGTTGGTTATAGTATTTATGTTGTTACATATTGTCAGTTTAGAATTCATAAACTCATATAAATTCAATTCAATTCAATTCAATTCAATTCAGTTGATACTGTTAAAGCAGCACAAGCGGAAATTAAACGTAAGGAAAACAAGCAGTGAGAAAATATGGAACACACTGAAATCTAATTCTGTCTGACGGTCGATCCGTAAAATCATCCGTTAGAAAATTCACAGCACACAAAATCCACCAGATCTGCTATCGTCAAAGAAGAGCGTCTTTCTCTTGCTCCTCTTGAAGTGCGGACGGGCCAAGTCGGTCTAAACAGCGACAACAGAGGTTATGCCGGCAGAAAACACGCAGTACTCTTGCCACAGAACCGATTTTAAGAGCGTAAACAGCAGAGAAAAAAACATTCCAGCAGCGGGGGGTAGTTCTAATTCACCGAGATCTATTCCGTCTAAATAACCCAAACGGGTCAAGTATGACCTCGAGCGTTGCCTAAAAAGATTCGGATTACCGCAACACACCATAAACATCACATAAGAGTGTGACAGGCATCGAGCCTTTCTGTTTTGAAAATTCTAAACCAAAAAAACCTTAAGGAAAAATGGATGGGAAAAGGGAGAGGCTCGTCGATTGGAAATTAAACTCGCTCATTGAAATTCCGCCCTTAAGAGATTAAGGAAACATATTAAAAGAATGAACGCGCACAGTGACCCTTAAACAACAAGAAGAAAAGAACTTGGACCAGTTGAGGAATGTTTCAATGGCGCGCATAAATATCATAACGTTTTGTTGGAATTAGACGAGGAAAAGAATACTTTGTATCAACGGTTCGATGTCCAGGACTGTCGATTCTTCGAATGTAGAATTAGAGTGCAAAAACGTGTTTTGGGCACTGGATAAAAATCCAGTCTTACACCGTCTAAGAAAATAAGCCACGGAGGAAGGTCCAATTCAACTGACAGGACAACATTGAGTTCTTTCTCTACGAAACATTTTTCTCAAAAGTTAAAAGGATTTAAGAGATCTTTCTGCCATTTTTTTTTTTGTTGTGCTTTCGCCGCCTTCAATTATTTGAATTTCAAAATTTTGCTCTGTTTGGGATTAATTCACGTATTCTCGGCCAATGAGCATGCTGATATTTTTGGATGGAAAAATACATTATTTTAAAATATTAATAATTAAGGTGTCGCTTTACGCAACGCCAGCAGGCAAGTTTACACGCCGCCGACTTTATTTGCATACCCAATTTTATCGGGTTTGCTGGAATACAATGATCAGAATTCATGGAAAAAGAGTTTTGACCGTTTTAGCTTTTGTGATGGCAATTTGTGTATCTCTCCAGCTAGGTCTTATACGGAGTACTCGTTCCTCCTTTTCTGACAGTGTTCGTGAACAACTAGATGTCGAAAACCACGTTCAGCCCACACAATTGCGAGAACTGAAAATGAATCACACGACAACTTCTACTTCGCAAATTAATCACAAATCATTTCTTATAACCAGGAGATCTTGTATGCAACATTACGATCTTCTTATGATTATCTCATCCGCTCCAGGTAACTTCGAAAGAAGGAATAACATTCGTAAGACATGGGCATTTGAAAGATCCGCAAAACCAAGATGGACGTCCGTTTTTCTTGTCGCTCAAACACGGAATGAAACAGTTTCGAACGTGTTGCTTGACGAAGATGAAGCACTTAAGGACCTTGTGCGAGCCAGCTATTATGACCACTACTGGAATCAAACCCGAAAGATACAAATGGGCTTCGAGTGGGCAGTAACGTATTGCAATTTCTCGTTTCTTTTGAAATTGGATGACGACGTTTTCGTGCACGTTCCAAGAGTTCTCTCCTTCTTAAGCGCACCCACCACGCCGAAGAAGATGCTTTATGCTGGCTGTCATTATGCAAACATGGGCCCTCATAGGAAAGGCAAATGGATGGTAACTTACGAGGAATATAACGAGACAAGATATCCAGACTTTTGCCCCGGTTTTGGATACATTTTATCTCACGATGTTGTGCGCGCATTTGTTGACACTTTCTCTTCTTTGCCGTTCTTCAGACTGGACGATGTTTACGTTGGCATGCTGGCGAATAAGAACGGAATAAGTATCACAAACAATAAGGGTTTTGAAGTATGGCATCCACCCCAGTATGTATGTGTTCCAACAAAGAATACTTTAGTCAGGCATAATGTAGGGGAAGAGTGCCAAATGAAAATGTTTAACTTAACCATTTTCCTTCAGTAGTTCAGTGGCGTGGTTAGTACATACGTATATTTAGATAAATTCTTCAATGAATGATGTTTCCCTATTTAATATCCATTGTTCGTTTGAGTGCAGCCATTTAAAGTTTTCTTTGTCTTGAAAGTGCGTTGCTCGAAGAGTCAGAATCAGGGCATTGGATGCTACAACATTCATCGACAATTAGGCTGAGTGTCAGAGCAAGTTGTATATCTTTCAAAATAAGCCGTAGATATCAAGAAACGACTATCGCAGTTTATTATTTTCTGGAGAATGTTATTGAATTTTATCGCTTTCTCATCTTGTAAAAATTGATTGCAACTTTAAAAACATTTATATTTATTTGAAAATTCGCAAAAAGAAGCTGTGAAGAAGCTTGTTGGATGAATTTGTAAAGTTTGTACCACATTGTATTGATATGCTTTAAAAGTGTCTGGGAATGAGTTGCTCTTAGAGGCTAAAGCTATCAAAATGTGATGTAAGATCTAGCTCTTACCGACTTGAGAGCAATCAAGACTTTATATTCTCTCATTCAGACACATGCAGGGTGAAGAAGCAAGAGACACGGAACAATTTATTTCAGAAACAATTTAGTTCAGAAATCAACTCTCCTAGCGGGTTTTTTAAGCAATCTTAAAACATTGACTCATACATGTAACCAAAGATTACTCAACAGCACTAATCCGTTTCACTTTAGAATAGAAACTGTCACACGGCTACAGGGATCAAATAATTTCTAGGCTTTCAATTTTACTTTTACCTATTAAAATAGAGTCCTCATCATTATGCTTAATAATCGGCTGACTAAAAACCTGCTTTTGATGTAAAAAGATGTTGGTTATAGTATTTATGTTGTTACATATTGTCAGTTTAGAATTCATAAACTCATATAAATTCAATTCAATTCAATTCAATTCAATTCAGTTGATACTGTTAAAGCAGCACAAGCGGAAATTAAACGTAAGGAAAACAAGCAGTGAGAAAATATGGAACACACTGAAATCTAATTCTGTCTGACAGTCGATCCGTAAAATCATCCGTTAGTAAATTCACAGCACACAAAATCCACCAGATCTGCTATCGTCAAAGAAGAGCGTCTTTCTCTTGCTATTCTTGAAGTACGGAGTGACCAAGTTGGTCTAAACAGCGACAACAAAGGTTATGCCGGCACAAAACACTCAGTGCTTTCGCCACAGAACCGATTTTAAGAGCGTAAACAGCAGAGAAAAAGACATTCCAGCAGCCGGAGGTGGTTCTAAGTCATCGAGATCTATTCCGTCTAAATACCCCAAACGGGTCAAGTATGACCTCGAGCGTTGGCTAAAAAAGTCCGGACTACCGCAACACACCATAAACATCACATAAGAGTGTGACAGGCATCGAGCCTTTCCGTTTTGAAAATTCTAAACCAAAATAACGTAGAGGAAAAATGAATGAGAAGGGAGATGCTCATCAATTGAAAATTAAACTCACTAATCGAAATTCCACCCTTAAGAGATTAAGGAAACATATTAAAAGAATGAATGCGTACAGTGACCCTTAAACAACAGGAAGAAAAGAACTTGGACCAGTTGAGGAATGAGTTCAATGGCGCGCGTAAAGATTGTCACGTTTTGTTGGAATTAGACGAGGAAAAGAATACTTTGTATCAACGGTTCGATGTCCAGGACTGTCGATTCTTCGAATGTAGAATTAGAGTGCAAAAACGTGTTTTGGGCACTGGATAAAAATCCAGTCTTACACCGTCTAAGAAAATAAGCCACGGAGGAAGGTCCAATTCAACTGACAGGACAACATTGAGTTCTTTCTCTACGAAACATTTTTCTCAAAAGTTAAAAGGATTTAAGAGATCTTTCTGCCATTTTGTTTTGTTGTGCTTTAGCCGACTTTAATCAATTCAATCTCAAATTTTTTTCTCTGTTTGGGATTAATTCACGTATTCTCGGCCAATGAGCATGCTGATATTTTTGGATGGAAAAATACATTATTTTAAAATATTACTAATTAAGGTGTCGCTTTAAGCGACGCCAGCAGCCAAGTTTACACTCCGCCAACTTTATTTGCATACCCAATTTTATCAGGTTATCTGGAATACAATGATCCGAATTCAAGGAAAAAGAGTTTTGACCGTTTTAGCTTTTGTGATGGCAATTTGTGTATCTTTCCAGCTAGGTCTTATATGGAGTACTCGTTCCTCATTTTCTGACAGTGTTCGTGAACAACTAGATTTCGAAAACCACGTTCAGCCCACACAATTACGAGAACTGAAAATGAATCACACGACAACTTCTACTTCGAAAATTAATCACAAATCATTTCTTATAACCAGGAGATCTTGTATGCAACATTACGATCTTCTTATGATTATCTCATCCGCTCCAGGTAACTTCGAAAGAAGGAATAACATTCGTAAGACATGGGCATTCGAAAGATCCGCAAAACCAAGATGGACGTCAGTTTTTCTGGTCGCCCAGACACGGAATGAAACAGTTTCGAACGTGTTGCTTGACGAAGATGAAGCACTTAAGGACCTTGTGCGAGCTAGCTATTATGACCACTACTGGAATCAAACCCGAAAGATACAAATGGGCTTCGAATGGGCAGTAACGTATTGCAATTTCTCGTTTCTTTTGAAATTGGATGACGACGTTTTCGTGCACGTTCCAAGAGTTCTCTCCTTCTTAAGCGCACACACCACGCCGAAAAAGATGTTTTACGCTGGCAATCACTACACAAATCCTGTTCCTTTAAGGGAGGGTAAATGGAAGGTAACTTACGAGGAATATAGCGGGACGAGATATCCAGACTTTTGCCCCGGTTTTGGGTACATTTTATCACACGATGTTGTACGTGCATTTGTTGACACTTTCTCTTCTTTGCCGTTCTTCAGACTGGACGATGTTTACGTTGGCATGCTAGCAAGTAAGAACGGAATAAATATTACAAACAATGCGGGTTTTGAACTATGGCATCCGCCCCAATATGTATGTGTTCCAACAAAGAATACTTTAGTCAGGCATGATGTAGGGGAAGAGTGCCAAATGAAAATGTTTAACTTAATCATTTTCCCTCAGTAGTTCGATGGCGTGGTTAGTACATACGTATATTTTCATAAATTCTTCGGTGAATAATTTTTCCCTGTAAAATATCCGTTGTCCATTTGAGTGCAGCTAATTAAAGCTATCTTTGTTTTGAATGTGCGTAGCTCGAAGAGTCAGAATCAGGGCATTGGATGCTACAACATTCACCGACAATCAGGCTGAGTGTCTGAGCAAGTTGTGTATCTGTCAAAATAAGCAGTAGATATCAAGAAACGACTATCGTAGTTTATTATTTTATGGGGAATTTATTGAATTTTACTGCTTCCTCGTCTTGTAAAAATTGATTGCAACTTTAAATAGATTTATTTTTCCTTGAAAATACACAAATCGTGACTGTCCAAAAGCTTGTTGGATGATTTTGTAAAGTTTGAATCACTTTGTGCTGATATGCTTTAATGCCAATACAAAGGGTCATGTCTGCGAATGAGTAGCTCTTTGAGACTAAAAACTATCAAAATGTGATGTAAGATTTAGCTCTTACCGACTTGAGAGCAATCAAGACTTTATATTCTTTGATCCAGACACATGCAGGGTGAGGAAACAAGAGACACGGAAAAATTTATTTCAGAAATGTAGTTGATAAAATGAACTCTTCTATCTGGTTTTCAAGCAATCTTAAAACATTGACTCATGTATGTAATCAAAGATTACTCAGCGGAACTATTCCGTTTCAAGGTAAAATAGAAACTGTCACACTGCTACAGAGGTCAAATAATTTCTAGGCTTTCAATTTTACTTTTACCTATTGAAACAGAGTTCTCATCATTACGCTCAGAAACGCTGACTAAAAATCTGGCTTTGATGTAAAAAATATGTTGGTTAGAGTATTCATGTTGTTACACATTGTCAGTTTAGAATTCATAATCATTAATTCAACTCAATTCAGTTCAGTTGATACTGTTATATTTACGGCTTGACATCTACTGCTCGCAGATAGCAACAGCTGGTCGAGGCGAGCAGCAGTTTCACGCATATTTATAAAAACTTTACAGTAACAAATTAAAGAAAAGAAATAAATATTCACTTGATAGTTATGCTCAGTAATGCTGATTTAAAACCTGAATATGATATAAAAAGATACTGGTTAGAGTAGGATTCATAAACATATTTCCATTGTTTAATTCATTTTATAAACCTGTCCAAAGTCACTGCTTATGTCATTAAAACGTTGAATGGACTCATGGCTGCACTCCAAAACAGAGAACGTCTCAGGGTCTAGGCCTTTCCCGATTATGCTACTAAACGGGCATTTTATGCTCCTAGAAATTCCGCTTTACGCCAAAAAAATGCTCAAATTATGCTCGATTCTCAAAATAATGCTACTTTGCTTGCAGAAAATGCTTTGTTTAATTTCAAGCAAAACGTAGAAACTCAGGTATCATGTGTGTATCAACAACTGAATGAAGTGAAAAGTGTTCAATTGTTTATTATAAAACTTCTGATACAGTCAAAACTTGTCCAATGATAAACAGTTAATTAATGTTCGAAGTTCTTAGCGCTTGTTGTACTGTGACATGACGCTGGCTTGGAGGTAGTCAACAAGAGCACAATTCTGTTGCTCGTTGAGGGACGCCTTCAGTATTAAAAATACTCTTTCTGCCGTAGCAGACGATGGTTGGACAAGGAGAACTTGCTTCACTGCGGAAGCCCAACGAGGAAGTTGCTCCTCGTGCTCACACCATCATTCGACTTTCTTCTCTTCAGTCGGGTAACAACATCTTCAGCGGCAGCCAAATAGGCAGGAAGCTCAGCTTTGAGACCGTCGATGGTAGTATCACTATCCAGGAAAGGAAATGCTCTCAGAGACTCTACTAATGCATTTGTGGGCTTAAGCCACTGAATCCTAACGGGGCAGAATAGTCTGAAAGCCTTGAATGCTACCACTACATCATAAAGTTCGACATTGAACTTTCTCAGAAACCACGTAATTGCCGGCTCAACATAAGCCTTCGCACTCCGTTCGAGTGCTATTACGTTCTTCCTCCGCAATTGCAGTTGCAATTGCACGGACGTTAGGGAAACAAGGAGCTTGACAAAAAAACGGCGCTTAATTTCTCATAACAAGCAAAAATCAAAGGACCATCCCCTTCCAAAAGATACGAGGCTTTCACAAAATGTTCGCCACCATCAATAGTAGCGGCAAGCTCAAGCTTCAAGTTCATTGGTCGCTGTGGTTCAGAAAGTATTGCTTGAAGTTGTGGCAGTAACTGTGGGCAAACTTTTGCGTCCTTTGCCTCTTCTACGAACCTTGCGACATCTCCAAACTGCACCATCAACTGATGATACACCTCCACTGTCTAGTCTCGCTATATCATCTTGATGTTTGACCTGTTAAATCCTTCCATAACAGCTTGGCTTTACAACCATGGCGAAACATTCTAATCCAAAGGCTTCCGAACTCTACCAATGTTGGGATCACTAAATGGTTTCCCACGTTATCAAGTGTATGAGAGAAGCACACGACATTCAGCATCTTAGGGAATATAAATGTTATTCTGTCCAGTGCTGCTTGTTTAACGCTTGCACTGTCTCTCATGGCTGCGAGAAAGGAATTTGCTCTGACCTCATAATCAACAGACAGGCACTGGTTAAGAACTTGTGCTAGTTCGTTGGCATTGACTGACTTAGGGCAAACATCAATTCTCACAAGCCGTTGGATAATGTTCCAGTTATTCTACACTATACGCACTATTAGAGCAATTGCTTCCCCTTGTCTTGTGCTGCCGTCAAAAATGACTGAAAGGTCACTTGTCATGCTAACTTGACCAGGTATTTCCAATTCTTGTTTAATCCGTTCAATTTCCTGTTTCAAAGCCATGGAAACATACTGTCCCAGATGATAGCTTCCAGTGAGTCGATAGCTGTTCTTCTCCGACAGAGACCGTAGCATGTCTATTTTACCGATCGTGATACCCGCCTTCAAAAACTCACAGACAACTTCGATCTATCTTTTGAACTTCCTTCTCTTCTGAATGCCTCGATTATGGTCTGGTCTTTCAATTTTGACTTTTTCAACTTCTCTTTACCGTTTTGATGCCTCTTGGACGAAATATGGATTTTCAGAACACTTTTCATGGAGGAAATGATTTCTCTACATCCACTGCAAAACAACTTTCTTTCTCTGACAATCAAATTCTCGCCTGGGAACTGCTTAACTCGCTCATATAACGGGACTTTCGTTGTATCGCTGTTTCCTCTCCGCTTGTAATTTCCACTGGTTGATTCTAAAGATCGATCTCGAGCTATCGTTGAAAGGACTGGTCTATGTTCCTCCTCAGAATTTCCTTCTATAAGCTGCAAGTATCGAGAAGATGGCGTGACACTGGCCGACGCCATCTTGTTTGTACATGCGCCTGAACGGCCTCTGAAAGTTAACCGCTGACCAGCTGAACTCAGTTCATACAGTTACAGAAATCCTTCTCTAAAACACAAAAGCAAATCATCACAATGCTTTTGAATTCTAAAATTTAGCATTTAAACTCTTTTGAGTGCTGAAGTCTAGATCAAAGTTATGCAAAATGCTAAATAACGCTAGCAATTCTTTTTACAGAAAAAGTGTAAAAAAATACTTTTTTAACCACATAATGCCAAAACAAATGCTGGCATAATCGGGAAGGGCCTATCAGGGTCTTCACTTTAAGGAAACCGACCTAACGCCTTAATGCAAGAAATGCATCACTCGTACATGTATATTAACTAGCATCAAGGCCAACGGCCATAAGGCAGCATGAAGTTGATGCTCTACATCAGTCTAAAACAAAGATTCGATGTTCTTATTCAAAAAGCAGAGGAGAAGATGCTGCCTTTTTCCAAGAGAAGTTTAAGACCCCATAATGCCATGTAAGGGGTGAGATATGAACATTGAAGGCACTATTGCCCAATGCAAATTTCTTATTTTACGAGGAAAGCAAGTCACTCCTGAGAAGGTGGATAGTCTTGTTGCGGCTGCGAGCACATTTGCAGCTAAGATATTCTCGGATTATGCCGTCATCGAGCTTCCAAAGCAGTACAAGCGGAAAAAGAACGCAAGTAAACAAGCAGTGAGAAAATATGGAAGAGACCGAAACCCTAATTCCGCCTGAACAGTCGATCCGTAAAATCATCCGTCAGTTATTTTACAGCCAACAAAATCAAATCGTGAAAAAAAAAATTGTCTTTCTCTTGCTCTTCTTGAAGCACGGACAGACCAAGTCGATCTAAACAGTGGCAACGGCGGTTATGCCGGCAGAAAACACTCAGTACTTTCGCCACCGAACTGATTTAAAGAGCGCAAACAGAGAAAAAGAAAAACTATTTCAGCAGCAGGGTAGTTCTAAGTCCCCGAGATCTACTCTGTCTAAATGACGAAAACGGGTCAAGAAAGAATTGCTTAGTTACCTTGAATTTGATCGGTTTTGGCGTGTGTGATTTAGGCGAACCGATAAGGTGTCATTCAAGTCTTCCTGTTGCCTTGATTGACACGTGATGTTTACGAAAGCCGCCTCGATAGATAAGATAGAGTTAATATACATGGCTGTGGTATTTGTTTTTTGCTGAGTTCCGTAGTTTTTTGTAAATTGTCCTCCAAAGTTGTGTGAAATTAAAGTCTTGAAAAGTGTCACGACAAGCCTTTGCTCGAGTGAAATTTAATTTCAGTAAAACTCTGAAAAATTAAGAGATCCGATCAAACTGATTGTGGTTTTAGGATAGGTACATGAATGTCTTACAACACACAAGAAACGAGCGAAATCCGTGTCTCAAGCAAAATCGACCGGACCGCTCTTACAGAGACACTCTCTTAACATCTCAATGTAAATATCCGCTATAACAACAATGCAATAGCGCAGTTAAACAATTGCATTGAAGGCTTATTACATTTAGAACCAAAACAAAACAAACAAAATCGACCGGACCGCTCTTACAGAGACACTCTCTTAAAGTGACAGCTGTTGCACCAAAGAATCCTATGATTAATATTCATGGCATATTGCGGGCCCGCTGATATTAATCAGCGTCTTTTTATTTGCCAGAGACGTAGGTCAAGAAGCATTCAGGCATTGACTACAAACCCTTATATTGATGTGCTCTTGGCATCAAATTGACAGACGTCAAAACAGTGAGAACGCTGACCTATACCTCTCTTTATATCATTGACTCAGACTCTTTAGTGCTACAGATTTTGACGATATATTTGTGTGATCAGTGGAGAAGTTAACACTTTATGAACCAAATTACAAGGAAAGGAAGTCCACTGACCCATACGTTAGACAAATTCCAGGCTCGGAAGTGCAATGATTTTTTGTATTGTCTTCCCTTGCTAGATTCGTATGGGTCTGCATGAAATATATTCATATGCATAATTGACCAAGCGTGAGGTCAAGGTGGCTAGATAAGGGCCGAGTTCTTTTGATGCGTTTTCATGGAACGAAGTCCATAAAACCGCAGAAAAAGAACGAGGTCAATATTCAGCCATCTTGACCAAATAAGCTTGGTCAAGAGAGAACATATATTCCACGATTGATCGAAAGTTTTTATTTCATTTTTTGTCTTCATCCCTTCTAACGGCCGTGAGGCGAGAAAATTAATAGATAAATATATAAATTAAAAAATAAAGTTTAACAGTTTACACTTATAGTCATAAGGTACATGAACTGATTACCGAGTGGAGTGAAGCCATAAATGAAGCTACAAATATAATATCCCAGGTTCAAAATGAAATAAATCAAGATAATCATCCTTACAAATGAACTCAAATGCTTCATTAAAATCGGTTGACACTGAATAACATTGATGTACAAAAATTTCAGTAACACTCGTGATAGTAATACTTTTGTTTTGGATTAACAAGTGACACAGCGAAATCATTCAACTGTTCTAAAATTGTGCAACATTAGTCAGCATTTCTGAGCGTAATGATGAGAACTCTGATAGTCGTTTCTTGATATCTACTGCTAACAGTGACAGCTATACAACTTGCTCTGACACTCAGCCTAATTGTCGGTAAATGTTGTAGCATCCAATGCCCTGATTCTGACTCTTCGAGCAACGCACATTCAAAACAAATATAGCTTTAAATGGCTGCACTCAAATGTACAACGGATATTGAACAGAGAAACATCACTCATTAAAGAATTTATCTAAATATAAGAATTTACTGACCACGCAATCGAACTACTAAGGGAAAATGGCTAAGTTAAACATTTTCATTTGGCACTCTTCCCCTACATCATGCCTGACTAAAGTATCCTTTGTTGGAACACATACATATTGGGGTGGGTGCCATACTTCAAAACCCACATTGTTTGTGATACTTATTCCGTTCTTACTCGCCAGCATGCCAACGTAAACATCGTCTAGTCTGAAGAACGGCAAAGAAGAGAAAGTGTCAACAAATGCGCGCACAACATCGTGAGATAAAATGTATCCAAAACCGGGGCAAAAATCTGGATATCTTGTCTCGTTATATTCCTCGTAAGTTACCATCCATTTGCCTTTCCTATGAGGGCCCATGTTTGCATAATGACAGCCAGCATAAAACATCTTCTTCGGCGTGGTGGGTGCGCTTAAGAAGGAGAGAATTCTTGGAACGTGCACGAAAACGTCGTCATCCAATTTTAAAAGAAACGAGAAATTGCAATACATTACTGCCCACTCGAAGCCCATTTGTATCTTCCGGGTTTGATTCCAGTAATGATCGTAATAGCTGGCTCGCACAAGGTCTTTATTAGCTTCGTCTTCCTCTAACAACAAGTTTGACACTCCTTTATCCTGTGTTTTAGCGACAAGAAAAGCTGTCGTCCATCTCGGTCTAAAGGCTCTTTCGAAAGCCCATGTCTTTCGAATGTTATTCCTTCTTTTAAAATTACCTGGAGCGGATGAGACAATCATAAGAAGATCATAATGTTGCATACAAGATCTTCTGGTTGTAAGAAATGTTTTGTGATTAATTTGCGAAGTAGAAGTCGATTCCTGCATTACCATCTGCTGCAAATGTTTTTCGATATCTTGTTTCTCTCGAGCGATTTCTGAAAAGGAGGAACGTGAGTTCCATAAAAAACTTAGCTGAAAAAATATACAAATCGCCACCACAAGGGTTACAACCATCAAAACAGTTTTATCCCGTTTTCTGATCATTTTCAAACTCAAGAAATTTTATGTAGGAGTCACCAAACGGAAGCTAAAGCAACACGCCAAATTTATGTAAATTAAGACGAAGTTGTCAAGCTTGGCTGAGATGCATTCGTTATTGCTCTTTACAACAGACAGTAACCAATTTAGAATATATGTCAATGGGACACAGTTTAATTAAAGACCCATTTTTACCCTTGATACAACGCGCGCCGCGACCTACTTCCTGTAACACGAAATTCCCAGATTTCTGAAAACCTCTTAAAATCGTCTTCCAGATGAGCCATCAGGGACAATTATTCAATTTTTTTTAAAGGTTAATGCATTCTTGGTTCATCATTTTAACAGTTTCCTTACAGTATTTTGAGTTTAGTCCGTATTATTGCGAACAATCTAATGAAATATATATGCGAAACTAAACCAACAAAAATTCTAATTAAAAATGCTTACAAAATAAACAAGAAATTATCCGGTGCAATTAAAGGGCTAGGTGGGAAATCAATAAACGCTTAGCAAATTGGCGAGCCAATTTTAGCTTTATACTTTATCCCCACCAACTGGGTCTCATTCGCACTCTTGTTGATAGAGCCTACAAGATCAACAACACATGGTTGGGTTTCCACGAGGACATCAAGAAACTCACTTAAATCCTTAAAAAATATCTTTTTCCAGCCCATCTGGTTGAAAGTGTTGTCAATCGGTACCTCACGCTCACCCCTAAGGAGTGCAATCCCCTGGTCTCCGTTTCAAACACTAGCACTAATTTTTATTTTAAATTACTTTACATTGGCCCTTTTTCTGCTGTCACGCAAAAAAGGGTTCGCCAATTTGCTAAGCGTCGCTAATACGTTTGGAGTGCTTGCGCGTACTTGAGCACTTGCTCAGTGATAATACCTCTCACATTTTCAGACATCTACACAATTCTCCACAATGTCGCGCTCTTTGTTCTGATGAGTGTTTTAACATCCTAGATCACGTCTCCACAACTTTTCAACTTAAGATTAAAGAAGCTATCCACATTCAATGGGAGAAACCTACACTTAATCATCAACTTTATCATGTCAATTTAGAACTTTCCTTGAAAATACATACATTATTCTGTTACTATTGTTTGTTTTGTCCAATCAGCATTTTGTTACACACTTTAAATTCAACTTTGTACTTTGTATTATTCAGAACTGAAGATGATAGAAGAACTGTCGAAGCATATTTTTTTAATTTTAAAAGTGTCGTTCATTTTCTTAAATTTTGTTGGTTTTAAAACTGTTTTTCAGCTCCTCTGTTGTTCTAATTTCGTCACGTTGACACGACAAATAGTTGAACCTTATGGGAGTTCATCTGCTCAGGCCAATTCTGAGATCAATTTGTACTTAAGGCCTTTGCATTCTCGTCACTTTCCTTTTTGTATTTCTCTTATTGTGCGAAACAAATTGCCACGAGTGCAAGCGGATGGCAACATTTTTTGAACTTAAGTTCAATAACTTCTTGAGCCTCTTGTTCAGTGTACTTTATTGAAGGGTTTTCCTTATTTAGATTTTCACCGAGATTACGTATTTCTGGTCTCTTATGTGGCTAGAAAAGAGTTCAGTTTAGATGTGATCATAACAGAATAGACTTCAGTTCTTAGCCGAATGAATCGTAACTGGTGGAGTGTTGTCGCTGAGTAAGTTAAGTCTCTCTAATTGTTTAAATTTTTTTTCTGTTTTGTCTTTTTCTGTCTTTCAAAGACAACAAATTGCACTCGGCTTGTACAACTTGGTTCGCCTTCGAAAAATTTACTTAGGCTGATTTATCCCAGTTTCACTCGAAATCACGTTGTTATACCTTCACCTAACAGACGAAACCAGTAGCATGAAAGTCTCTTCTCCAAGCACAGAAAGTTCAAAGTTTAGAAGCCAGACCGGTCTATTCTCCAGAATACTGATCTAGACATTTCGTTTTTGATAAAAGGTATGTAAACGTAAATAATTTCATTTTTAACATAGGGTGCATGCAAGCTCCTAACTAATTCTTCATGAGCCACTGTGGTGTATATGATGTATGGTGCATTCGTACGTTTTTCGCTTCTAAACAGCAAATTAGCATTTCCTTGAACATAGCTTTGGTCTCAAAGTATTCCTTGGCCGTTTTTGCACTGTCTTTTAATCATAGTTTTCTTGTTGAACACGATTATCTGGTAAACCCTAAAAAAGTGTAATAAAACAATTTTTTCATACACAAGTTGCGTCCGCTTGTCATAAAATAATTATTCCATGTTTTAGTTGTGCTATATTTGCATTGGTTCTTGATGCCCTTTGGGAGTTTGGCTTGCGGCTTCGCCTCAACCAACTCTTCCGCTTCTGTCGTGCTCTCCCCAATTCCACTACGCCTACATCCTTATCTTGAAATACGAACGTCGAGCATGAACCACTCGTCAAATATTTGATAAAATTTCTAATCATGATGACATGTCGTCGCCGAAGTGTCATTTTTTGTTTTAATAGCATTCCTTTTTATCCTCAGCGATGAAAATATCCCAAAGATTTTCAGCTTTTTTTTATTCTGAGCGTGAAACCTGAATAGGTAAAGTGATACTATTCAGTGATAATTCACTTAGTGTTTCCCTCCTGAATTAGATCATTTGGCGAGTTACAAACAGGAACGGAAACTCAATGGCTAACAACACCAGCATCAGCACTTACCATCACAAAAGCAATGGGACCCAGTTCCTCCTCTCTACGTCCAAATGCATTCCGTGGTTTGCTGGATTCATCACTGAATGTCTGGCCATTATCATCCTCAATATTATCAAAATTATTTTTGTGAAGCAGCGTTAGCTACAGAGCAAGAGTACATACTTGATCATTCATCCATCGATAGTTGATCTCTTGGTCGGGGCTGTCTCAGGACCTTTGAGTATAGCCCTGATGGGAAACCTCTGTAATCTATGGAATAATGATCGCATGATAGCATCAAGGCAGGTCCCACTTATTGCGTCTCTCGTAAATCTCACTGCCATTTCATTAGAGCGGGTGCACGCAGCATTTCGTCCTTTCAAGCGTAGATTCATTAAAAAATGGGTTTATGGGGTTATAATAAATGTGATTTGGTTAATAACCGCGAGCACTCTTCTGGCCAGAGCTAAATTAATCAATAATATTCGTGCCGGGATCATGATGTATTTTTCAATTTTTGCCTTTCTTCTTTTCGTAATTTCTCTTTCTTGCATTTTTATTTTTATCAAAGTGCTCTTCAGTCGTCATCCCAACATAATGGCGCGATGGGTGTTAGGGAAAGAAAATTAACGATTACATTATTCATTATTACTCTCTCATCTTTAATAAATTGGTTTCCATCGTTGATACACCTGAGTATTTCGATTTTCAACCCTCACGTATCCAAAATCCTTTTCCAAGAGAACATATCAAAACGCAATGATGATATTTTTATTCGCAAACTCGCTGACAAATTCTACAATCTACGCTCGCTCAAATGCAGTGGATTTACCACTGCACAATCTTTAATCCACTGACCTTTCGTTTATCAATATGTAACTTCTCCATACAATATCAAGCCAGTATGTAAGAACAGTCGTCATACTTATCAATTAGAAATTGTTATCTTGATGTGAAATCGCATTCTTATAACTATTTACAAGTATAATTCAGCGGCCAGAAAGAGTAGAATTACAAAATATAACTCCAAGGTTAAAGGTTTGACCAATGGAAGCGGGAAGGGAAGGCGTGGTTTACTTATTTTTAAAGTTAGTTTTAACACAATGTAAAGTAAATTCAAATTAAAGAAACTTGAAGATTTCTTATTGTAAGGTTCTGTGGGATATCATTACATATTGTGTCCTACAATGCTATGTCGCATGTTCATACTTTTGTAATGGTTCTGCGTAGAGTAAAACAGTGTCGCTTTCCTCACAAGAATACAAAATTGGAAATAAAATCTTCTGAGGTTTACCTCGAAAGAAACTTGAGTCATTTGACTCTTAACCTTCGAAATATTTTTCCGTCCGGCCCTACGACTAAGCAATAAGTACCTTATTATATAAACAGTAGAAGATAAATATTTCGAAAGTTTTATTGAACCTAAGTAGGACATAATTGCATAGGAAAGAAGGGCAACCACTGGGGAACGACCTGGAAGATTCTACAGTAAAAACGTTTGTTTCGCCTTCGTATCAGAACAAGAAACTCATAATTTATCGAGAAGCCTAATCCGCGTTTTTGGAGAACGCAAAAGAGCCGTTCGAGTGGCTCTCTCCGGACCAGATCAAGTCAACCTGTTTGGCCCTACACATGTCAGCTTTCACAAACAATTTCGCTAGGAGCCTCTCGTGCTCTCCAAACTTCCCGCGTGCACCCATACTCGCTAACCTGGAACCAATATTTTTATTTTAGTTAAGATAACCTCCTGAGCCCGACATCACCACGCTGTATACTAATCAATTATTCCACGAGCGTGAGTTGGATATGAGATAATGGCTATAATCATTTCATATCCAACAAGCGCGAGTAGAGTAATTGTTTTATTTAGAACACCTCAAAATATAGATTACTCTTCCAACTTCATTTTGTAAGAACAAACGTAATGTTACAATGTACAAAATCACTTCCGATTGACTCGTCTTCATGCGCGCGCATGGTACAATAGCTTATAGCCCATGATGGCTAAACTAATGAAAACTCTTGAATTGCATTATCCAATGATCCAGTTTTAAATAATATGCAAAAGCCATATTTACTCTACAACCAATGGAAGTAATGGAACAGGTATGATATAGTGGTAAAATGGGATAAAAAAAGATGTGGAAAGTAACCTTTCTTCTTGGGAAAAGGGGGGAATTTTTTTAAAAGAGGAGCTAGTCTTATTGCAGTGAAGGGAGTTAGTTTGAAAACTTTTTTGTCAGTCTTCTATTGCTTTACTTTCATCCCCAGCTCGCCGTCAATATTGCTTGGCGGATTGCATTTCCTATTGGAAGAACGATAGCGGTTATATTGATGGCCAACTCGCTCATAGATCCCATAATCTACGCCATACGGATTCCAGACCGAAGACAAGGTATAATGCAAATCATCTTTCGCCGGACTCCAAACTGTTGAAAGCCAGGTGATTTACCTTTACCTATGCTTTAGTCCAATTGCCATTTCCAACCCCTTACGCTACAACAGACGTCGAAAATGTCCGGAAAATGCAAGTTAGCTGCAAGAGACCTTTGCAAAGGATTTTCATTTCCGTAGAATGAGATTGAATTGATCAAAGATGTGAGCAATGACCAAAGACACTCACAAATATATCTCTTACAATTTCTTTTTTTTGCCGAAAGCTATAGTTGCTTCTGCCAAATTAGTCAACTATTTATAGAAGGTTAAAATATGTCCCAACTGCCAAGTAATAAAAGTCCTAGTCTTTGTTTCTAGTTATTCATTGGTCAGTTCTACTCTGTTGTACCTGCTGTATGACTTGAATTCTAAGACTTTTACTCGGCGGAGCAAGGGAGAAAACTGACGAACTTTGAACAAATGATCCGCCCTGAGACCAAACGATAAACTTCCTGCGACTTTCATGACATAACGAACTTACCCAACTCATTGAATAGTAACGAAAATGACACAGAGTGAGTATACATATTACAGCAAGTTTGTGATCTAAATACGCGTCATTTATACCTGCCCTTTGTTTTTATTTGTGTTGTAAGTGAAAAAAGTATGACCTCAGTTTTGTGGGAATCTTTAAAAGTTCAACAAAACTTTTTTGCAATCAATAGTACATATAACTCACTCCAACCACTGACGTCACGAGCTTAAGCATTTCAATAACGCAGTATGATGATACATACCGGTTGATGAAAACAAATCTCTGATTTACCTACGTAAGCGTCATTTATACCCGCCCTTTGCTGCTGCTTATCTTATAAATAATGTAACTATGACCTCCGTTATGTGGATACCTTTAGAAAGATCAACAAAAATATATTATAAAATTATAAAATTTATTAACATTAATTAATTAATATTAAATAAAATTAATTTATTAATATTAAAATATATTATAAAATTATAAAATATTAAAATTATATTATAAATGATGTAACTATGACCTCCGTTATGTGGATACCTTTAGAAAGATCAACAAAACTTGCTCGCAAAAGCGTAAGCTGATCAATATCAAATAAGACTCGCTTCAATCGCTGAATTTGTGGTGCGTTAGCAATGCACAAGCGCCGGGAAATTTCTACCGATACGTTACAATTAAAAATGACTCATTGCGGCTTCCTTTTAAAGGATAGTGGGCTCCTTGCAAATAAATCGCAATATCACTTCGATATTTTGACACTTACGTCAATAATTTCCGCCTTGTGACACTTGTTCAATTTCCTTTATTGTAGGATTTTACTTATTTAAATATTTGAAGTTTCAGACGATGCATTAGGAGGAACTAGACGGAAAAAACCACTCAAGCGACGCAACTATTATATAACTGTGATTTAAGCAAGGTAAACTTGCTTTGCCGAACAGAAGCTAGTGGATTGAACTACTGTTGTTGCCAAAGTTGTTCAGTCGCAGCCAGGCAAGTTAATTCTCTATAATCGTTTAAAGTTGTTTTCTGTTTCGTCTACTTTGGCTTTCTCTCTTAACAAAACTATGTCAATGATATGTAGACAAAATTATGCTGATGATAATGGCCCGAAGAAAAATTTCATATTGACTTGTTTCAGATAATGACACATGTTTTAAAATATTTATTCTTTTGCAAAGGTTTTCCTCAAGTGTTTCCTCCAAGTTAGTACCGTGATCAAGTGAAGCACAAACAAACGGGCGAGAACTTAATGGCAGGGAACGTCTTCAACAGCACTGGGACGAACACGAGCAAGGGGAACGTATTTTCAGTATCACAGTGCATTCCGTGGCTTGTCGTGTTCATCATTGAATATCTGGCTATTATCATCCTTAATTTGATCACGATTATTGTACTGATAAAGAACCAAAAGCTACAGCGCCGGAGTACATATCTAATTGTCCATCTGGCGATCGTTGATCTCTTGGTAGGAGCAGTGTCTGCCCCTGAGAAGATAAAATGGATGGGGAGTTTTTGTAATCTGTGGAGTATCGGTTGGAAAAATCCCGTATTATCTTTGGTGTTCTCCTTTGCCTTCCCTCTTGCTTCGCTGGTAAATCTGACTGCAATTTCGCTTGAGCGGGCACATGCAACATTTTGTCCATTCAAGCATCGTTTTATGAAGAAATGGGTTTATGCAGTTATAATTATTTTAATTTGGTTGATTGTAGCCGCCTGGATAGGAATAATAATGATGAGTAATGATTTCCTTATCCACTTTATGATGTTTTCGGCTTTTTTCATCTTAATGTCTTTAACTATTGTTTCGTACGTTTCTATTTTTGTCAAAGTCCGCTTTCATCGTCAACTGCGTCACAGTAACACAGCGAGGGAAAGAAAATTGACAAGCACTTTATTCATTGTGACCAATAGGATTTGCAATTACTTGGTTTCCACTGATAATATATCTAGTTGTGTTTCATCCCCATTCAGCTTACAATATTACCAGGCGGTCATTATTCCACATTGAAAGAGCAGCAGCGGTTTTATTTATGGCTAATTCTGTTATAAACCCTATGATCTACGCCATGAGGATGCCAGAGTTAAGGCAAGGTATAATGCAAATCATCTTCCGCCGGAATCCATTCCGTCTGAATCCGGCTGATATACCATTACGTTAGCTCTTGCTCAATTACCATTTTCAACCCCTTACGAACAGAGTACTGCGAGTGACCATCATAAATGATTTCCATAGAAGCACTGAGATCTAATTGATCCTAGTCAGCGATTTCAAGTCAGAAAGGTGTGAAAATTGGCAAAAGTCTTCTATAGATATATTTTTTCCAACTTCTTTTCTCTGCTTTTTTTTTTTTTGTAAAAGCTATTGCAAATTAATTACTTATGTAGAGACAATTAGAGTATTTTCCAATTAACAAAAGTCCCATGGATAATATGTTTATTAATCTTGCCAGATCGCAAGTTAGGCATTCTAGAGAATAGAGAAAGAGCAGCGACTTCCAAAGAGCAAAAATACTTATTGGTTGACCTTTGTTTGTTAAAAATGCCAAAATTTAACAGCACTAAATTTAATTGAATTGAGTTTTTTTCTTTTTTTTTCTGTATGGCAGCGGTTCCTCCTGCAAACTAAACGTGGGCCAGGTGCCTAGCACGGACCATAAACAAAGAAGCCTCATCGTTTCATTGTTTATGCGTTTGCCTGTTTTGCTTATCTGGGATAGTTATGTATGTAAATGGACTATGATATGTAAGTCAGCGTTGTGAAGCCAGACTGAGTCAGATTATGACATTGTGGTAATAAAGGGACCATGCCATGAAGTGTTGAAATGAACAAACCACAGAATTTGTTACGGCCTGGAATGAAAACAAAATATATAATAAAAATTTTCGACGGATCTTAGTCTGAAACTGAAAACTAAGCGAAATAATGTTGAACCCCACATCAAGTTTGCACTCTGCCCAGTCCTCTTCCATCAAAAAGAGTACACCCCATGGAAGACAACACGTGCACCCCCACCTCTACCATTTCGCTTCCAAGACTTTCAACCCGTTTCCACACGACAGATTAAGTTCCTTCTCTGATTGAATCACATTTTCAGCTCGATCGACATGCAAATTGACCACGAACCCGGAAGGATAGCTTTTCGCAAATTTCTTTCTGTTATAATCTAGACGCGATTGATTTAGCTAGGCAAACTCTCTATATTGAACGAATCGTTTTGTAACTGGATTGACAGTGTTTTTTCCCTAAAATTCGCAGCCAACGAATAGAGCCAGTTCCAACCTTTCGCTGACTCAAGAAAAAGAACTTCAACATCATTTTGCCAAAACCCACTTGGTAACCTGGTTATTGCGGTTAGTTTCCAATCCTTCTCGATCGACTTAGACATTCACGAGGTACTTGGCTCAACCTGATATAGCTGTAAGTTTCATGATTATTTTTATTCTCATTTTACTCCGGAGATATAAGTATCACCTTACTGCGACCAAATACAACGCCTATACATGGAACTGTTAAGCACGCCTACTAAGCTGAAGTTATGTTTTTATGCTTGCATAAGATGCGAGCTCACCCTTTAAACTGTGCATTTTCACTTCTGCAAGCCGTGGCTTATGTAAGTCCACGGTTTGGAGCACCTCTAAATAAGCCACGGCTTAAGAAGAAGCATAATCACTTGTATAAACGGTTTTGCGTCTTGTTTGTGACTTACGCAAGACGCTAGCTTACGCTGCGCAAGCGCAATTTTTTCCCGCGCGCTTGTGGGCCCTTGTTGCAAATTGTTGTTGACCGCGCTCGCCCTTGTGGGCACTTGTTGCAAATTTTTGTTGGTTAAAGGCAACATTGCATTCAAACGAGACCGCCTCAAAAATTATACGCGAGCCATCTATACGAGCATTTCGTAGACTATTTAAGTCGTGCTTGTATAAACTGTCCAGTTTGTGTGACAGTCAAGCCGCAGCTTGTGTAAACCGAGGATTATTTTCTTCTAATAAAAGGCCCTAAAAAATCAATGAGTTATAGATTCTCCAACAAATATTTGGTGTTGGAAAATTCTTGATTACTGTACTTCAATATCAAGTATTTTCCATTAAGTATCACTCAGTATTACCTGATGATAGCCAGCTCATGTCACTGAACTTGAATAAGTCACGTCTAGGCTGAAACATGGGTATGAAAACATATCTTTGATCTACGTGGGTGCAGCTGATCTTTACATCCAACACGCAACACAGGATTACTGTAATCAAATCTCGCACGAGGAATCATTATTGAGAAATGGGAGCGGACGTTACCAAAGGTTCCAACACACCCAATTATATGTACCTCTGCCATGCAAATGAAATTGAAGATTGAGGACGCAGGAATGTCTAAATGAGTAATTGATGGAATGAATCACAAAATATTTGGTATGCGATCACAACTTGATTACTCAGCAAGTATTACCCATTGCATATTTTTTGATAGCACCCTTCGATAACGCACTTGTGTCACCGATCAATGATATATTACGTCTGGGAAAAACTATCGCTATATATAGCTGACATTTATCACTGTTATCTCGCCTCATGATCCATCAAATATTTTTGCTTGCGTGCGATTGTTCTAAAGGGACCTCCAAACGCAGCACGTTACCGAATACCCCACGTCTAAAACCGGGTTATCTCCGAGAATATCACCCAAACGATATCCCCCAACTTTCAAACCTTACATTCACTGTGATAAGTCTTCGTTTTACATTTGATTCAAGATGAGAGAGGGTTTTGTGGTTATTACCGACTGAAAGGGAATTCTTTTTTGTTCATTAAGTTGTACCAGAGAACACTCAAAATACATCCCACGCTGCATACAGTAAGCTGTTCTGAAACAATTCTTCGCGCGCGTTACAAAATATTTAAAGGATAATAAACACAATAGCCTCTGTTTTTCGCTAAAGTGTGTACGGACATATTTTTGCGCTAAATAGAGGGCTTTGTTTATTTATATTTGCCTTATGCCTTCACTTGCATTTTCTCAAAATAAAATTTATGACCTCGACTTACACAGGAGGATCTTTTGAAAGCTGAGCAGAGCTAGTTAGAGCCGTACCTTTATTAAGTTCATTTAAAAGTGCAATGAACTATTTATTGAGCAACAACACAACAACACTTGAAACTCTCCGAGGAAATGTGGTGCAAACAGTAAACACCAGCCGGTAGATGAACCAATATTTGACGTATAAAGAAAACTTCCTGTAGGCATTTTTGGTCTGTAATTACATTTTGACCTCTCGAGAGTTGGACCTGTATTCAGCCTCCTTGACCGTCTGCATCAAGAACGTATCGTGTCTTTTTTTAAGCGCGCACTATGATTGGGTTGTTTTTGTATTTTGAAGAATTTAAATATTGCGAGTTGATTCTTATCTCTTGTGAGATAAAAGAAGAAAATGTTTTAACGACGAATTCAGCAGGATTTGTGAGATCTTGAAAAGTTTCAGTTTACTTAACCGATTGAGCCATTAGTGGACGGTTCACTGAAACTTTGTGGCTGTTGCTGAAATACTTTGGAAGCTGGATTGTTTCCATAATTATTTATTCCATAATTATTAACTCAGCGAACTTTTTTCCACTTTTTTCTTAATTCAGTTCATCGGGTGTCTACCAACACAAGCAACAACGCAATGGCTAACAACACCATGGAAAGTACTCGTAATAACATGAGCGACGAGAAATTGATATCGAATGCTACATTCGATTGTATTCCGTGGCTTTTTCTACTCATCATTGAATGTCTGGCCATAGTCATTTTTAATGCTGTCAGTGCTTGTGTACTCGTGAAGATACGTGCTTGATCATCCACCTGGCGATAGTCGATCTTTCAGTGGAGGAGTGGCAGGTCCCGTGTTCATCCAAGGATTAGGAGCTTCCTGCAATCTGTGGGAGAACGTATTAAAAACGCGTTAAAAATTGGGTCTATGGAGTTATAATTATTGTAACTCTCGCGCTGGTGGGAGACCATGTCCACAGAAAAGGCAGCTACGTTGAGTTTTTGTCGTTTCGTCTTTTTTTTGTTCTTCTCCTTTTACTAATTTCTTTTCCTTACATCTCAATTTTTGTGAAAGTCCGTTTCGGTCACCTTCTGCCAAATCACAGTGAAGCAGCTGCGAGGGAACGAAAATTAACGAGTACGTTATTTATGGTGACTCTTGCATCCATGCTTGCGTGGCTTCCAATGGTAATTGAACGAAACATAAACGCTTATTATCCCCATTTAGTTAACAGGATGTTTTCCGGTCACATTTTCAGGGCAGTGCTGCTGCTGTGCCTTGGCAACTCACTGGTGAATCCCATAATATACGCCATGCGGCTGCCAGAATTAAGACAGGACATGATGAAAATCATATTTCACCGCACATCAAACAGATCAAACGAGGGTGATACTCCTCTTTAAGATTCTCAGACTGTAAGAATTAATGAGTATCTAGCTCCTCGTTCAGTACCGACCAGACGATGTTGATAATCGAACAAAATTACCAGCACAAAGGTGTCTTGATCAAACTTCAAATCTTCAAGCGGTTTTCAGCGAAATTTTGAAATTGAAAGGGAGAATCAGTTGTCATTCCCTGGTTTTAAGAATTAAAATAATTTACAAGGAGGAGATAGGTTGGTTTGTATGTGTTATGTATCCGATACACTGTGCTGGTTGTGTAGACGACACTTGAATATTAAAACGTATTTTAATAATACGAAAGATAATTTCCCTCTCATCTGGGTTTCTGCTGTACCTCTGAATTTGAAACGATTCATCAAACAAAATAATGGAAAACAAAACAAAAACAAAACATTTTGGTATTACATATGATAATAAACGAACGTAGTAAATTGACTTATAGACTCGTTTGCATTATCTGACTGCGGAGGCTTGGGTACGTTCAGGCACTTCGACTTGTAGCGACTTGTAGCAAAACAACCTTGTAGCGAAACAACCGGCTACCGAGGGAGAGGCTCGTCAATTGGAAATCAAACTCGCTAATTGAAATTCCGCCTCTAAGAGATTAAGAAAACATATTAAAAGAAGGAACGCGTAGAGTGACTCTTAAACAACAGGAATGAGTTCAATGGAGCGCGTAAAGATTGTCACGTTTTGTTGGAATTAGACGAGGAAAAGAATACATCGTATCAATGGTTCGATGTCCAGGACTGTCAATTCTTCGAATGTAGAATTAGAGTACAAGAAACGTAAATTTTTGGAAGGAAAAGTTCGCTATTTCAAGATATTAATAAAGGTGTCGCTTTAGGCGACGCCAGTAGGGAACTTTACACGCCACCGACTTTATTTGCATACGCAGTTACTTCGGGTTTGCCGTAATACAATGATCAGAATTCATGGAAAAAGAGTTTTGACGGTTTTAGCTTTTGTGATGGCAATTTGTGTATCTTTCCAGTTAGGTCTTATATGGAGTACTCGTTCCTCCTTTTTTGACATTGTTCGTGAACAACAAGATGTCGAAAGCCATGTGCAGCGGTTGCAATTACGGGAACTGAAAATTAATCGCACGACAACTTCTACTTCTCAAGTTAATTACAAATCATTTCTTATAACCAGGAGATCTTGTATGCAACATTACGATCTTCTTATGATTATCTCCTCCGCTCCAGGTAATTTTGAAAGAAGGAATAACATTCGTAAGACATGGGCATTCGAAAGATCCGCAAAACCAAGATGGACGTCAGTTTTTCTGGTCGCCCAAACACGGAATGAAACAGTTTCGAACGGGTTGCTTGACGAAGATGAAGCTCTTAAGGACCTTGTACGAGCCAGCTATTATGACCACTACTGGAATCAAACCCGAAAGATACAAATGGGCTTCGAGTGGGCAATAACGTATTGCAATTTTTCGTTTCTTTTGAAATTGGATGACGACGTTTTCGTGCACGTTCCAAGAGTTCTCTCCTTCTTAAGCGCACCCACCACGCCGAAGAAGATGTTTTATGCTGGCCGTCGTTATGCAAACAAGGGCCCCCGTAGGAAAGGCAAATGGATGGTAACTTACGAGGAATATAACGAGACAAGATATCCAGATTTTTGCCCCGGTTTTGGATACATTTTATCTCACGATGTTGTACGTGCATTTGTTGACACTTTCTCTTCTTTGCCGTTCTTCAGACTAGACGATGTTTACGTTGGCATGCTGGCGAGTAAGAACGGAATAAGTATCACAAACAAGGTGGGTTTTGAACTATGGCATCCGCCTCAATATGTATGTGTTCCAATAAAGAATACTTTAGTCAGGCATGATGTAGGGGAAGAGTGCCAACTGAAAATGTTTAACTTAACCATTTTTCCTCGGTAGTTCGATAGCGTGGTCAGTACATACGTATATTTAGATAAATTCTTCAGTGAGTGACGTTTCTCTGTTCAATATTCGTTGTACATTTGAGTGCAGCTATTTAAAGCTATTTTTTGTTTTGAATGTGCGTTGCTCGAAGAGTCAGAATCAGGGCACTGGATAGTACAACATTTACCGACAATCAGGTTGAGTGTCAGAGCAAGTTGTATATCTGTCACTATTTACAGTAGATATCAAGAAACGATTATCACAGCTTATTATTTTATCAAACTTTGCCTATTGTTTATTTAAGTCGTCGTCAAGGAAAATAATTAATACTTAGAATACAGCTTGTTGTATTATATCCGTGTAAGTTTATGATTTAGCTCATGTTTTAGCAAGCAAGCGGCGGTGAGAAGCTAGAAGCGATGAGAACGGGTGGTTGCTATGCATTATCTCAGTTTAATATGCCTTATGCGTTATGTTTCTTTAAAAATGACTTCTGTTTAAATTTACCTCGTGTATGGCTTAATAATTATTTAACCAATTGCGCCTAGATCTACGTTGATCGGCAAGAAGACTATTTTGTCTTTTGCACCTTTTCACGTTTAAATGATTTAATGATTTGATAATCGCTAATTGTTCCACTGCTAACATAAGAAAAGAAAAGAAAAGAAAAAAATAGAATGAAGACACCGCTCGATGTCGAGAGTGCGTGAAAAGGTGGGTTTACTTAGACTATTGTCAGGCTTCGCGTTTTTGTTTTTTGGTCTATTGAAGCAAGCAAACATCGCTGTTGAAGGCAAAACAAAAGGTGCGAATTTTGCGGTTTCGCACCTTTTTCCGTTTCAGTGATTTTATTCACCGATTAGCCAAAAATTCTCAAACAAAAATCTTTATCGTCGCATTGGGTGAGTGAAAATAAAATAGTCTCCGATTTTTTTTCTCTTCAAAGACCGCGCAGCCCTGTCCACGTCCCAATAGCTTTTGCGGCTGACGTTAAATTTCACGGTGCTCTTTACAGGGTTAACTTCAAGGCGACTTTGGGCAACTTCGAGTCTTAGAAGCTGAAGTTCCTGGCGAAGCTGGAAAACTTCAAGTCTTCTCTCTGTCAATTCCGCCGCCTGGTTAATAATCTTAACATCTTCCATTTTTTCAGCTCGTAGGTGCTCATTCTCAGCGCGCAAATGGCGAATACACTGTTCCTTGATGGCAGACTGCTCTACCTCAAAATGACTCGGTCCGCGTCTGTAGAGGACGTTTGGCGCCTTCTCTATCTTAAACTTGGAAAACATTTTCAAGAAAACTTTTTTTTCGACGATCTCTTCTAATGACACGAGCGAAATGATTGTTGTCAGGTGACAATAGCGAAATGATCGTTGTCAAGTGCACGCGGTTTATTACCATATACTCCATTAGCATGACAACAAGAAAACAATGGTGTCGACTGAGCGCGAATTTCAAAGACGTTCAGCCGCTCAAAACATGTTAACTTTTGACGATTAAGAGACAAAGACGAGAAAACAATACACAACTGACCACGAAAGCGTTGCACCTTTATCTTTAATCTTTATCCCTTTCGCTCCCACAAGTGACCAAGACAGAATTTCTCCTTACAATATCAATACAATGTCAAGCAGGTAGGTGATGGGAATAGAGAAGAATATCAATTATGGGATTATTAGTTGATCCAATACCAAATTCTCTGAACTAACATCATAAGAATTGTACGGCATATAGTAAGGAGAACTCCTAATTAGATCTTGGGAGTGAAAGGGTTAACTGACCCTCTCTCTCTGTTCCAAATACTTAAAAGCTGAAAATTCCAAAGAAAACGGTGGCTCTTTGAAAAACAATCCCCTAAAATTTGAAAACGGTATGGCTTTTCAGTGTCTTTGAGATAAAGTCAATAACATCCTGTACCCTCGAAATTTGAAAAAAAGGTATTACTGATTCCTAGTATTGTATTGTATATAGCTTGTTGATTCTTTTTAAAATGTCAATAGGAAGGAAAACTGAGTCACCGTTAAAAAAGATCAAAAAATTCAAAACGATCACGTCGGCTGAGCTGCGCATGACAGTACAAAAGTTTGTTGAAACCCAATTAGTTTACATGCAATGGCACAGAATATTCGCATACACCAATGATCGCTCCTTAATTCAAATTCTTCCTCTGCAACACCTTTTCATCTTTTTTTTTAATTGCATATGAGATTGAATATTTCTCTTCTTTGGCCTGTACGACACGTTTTTTGCAAAGTGAGCTTAATTCGTCATAAATGTAAACAAGGAAAAAGTCATTTGTTGTTGTCTTTAAATAATTATCAAAAATACGCCCGAATCTAGAAGGTCACAACCTTGTTTACATATTTTCATCGAAACAGAAGTTTCGTCCAATGAGACCGCGTGTAGCAACTCAGTTACTCGATGAAGTAATTGCCTTGCAGAAAACAAAACACCATTTGCAACGCCCAACCTGAAGAAAATCCTCCCCTCGACCGCTTCCCCCCTCGAGAAGCAATTGTTTGGTACCCAAGGTGTTTCCATGCACGATGTTCACAGTTGGAGACCGCTGACTCCCATGTCGCAAGTGTTCTCTTCCACATTTAAGATGGCGTCTATGGGTGTATTTCTTGTCATTTCTCTTCTTCTAGGATTTGCACTCGTAAATGGTGAACACTTGCAAAATACGCTCAACCTCCCGCCACGGGTGCTGCTTCCGTATGTCGCTAGTGGATCCGTTCATACCAATTTTTCCTTCAAAGTTCTGCATGGATGCTTCGTATGGTGAGTTAGTTTCACTCAGATAAACTTAAGAGTTCCCGCCAATTTGACAGATTTTGACCTAATCCGAAATAAGTCATTTTGTTTTACTCGATGTTGATGTGTTATTTCTGAGGACTTCGAGTAGACCCGAGGTTGCTTCAACTCATCCCGTGTACAACGATGGAGACGAAGTATCAGGTACGTTAAAAATTACTCGAAGAATCTAGAACCTCCTCGCACGTGCGTTTATCTTTTCGCTCACCGGCCTCAAGGAAATAATGGTCAGTTGAATGCATGGGTCTCAAGTCTGAGTTATTTGAATTGTGCCGACCATAATTTTACAACGTCTATATTTTCTCTACTTTTGTGGGCAAAAAAATAAACTCTAGTCAGTTAGGGAGGGATGTATAGAACCGGGTGAGGAGGCAACGATCCGTGTGAGCGGCGAGATTGCATAAATACATGCAGGACACAAAGCGAAAGTTTGAAGTTTGCCCCATATTTCCCCAATGTATACCACTGAAAAAACAACTCTATTGAAATTTAATGAAATAAGAAGTTATAACTTTCTGTTCAAAGTCTAATAGATTTCTTCCATGCGAGAACTTATCACAAAATTTAAACCACATTAAGTAATTTTTTGTTTGTCGCTGTTATTTGCCATGATAAATTACACTAGTGGAAGAGAAAAAAGTACACCTCTATTTATAAAAATAGATTTTTTTTAAGTAAACATGTTTGCAAAATACAACATTCAATAAATATGACATTAAAACTTAATTAACTATTTAGCCATGACATCTATGTAAACAATTAGAAACTTTCGTGCCATGCAATTCTAAGAAAATTTTGTAAAGGACTTCAGAATAGTTCTTTTTCTGAGCAGTTTAGAAATTGAACCTTAACATTCTTCTGCAATGTTGATTTTGGAAATGTTGATATACTTATTAGGGAGAAAATGTTCAAAGGAAGCCATTTTAACAGCCCAAGCGAGAGTTCCAAAAATGCAAATGACAGAAATATTTGGAGAAGATGAAGGTGATTTATATGGTCAAGTAAATTTGGCTTTTTAATTAAGTCTTCCATGTAACTTAACCCTTTAACTTCAAGATTTGATGTAATATATCAAACACGGGGAAGAGTGTTTCATCTGATATCCAAACACCGAAAAGTGGTTGAGAAAACGAGGTGTTTAGATATCGGATGAAACACCCTTTCGAATGTTTGATATAGCTTCTCAAACCATTAATAATTCTTGGAGAAAATCAAAGCAAAAGTTCACCATATTTTATGATAATTAAGATCACATATCCAAACCTCCTTCATGGTTGTAATTTCCTTTGTTTTCTCAGCATGAATTATTAATGAGTTTGAGAATGTTGACTCCCTCCTCTTGCTGTTACAAATATCCATGGAAATTATAGTCACGAGAATTTGGTATTTGATTAAGATGATATCTTCTACCTGCTAAATTTGAGTATTCACATTAACTGTTTGCTGAATGATGTATGGATATTGTAGGGAGAAGTTACTTGTTAATCATGTTTGGGAGTTGATCATGAGTCTGGAGAATTTGTTCTCAGATCCTGGTAGTAAAAGGCTTTTTACAACATCTTATATTTGTATATCAATGAATATTATAAAATAATTCAAATGGTATGCGCACTCTGATTGGCCATAAAACCATTTTACATGGGTGTATGTAAACATGGTTTTTGTTCCTCTTTCATTAGTTATTTTATAAAAGAAATGTAAGATGGTTTCCGTGTTTACATAGCCTGATGTAAACACTTGGGAGGTTGGGAGAACACTTGATAAGCTGGAAGCCACTCCGCTTTGCATTGTGGTTTCCTACACTTATCTCGTGTTTACATCAGGCTATGTAAACATGGAAACCATTTTACATTTCTTCAGTGTTTGACGAGAGGACTAAGTCATTAATTCTTATTAGTTACACTCACTACATGCCTAAAAAGTGCTTCATTTTTACTGGTGGACCTCTCCTGCAGTTAAGCCTTTCAGGTGCAGCCAACAAAAACAAGCATCATATGTCCAAACTGAAAGGGCAGATATAAGGATGTAAATATTACTAAATGGGTTTAGTGACTTAAAATGTGGAACTTGCACAAATTTTTATTTCACTAAATGTACTTAACTGTAAATAATAATCACTGTCAATCATTCAGTACTTTTTTTTTTTATTCATCCTTGTCAGTTACTGGGGTGGTTTTGCGAAGCGATGTTTATGTACATGACATTGCGAAGATTGAAATCGTTACTACCACTCGCAAACTTTTGCTTGGGGAAGCACCAGCAGTTTGTCATATCCAGGCCTTTGACAAGGAAGGTATGAAATGTTGACTATTATCATGATGTAAAACCACTGTAGTTTTATGTTTTAAGTTGCTGCCATTTTAGTAGCCCCTTGTTATGTGTATAGAGAAATTTTGGCAAGTAGATTTTGAATTAATGTTACCTAAGTTGCAGCCTGTCTTTCAAGGTCTTGTGTATCCCAGCAAGCTATAATATTTTCACTTTTAGTCAAAGCTGAATAAACATTTGCTTAAACTTTTACTGATATTCCACTATTTTTTCCTTCTCATGAATAGGCTAAGCATTAGCTTGTAGGCAAGAGATGCAGTTCGGAGTACAGTGAATAATGTAATTTGACACAAAGTGTTTTGGGCTATTTTTTTTCTTTTTGGTAAAAAGTACCAATATTTCATTTCTGGTGACAGTTTTTTAATTTTTGCTTGTCAGAGGGTAACTTTGAAAAATGTTGAGCTTGGAGCTCTGCCATGGATTATTTGTGTTGCTGTGAACTTCACAGTGATAATTATTTTAAAATGTTTTATTCCAGGAAATATGTTTTCCACTCTGGGTGGTCTTGAATTTGAATGGGAACTGAAGACAGTTGAGGGGGTTGGTTCAGTTAATGCAAAATCTGTGTTAAGGTAAGACTGGATTTATTCCATTTTTTATTTTGTAATTTTAGATTATTTTGACATGATTATTTGTAGTTCTGTGTATTTAATTGAAGTTTTGCATATGGTAAAGTTCAGAATTAAAGATGAAGCCTGGCTGTTTTAAGGGGGCTGTCACTTTATAACTGCATGGCGCAAAAGTGTGAAAATGTGCAACACATGTATAATTAACCCTCTAATTCCCAAGATCTGATTCTTAATTCTCCCCTCTAGCTGCTAGACCTTTCCTTGTAAATAAGTTATGAGAACTTGGTGCTAGATCAAGATGGCAGATTCTACCTGATAAGTTCAATTATTCTCATTCAGGGCATGAAATTACACCTAATACAGGCGCCAATGCGCCTAAATTTTTCACTTTGGTTACCAAATCCTGAAAGGTTAGTCGCCAAATTGGCGACAAGAACGTTTCATCATAATCTTACCAAGAGATATAGTGAATTAAAAAGATTTGCAAAGATAAATCCGCGGCAAACTTCCTCGTTAAGTTTGTTTCCAAAACGTAGCACGTGCATCTCGATCGATAACTAGACGCCATCTTGGATTTAGATGAGCCTGAACGTTGTATATCATACATCCTAGTGTCCACTTTGTAGCACATTAAAGATCTTTTTCCTAACTTAATTTTGGAGGGTCTATCTAGAACACTGACAGGGGAAAGAAAAGTTTTGTTTGTCTTTGAAAATGGCGACCAACTTTTTTTGAATTGGCTACCACTTTGAAGCATTTAGCAGCCAAGTGGCTATCAGAAAAAAAAAAGTTAATTTCACGCCCTGCCCTCTAGCTGCGAGACCTTTCCCTGTAAATAAGTTATGAGAACTTGGTGCCAGATCAAGATGGCAGATTCCACCTGATAAGTTCAAATATTCTCATTACCTGTTTGCTGAATAATGTATGGATATTATAGGGAGAAGTTTCATGTTAATCACTTCTGGGAGTTAAAGAGAGATTTGATTTTCAGTATTTCATTTTTCACTTACACCCTATTGTTTGCTTGCCTGGTAGATTTATGCAGTTTTCGTTTTCAAGTTATGAAACTTCACCAGAGATATATTCTTTAGAAGCAAAGGTAGTGTAACAAAATACTATTTTTCTTTCGTATGCTTTACTCTTGTAAGTTATGTTTTTGAAGCAATTTGATTTGATTTTTCTTTGTCTGGTTAACATCATCAGTATGCAACCAAGGAAACTATAAATGGAATGGGTTTGGAAAACTCTCGTCAAAAGACAAGTTTTAAAGCCGAGTAGATGGATACGAAATTGTACATAATCAAAGCAGTTTAAAAAAATGTGATTTTAGACAGCTACTGGTAACTTGCATGTGAACGAAAGCCTCATTTCATGGTCACATACAGAATAATAACAACTGACTTGCTTGAAGATTATCTTGTATTTTAATGTTATTATAATATTCTCTTTCTTGTGCTTGAGGGTTAGTTCTAACCAGTTATCCTTCTGGAAGTTTACATTCTAGTTCATGATTACCTTCTTGGTTGTTACAATTTTTATGTTTTCTGTTGTGTCGCTGTCCAGGGTTCAAGTGGAGGTTCCATTGTAATAGAACCCATCAACACTGGAACAGCAATTGTCAAAGCAATGCTCAAGGATACATCATTTGCTGTAAGTTGTGTACATGCCACATTGTTGAAGCACCTTAGACATGATGTACATATCTGTCATGTTGTATCATCTTGTTTCAAAATGGGATGGTGAAAAGTGTCTTATAGTACTATAAGTAACAGTCACAAATGATACATAGACATATTGACAGAGACAGAGTGTGCTGCTATTTTTAGTGGTGAGCTTGTGTTATTTTTTCAAAATGGCAATTGTGCTTCTTTGGATATTTTAAAACCACTTAGAGCTTCATTAGAAAGCATCAAAATAAACAAGTCTAAATATGAAATCATTATAAGCTCAGTTCTCACCAAATCTTCCTAAAGTAAATGCAAATCGCTAATCACAGCAATCAATAAACGCCACAAGCAAAGCTGGCTTACCAGAAATTTGCATATAGGAAGAATCTTTGTTTGAAATAAAGATAAATGCACTACACTTTCCAAATCCATCGAAACACTAAAATAAATCAGACATTGATCATCTCAAGGAAAATCTCAATGTTTAGTGCTTATTTTTGCAATATCCATGCGGTTTATCATGCATGAAGTGAAAGGAACTATTGTTTTGCACAATGATTATTGTAATTTGGGTTTGTGTGAAATCATGTGGAACAAAATGTGACAGTAACTTTGAACGTGCACAATTTGACTACGTGTTGCGCAAAATAATATTTTTCTGCTAGTAGTGCCTATAAATCAACCAAATAAAAATGTAGCAATCAATTGCCAGATTTACCACAGAGGCAAATGCACATCCTTGGATTTGTAATTTCAGTAATTTCTCGGCTAAAATGAAATGTCATTTGGTGACTGTCTTATCTAGCCATTCTTTAGAAGCAATGGTTGCAGTTGTTGCTTCTCAAATTGTGCAGTTATTTTGTGCTCTTGTATAGAGAGTAAACTTTTTTTGTCTTCTAAAATTGGTCAAAATATATAGTCTGTCTGACAGTGTTGTTTTTGAGATTATTACATATATTTGATTACCTTTAAAATACTACTTTTTTTCAGAATGTTTCTCCAGCTGAAGCAAGAATTTTAGTTTTAGATAATGTGTTGTTAGTACCTGGCTACGATGTGTATATCCTGGTTAACACATCCGTCACGTATAGTGTTAACAGAATGCACAGAGGAAAGACCACAGGTTTGAGAAATTTCATCTTGTATAATTTACCAAATTTTTTTTACAAAGTTGATATTCATATTGAAAGATGAAGTATCATAAAAATTATCAAGCAAGTCTTTCTAACATGTTTGTTTCAAGTTTACCCAACTGCAATCTACCTCAACACATCTGCCTGACTTTTACTCAGATACCTTTTTTGACTATGTATCCTTAGAGTTATAGACCAGAATTACCTGAAGCAGCTTGTAAATAAATGTAACTGCTGTTGTTTACATTTTTCTATGCAGCAATACCAATGCCATCGTCACAATTTGAATTTAAACTGAGCAATACCACAGTAGGCCATCTGAATGTCAAGAAATCAAGTGTGCTTGGTGTCAAGATCGGTTACACCAAAGTTACTCTTGTTGATAAAAGTATCCTTTTATAGCATACAGTGCAGCCAGCTGCCCCCATTTTGGTCACAGTGGATTGTAAAAACAAATTTGGGAAACTAAATTTGAGGCTAAAGTCCCCAATTTTGCAATCAGTGATTTGGGATCATACATGCAGTAGCAGTAAGCTCTTCATCATGTCATCATTTATTTCATTCATTTATTCATTCATTCATTCCTTCCTCCTTTCATTCATTCATTCATTCATTCATTGATTCATTCACTTATTCATCACTTATTCATTCATTTATTTATTCATTCTTTATTCATTCTTTTATTCAATTATTCATACTTTCATTAATTCAGAAATTAATCCATTCATACTTTCATTCATTTATTTATCCATTCATTCATTCATTCATTCATTCTTTCATTCATTCATTTATTCATTCTTTCATTCTTTCATTCTTTCATTCATTCATTCATTCATTTATTCATTTAATCATTCATTCATTCTCTCATCTTCTTTTATTTCATTATTTCATCAAAGGATTACATTCAGTAAAAGTTAGTGCCGCACCATTTTCCACAAGAAAAATCCCCCCTTTTTTCTGGTTGTCTCATGTGCACTGTGCTAAGTATTGAGCAATAACTTGTTACCTAGATTTTTCCTAATAACTAAAATTTTATTTCTGGCAAGCCATGGATGATTTCCAGGCAACTAAATACATATAGTTGAGTATGGATCCCTGGTACATTTACAGAAATAGAGACACAGAGTTAGGCCAATTTATTTTTGAAGTGCAGTGAATATTTGTGTCAATCCTGTAATCCGTTATGTATTGTTTTAGTTTTTTACATGGTTAACCTTTGGTTGAGCCCCCTTTACTTGCCCTGCAGACATGCTTCTCATGCAGGCAGTACATCAACCAGCTGTTGGAGTTCATGTTGTGGATGCAGCTTTGTTAGGTATATGTTTTTAAAGACATGATCCACAGCAATAGTAACATCAGAAAATGACAGCATTGTCTTTTTTAAACAAACAGTTTATTTGTGACAAATGGGTGTGATGTTTATGACCAAATGAGGAATTTACAATACTGCTTTTGGGGACTATCTGAAACAAATTCTAACTTACATTATGTCAATACTTATCTGCTTGATAATGTAAAGCAATTATAATTCTGTTGTGGACACCCATAGGAGACAAAGAATTAAGCTACATGTATCAATGGAAGATCCCCTGTTCAGCTACCATAGCACTTGTCACTAGATACTTGATGAAGACTTGCAGGGTTGTACATGAACATTTGTGGCAATACAATTGTTTGAATCTTTTACTTGACCATACACCTTATATAGACTCTGAATTGATAACATGTAATTCAACATTAATTTATTGTCGTAACTGCTAAGAAGGACACCTCAACTTAAAATAATTTCTGTTTGCTCTTTTTTTAGGTTTCAGTATTGTGCCACATCCAGACTGGGTGTTACAAGTGGGGATTGAGTATGATGTCACTGTTCATATCTACAGTCATGACAACCGCAAAGTCTTTATCACTGATGTAAGAATGATTCTGTTTTTAAAGGAGAACACTTTGATTTATCTCAAATCTTCATTTTATTTTTCTCCACATGATTTCAAGCTCTTTTATTTTTCAAGTTGTCATGATCTTCAAACCTAAAATGATAAAATAGTTTCCAGAAATAAAAGTTTAGTTGCTAGAAAACTGCAACAAAAGCAAAAAGCCCAGGCTGGCTGTTGTTTATGAATGTAGGCAAACCAGTCAGCTATTAACCTCTTACACCCAAACATCAGTATGCATATTCTCCATACTGTTCTCTATACATTTCCTAGGGTATTGACAAGGAGAATTTGTTTAACAATCAAGAACGTCTTTTGTTGGTGATCATTTCCTTTATTCTCATAACCTTGATGTGTGATTCAGGGGTAACATTGTTAGGAGAAATCAAATGCTAAAAAAATATAGTTACTCTTAGGGGTTGAAGGGTAAGCAAGGTTTAGCTAAAGAGTTGAACTTGGGATTATCATGAAACAAAACAATTTGATTGAGGGAGTGAGTAGAGGATTTAAACTTGGAACCTTCAGATTCTGAATCCCAAGCTACTAAGTTTTGACAAATTAGGGACTGTTTTGCTCTTGAAAACTATTTGTAACTGTCCTGCTAAGTGAACTTTTATTCATTTTACTTTTTTTTATCAGAATATTCGCATTGATACCGCATTTGATCCATCATACTTCCAAGTGCTCTGGTCTTCAGCTAATGGCTCCTTTCATCATGTGCGAACTCTACAGAAAGGCAAGACCATGTTGACAGCCATGTACACAAGCATTAAGGTGCAGTTTTTAATACTCGTGTAATGACTAAAATTTCCAACTATGCCACATTACAAATGAGTTATTTTAGAAGTGATTGATGTGTAGTTTTTGCTTATAATTTTAGACTTTTATTCCCATTATGTTTGTTGCTCTGATGCAGTACAGAGGACAATGAATTACTCTCTATTATTTTCAACTATCTGGAAATGTACCACTGTGAATACATCATTTCTTACTACCTACTACTACTGATAGTTCTTAGATATGATAGAATAATAAGCTTTAATCAACTGAGTTGATAATGTAATTATTTAAGTTTGATACCGTGCAGAGTTTCTACACTGATGTTCCAAGTGTTAACACTTGGTCAGAACAAATCAGAGCCCTTTAAGAGCCCTTTACATTATTAACTCAGTTTTATCTTGTTATACTCCCCCACCGACACAGCACCACAGTTTCTTTAAAAACCCACCACCTTAAATATAATACTTTATCAAGAGTTCAATGATGGAGGAGTGGAGCCTTTTGGGGTGAGCCTTGTTGACGCTAACACACTTTTTAATCACAGATTCTTGGTACAAACGTGATCCACACCTTCAATAATCCCATCTCAGGACAACAAGAAGCAGATATTTTTGATCCAGTGGTTGTCAACCCTGAGATAATAGTGTTCCCATGGTACCCACCAGAGCAACAGAAAGTGGCCAGCCACACCCAGTTTCAATATTTATTGGAGGTACATAATGACATTTCCACTGTTAATAATTATAATGGTACCTGCATTATGCCATGTCTGGGGCTCAAAGGCTCTGTAAAGTAAATGCCTCATGGCAATATCAAAAAAATGTTTAAAGAGGAAAGAAAACCATGTTAAATTGTTGTCGGTGTTCTGATTTTAGCTCATCTTGCCTTTTGCTTTTTATACCGAAAAACTTTGATAAGATGTTAAGTTACTGTGAGCTTTATAAAGTTCCAAGCTTGATTTTGTCTCAGCAAGTAGCAATTATTATTTTTCTTTTAACTTTTCCTTTTGGTTTTCTCTCCAGCCATCTGGAGGAAGTGGAATGTATATTTGGTCGTCATCTAACACCTCAGTAGCCACTGTAAGCACCAAAGGCATTGTTATCACAAGTAATGCAGTAGGACACACCCAGGCTCGTGCAGCAGACATGAAGAATCTGGCAATTTTTGGAACAGCAGAGGTGGGTTCCTAACCTGTTTTGAATACTCCTTCATCTTGCAGAGTGATCAGTGTACAACTTCCTTGGTATAATGTTTATACCTTACTTATACCTTAGTCAGTATTCAGTGTCACGAGAAGGCCACCTAAGGTCAAAAAGAACCATAATGTATCATTCTAAGGGGAAAATAGATAGAAGATTTGTTTTTAGGTCTGGTTAGTGTAAGAAAATTGTAACAATTGTTTCCTTAAACGATGTGATGGCAATAAAATGACATGTGACTGGAACCTTATTCTGTGGGTCCTCCTAAGTGTGTCCCCTAAACACTCCTCTGTTATTTCTGGGAATGGCAGGGAGAGGATCCTAGGAATGAGGTTAATTGAGGAGTCTTTTTTAATCATTTTATATGAAATTTCTCAGGTTTATGTCCTTCCACCAAGAAAAATGGAGTTTCTTCCCTCTGTTGTTGAAGCTCAAGTTGGTTATTCATTGTCACTCCCACTGGCTGTAGCAACCTGCATTTATACAGGTAAAGGAAAAGCTCTTTGTTACTGTCATTATCATCATCTGTCCTTACTGCTCCATATACTTCATAGGTTGCTTGATATAGTTATTGTTCAATCCCTGAAACTGTGATTTTTTTACATGCAAATTTTGTTTGGCAAACTAAGTACAGCTAGCTCTATGTGTGTTGTACCACAGCACAGTATTTTTAGTATAGTGGTGTAGTCTAATTGTCCAGTGTAGGGATCATTTAGTCCTGCAAAGAACTGCTGCTGAGGTAGATCCTTGTGCTTTGCCAGCCTGAGCAGAGTTTTGTGTGAGTTTTTTATAGCCTTGATGTGGCACTGATGTTGGCTTTTGCTCAGGGTTTTGAATTGTTGGTCACTGTTGCCAACAATAACACTTTACAAATGTTGGTTAGGTTGAAACAAGTAATCATAAAATGATATTATAATTATTGCTCTGTTTCGTTTCTCAGCATGCCAAGAGTTCCATGTTTTCACCGATTGTCGCTCTCTCCCTGTGATGTATTCTTTTTCTGACCCTTCTATTTTCAAGTTAGTTGAAGAGAAAAGTAAGTATAAGAGATTGGCTTTTTCTTAATTTGATCAGAAATTGTCTCCAAGCTCAGATTTCAAGAACTCAAATGATTACTTTCTGAAGAGTTCTAGTTGTCATCAAAATAACTTTTTCTGCTGATGTGACAGGTCAGCATTTTCATGGGCAAGTTATTTGCCAATCCTTATTAAAGGTTAAACTCATGAAATTGGCTTGATGACTAATAGAATTTTATCTAGAGTTTCAAGATATTTTCAAGCACTAACTGTACCTGGTGTGTGTCTTGAAACAGTGTGCTTTTTAATGTCTACTTTTAGGAGATTATGAGATAACTGCTGGAAGTTGTATGTCAGTGAAGCTTCTTGCCCTTCGTTCTGGCTTCACCACACTGACTGTGACATATCAGTACAAGGACATAATTCTACGTTCTATGGTGACTGTTGGTGCTTATCACCCACTTAAGGTTAGTTATGAGTTAACTCTTAGGTATGCAGATTTTGCTTGAGAGTTGCAAGTGCTCTGTTGTCTTTGGCTGTGGAATGTTACCACCAAATGCATTTCGTGGACAAAAGATGGGCTTGAGGTTTGGTCGCTGTGAAGGACATTGCTGACAAGATTACCGTGCACTATGCTTAAATGTTCCTTTGTAGGCCCAGAGAGGGACATCTGTTGGCCTGCATTGTCTCAAAGTCAATGTCACCCTAATGCCATGTGCATTGCAGCTGCATTTAGAAGCAGTAGCTAGTTCTTCCAGAAGGCTCCATATGTGGCAGCTAGTTCCTGTAGTACTCTGGCTAGCTGTTAAGTTTTGGTGAACTAGCCACAAGTACACATGCAGTATAAGAATTATTTATCTATATGTAGGTTCTAGATCCAGTGGATGTTGGTGTGGTGTCTTTGTGTTCAGCAAAGAACCTCTTGTTAGAGGGAGGACCTCTTCCTTGGATTGTGGATACTTCTGGATATTATGAAGAAGGTATATATAAGATATATAACAACTGACTGTTTAATTGTTTGTCTCAAGATCTAGAGTCATTCTCAATTGTAGGGTCAAGCTGGTTGTAGTCAGGTGATAAGGTTGAACATTAGGTGTGGCTGTTTAGGCAGCATGGTTTGTTAGCTGTTATTGTTTTATCATTGGTGCAATTTGACCAGCATGATTATTCAAACAAGTTTATGTTCTCCATTAGATATTTGCTTTGTTACTCCCTACTTTTAGGAATGATAATGAGCAGTCCTCAATTGAAAGCTTGACTCTATAATTAATAGTGCATTTAAATTAGGAGACAATTGGTTAGACACTGATATAACATCATAACTGTTGAACAAAAGTTTTTGTTCAAACAGATGTTTACACATGCAATAGAAAGAGAATTTCCATTGGATATTAAGAGCCAATTTGACAAAACTTTCTGCCTTTACCTTTGTGTACAGTTTTCTGGGTTTGTATGGGTCCTAGAAAACCTGGAAAGTCTTGGAATTTTTTCTAATCCTGGAAAAAGACTACAGTTCCTGGAATGTCCTAAAAATCTGCTTAACTCAAGCAATAAAGTTTTCAGAATTTATGCTTGTAATGTATTTAGACCATTAGGAGAATTGAGTTTAAAATCTTGGGACTGTAAGAGTTTAAGGTGAAATTTGGTCTATTAAAGTCTATTAAATTATTTTTCTGAAGAAGGGTGCAAACCCTGAGTTTTGCTTGCCTCCTACAGATGACTAACCTTCCCATCTTCCTGTTGTTTGACAGTGATTCCAGATCCACAGAAAGAGGACCATGTTTCTGTTGGGTATTATCCCACATCTGACTATCTTGGTTAGTGAAGATACTATATTTATCACTTGACCCTTCTGAATAGAGGGGGGTCTTTTTTCTGGTTATTACCCAGGGGTGGTATTGTTAGATGTTAGTCACTCTTATGGGTGAAAGAGGTAAGAGACTTTCACTCCACATGAATTTAAGTTTTCATATGTAATGCATGTAATGCATGTTATGCATGTTATGCATGTAGTGGAGTATACATGTATTATGGTGTGTCTTTTTCGTTTCAGTTGATAACAGTGGATCGTATCATTATTTTAACATAATCTGTTTAAAGCAAGGTGAACAGGTAAGAACTCTTTCTTTGGTCAAAATTAAATGTGATACCATAACATTCTGTGAAAACATGTGGTCAGTGATATTGAAGGGTTGGTGCACTATGGTAGTAGCTGAGGAAGACAGCCTTCTCAATGATTGCCATGATTGCAAGATGATTGCCATGGCAAATAAGCCACTCCTCATCTGTGGGAAGCTGTTAACACAACACTCACAAACTACATGTAGGGTAGAATGAATACTCACCCAAGATGCAGAAGGGAGGGAGGGAGGGAGGGAGGGAAGAAGGGAGGGAATCAAAGAGAGCAAAATAACAAAGCAAAAAGAGCAAAAGCATATGGTAATGCCTCTTAATCTGCCCCAAAAGCTTAAAAGGTTTTACTTGTTGGAAACAACGAGGAGTGGTAGACAGCAATATATCATAGTTGATAGCATATCACAAGTGACAGCCCTGTGACAATTCTGTAATAGTTAAGAACAATAATGATATTTTGGCATTACAACAACTCTTCATGTATCTGTAACAATCAATCTCAACATGCATCTAAAATCAGAACAAAACATACATGTTGTTAACTGTACGTGACAGAATGGGGCACCATTTTAGTGACCTAACTTCATATGTAAGTTTGGTCATAATGCCTGCTAGTTGGAGTTGGGTCTCAAATAAAATGGCCCCTTGTTTTAGGTTCTCACCGTGAAGATTGGAAACAAACCATCTGCAAAGAATCCATACCCAGCAAGCTCCTCTGTATCAATCAGGTAAGAGGTAAAACGTAACTGATCTGTGTTTTAGCGGAAGTACCAGTATTGTGCAAAAGTAATGCAAATGAACGATCTTTCGTTGAAAGTTCGAGCAAAAGTTCGAGGCCTTTCAAGTGACATTTCGCAAGAACAAAGGGCGCTTTTCATATGTGATGCATGTAGTTTACAGTTCATGTAACGCATGCGCAATATTTTCAAACTTCAGCCATCAACACAAAGAATTAGAATGGCACATTAAACAGACAATAAATAACATTTATGTACTCAAAGATTTATGTTATTCTTCATGGGAACAAATGGAAAATACGGTTAGAAAGGGCGAAACAGGACTTCCTTAATGCATGCTCTTGAAGTTAAATGTGTGAAGGATAAGGAATACTCATTAAACTTCAACCTCAAAATATGGCTTCCTTCCATCTTTTGATTCTTCGACTATAGGGCAGATTGTTGCTGAAACTAATTATCGTGTTAATCATCTTGTGATGGTTTTTCATCTGTAGTCCATGAAAAAACTTGATTCTGCTTTTGCCTAAAAAGTTACTTATTAAACTTTTTTTTTGTAGATTTGCATGCATGGACCCTGCATCTTTGACAATTGTTCCCGACATAAAACTTCCAACAGTGGATGGGCGTCAACTGTCTCCTGAAAATTGTGTGAGTTCGAACAAAGAGGTAAGAGGTACTTGAAGATTTACTTTGGAACCCCCCTGTTCAACTTTCTTATGCTAGTGTCAGTACTTGTTAGTACTTATTAGTAATTGTTTATCATAAAGGTTTGAGGTACCCTCAACCATTGGTCATATTGGGTCTGGAAAGGTGGCTGTTTTATCAGAGTTTTCAGTGATAAATCCATCAAATTGAGTGGCAAATTTCTAAACCTACCATTGAGATTGTAAAATTCTGGAATACAGCATGTGTACCATTTTTAACTGACCCCAGTACCCCAGGCTTGACTCCCTCCCTTTCTTTCCCCCCCCCCCCAACCCTCCCTCAAAGCAATGTTGTACTTTGTTAATGGCAATAGTCCGTCAAATATGCGAGGGGGGGAAGTCATTGTATCGAGGTATGGTAATGTATGAAGTTCATTTTTGGAACAAACAACCCCAAAGTTGCTAGACAAGTGGAACGGTATGCATGAGATACATTTTTGTGGGCAAATGCGTTATCATGGAAAAGTTTGTTCTGCAAGAGCGACTATTCATTCACCACTTATGTCACCATTACAGCCTGAACCTTTTTAATGGATGGACCAAATTTTAAAATCTGCCTTTCAGGAATCTTGGGTTAACAGATACATTGTTTGTGATTGGGATTGAAAAATTTTTAACTAGTGGCTTTGTCTCGGGTTTCAGATCCATGTGCGCAACAATCAACAGTTAAACCTTGCTGTCCATCTCCGTGACTCCTTCGGACGCTTATTTAACAACTTCACATCACTGACTGTAGTTTGGTCGACCAGCGATCGCACTTTGGCAGAATTTGTTGACATGACAAGTTCTGTTAAGATGATGTTTGTCAAATACAAGGACGATGAAAACCTTAGAAGAGCAATGTGTGAGTGCTTTTAATTTAACTGCTTTCATTCCCTGAATTTTGTTTTTTTTCCCTCTTTATTATTATTTTTACTTAAATATGAATTCACCCTGAATATCTGAAACTTATCGCATACTAATCTCTTTTCTGTTTGGTTAGCATATCAAACTGTCAGTTTGAGCGACAAGATGGGTGGAGTTGTTATCGAGGCATCCATTGAAGGCTACCAATGCAACATTTTAAGATGGTGTCGAAGGGAATTGAAGGTTAATTTTTTTAACCTAAATATGTCCAGGTGTTCAATAAACCCAGTTGCCGGCAATCTACCGTCAGCCATAAGATCTCTCACCTTAGTCCGCTTACCTTGCAAGAAAAGCCCGTGTTTAGGTTTCGCCTAACGGCCCCTTTTCTGGGCACAGCCGGCAATCACATCATCAGCAACTGCTTAGGGAAAAAGTTATTGAAACCCCTCCATGTCTGAAGTAATGATTATCTAAAGACAGGGTTGGTCTGCATCGGTAGGCTTATTGATAGTACTGTTGTGGTAAATTTAAGGAGTGTTAGCCCTTTGCCTGAGTATCTCAGGCTCAGAAGCGTTAAGCAACCAAGGGTATTGCAACCCCCCACTCCTCCCTGGACTGTATACTTGTCCTCCGAAGGGTTATCCCCTTCCCCCCCTCATCATTTCATTAGAGTTCCCTAACAGTACGTCGTATCACTGATTTCCTTTTTGATAGTGGCACTACCTTAGTCGTAAATTAATTGAGGTTTTTCATCACCTTGTACAGAAACCCGTTAAGTTTAATTTGCGAGGGCATCTGAAATTGCTGCTTGTTCCTGAAAGGCAACTTGTTCCACCAGCCGCTTCAATACTGAATCATCCTGAAAACCAAGTAAGGCTTTATCCATAGGAATATCCATATGGAATCCTGTACTTAAATCAAGTTAATCATGCGACATCGCATTCTGTAGAAGAAAATATCGCCCGCTTACGAGTAACATTCACATCTCTCTCTGTTTGACAATAAGTTCCAATTTTCCGACTAATTGCCATCCTCACACATCCGTCTTGTAGTGTCAGTCTCGTACAAGATTTTTGTGGCATTTCGCTCGCCTCTTGGGCATCAAGAAGTTGAAATGCTCTTTTTCTTTGGTGTGTATTTTAAACATACTGAATGGTACATTATCTTGTTTTATTTTTTTCCAGGCTGTTTTCCACATTAAAGGAGGCTCGGGTCACTTTGCTGTGAAAGGAAGTAGCAATGCTATCGCAAAAGTTAATTACCAAGGAAAAACTGACATACTAGTGAGTTGAGTTATTGTGAAAGTCGTGAATTTAACCTACCACTTCCTCTCCTTCGTGCCACATTTACTTGAGTCAGAATCTTTCTTTTGTAATGTTTATTTGGTTAGGTTATCCCAAGATCCGAGGGTCTGTTCACGGTGATGGTGCATGATTTGTGCTTGGACTCAACCGGGCCAGCGGTTGCCGATGTTCAAGTTTCTGATGTGTACGGTGTAGATGTTGTTGTTGTCAACAAGGTATGTTGATGCCACAAGGTAGAATTGTGAAGAATTGTTGGTTTGAAATGAGCCTTCTCACATTTTTGTCGTCTTTTTTGCAATTCAAAATCAGTTCCGTTCTCCAAAACATAAAATATAAATTTGCCACCGTAAGGAGTTTATAATGCTGACGTCTCGTCATTCGCTCTGAGGAAGGCCTAACGCTCGAAACGTCAGCTTTAGTATCTGTTTACGGCGGTCAGTTTATATTATCAGCTCAGTTGATAAACCAAATTATAATGTAAAACTCCCACCGACGCAGCACCACAGTTTCTTTACAAACTTACCCTTTTTTCTAAAAGATTCAGATTAGAGACAGATCCTCATGAAAGGCATTTAGAGTTACTGTCTCCTTATCACATTGTTTAAGTTGCTATTTACTGTAAGTGTTTCCGTCAAAGTGACGCAACCTGCTTCTCTTCTAATAGTAGTTTGATATAGGCTAACAGGATCAGTCAACGCCTTAAATTGTGGTTTAAAGGAGCCTCAAGTTTTTAAACACAGCCTCAAGTTGTACATGTTACTGTGCCCATGAACGGTTAATGTCGCTGGTCATTTTACCTAAGCTGCTCGTAAGATGTACTCCGGGACTTACACTCAAGCTTGGTATCTATGATTCGTGCCTCTTCCTGCTTGGATCGCTGGAATAAGTGTTGTAATAATACGGAAGCCAAATATCCGTACATATTAACACTCTACTTTCTTTTTTCTCACCCACTCAGCACTTTTAATTCTTTTGATTTTGTAATTTGAAGTTTGACTCCATTCAATTCTGTGCGTTTTGCTTTTATCAGATCGAGCTGTACGCATCAGAGACCCTGAGGCTCAAATTGCTAGATATATTTGGGGTGCCACTGTTGTTCAGAAATCTTGAGTTTCTCACCTTGACTCCAAATTTTACTCCAGACATTTTAGACATCAGGTAAAGATAATTTTGTGTATTTTCACGTGCAAAATACATGTAAGACCTCATTAATTCTGTATTTTCTAATATGGCATATTCATCATTCGGTTGACCTGTTTCCGTTGAATTATTTTTTTAAAATTATCCTCAGGCGGGACTTTGAGCTTGAAGACAAGGGAGTAAAATCAATCAAGATACTGCATATTTCACGGTCAGAGGACTCTCTCTTGGTACTGCAAGCCTCACATTCACAGCATCAGCAACAGGGAGAGGAAAAGCGACAAGTGATCCAAAGGATATCCAGGTGTGTCAGTCTGTTATTATGTGTTCTATGAAACTATTTGCGTTCCCATATCATTGGTGTCGCTTCCTTCTGGATGTTGTGCGATTGGACTGACCGACCACTCGCCTCGATTTCATGCGAGAGCTGGGGTGAAGCCCCGTGGGTTGACTCGCTTCGGTCTGGATGCCATCGGGAGATGTGTGGATAAATTGTAACCATTTGATCGAACGATACGAGTTAACACAAATCAGAACTGTAGGCCGCGCTACCATTTGATGTTCGTAGGTATAATTATATATTGGATTTTGTTACGCCAAAGGTCCATTTTTAAACTAGATCAAACACTTATCCATGCTATGAACTATTTGTTCCACCACCTACCTGTACCACCACCCCCCCCCCTCCCCGTCCTTAGTGAAAATTTATTTCAAATAGCTATCTAAGGACTTGATAGGGTATTTAAAATCTTGTTAAATTGTGAGATTAGCTTCGCCCAGGAGGCAAGTGAGGGGAAAAATCTGCTTGTTAAAGTGAGACATCCACTCATCAGATTTTGCTCAAATGTTGATGTTTTCATACTTAAAACTCTTTGTGATTAATGATCTTAAAAAATTTCCTTTAATTTTTTAATGACAGGTTTTTGCACCCCTAAGGCTGGACCCAAGAGTGGTGGTGCTGATTCGTGGAGCTTCATTTCAGGTACAGTTAATATAGTTGTCTTAGAGTTTTTCATTCCCATGAATTGAATACTAATTCTTTGCACTCTGCCATGCGTTTCTGGTCAAGGAAAAATATAGGCCACAACATCTTATTTAGAACGTGCGATTCACATCATTTTCCATCTTTTTGCCCCTTAATTTGGAAACTAGAGCAAATTAGTTTCGCAGATCATCTGTCTTCTTTGAACCATGACTAGAAAAGATTTCCAGGTATTTGCCAGCAAGCCCTTCATGAAGCAACTTATCAAGCGACATTTTTTTAAAAAATTGATGGTCTTTTGTCTGGATATAGGTTCGAAGTTCAGGTGGGCCCAGTCCCCAGGCGGCAACAATCTTCAGCATCGCTAACCACACAGTGGCAACTGTCAGCAGCGTGGGACTGGTGGAGGCACAGCAGCTTGGAACAACAAACCTTACTGGGTTTGTACAAACAGCTGATCCAATCAAGGGACAGACGGTGTTGCATTCCAAGGTACACTTCATCTTATACGTTATTCATACCAAGGCAAAGTAAATACATCCAAACAGAAATTGAAATAGCCGTTGTGTGCTCGACAGTATTACACTTAAGGTTCATCATGAATAAGGAACGCGTTGCCGAACAGCCTGATCAGTGTTCCATACAATTGAGGACACAACACTCTTCCGTCGTTTTCTTTCGTCCATCTCTGAACCCTCTGACTTCCACGATCTTTGAATCCCCTTTTGATATTAATTAAATTCGCCTTTTCACTCTCAAAACATTTATGTTTGCAAGGGAGGGGATGACAATAGATAGCAAAGAGGATTTTTTTTTTTCTGATTTCCTTGATTTTATTGCGTCCTTGTCTCGTGTCATTCTTTAGGATATTGTTATCGTACATGTCATACAGCTGAAAGGAATTATTATCAATGTTGCCTCTACCAACCTTGTCACTGGAACTAAGGTATGCTTAACGTGTATGATTAGACATTTGACGATGCTGATTTTAAAAGGTCGCAGTGTGCATTTTTTAATTATTAAGGGCGTTTCGTTGTCTACGTTCCTTAAATTTTGTGGCAGAAAGACGTAGGGAAGAAGGCTAAATCTGCACTCGAGCCAAGCAGCCCACGAGACACCCGGGGTATTACCGCCACCATCACACCCCCCCTCCTCACGAGACACCCACAGCGCGAAGCATGGAGCGAGTAGGGGTATTGCCCCCCTTTCCCCCCCCCCCGGACAATTCGCCGGCACCCATTTATACCGTTGCATCTCCTACTCAGAAAGCCCTGTTTTGGATGCACACTTTATGTTTTAATCGTATGTAATCGCTGAGCATATGTTATGACAACTTTTTATCGCATTTTTGACTTCCATATTGTTTATAACAGATCAGCATGTATGCAGCTGGTTTAAACGATGAAACGCCATTTACTTTTGCTAACGCTGTACCTGGTTTGAAGTTCTTCTGGACCTCAACTAACCCCGATGTATGTCAAGTCAAGTCAGTGTACGTTTTGGTGAGCGAATTTTAACTTTTTTTAAGGCAAAAAGAGTGTTTGTAAAGAATATTGTAGCTCAAACGAAAAACATCCTTCTAGAAATTTGCAGTTGATTTTAACTCACTATCTCTTTCTGCACTCTTTGGAATTAATTATTTTGCTCCCATCTACTGAGTGAGCTGAATTTTTTCCAATTTTGTTATCAATAGGACAATGACAATATTCGGATGAGGCAGAGTGGTTAGAAAGGCTCTGCCTTTCAAAGAACTAATTTATTGTTCGTGTAGTGTAATCGTTTGGTCGAAGACAGTCCTCAAAAAATGAAGACTGTTGTCGATAGCAATGAATGACGTTTTGATGATCGGAGCGGGGTCATCGTTCGATTCAAGTGAGGAGTTATTTAGGTATTCGAGCGTTTTAAGTGTGGTTCTTGTAAACTTATAGGTCATTTCTGCAATGACGATATCAGCTACAAGAATAAGGTACAATAAGTCAGTTTGGATGCGTTGCTAAAGTTCTTCGTTTTTTTTCAATTCGGTTGTTTTGTCGTCTTCGTTTTCATGTGTTTTACATCTATTGAGTGAAGTCTGTTCTGAGGATTCTGTCTTTCTGTCTGTGTTATTCGTTATGATTTCAGAGTGGGGTGGCTGTGGAAAGCGAGAATGATTTCCGTGTGGATCTGCACTGCATTAACCCCGGACAAACGACTGTACGACTCAGGGTGGTAATAACTGACCATAGTTATCAACAGGCTCATGAGGACGCTTTGTTACAAGATGAGGTCACATTTGAGGTGAGGACAGCATCTATGATCTCTCAAGGTATTTATTAAGCGTGTTGTTAAAAAGGTGAGACTGGGAAAGATACATTTCGATTGGGCGTGAGAAAACTATAACACGGATAAAATCAAACCGAGGTCATCTTATAAAGAATGATGTATACTAGGATGAAAGAATAACGAAAAATTTGACGCGGGTAAACGCGTTTGAGGAAGCCACGTGAGAAAGAGATATTTTTTTCGTCCTATCACGAGCGTTGGAAAAGGAAAATACTCTGAGTTCCACTGAGGAATCAACCTTAGATCTTCGGATTCTGCACTCCGATGCTCTACAATTGAGCCACAGAGACTCTATGGTCAGCCAGGCCATTACGAAGTCACGTGTTACCTATGCAACTGACTGGTTCAAAACAACACACATGTTAAAGAGGATATGTTTTTGGTGTTATTGATTAGACGTTGATCCATATCCTCTGCGACAGTGTCTTATAAAGGATAACAACTCTTGGTTACTTTCGTAAGTCGTTTATATTACCTCAACCATTTTGCCCAGTTTACCCTGAAAGTGAAAAAAAAAAAAAAAAAAAGCATCTTTCACGTTACTTTTCATCACTTAAGGTTATTGCCTCGCACAGATAAAGGAAAGTTCCTCTTCCTAAAGCTCATGGTCATGTCTTCAGCTAGCGAAAAGAAATCCACAAAAAGTGTTCCCGTTACTTTGACTCGTTTCTGTTTTTGTTTTTGTTTTTTAATTTTGCTTTTTTCCTTGACAGGTCTATGAAAGGCTGCAGTTGATTTTCCCTGCAAATGGCTTTCTACTTCTTCCTCACAATGTCAACACCAAAATCCAGACAAACAGGTGTGTGGGCGTAATGATTTTTCCCAATGACAAACTTATGTCGAGACCTATTGCTCCAAGATGGACAATGAAAAAGGAGAAAAAAACTCCCTTTTTCTAACCTTCGACAATCATTCTTTCTTGGTCGTTGACTTTGCCAAGAAGGGCACTGCAAATGTGTGGCTGGAGGGGTTATTCTGAACAGAAATTACCACTTTTGGCATTTACGTTTGATTTTATACCTTAGCCCCTATTACATATCACCTCTCTTCCCACGTAAGGTACTTAAATGTTAACTGTTCTGCAGAGATGGTTCGGCAAGAATAACCTACGAGATGATAACAGACTGTTCTAAGCACAACATGGCTTCTAGTGGTGCTACTATAGCTGGTGTCAGTAGAAGTGGTCAGGTGTCCACTGCATCTCTGCCTGGGACGGCTGTGGTGTTGGTGACTGTCCATGAAGAGTTCGGCATCAATCAAACTGCTGTTGTCCATGTGGAGGTAGGGATGTGAAAACAGTCTAGATCAGGACACGAAAAGCTCGCTGCAACGCGAATAACACTTTGCAAAAAGTCGGGGTTTTTATTGCTCTGCGATGCGTTGCGTGGAAAAGCAGCTGCAACTACGACAGAATTTTGTTACTGCAATCGGTTGCACGAAGTTAAACTGCTTTGATTCCATGCGATTCGGTTTTTAACAAATATCTCTCGTTTCATACGAGATAAATTGTCACTGCGACTCTTTCCCTCGACATGTGGTAGCGATTGTTTTTGGGAAGCAAAACAGGCGGAGGGTTTTTTGTTTTTTTCCGTGTTATCGAGATATGACACTGCAACGTGTGTGTCCCAAGCTTTATGTAAACGGATTCTTTTGAAAGCGTTAAGTCCGGACAAACGGTGTTTTTTTCTTTGTGGAAATTAAATTACTCTGTCTAAACGTTTATTCTCGATATTTTTCAGGTCAAGGCTGTTTCATCAATCGTTATAAATTGTCAGTCTCCCGTGAGAACGAACTCTGACAAGCTACATACATTTCCCCTGGGAATGAATGTCCTGTTGGCTGTAACATTGCATGACAATATCGGACGAAGATTTGCTGTTGCCAGTATCCCGCTCAAATACAGGCTCAACAGGTTAAATATATTGTTTTATTAATATTTTATTGAAGTGCAATAGTACTTGGTTATTAGGCTATTAGACTTGCTTCTTGAACAACCTAGATCGGTGTGTTAACTTTCCCTACTTGAAGTTAGCATGTCCTTTTAAATTACTTCGAAGAAATTGATTTAGTTTTTTAAAAACTACCTCTAGTTGAAACGTTTGTATATGGCTTAACACCATTTTTTTTAAAAATAAAGATGTAATGATGTGGCGAAGATAATTATTGTGATGATAAGTAGACTAAGAGCAGACCCCCCCTTTTTGGCGATGTCCGTCGCGCAAGTGAAAAAAAAAAAAAAATCAGCAGAAAAATACATTGATGTTAGCGCGCCGCACAGACCTCTGGGAGTGAGGTGCTACACACCCAGAATTCCGCGCAGCGCTTGAACATCTATGTTAAATTTTTTTTTCCTTGTTCCTTGACTCGCGTGACGGACTTTGCCAAAAAGGAGGTAATGCTCGTGGTCTATAGTGAACAGGATAACAAGCATTTATTCACACCTTTTTGAGGTTGATGCAGCGCAGTATGTAAAGAATCCGCCTACTATTCAAATTGTTGAAATGAGCCGCTCTGAAATGATACTATTGTAGTATGTAACGATTATCAAGTCTAGATTTTGTCTCTACTTGTTATTTAACAGAGCGGTAAAAAGACACGGAAAGGAGAATTTATTATCTTCTCACAGTATGACATTATTACTTACCAATACGTTGTCCGGTAGAGTAAATGTGCTTATTGTTACCATGTTCTTCTTCGTGATAGATTTGATGCCGTTCATGTTGTACCAGGACCAGAAAATGGCACTTTTTATGCCAGGGCAGTAAACCTTGGTGAAGCCATCCTTAAGGTGTGTGGCAAACCTCTTCATCCCTCTAATCTTTAAACCGTTTTAATACGTTTTAACCAAAGCAGTGCACTCTGTACGCGGTATTCGGTAATTTTGATCGACCCATGTGAACGAAAATTATGGATCGCCTCTGGTCTCTTTGCGGGATCTATAATGAGCCCTCCTTTCCCTTTTTCAGTAATCTTCGCAGTCTAGAAGCCCCGCATTTTAATGATGGTAAAGGGGGGGGAGGGGGGCTTATTTTAGCATTTATGGTACATTATGTATGCTTGTTATCTTAAGTGTAGTGAGAGAATCTTTCCTCTGGAAGTGCATGTATTAATATAGTCTTTTTCGCCGTACACATCAACTAAAAATGCAATGAAGATAGTTCTTCCTTTCGTGGTAAAATATCGCTGAAAAAGTTGAGATTTCCCGGAGAAGTTTCCTTTTATATAAACAAATATGCTTCCACTTTTCAGAAGTTGAGATTTTAGGGTTTTATAAAATGGTCATGTTTCAAGGAAAATTCTTGTTTTTGGATTTTGGACACTTGCATATACATGCCAGTTGAGGATGGCGAGTAACGCCAGATAGTGGCCGATTGTGCATTTTGGACACTAGTAACAAATTTTGATTTTGGACACTAGTGGCCGATAATGAGTTTGGACACTGGTGTCCAATTTCGGATTTTAATTTAAAGTCTCTGTTTTTGGATTTTGGACACTAGTGGCCGATTTTTCTTCGGATGCTAGTGGCTGATTTTAGATTTTGGACGGTAGTGGCCGATTTTGGATTTTAGACACTAGTAGCCAATGTTGGATTCGGGACACTAGTGGCTGATTTTTTTACATGTTTTTGACGGTAGTGGCCGATTTTGGATTTTGAACGCTAGTGGCCGATGTTGAATTTACGATTTGGATTTTGGATTTTGGACATTAGTGGCCGATTTTGGGTTTTGGACGGTAGTGGCCAATTGGATTTTGGACGCTAGGGGCCGATTTTGGATTTTGGACACTTAATCGGCCACCAGCGTCCAAAATCCAAAATCGGCCACTTGTGTCGAAAATCCGTGAAAAGTTGACACACGTGCATTTTAATTACAGAACGACATTTGAATCAGGTCACGACATTTCCCAATCCTGACTACGTGTTTATTTGACGAACGTATAACGCTTATAACAAAGTTCTAACCAGGATTACTCTTTTTTCAGGTGTGGGATCCAAGTTCTGTTAACATAGCAGACTACGTCCGCATACGAGTTGGTCATGGTCTGACTCCAACCAAAGCGACACTGTTGTTAGGGATGGTAGAACAGTTCAGTACAAGTGTTATATCTGAAGGTATTTAAAATGAAGATAACTTTGAATATCTATGTTAGAGATTTTATGAACCCAAACTAGAGTTGACGATTTTTTTTTAAAAAGTATGAAAGTTTTTTTGTTTACCACAGCCTCATACCTGCCAATCAATTTGTCAGCGCTCTTAACGAAAGGAAATCGGCCTGTTCAAATTAAGTGAGTTGCATATTAACGTTTCAACAATGAGGAAAAAATAGAACTAAATTTTAGTTGCTGGTAACATTTATAGTCTTTTATATGGCGAATTTTCCTGCCGCCTTTAGATTTAGTGATTCCCAATGAGTCTCTTAATTGTATTTGGCCAGTCGGACAATGGTTGTGGAATACCAATGGCTGTCGGAAGTATTAGATATGCCAAAGTCCTCGACCTATTGTTGAAGACTTGCGCTTGGCAGTAACACATTCTCTTCTTTCGCCCCTCATCCTCTCAAGATATAGGTGGTATGTGGTCATCATCTAACGACAAAGTTGTCAGCATCAACTCCACGACTGGTATGGCAATGGCAACAGCTGCAGGAACTGCTACTATTTACTACAAGATACCTCAGTTGTACTCAGCCCAGACTGAAGTCAAAGTCGAGAGCTTGAGTTACATTCATGTCTCGAGAGATGACGCCCTGGTCATCACCAATATCCCGCGACTGGATGGGCGTGGCTATGTCATTCCTGTTAACTTGGGACACGACTATTTGTCGCAGGAACAAACAACCAAAGCATCTGGTCTTGTAGATGGAATTCTGCTGTTTGAAGAACTAGGTTTCAAACAGGCGACACCTTTCCAGTGTATTCTACACCTTGGTCATGATCTGCAAGGCAATATCCACGCACATGACTTGTTTGAGGTGAAGCCCGGGTTCGTCAATGGACAACCAATGTGTTATGTGGTACCAAAGAATGCTAAAGACGATGTGATCAAGTCGGCAAGTTCTATCGCTGCTCAGCTGAGTCTTGTTGTCAGGATTTTCGACGAGATTCAAGGTCGTAGCGAATCCTCGGAGTCATTAAAACTTCCCTTCGTGCCTGCATTTGTGTTGAGTGAAACAGAACTGGAGCTTTCTGCTGATAAACGGAAAGCGCAAGTTTTTGTTATGGCCAATGCTGAACAGCTGAACAACCTTGAGGTAAACTTTGTTTGATTTTTGGTTTGTTTGTTTGTCTGTTTGTTTACTAATTAGATCCGTGTGTTTTTTGCTCTGGCCGGTGGAAACCCTTTCCCTTTGGAGTGACTTGTAAGAGATTTCCCCTTCACACGTCGTCACTAAGCCAAGAGGTGATGACAATACAAAGTGTATTTACCAATCAAGAGATATTGTTCTTCTCAGGCTTCGCTCAAAAAGAAATTTATGACAGACAGAAAGGAGACCTGTCATTAGGATCTTAGTTGTGAAAAGATTTGACTAGCATTTTCGACATTATAGAGATCCTATGCAAAGAGCTTTTAGAGGCGTGGAATATTAAGCTCGAAGTAGATTTTCTCTTCCTTTCTGTATCCCGATTTGTATAACTTGAGTACAGCTGGAGTACAGTTGCTCACCATCGGTCGCCTTACGGAGGAAGGTTAGAGGCCGTTTTAAAATGAGGTTCGACTGTAGGTCTTCGAAATGTTTGAGGCGCCACTCCTTTAGGTTTGAGCTGTTTATGTACTCATATGCACAAACGCTGCAAACTGTCACATTTTTATCTCCAAGGTAAGATCTCAAGACCCGTCCCTGGTCGAATTTACAGGGTGGTTAAATTCAGTTGATAAGGAGGCCGAATATGAGATAGAAGTTGTCGAGAAAAACGGCAAGTCGTTCAAGAGAGTCTGGGTGGAGTTTAAAAGCTTACTTACCGGCCAGAGAGGCTTAGTGTACGTGACTTACACAGCGCCATCCAGTGGTGCAGTCCCTGTGCTGTTACCAGGAGCAATTCCAAGCAGTGAGCAGTGTCCAACAGTCGCAGCAGGCAAAATAGAGAGAAGCTTTCAAGGATTTCTCTTCGCCTTGCTTGGACAGACAAGTGCTTGGATAATCGGTTTGTCATTTTTTATTGGGTGCATAATTCTTGCGCTGATCTTATGCTGCAGTCCTCGTGGCAGGGGTGCCAGTAGTGGAGCAGTGTCTGGAGCGGCCTCTCCCAGCCCTCTCAGAGGGGCCCCTCAGCATGGAAGCCCTTATCCACAAGGTCCATATCCTGGTTCATCAACAGGTACATTGTCCGCGGGAAGGCCCATTTATCTGAGCTCAACCACAGGCGCATTTTCACCGGGAGCTGGGGCGTATGGATCTCGTGGTGGTGCGAACGACACATCTCTTCGGTCCTTTCCAGAGGAGCACGATGAAACACACCGAGAAATATCCACAACATACCGGCACACCAAAACCTCTGCTCGCACATATCTTTCCGACGATAGTTCTCACGCCTCTGGAGCAACGTCTATTGGGCGTGTTTCACCGAACAAGTCACCCAGATTGTTCAGTGTCAATCAATAACGTAAGATTGACGTGAACTTTCATGATATTTCGATATTTAATGTGCTACTTGTGGAATTGGCTACGTGTTTACAGTTTAAGGAGGAATGGCATATTTCCTTGTAACTCTCAACGCAAAGATGCTAAAGTTATTGTTCGATGACATTTTTTGTGTTGATGCTTGAAAGGCTAACTGAAGTGTACTTCTTACTTGTCCTAAGTCACTGTAAAAGAGGTTTTAGGGGAAGGGCGAACTCCAAGAAAAAGACAAACCAACCAAAAATCAATATAAAATGAATTCATACAAGTGAAAATTGAGCGAAAAATTGGCACAACGAAGTACTGTTGTAAAAAATTTCAATAGTCTTCTTTCAAACAAATTCCAAAGGAGGAGAACGAGTCGTCGAGAGTGAAATTCATTCGAGAGAAATTACTTAGTCTGTCCCAATTGGAAATTACGGGCTGGAGGCACTTTGCGAAATAATTGGTGTTAACATTGTTTCAGAACCTCTGAAAGCTCTAGCTTAAATTCGTGGAAGTGATCACTTAAGGTTTTCTAAGTGGATCGTGATAAACTTGATTTTACTAGTTTTCTAATATAAACTAAAACTTTCAAAATGCTGCCTTAACCGTATTTTTATACAGTATAGGTCTTGCGAAAAGTGTATTATGCTGAGAACAGCGGGTTAATTGGATCTTGAAGATAATAATTTTCGATGCTTCGTGTATTTATTGACCCAGTTAAATATTTTTGTAGGTACCGTGTCTTTTTTAGACTGCTGGCAGTTCCTCTTGCGCGTCGAAAGTGATCAGCGAACGGAAAAATAAACTCTGAGCTGCGCCTGCAACTCTCAGCGGTTGCACCATTACGATGTAATTTTCTCGCTGATTACGTATGACGTGCGTGAAGATCTAAGCTGAATTTAAGAGGCACTGCTCGCACTCTAAGCCTTTGTAAGATAAAATTGACCTTTCTAATAAATGTATTTATTTCATTTCACATTTATGGTACGGTTAATTTCTTGCGCCCAGCATTCCTGATGCCTGCGGATCGGCGTAAGCTCGCGCCTGCTCACCATTCTTCACGCGCAGTGGAAAAATTGAACTATTACGGCCTCAACTGACACATTTGTAAAAAGAGAATTAAACTAGCGGCGCACGAGAGAGTTCCCATCGGTCGAAGTTTATGTATGAACTAAGATGAAAGTCCGCCAAAAGTTGTCAAATTTAGCCCCCCACGATATTATTTCCCGTTTGTGTAATAAAGTAGGTACTGAGAAAGCCCTTGAAGACGGTACAAAGAGGAAGGACTGACTAGTCTCTTGGAAACGAGATTTTCTTTGAAAAATTTCCATTTCTATTCCATAGGATCTTGTTTTAACTTTTCAACGCTTTTGACTAAGAGAGTCAGAGTACAGTGAAAAAAGGACAGTAAAAACCCAACGAGAGTTGGTGCCAATGATAACCTCGTTCTCAGATTCCCTTTCCACCCCCTCGCCTCAGTCTTGCCCATGTGTAACAGCTGGGGTAGAGATTCTGGAAGTGAGATCAGTGCACAGAACTCATTCTCAAAAGATTTAGAGCAAATGCCTTTGCTGTAATTATATTATATAGTAGTTGTGATTTAAACAGGAAATAGTGAGATAATGAAAGAAGTTCAAACGGCAATTTTTTTGCAATTCACTTGCAATGAAATAAGCTTGCACAGTGTTTCCCAATGGTTCTGTAATTCTCCTTCATAACAATATTCAATATTCACGCGCACCACTGTGCAGGTACATGTGCAGATTGTAGGAATACAGTCAGTCAGTGTAAGCAAGTTGAATACTTCGAACTTATTAACTTATTAGTTTAAAGCAGCAATATTTTTTAAGGAGGGGGGACCCCCTACCCCTGAGTGTGTCATCTCTCCACCCCCTTGGGGATAAAAGACAGGTGGATGAAGAGAGAACCAGGAACATGATTACTCATGACCTAAAAAAAGTAATAGGGGTATTTGGCATAAAATTTCTAAAAACATGGACAAAGTACCGATGAAAATGTTAAAAGAAAGGCTGAAAACCATCCTTTATTTCATTGACAAGCTCAAAATTTACTACCTTTAGTTTCTGTTTAGCAGAATATTGTTCAGTGGGTGTGAGCAAGATTCCTTTTCACCCCTACCAGGTATCAACTGATTTCCCAATTACTGATCTAGACTCAGTAATATTGAAAATAAAAGTTGCTTTATTTTTAGTTCCATTTATTTTCCAGCTTGATAATAAAGCAGGCTCTTACAAGACACATGCAAACTCTAACTCCAGGTTGACTTAGTTTACAAACCATATACAAAACCAATCCTCAGATCATACTGCATGTGTGCGCCAATAAATGCATTGTTATTTTCTTCAGGAGTACCCCTGAAGAAAATTAGCAACATACTGACACATGCCTAAACCTGGGAATGAGACCCAAATCAGGTTTCTTATGGATGATGACAAAAACGCAACTTTTATATAATACACAAACATTCAGTGAAGCAGATTTCTTATTCAATACTCTTGTTTCAGTTAACTTTGCATTAGTAACATGTACCTTAAATTGAAATAAGTACCCAGAGCCCAACCTTATCCACAGCACCTGAATTTTTCTATTTCAGTCGCCTCTTGTTCCCTTGAGAAGCTGGAGAAAAATCTAACCAATGGTTGAGAGGAGCTGCAAAACTGGAGTAAAAAAAAGTATCTTTAGCTTGTCCTTTTCTTTTCAACTGTTTTCTGTAGGCTTCAATAACTTAAAAGCTTAATTTTGATATACCAAGTCTGTGGACCAAATTATAATAAATAATGATACTTTAAGTGAGGGTATGGGGGCAGAACAGCCAGATGCTGAAATTAAAAAACTGACCAAGAAATCTTTCCCAGCTTTTTTTATTTTGTTTGCATATAACCAGAAAATTGGAAAAAAACATTGACCTATTTCTGTTTCTGCAAAGATCTCAGGCTTTCTAGCTGTTTATTCCACTCATATTTCACTGCTTAGATATATTGAACCCCCAAACCTTCAAATGTACAAAACTGTCTTTGAAATGAAAATACTAGCATATATATCTTAATTTCTCTTTGTGCAGTGTCTTAAATATCAAACATATCTTGAGATGGTAAAAATAATTTACCTTGATAATTCTAATATAATTTCTCTAAAATGGTTTCCCTATATAAAATAAGAATAGTATAATACTAATAACTCAATTAATCTTGCATTACTCTGACCCCTCACATATCAAGATCCGGTCAGTGATTCTCCTTTCTTTCCACTATAACCCACCTAAAATAAGTTGGGAGAATTTGGTGATTAAAATAAGATAAAACTCCTTGTAATCCATCCACCAAAAGGTGAACCATTTCACTCTTAAGATCGCATTAGTGCTTCTCCTCACTATCCTCCATGCAGTTATTACATGATGTTGGTTTAGAGAATTTGGTTTAAGATGAATGTCTTATAGTTGATATTTTTCTTTACTCTCATCACCTGTCTGCTTGATATTGAATTGATATTGTTGGGAGAAATTCTATCTTGATCACTCACGGGAGCAAAAGGGTTAAACAAACAAGAAAACTACAGTAACCTCAGATGACGATGTCAACTCAGGTTCAAACTCTTTTCTTACTTTCTAACAGGTCATGGAAGACAGAAAAAATAAATGTGTTCATGAATACACTATACAACAGTATATCTTTGTTAACAAAAAAAATTACCCTCACTACTTCCCACAAACACAGTGCTTGTCAGTTAAAAACCATCCATCTTCTCTTGTCAACTCCATGACCCAATTACCTAAAAACTCCTCCCAAAAAAACAAATATTATTCAACGTACTAACTTCAAGCAAGAGAGTTAAACCAATACTGCTAAAATGACAGCCACACCAAAATTTGAAGTAATTTCAAAGTTTCTGATAAAAAACTATAAAATCAATGATTATTTGCATTCAGTGCAATATAAATTTTTTTTTTAAATTTTAGTACACATAGGGTCATACACTACCCAATATTGATTATCATACTTTTTTAATATAAATTTCACTAATTATTGATAAGATTTCCCAAGTTTATGCAGTAGTATTTGGGTTCAATTATCTGCATCAAGTACCTCTGGCTCTGAATTGGATGATGATGATGTTTCTGTTTCTGTCTCTGTGTCAGTTTCATTCTCATCACTCATCTTGCATTCAAGGACGATCTGATCAATATTACTATCCTCATGGCCAGGGTGATATTCGAGGCCTATCTCACTGTTGTCTTTATGGTTATCATGATTGTTACTGTTTCCTTCATGACCAGGCTGAACAAAACAATAACTAAACTGATTTGATGCTTTTCTGTGGTCAAAGTATTGGCACTTCTCTAGATGTGCTGCCATGAATGGTGAGTTAGAATGCACCCACTTTTCAACTGGTGAAAATGAGGTGGAAAAATACCATCGCTGAAATAGAAAGTAGACTGTTGTTATTAAAATTAGTTCCTTTAACTCTCTATACAGTTACTACAGCTGCTTTTCACCAAGAAAAATACTATAAGTCACATATATTTAGATAGTCCTAGTTAAAATTGATTTAGTTGAGCATGTTGCAAAATATACCAGCAAATCACTTCTAAAGAAAACACAATTGTTGTCCCTCTTGGAATACTGATGTGGCAGAAGCATTTCCTAACCTAATGCACAGTATTATGCACCCATCAAAAACAAAATGATTTCATCTACAAAGAAGTTGAAAATACATACAGCTATGCTTACTTTGCTAGACTTAATCTCTATAGATATTTTGTTGGCTACAAGTTCTTAAGAAAACAAGACCATTATTGCACAAAATAAATAACCTTTCCCCACCACTTCCTCAAACAGGATTAGTAACCTTAATTTTCACATAAGACAAATTATATACCTCTTGTTAACTGAGTTTGAGGTCTGTACTGTAAGCAACAGACCAAGAGTTTTCCTGCATGGATTTCAGGCCCAGGTGCATAGCGCATGCCATAAATCCAAACACAAAAATGAGGTTCCGTAACTTACATTAAGGAGCAAGAAAACAAGTTTATTAAAATATATATCAAATAGATAGAGGGAGAAGATTTCAGTTCAAAAATATTTGAAGTTTAATGAGCCTTATGTTTATCTAATTTGGCCCACTAGATTGACCAATCATAGTGAATGTACTAAGTGAGAGATGTGATACTAAAATTGAAATAAAACTTTACTACAGCTTGGGCTTTCTAGTTTACACCATGTAAAAGACATGAAACTGACGTCAAGTAACCATTTGACTATACATACAAACTAAATTACTAAATGAACCTTATAAGTCATAGATGAGGTACATGCAATACTTAACACCCACCTTTTGTCTTATCTTCCAAGACCAGTTTCCATCATCATAGATTCTTTTTTCCCATTCAAATAGTACCATACCTTTTGTTTCCAAAACATTCATACAAACCTCCCTCAGCAACTTACATGTGCAAGAGAAGTTACACAGACTGAAACCATCCAGTTGGCCAGCTATCTTCGCCAAGATATCTAGGGGCAAAGATGTCAGCAGATCCAAACTAGATGTTGTATGCATCTGCATTTGATTTGGAGCAATTTCCCCTGTGGGACCAGTGGTGTCTTGTATCTGACTTTGAGAATATTCTGCTGTACAACAAGAAGTGTTTACTAGAGGTGATTGCTCATATGGTCTGATGCCAAAGCTTCCAAGCTCTTGATTGAAGGTTACAGCTCCATCTTGGCTGTGAGGCAGAAGCCTATAGCGCACAAATGTGCAGCCATACTGCGAAAGAGGACACCGATGCTCCAACCAACCATTCAGCCCTCCCTGAATATCACTATGAACATTCTTAAAATGGCCACTGTACTCTTCACGGCGGAATACCTGGTTGCAGGGTATGGAATACATTGGAGACTGTTTCTGGAACTTGGGGAGGGTTTCGACCACAACATTCAAACCCAGGGGTTGGTCGAGGTAGATTGGCAAATGGACAGGAGGAGGCGGTACGCTGTTGTCAAGGAAACTAACAGAGGCCTTGTCACCTTTACTACTTTCATCTTCCTCTCCTTGCAACGGATGTAGCTCTATATCAACTGGGTTAACATCAGCATTAACATAATCAACACATTCATTTTCCAGTTTTTCACTTCCAGAAAGCAAATCGCTGAGAATATTTCGGTTTTCGTTATGGGTTTCGTTGTCAAGTGAATTTTCATCCTCGAGATCTCCGCTAGAATTCTGCCCTTCACCTCGTTGTTTACGAAACTTATTTTCTAACGAAGACATTGCTAAAGCCATCGCCATTTTGACAGAATCCGATTTCACAGTCGATGGTTGGGTTCCGCTACCATGCTGTTTCGGTGTGCCTTTCTGTAAGGACGATCTTAACATGTCTACTTTTGCTTTCCCTTTTCTACAACGCCTTCGGAATACTTCCTGAAGTATTCTTTGATCCCTGAAGGCCAGCTCCACATCTAGATGCCCTTTTACTAGAATCGGGTTCGGTTGAAAGAAAGGCACCAAACTTAACCGAGATTTGGAATACACTGGATATCTATTCCACTCCATTGTACAAAAAATCACACTTGCTGGGCACCGCTGTAAGTGGTTTCTCAGGCTATCCCTTGTCATCACAACCGGACATCCGTACTCTGAATTTATACATGGAATTCGACATTTCTGGCACACATTCTGGTGGTCTTTCATTTTACAGCTGTGAAGTTGTGCGGTGCATCCGAATTCACAAAATAACATCTTGCAGCCATTTTGAGAACTACAGTAGAGCTTTACACAATTGTCGCAATGTTCGTGGCTTTTAGACTCCATTATCTACCGGCGAAGAGTCATGGAAATGCAAGAGAGACTTCCACGTACCGGCAATAGTGATCTTTTGTTTTTTCCTCAGTGAATATTTATTTACATTTAGCAGGTTCGCCGCTGTCTCATGTGACACGGCTTATTCCGAATATCTTCGGCTACTTCCGACATTTACGAGAAAGTATCGATGTAAACGTCATATGACGTCATTGGACCAATATGGCGGAAAAAGCTTATTAACTTTTGTCTTAGAATTATTCCAGAGAAAAGTTTAATCTATCTTCGTTTCTGTTCACGTTATTCTCGTCGACATGACTCTTATGGTTTTCTTTGGGTGCGCTTTTATAGCATTTGGACCAGCATTGGCGCTGTTTTCCCTCACTGTAGCTAAAGATGCTCAGCAAGTGATTGTGTTGATTGCAAGGTAAGCCACTTAGGTTATGATCATGTGTTCCTTGACTTTGTGTATTGCTCAGATTGGGGAAAGCCTTATTTCAATACTTCACCCTTATTTCGTACTTCAAGTTTGATCACCAATACTTATGGAAAATTTATTTGTGAAGAAGACGTCATTGAAGTTTGATTCACTCTGTTTAACCCTCGACGTCAACCGTTAACATAATTATAAAAAATAGGATACAAAGCTGTAGTCAAAATCAAATTGTAGTTGAGAAAAATTATATTTGAAGTCGTCTTAAGTATTATGATTTCTCTTTTAATGACGGCATGGGGTCTTGTCCTTCCAAAATTCTGAGCTATTGAAGAAATTTGTACAGACCATGTTCAATTACATTCTCTGTCATTCTTCAAGAGCTGTTGGACCATTGATTAGGCTTAAGCTATGTTATACCAGAAAGACCTACCGATTCCTGATCAAGGAAATCTGGAGACTCCTGAAAATAATCTGGTGATTTCATTAAAAATAGAACAATTCTATTTTTGTAGTGTTTTAAAAAATTCTGTCATGTTTTAAACCCAGTTTTGACTACCAGCCTTGATGTCCAGGTTTAACCCTGAAAAAGTTTAATCTTGGAAGGAAATACCCTTTATTGGTCCTTCATCACAATTTCTTTTGTTTTGTGGGTCAGATAAATTTAAAGAAACATTTGTCTCCCCATAGTCTTGCTTAAAACTGTATTTCCTTTACATTAGGTAGTGATTACCAATACAAATCATTTGGTAAATAAATCTTGTTTTCCAGTGCTTTCTTCTGGTTACTGTCACTACTGCTGTCGTCAATCTGGTGGACTGTTGTGTCTCCCTTAAAGAAGCAGCTGGCATTTGGAATCACATTTTCAGTTATCTTTCAAGAACTCTTTAGATTGGCTTTCTATAAACTGATGAGGTAAGGAAAAAGTACTCTCTAAATTGAAGAAACAAATGGAACCGTAGCAACTAGGTAAACCTTTTTATCAGTGCTATTATCCAAAATGGATTAAACTATTGTGATTTGACCATAAACATGCAAACCCTCTAACACTCAAGGTCTATTTTTGTAATTCCCCTCTGTAGTTTTTATAAATTTCCATATAAATCAATTGAGAGATGTCAATTGTCAAATCTGGTTGTGATTTTTAAATCAAGAGAGCATGTAGGGCTAGTTCAATTTTAGATATTAACCCTTTAACTCCCAGATCAAATTTGTAATTCTCCTTACTGTCAAATCATACAATTCTCACAATGTTAGTTCAGAGAATTTAGTATTGGATCAACTAATTATCCCCAAATTGATATCTGTCTTTATTCTCATCACTTATCTGGTTGATGTTGTATCGATATTGTAGGGAAAAATTCTGTCCTGGTCACTCATGGGAGCTAAAGGGTTAAGTATGATTTGAGACCACAGTCACTAAAGATGGTATCCCTGTGCAATGTTGTTGAATTGGGTTTTGATGTGAAATAATGGATATATGTCTCTTTTGGTTTCTTCAGGAAAGCAGATGAAGGTCTCCTTTCAATGATCAACAACCAGACACCACTAAGGAAACACAGGATTGCATATGGTTAGATTCCCTATTTTTGATCATGTATTAATTAACCTTAACATTCATACTCTCCATAATGTTTTCTAAACATTTCTTGAGGTGTAGACAAGGTGAACAATTTTTTGAAAAATAAAGAGCTTCTTTAATTTATGATCACTTTGTTATTCTTGTGACCTCAGTGTTTGATTCAGGGGTGATAATTGATATAAGGAGAAATTCAGATCTATTCACTCTTCGAGATCAAAGGGATTAATAGGATTTCTTATGGGGAAAATCATTGAATCAGTGAAAGAGTATATTCATTTGGTCTGGAGTGTTACTCAGATTTCGTCTCATAGAATACAACACATTGTTTTTATGTTGCATTTTTTATGTAGTTTAATTTGAATGAACAAAGAGAAAAAAAAAAAAAGCTGTTTTCTGCTCCTTCTTTCAGTTTCTGGTCTTGGCTATGGTATTATTAGCGGATTATTTGCCATGGTGAATGTATTAGCAGACATAACAGGCCCTGGGTCATTAGGGTTAAAGGGTGATCCTCAAAACTTCCTAATTGTCTCAGGTAAGTTGCATACCTTAAAACTGTAAGCGTTACACATACAACATAGAATGTGCATCAGTTTATGATAGAGCCGAAAAGTTTACTGATCTCTGATTTGTCGTGTTGATAAAAGTCAATTCTAGTATTATTTTGAGAAATGGTTGTTTTTCATTCAGTCAAAAGTTTCACAATTACAGATCTTAAATAGAGTGGAATGAGAATAGTATTTTTATAAGTTTTCAGCACATTAATTATATATTTTGAGAGAGACCTTCAGTCTAGAAGTTTGGGAATTCTACAAGTTGAAAGTTGAATTGCTTGTTTCTATATTGTTGCAAACACTTAGTTTACTTGTGATGGTTGAAAAATAAAGCAAGATTTGAGTTTTAGAATGAATATTGTAGAAGAGAAAATTAGTTAGAAGTGATGATTGTCTTTCATGCATGCACAAATTTAATTTGAAGAGGTTTGAACATAACCTGTTATAAACGACTGTGAATATATGAAAGTCATATATTTGAACTGCAGATAAAGATGTGAATATGAAAGTGATCTTCACAGTAATGAACACTACTTGAGCAGTAGTCAGTCTTGGGGATACCCTGTGATGGGAGCTCAGTTTCCTAGCTACATTGTAGATTGTTTCAGTAAAGTGAAGGTGCTTTTAGTGATTTTGTATCAAAACTAATACTGTTGTCTCATTATTCTTGACCTAACAAAAGTCCAAACTCCAAAAGTAGGCGTAAACCCAACTGAAGGAAAAAAAAACAAATGCCAAAAATTAGTTGTTTTATACATGTATTAGCACAGGACAAAAATGACCTAAAACCCTGCTGTTGTTTTTTACAGGAATGTTTCATTAGTAGTTGTAACATATTATAATAGCACTGAACGTTACTTTTTATTCAATTGTAATGTACTAAATAAATGTGTAAAAATTGATACAAATTTTATGAGTTTCTTTACAACCTTTTCTCTTTTGCAGCTTTCTTGACCTCCTGTTTTGTTCTGCTGAATACATTTTGGGGAGTAATATGGTTCAATGCTTGGGATCACAAGAATTGGATCAACATCATTCTAGTTGTGGCCAGTCACCTTTTTGTATCACTTATTGTATGTGAATGGTTCTATACTCTAATGACAATAACAGTAAATATAATTATGATCTGAATTGAATCATGGAGATGAATTCATAGATCCTTGTAGCTTAATTACATTTACTAATTAAACAAAAAATGCAGAAATTGAAGGCTACAATTGATCAGGGCCCAGTTTTCAAAGGGCTGATAACATTATCCAATTTATTTTATTGTAAAAGATGTTGAAAATTGTTTGAATAAACATGTGAAGAAATTAGATAATAGTGGATCCCTTGATAGCCTTGTTTAATCATGTTGAAAGTAGTTTTAGGTTACTCTCTCTTTTTGAAATTGTTGAAAAACAAAAATGCTAGAAACTCTGCAACTTTTAATTTTCTCTGTGGAAGTCAGCCATTATTGCTGCTAAGTCTGTTTCAGTTATTGACTAATTGTTTTGTTTTTCTTAACAGACGCTTCTGAATCATCAACATCACTATGTTGCCTCACTTGTGTGTGCATACATCACCATGGTAATTATGGGAGCAATGGCGTTCAAGACTGCCGGAGGAAGCTGCTTTAACATTTACAGACTCTTTTCACGGCAGACACACCATGATTACTAACATGAATCCAAACTTGACCAAAATGTAAACTGTATATAAGATAACTGACCTCGTAAAATGTTCAGCAAGTTTAATCACAGTGGAAATGTAAACCGTTGAAGGGACAACACAATGTGAGGCTTAGAAAGCTCACGGTTGTTAAAATTCTTTAGAAGTACATGGTATTCTATACTGCTCAGACTTGCTAAGATAATATTTTTCCCAAAACTTCTTAAACCCTTTACACCCAAGTATCAGTATCTATATTCTCCTTAATCTTCCCTATACACTTCCTTTGTTGCTGATGAGGAGAATTTGTTTAAAAATCAAAGCTTGTTAGGTTAGCAATCATTTCCTTTATTCTCGTGATCTTAATGAATGATTCAGCAGTATTAATGCCAGGAGAAATTACATGCTGGTCACTCTCAGGGTTTAAGGGGTTAAACAGGAGTTAGAGCAAATGACTTGGTGCTCGAGAAGGTCTAGCAGAAAGCATATGTTTGCTTTTGTTCCTATTTTTTCTTTAACTTCTTGCATATGTAGCTTGCAGTTGTATCAACAAAACACAATTTTCATCTGAAGGTGGTACCTGTTAATTAATAGATGTATCTGTCTGAAATCCATCACCAGATATTTTGACAGTTATGGAAATACTTTGATGATATTGTTTGATAACTTTGCCTTCATGTAATTTGCTCAGATTTGAGATTTATTTCAAATTTAAGGTATCAAAAAATAGAGAAAAGGAAAAAAAAAAGTTGTGAAGATTATATGTGTGTTTAATGGTAATTAACAAGTATAATGCTCAAATGTTTGAGCATTGTACTCATACTTCTTGGAATTTGCTAACAGCTCCCTGAAGAAAGAAATCTTCACCAAACCTCTTCAATAGCCCTTAAGATCCAACCAGCAAGAGGTAAAACACCACATGACAAAGTCCTTTTTTAAAAGTTTTCAGGGATGCAGAATTATAGTACGTTCTCACTAGTGATGAAATCTAACTTTGCTCATAGTCAAGAGATGAAGAAAGATCAGTTCTGCTTTTCTCTCTCAATGAAACATGATCACATTAATTGGCAGTGCTTATTTGTTTACCCCTTACACCTTACCCTGCCTGATCAATATAAATTCAGTTGACTGAAAGGTAAGTTAAAAGATGAATATGCTGTACAGGTAAACACTGGGCTTTTGCAGTGCAGTTTTAATGTCTCAGTACTCTGTATAAGTTTGAACAAGCTGTTGGTTGGCATAACACAAGATTCATTAAATCGTTCTTCACTGAGAACTTTGTCTTGTCATCTCGCTGTCACCTGGAACCTGAGTCATGTCACACAAAATTTTAGTCATTAGGTATACTTGACTTTTTTGGGGGGGCAACATTTTTTATTATTGTGATATCTTATACAAAGTTCTTCACTTCACTTCAAGTGTCTATAATGATTCAGTGGTGAAAATAAAGGTGAGAAAATTTGAAGACACAAGATTTTGCTATGCAAAGCATATTTTATTGTTATTGTTCTCATGTAAGGATAAGTTTTGAGTGTGAAAAGTTGAACTGAAGAAGCCCATCTCATGTCATATGCAAAGTGAGACAATACAAATGTCCTTTTAACCCTTTAGCTCCCTTGAGTGACCAAGACAGAATTTCTCCTTACAATATCTATGCAATATCCACCAGATAAGTGATGAGAATAAAGAAAAATATCAATTTGGGGTCAATTAGTTGATGCAATACTAAATTCTCTGAACTAACAATATAAGAATTGTGTGGTTAACAGTAAGGAGAATTAAAAATTTGATCTGGGAGTTAAAGGGTTAACTCAATTTTTGCTCTTATTTTGAGTCAAAGGGTTAACTCAATTTTTGCTCTTATTTTGAAGCTAATGGTCCCTATAACTTCCATTACCCAAAGCATTTTTGGACCGCTAACACAGTTGCAACAAAAATCAACTTTGCAATAGTTTTGTCGTTAAGCACTGACAGACTAGTGCCAGTGATATATTTATTTCTTGGAAACCAAGTTTATTTACATGAAAGAAGCCTAGGTGCTTGCAGTAGTGTGTCTATAAGTTAATGAAAGGAACTAAATAATTTTTACCAAATGTTCCAAAAACCGTTCTCTTTTGTATAACTGAGCAGGAAATGTGTTTTAAATCACATTAAGTAATTGTTCTAGAAGCTCACTAATATCTACATCATATTGTTGATATTCTAAACAGCTAATAGGACAGCAAAGCTGCAGTAGAATTTTCTAGGTATGAAAATGATAATAAAATAAAATTCTACCATTGAAGATAGAGATTTGAAGGCAAAGTAATTATTCGAATTGCGCTTCATTGCAGCTCAAAAAGGTCTGAAATATTGCTCAAATTTGAGAAAGAATGACCTAATTTATTTCATTTTGAAAAAGAGATGCTGTTGTCAAGATGAATCATTTCAAGCTGATAGATATGGCAAGAGAAAGAAAGATAAAAATTATACATTGGCATTGAGAATATTGATGATAAGATCAAATAAAAGCCATACATTTTCATCAAAGACTCAGATACCGAACAATTCACATTGAGAACACGGAAAGAAGCAATTGTTTCTTCAGAGTAAGTGGCAGTCGCCTCGCTGAAGGAATCAAAAATAAGAGATTTCATTGAAAGACAACTCTTAACTGATATTTAAAAGAACACTTTGAAATTTACTGTTATTGACTTAAACAATCTACCGGAGAGTGTTATAGAATTTCCTATGTTTTTGTGTATAGCGGAAGTTGAGGAACCTCCACCCCCTACCTCTGTCACGCTATACGAATGCGTGGCGTGACAAGGCTAAACGAAAGTTGTCGTTAGTTTTGCGGCTGCATCACTTTTGACAAAAATCACATGACAATATTGGGACGGGAGCAGATCGAAGATTACTTTTGCATCATGCTTCGTTCGTTCGTTTGTCTTCTTCTTGTTACTGTTGTATGCCTTGCATCTCCTTCTTTTAAAAGAGTTGTAAGACTTTCCGATCCTTTTGGAGAACTTGGATGGGAACTTCAAGAATTGCAAGTCGAAGATTATGTGAAAGGTTCCGTGTGGCCTAAACCTCAAGGAGAAACTCCTTCAGGTGCTGTGTATAAGTTGACGCCGGAGAATTTTCAGTTTTCTATCACTGGTGAGAGCAGCGATGTTCTCAAAGAAGCCGTCGAACGTTATAAAGTGTTAACATTCCCAGACAATGTGAGCGTATCGAAGAAGAATTTGTCCCAAATTACTAAGCTAACTGTTGATGTGGTTGACAAGTATGAAAATCTCACTCTGGATTCCGACGAATCTTGTAAGTAGACTTATTTATTCTTTCTCAGGCAGGAATAAAGCATGTTGCCTCGTGTCTGATCGAAGAGGAATTTCGTTAGTGTTTCAATTTGACTGTGACTCGCAAATAATACAAACTTGTTAGAGAGGCGTAGCTAATTATAGTGGCTAATTATTGTGGAACACACAGATTATTCAACGCCCGTAATTCTCTTGTCATTAGTGGAAAATCAAAGATGTTTCATGTCTTTCATGCTGCTTAATAGTTGTATATCTTAAAGTTCTCGTAAACGACACAGTAAAGTGCAAAATGCGAACAATTCTCATAGTTTCTGGTATTATCGGTTTGTTATGATAATATTATCCCCTCGTCTCATAGTTCCTCAGCGTGGTTCGTGCCTTTTTTAAATATTATTGACGTAGAATTCCTTTTTTTTTTTCTTCCCTGTTAATGTAAAGCAAAAGGGTTCGCAGAATATTTCGATATTTCTGCTTCACACCGCTGCATACTTTCAGTCTCGTTGAGATGGTTTTCGGAAGTGGATAGTAATCAATATGAGAATTTTACACAGCTATGTAATAAACCTGCTCTGAGTTTGTTTTCCACCTGTTATTACCAGTTGCATTGCATAAGGACAGATCAATTGAAGACATGGTTACCCAAAAGATTGTCAACTCGGCCAGGTTGATATTTACGCTGCAACATTTTGAGCAGTCAGGGACAATAATGTTTTTTCAGTCTATGACATAATAAGAGTAAGACTCTATTCTAACAGACACTCACATGATAAGTCCATTTTTGGAAACTGTTAGAGAATGAAATTTGACACTATGATTCATGTAGCTATATATTTGAGAGGTTTCAAGCTGGGTAAAATAACCCAGGGTTAGTGTGAAATCTGATTTCAGATCTTAAAGCTTTTTACGAAACTTCATAAGAATTCTTTCTGTCCACAAGTTGATGATCGGATGCTCTTAAAAGAATTAAGTAAAATTTATCCCAACTAGGCTTTTAAACAAAGGAATAATGAAGTCATGATTGAAAGATTTCCTTGGATTAGTGCTAACTGACCTTCAGTTCATTTAGCGCAAGTAATAAGCTTTGTCAAGGAGGCAGAATAGGACATTTCATGATATATCTGATGCATTTGAAAGCAATCTTGGCTCCAGTCTGGTCTTCTTATATTGTAAACCAGATATCTTCATTGAAACCACAGATAATTAAAACAAATGGTCCAGCTCAGAATAAAAAATAAAGCAGTAACAAAGAGAGGCAGGCAGTGGGGCACAAATTTAAGTAAAATTCATGCATCACAGTAATGTACTTTAAAAAACTTCAAATCACACCTACCAGTAACCTTGCTTTTCTTTAAAAATTCATCACATGAATTTTGGGTTTTAATTATGTCATGTGTAGACCCTTCGCCACCTTCGCAGTGACCATTTGGCCTTAAATCTCTTCTTGTCTCAAAGGGAAGGGATCTTGGTAGGACTTGATTTTTAAAAGTATGAATGACTTACTAACATTAGCTGAAGGAGTCAGTGGGGATTTTAAATTTACTGTTAATTTGGAATCCTCATGAGGAATGGAACCTCTGACCTTCAGATTTGGCACTTTGTTGGATGTTCTACTAAAGGTGCACATCAGAGTGAAGAATCAGAAGGTTTGAAGTTCAATTTTCCATGGGGAATCAGTTTTTTTCTTTGTCTGGAGAAGACTAAAAGTAACTTTCTGTAATGGGTGTGGTGTTGAATTTAGGCTTGATTACATAGGCTATAATAGAGTGTCCATAACAGTTTCTAAATTTTACATTTTGGTCGACAATTTCTTTTTCCTCAGATAAACTGGAAGTTAAAGCTCCAACATCCTCCATCGTTGCTTATACTGTGTGGGGAGCACTGCGGGGTAAGGTTTTTGAGTCCATGAGATGTTTACATGCAGGGTTGTGTGAGGAGAATTTTATTTTATTGGTTAACTATACTTTTGTACAATAACTTGCTGAAATACATAGGAAACACTGAGAAATTCCATCTATCTCTCATTTGGTGCCCAGAGTTTTTATCAAGCATTTATAGGGTTGGATTATTCTTCAGTTTCTTAGCTAAATTCTTTGGCTGGACTTTGATTGCCTGAGCTGTCTTTTATTCAGATATTGAGCCGTTATGTAATATGTTATCTATAGTTTTATAATCTCCTGCCTCTTCTTTTCTTGTTGAAAATCCTGGGTGATGAGTACTAGTGTTTTCCAGAGGTGATTTTAAAAACTCATATTCTAGGTAGCAATTCATCATCTGGGAAACAGGAAAAGGTATCATTTAGAGGATATTATTTTGTTGACTAAATGTCTCACAGCTTGAAGAAAATTACTATTGAGTGAGATCTTGGGTCAAGTTAGGAGATTACTATTTACATGCAGCAGTGTTAGTAGCTGGTATAATTTTTTTTTTCAGGCCTTGAAACATTCAGTCAGATTGTTCACCAAGATCTAGATGGCTTTGTAAGTTATGTTTAAAATCATTTACTTATGTATAAGAGATGGATCAATGCACGTGTTGCCATTAAAAGTTAATTTTTGTACTGTGTGGTGCATTTTTTGACAACATATAGTTGCTAAGCTGATTATCAAGATGGAGACACTTTTAATGGTAAAGGGTCCTCTCACATGCTGCCCTAATCACTTCCTCCAATATGGTTATTATACTGTAACACTACTCAGAAAACTGGCCACCGTGCAATTCTTTCTTTTAGATTAAAGAAGGAAATATGAGAAAGCATGTCAGTTTCTCTTACACCATAACATTTGTTTCCCACAGCTCAACTTGTACACCTCCATAGATAACCAAGATGAAATTTCCTGTTACAACATCAATACAATATCATGCAGACAAGTGATGAGAATAAAGAAAAATATCAATGAGGGGATTAATTATTAGAACATTGATCTAATACCAAATTCTCCCAAGTAAGGAGACTTACTAATGAGATCTTGGGAGTGAAAGGATAAAGAAAATTTTTTCATCTTCAGCAATTAACTGTTCATTATTAATTTTTGCTTGTTTATTCACAAACAGTATTTTGCTAATGGGACACAGATTGTGGACTATCCTCGTTTCCATCACAGAGGATTTATGATCGACACCTCTAGACACTATCTAAATCTCTCTGTTATCTTTAAGTTCCTGGTAAGTTAAATGGTATTGGTCTTACACATTTCAAAAAAGAATAAGTATTTATATCAGGGGTAATTTGGTATTATCAAGAGGAACTTAAAGCTGACGTTTCAAGTGTTAGCCCTTCATCTGAGTGAATCATGTATACTTGAAATGCTATTTGTAATTACTTAATCAACAATCTGCCAATGGGGATTTCAGGGCCACAACAAACGAATTGAAACATTTTGAATAAACATACATTAAAGTGTTTTAAAACCCCAACTGGTGGGAGGCAAACTATTTGGCTAAAGGATGTACAAAGCACAGCTAAGGAGTTGAACTCAGGACAAACCAGAATATATCCCAGTGAGTAGCAGGGTGGATGGCTTGAACTCAGGACCACCAGATTACAAGTTCAGTGCCCTGACCACTTGGCCACACTGCCTCCACTTTTTTTTGTCTGCTATTGTTATAGGTAGGGGAGTTGCTCTTCATTTCTGATGCATACTGTGTGCCTTTTTTTTTCCACAGGATGCCATGTCATATGGAAAGTTTAATGTTCTTCATTGGCATGTTGTGGATGATCAATCCTTTCCATTTTACAGCAAAACGTTTCCACAGTTGAGTGGAGTGGTATGTATGAATAAGTGATGACATCTAGATAATTGATGCTGTTAATTTAATTGCACTTAGATTAATTAGGTCTCAGAAATGTTAACTTTTAATGGTTGTCTTGGGGGTTGAAGGCAAGTCAGGTGGCAGGCAGCAAATTTTTCTTGACACCTTGCTCGGTTTTGCTGACTACTGCTGTCATCAAGACTAGGCATGGCCAATAAGATGTTTTGATTATTATTGTTATAATAATTATGATAATGAACTGACATCAGTTAATGGTTTGAGTAAGTGCCAGCAGTGGCCATAATGGCAATCATTGTGTAAAATTCTTAGACAAGGTTCTCTGCATAAGTGCTTTTCTCCATCCTAGAGAACAGTGAGTTGTCAAGGAAACCTGCAAAAATTCTTAGCTGCTGCATGGCATGATGTTTTAGTTATCCCAACAATAGTCTGTAGTTCAGTACAATATGGAATAAAGTGGTTTTTTTTAGAATAGCAAGCAGGTGGTTTTGAGGGTCAGGAAGGCCTTCTATGTCCAAGGAGATATGGGCTCCCCTGAAGATCTAGGCTCTTGCTGTTAAATTTTTTTTTTTGGGAGGGGGTCAATCCAAATTCATGATTCTTTGTTATTCCAAGAATTCAACCAGTTTGACAAAATTTGAAGGAAATTCCATTATGTTAGCCAAGTACGATGAGGTTTGTGTAATGACTGTAAGTGGGTAGCCAGTGCATCACAAACAAGCTGATGAACATGCTATTCAGCTGTTATTGAACCTCTGCAGTCAGAATAGATAGCATGTGCTTCCAATAATTCAGACCAGTACATGTTAGTTAGATGGTGCCAGTTATCAACGGACAAATCCAATGAGTCATGTTACAGTTGTGCACTTAGTTGCCAAGCCTTTGATTTAGAGTGAGGCTTAAGGTGACCTTGCTGTGATAGAGACCAGTATCTAGTTAGCATGGTAACAAAGTAATTTACGTGTGAAAAGCAGCAAGGTTTGTATCATAACATGGTAAACCTTAGCCTCACTCCTGTTCAAAGGTTTGGCAACCAAGTATACATGGACTATTAGCATACCACATTGAGTATATTTGACTTATTTCAGGGTGCATTTAATAACCAAACACATATTTATACTGAAGAAGAAGTTAGCGAGATCCTGGAGTATGCAAGAATGAGGGGAATAAGAGTTGTTCCTGAGTTTGACACACCCGTGAGTTTTAAAAACATATTTAGATGATCACATATAACTTACTCAATAATCAGAAATTTTTAAATACAAAAATGTGGTTTAATTATTTAGAATACAACAGTTTGTCATGAACACTCTAGCAAGAACAGAGAAAAAAAGCCCTCTTTTGACCTATGCCTTAAAGTGTCCCTGACTCCTGCATGGTTCAATCACACTCGATCAAAAAAACCTCAACACCCCCCCCTACCCCCCCACCACCTATATAAAATTATTTGATCCATATCCCTGGACTAACATGTAGGTGACCACAACTGGGCTCTTAATGGGTTTTTACATTCAACACTTTCAAGCACATAAAATAGAATGAAACATATTTATGTGATGTTCATGTAGGGTCACACCTTTTCTTGGAGGAGTATTCAAAATCTACTGACACCATGCTACAAAGGAGGGAAACCATCAGGGTAGGAAGTTATGAAAATTAATTGTTGAATTTCAATTTTAATTATGGCAAAAATATCTTGATGCTGTATCAAATCAATTAAATACCATTCCTGTTAGTAATGGTGGCATTTTCTGATTGGATGTGGAGTCCATTTTATGGCAGCTTTTATTGGTAATGTTGCTTCCATCTTTCACATGTTTTAAGAGGCTGGCATATTATTGAGTTCATGTGGTATTTAATTGTTCTTGGTCTAAGATACTTATTATCCTACTTTATTAAAAGGTATTCTTTCAATTGTTACAAAATTGTTTAGTGCAGCCCAAACTTTGTTACCTTGCACCCACCAATAGTGTAGCTCCATTTTCTGCATATAAACACACCCAACCCACACTTCCTCCATGTGCTCTGGCAAAGGGCTTATGCTTGAAATAGCAGCTTTGAACCTCATGACAGTGGCCAATTTACATTATCAACTCAGTTGATAAAACTAATTTTTTGTGTTACACTCCCCCAGCAACATAGCACCCATCCCTCCATAGAGGGTTGGGACTGTGACCTTGTTCTCAACTTGCATGGCTCTGTTATACCAATCAGATTAAGATAGAGACAGTCAAAATGTTGGTCATTTTTTCAGATCTTATGGACCCATTAACCCAATCGTAGAGGCCAACTATGATTTCCTGACTAAGTTCTTTCGAGAGGTGGCAGAAAGATTTCCAGACAAGTACATTCACCTGGGTGGTGATGAAGTACCCTTTAACTGTTGGTGAGTGTGAAATTCAAAATTCTGAAGATTAACTGTGAGAAGTGTAATGTGTTAAATGTGCATCTCTTCCTTAAAACCCCACCCTCCCCTTCCTCCCCTTGCACATGAATAGATAGTGACCCTCATCAGAATTGTTTTGAAAAGGAAGTAAAATCCTTAACAGATGTGTTCAAACTTTGCAAAATTTATACCCATGCATGTGGAAAATGCAAAATAAAGTTGGAGTCAGCATTTTGTTTTTGCCCAGCGTGCCATGTCATTTTTAAAGATAATCATTTTCTTTTTTTATGTCAAGCATTTGTTTCATTACCAATTCTCTTCGCAAATTTGAAAAGGAAGCAGAGTGTTTTTAAATGGTGATAACATTCTGAGATTTTGTTTTGATTGTTGTTTTAGGCAAAGCAACCCTGAGATTACTGAGTGGATGACTAAAATGGGCTACGGCAAAAACTATTATTTACTGGAGCAATACTATGAACAGAAGTAAGAATTGTTATAAAAGATTATTAAATCATTAAATTTGTACTAAAATTAATAATAACAATAATAATGATAATAATAAGTAATGATAATAACAAGAGTCATGATAACAATCACAACTGCAATCACAATGACCTCCACTACAAACACAATTCCAATCACACTAACTACCACCAGGAACACAACCACCACTGCGATCATGAAACTTTCTCAATCACAACCTCCACCATGATCTGCACCTCAATTCCAATCTGCATCCCCATCCCGACCTCCATGATTGTGATAATGATAAGTAAATAAATGTTAATGAGCATAGGTGGTCAGCAAAGCTGTTGGTTTATTAGTAAAATGAAAGGGTATATCTCCCTTTCAAAGTGGTTGAAATGTAGAAATTATTGCCAAATCTGGGCAAATGGTAGGGACAATTTGAAAGGAACGAGTTAAGAAGAATACCTCATGGGTTAATTATTAGATCTAATGAAATACCCCCAGGATATCACTGCAGTGCTTCACTAACAAATCAATGCATGAGGCCCTATAATGAGTTTAGAATATCCTGTACTAAGAAAATAAAGGCATGTAATAAAGTACATAGCACACAATCTACTCAAAAATACTTGTCTTAGTTTTGGAGAGAAACATTAAATGTGACTGGTGACATTCATTGCATATATTCTATTTTAATTTTATTTTCAGGCTTTTGAAGATAATAGGGAGTCTGGAGAAAGATTACATTGTCTGGCAAGAGGTGATTGACAATAACGTGGAAGTTCTGCCAAACACTGTGGTGAATGTTTGGAAAAGTAGTCCAGCTTGGCCAGATGAGATGGCTAAGGTGACAGGGAAAGGGCTAAAAGCCATTCTGTCATCTTGTTGGTACTTGAACTATATTTCCTATGGAATAGACTGGCATAAGGTTTGTGTGATTTTTTTTTTTACCTTAGATTATAGGCTTTCCTAGCCATTGAACGCCCGGAAATTCACTATTTACTTTATGGACCCTGAACTTGGTTCCTTAGTGATAGATATGCCTTGGAAGTACATCAAGTGCCTATAGTGCTGCTGTAGAAACTGTAGAAAGGTCACTGGTAGCAAATTATAATGTGACACACCATCATTTATGATGCATTTTGCTATTTACAGCATGGACCCCTTTGCTGGTCTGGTGTGAATAGTCATGTGATCTCCAAATGAGAAATGTAGATCTCATTTATTTGTTCTTTGGTTTTATTTTTGTTTTTTTTGTTTTTTCATGTGTTGCAGTACTACCAGTGCGATCCTGAGAATTTTAATGGTAAGCTTTGGTGATTTGTTACTGATAATTTATGTTAGAGTGGAGCTTTCCTATAATAAGATATTATGCTCACTGTTATAGGTTAAAAATCATATGCCAAGCTCATAACCAATCAGATGCTCAAGATTATAAGACCAACTGTGACTTGGTCAAGTGCATTCTACTAATTTGAAGCCTCCACTTGTGGTATTTTTATTTTTCCATCTGGCTGTCATGTCCACTTTGGTTTTAGTGTGACAATATTTAATCCAAAGGGCTCATGACTGTGCAGATTAAGGTAGAATTAATGAATTACAGGCTCAGATATAGTGTTGCTCGAGAGAAGAGTTGGCTCAGCTGAAAATTGTTTTCCTCTAGTCTTCTTAGAAATGTCCGTGGTTCACTTCAGTGTTTTCCACCTGTGATTGGACATTCTTTTTCTAAAGAGGAGCATGATAGTGTAGCAGCACAAAAATAGGGGGTGGGAAAACAAGAAAAAAGAGAATTTTTGAATTAACAGTCAGGTAGGAAACTGCTTCAGAACTATGGTTTGAATCAGGAAATCTGGCTATTGTTGGCCAACCTGCTTTGGACCCCCAGTCAATAAATAATTGCATAAGGCTTTGGCTGACCCCCTAAGCCAAAATTTACGTGATACATTTTCATCTATTTAGGGACGGATGCGCAGAAGAAACTGGTTATGGGTGGAACTGGTTGTATGTGGGGAGAATTTGTAGATGGAACAAATATCTTGCCGAGAACTTGGTAAGACACATTATGTTTTCTTCTTAACTGGATCAATTATGTCATTTTTTAAATTATTGGTGCTTTTCAGCACTTTAAAGCAATTGACTTTGAAGCAATCTTGTTTCAACACTAAAATTTTAAAAAATGTTTGAGGGAGCAGGAAAAGCATCAATGAAAGTAAATATTTGCTTGTGCCAAAGACAAAACAAAACCAAAAAAAAACCTTCAGAAATTTGATTTTACTCAATGTGTTGCAGAAATTCCTAGATTGATTTTTAGTTAGAATTGTAAAACCTACTTCAGGCCCCGTGCACTTGCTGTTGCTGAGAGACTTTGGAGTAGCAAATCAGTGACAGACCTAGCTGATGCAGACAGTAGGCTTTGGGAACATCGCTGCCGCTATCTCAGGTAAGGAGGTGACACCCCACTTTTGATCCATACAGCAAACATCACTTATGTTTGCTCTAATGCTTAGAAAAGACTATGTTACAAAAAATAAAAACTTTTTACTGATATTACTGCGGATTTTAATTTGCTCTCATTATCTTGGTGGAAAAAACTGGTGGCACACCTCTACATGCAGATATGGACATGTATGTCGATATCTGCCACTGGATTACAAGGGAGATTGAATCAGACTTGTATAGAAGCTACCTTCCATGTGACTCAGATGAATGTTCTTTTATGGGGAATTCTTCAAGAAACTGAGAGGAAAATTATCTGACCTAATTTACAATGAAATGCAGTGCAGCTTAAGGCAATGATTAATTCTCAGACTTTTGAAGCTAAAGGATCAATTTGAAGACAGTAAAAGAGGTTTGATTAAGAGAAAATAATGGAACAGTTCTCTCATTCTCTCTCAGTCTTGTACTTATTTCTCTCCCAACCTTAATAGTGCTCCTCTGTGTGATTGTTTTTCTTGTAGGCGTGGAATCCCTGCTGAGCCAGGAGTCGAGGCCAAGTATTGCCGTCACGAATGGAATGTCTGAAGACAAGAATTGTTAAGAAAAAGCTATTTTCCCATTTTCTTTTGTAATTGATTTGTTATTTGCGTGAGACATAAATTTAGTTTCTGTAATGGTTAAAAAATCCATGTTAAGTTCCTGGTTTCTATTCTTTGCTCCAGTTTTGAAATAAAATATTAAAGCATAGAAAATCTGGCCGGTACATTGTAGTTCTAGGTAGCTGATACCATGGTGGTCAAAAATTCTGATTGAATATATCCCAAACGTGGTCCTTGTGTTGCAAGGCAAGCAGGCCACCCTATCTTCATACATCATTCAACAAGAATTATTCTCAGAAAGATCTGCAAAGGGGCAAGGACAAATAAGGTTGTAGGTTGAATCACCGTGGTAGAAGCATTTTGAAAAGTAATCAAAACCTTTAGTCAATCCAAGAGAAGGCTATAGATCAAGGGGAATGTGACCAGGGTTATTCACATCTGAGGGTGAGGTGACCAATCTAAGGGGAGAGGTAATGGCTTCACCTGGTGGTGACCTGATGACAGTAAGGGGCAAGGTACCTCAGCTTGATAAGGACACTATGAAAGAGACTTCATGGTGAGATGTGCTAGAAGAACTCAAACAAAGCAGAACAAAAAAACTGCCAAAATTTTTCACTCAAGTTTATTGCTATTTGAAAAAACAAATATTAGCAAAGGATGTCAACTTCAACATCATTAGCTTCATCTTTATTCCTTGAGCTTAGTGAAATTACCTGCAAAGTGAAAAAAAAAAAATAAAAAAGTGTCCCTTGGTAACTACTAGAAACAAAATTAATTTAACAAATTTGACTAGGCAAGATGTTACATGGCAGCGTCCATAGTCATAAATTTATTACAAATGTTTTAAACAGCTTGGTTATTTCTCAGAATCTATGAGTACCCTCAGAATAATTATTTCAACATGTAAAAATGAAAAAACATATACTTTTTCAATGACATAGTTTAAAATTCTTGGGTTTACCTTAAGGGATTCTCTAAAAATGAATTATAACTGTCTTCCAAAGACATGTAATCTCACCTCCTCATTCTGAAAGAGACCACTTTTCTGTTCTTTTAACATTTGTCTGTGAACTCGTTTCAACAAGCCTTTATGTTTGGAGGATTTTCTTGAAATTCTTTTCATACTAAGAGTTCCCCTAGGTTTTCTCTGAAAGAAACACACCTTATAGTGAGCTCATACAATTTATAAAAAACTGAAACAAAAGATATGCCATTTTCACCTCACTAATGCACTTTTAATTCTTAACTTAGCTGTTGAGTAAAGAAAGATATTAAAACACTCTCTGAAATTCATTTAACTGAAACTTTGACCTTCCTATTTCATTACCAAGGTTCTAACGTCTCAACTACAGAGAACTTGTTGCAAAACAAGATCGTCAACTACAGAAGGTTCATTTTAGAACAGCATTCTGCAAACTGCAGCTGTGACCACCAGTTTTCCTCTCTCAATTTCACCTTTTTTCAACACCATTAAAATTTTTACCTTTGAATGCTTCCTATGGGTGAAATTTGAATTCTGTCTGCATGTTTCTGACGTTGATTCTGGTAAAAAAAAAAAAAAAAAATGGCAGCCAAAGTTATTTCTCAACATGATGTTAAAAAAATTTTAAAAATGCTATCTACCAATCTTGTCTCATTCGATTCATCAAGAATTTCTTATGTTCTATCTCTTCTGACCATCAGTAACATGTGGCAATGACTTTTGTGACCAAGTCACAATTGGTTTAAAATTAGTTTTCAATCTGATAAACTGGCTACATGGTACAAGTTTCAGCAATCCTGCCTTACTTTCAACACTCAATTGATGATTGCTCTAGGTGGAGGCCAAAACAAGTTGTCAATAAAACAAACCAAATAATAAATAAATAAATGAGAGCTTAAATATTACCTGAGCACAGAGGACAAGAATCTCTAGAGAGATGGTCCTTAATGTATCTGTGTATTCTTTCAAATTTAGCTTCATTGAACGACTCAATATCTGAAAAAGGTTCAGCAACACATTCAACAAATTTGTTTTCTAAAACAAGTCAAAAAAGAATTCATGAAATCCTTAGTTTCCTTGACAATAGTTATTTAATCTTTCATTTGTTACCTGTCCACATATTTTAAAACTATACTTGCAACAAGAGTAGTTTCATGATAAATAATAAATGTTACACCAAGATACTTAAGGGAAATTTCATTTTCAGTCAAATGCCATAGTTACCTATTTCAAATTCTGTGTCTGTTGGAAGGACAGTTGCCTCCGGATTTATTATCTTAATGATGTCCATTTGTTCTCTTAGTCCCATGGTCATTGAAGCAACTCTTGTCAGCAATTCAACTGCCTCAACTTGATTATCTGATGACATTTTGTTCCTAAAATAAATTGAACATGTGAGCTTTCGGTTTTTTGTATTCTCTTTATCCTGAAAATTTTTTTTCTTTTTCTCAAAACCAACTCTGGGGGAAAGGAAATTTTCTACAACTCAGTCAAGATGAGTATCATTGGTGATTTGTTTAACAGTAAGTAAGTGAAGTGTCCACGAATTCATACAAGGGCAACATCACTATCTGCCATACAATTCTTGTGATCTTAATTTGGAGAATTTGGCACTGGATCAACTTATAATCCCCAATTCTCATCACTTGTCTGCTTGATAATGCACTTATATTGTTAGGAGAAATACCATCTTGGTCAAGCATAGCAGTTAAAGGGTTAAGCAGAAACATGAATTTTCCCTGGTAAGCACAGGAATCTCCAGACTTAATAACATCTCATCTCCCCTCCCACTAACCCTTTCACTTCCAGGAAGGACCAAAGAATAATTTCTCCTTACAATACCAATACAATAGCAAATAGTGAGGTCATGAGAATAAAGAAAAATATCAACCAAGAGAGGATACTTGATTTAACACCAATTAAACATCATCAAATCACCAATTAAACACCAGAGCTAACAAAATAAGAAAAGTGTGGCAAAACAAAGCAGAATTACTTTTGAGTTTGTTGCAGTGGAAGGGTTAATTTTTTTATTAGAGAAATCTTACAGAAAGGAATATACTATCAGTAGCACTTATTAAATGCAACGACTACTCAATGTGATTCCAATGTGAGAGTGACACATACATTAAGAGTAGGTGAGTGCCTAAGAAAAACTTCCAATTCAAAAAAATATGGCTTTAAAACAAGCACAATAAAGGATTTCCTATTCCTTTGAGTAAACAGTTGGAAACAAAATTTCATAACAGAAGACAATTCTAACCCAAAATGCCAATTGAAGTGAATATCACCCTAAATTGTTTGTTTAGTTTAGAACAAGGATTACCCAGCAAAAAGTATGGACTTGAATAACAGTTCTGATATTTGTCATATTGGACAAAGCTCATAGCAAGCATGCTTATAGAACCAAAGCATGCTTGGGATTTAACATCCATTGTTTTACCTCCAGGTCTGTTGTGGAACTGTGCACTGTTGAACACAGCCACTGGAACAAAGGAGGATGCCTCTGAGTTTAGAATCCAAATCCTCCATCAAAAAAAATGACATAATCAACCAAAGGCTTTGTCTCATTATTACAATTATGGGCCTTCCCTGTGGAATATTCGGATAATTCCATTTCCTTTATTCAGGCCAACTCATTTATTTTTAAGGTAAAATGGAAAATTCAAGATGTAATGCAATGTAATTGTGATATTAAGACAGGCTGGCCCAGTTTTAAACAATGACAGAGCTAGGCCATAACATCAGGAGCTACATTCCCAACCTTTGGTGAGAAGTGCCTGAGTTCTTTAACATCCCCTGCTAACAAATACAGAGTAGAGACAGGAGACAGGGCCTATGGCTTATCATCCTTATCCTTTGCCCATGTTGAAGCAAAGGCAGCACATTCCCCTCTAATATTTTAAAACCTTGAGTGTTGGTCTGGTCTAGGGCTTGAACCCTCCACCTCCCCCAGTGCTCTGCAGCATGAGCTTACCAAATGCGGTTAAACAGTTTACACAGTCTGCCTGGCAATTCATACTGCATCTGTCTCTCTTTCTTTTTTTTAATGACCAATTGAGAACAGGACTTAACTTTAAATACATCTGATTGTTGATTCTCCCTTCCACATTTTCTTATAAAGTTCTACCTAATAAGTTTGAGTATTCTCATTAACTGTTTGCTGGATAATGTATAGATATTGTAAGGAGAAGTTACATGTTTATCACTAATAGGAGAGAAGGGTTATTGCTATTTCCCAGACTCGCTTACCAACTCAAACCAAACTCCATGGAATCCTTTATCTTTTGGCATGGACACAAGGATTTACTTGAAGTTGAAATGGAATTCTTTTCTGCTTCCTTTTTGCTTCTCTGTAATAAATCATCCACTAACGTAGAGCTTTTACTCCTTTCAGTTTTCTGTTGATTCCTTTTTCTGCTGCAATGTCTACTCCAACTGTGGGAGCTGCTTTCTAGAGCTTTTAATTCTAGGAAAGAAAACAAAGAGTAATAGTTAAAATCAAGGAATTACTTTATTTATAAAATAGCTGTTATAGTAAATTTGTGTAAACAAATTAATTTGCATGAGCATGCTTCAAATTCATGCTTTTGACATCAGTAAACAAATGCCTGGAGAAAACATTTCCTCTGTGATTCATCATGAAATTCCTGTTTGAATACATTCTGACTAAAACTATGATTTTTGTTATTTAACTTTGGGAATATGTTCATCTGTTTTTATTTCATTGGAGCTTGTTTTGGTTAAAAGACGATTTATATTTGATTTATAGCAAACCTACAAATAAATGAAAACTTCTCCAATCTCTGATCTCAAATGAACACTATTGAAGAAATGTAAAATGGTTTCTGTGTTTACACAGCCTGATGCAAACACGCGGGAGGCTGGGAGAACACGAGATAAGTGTAGGAAACCACGATGTGAAGCGGAGTGGTTTCCAGCTTATCGAGTGTTCTCCCAACCTCCCAAGTGTTTACATCAGACTATGTAAACACTGAAACCAGTTACATTTCTTTTATAAAATAACTAATGAAAGAGGAACGAAAACCGTGTTTACAAACGCTCATTTAAAATGGTTTTATGGCCAATCAGAGTGCACGTACTATTTGAATTATTTTATAATGAATAATTGCAGATAGTCAATTGCAATAAACTAAAAAGTGGAGAGTTGAACACTAACCTTTACATTTCCTCTCTAATTCACTGATATCTAAATATGAACCCTACAAAGAAAATACATTTAAACAAATTGGATAATGGTTATTTTAGTAGATAAACAAATCCCAAAAAAGGTAACAGCCTTTAAAACAACAACGACCAAAAAACACATGTTTATTTTAGATAAGCAACTGGAGTAAAGGAGAAGGATTGAGGATATCTCGTGAAAAGTAGTTCTGCAGTGTTAACCCTTTAACTCCCATGAGTGACCAAGACAGAATTTCTCCTTACAATATCAATACAATATCAACCAGATGAATGATGAGAATAAAGAAAAATATCACTTTGGGGGATAATTAGTTGATCCAATATTAAATGCTCTGAACTAACATTATAAGAATTGTATGGTTGACAGTAAGGAGAATGACAATTTTTTTTTGATCTGGGAGTTAAAGGCATGAAGCATGAAGCATGAAGCATTTATTGAAAAATCTCTTTCCTTCTAATACAGTGCTTGTACATGTGAGTAACAAGCAAAAAGGCAACTTTAGTGTAACATTCTGGGACATGATAGGAGTTCACATGGGTTACACCATAGTAACCTTGATCAGTTTTTCTCTTCATAGATAAAAAAAGAAAGTCAATATTGACTAGACCAGGCCAATTCATTATCTGGCTATCTAAATATCCGTATCATCCTCACCGAAAAAGAAGCCATCTTTGCACCTTCTGACTCTATGTCAATAATTTCATTATCTGAGTTATATTCGGAGGAATCCACTGAAGATGCAGCTGAAGTTGACTCGCTGTACCAGCAATTCATTAATTCATCCTCCCTGTCAAATCCTTGGCCACTAACAAAAAAAAATTGTGCCTTAATAACCTTTAGTTAAGCCTCTATCTGACTGTTTGGTCTATATTCTTTATGTGCTAAACATGGTACAGGCCAAAATATTAGTTGATCAAACAAAAAGTTTTCTGAAACAGATTATTATGAGCACCTGACATTAATTTTTTCATTCCTCATCACAAAAACCATCATATTATCAAAAGTTCACAATCTGGCTCATCTATCAGGCTTATTTTTTTAACAACCCCGGACTTCTGGACAAGGTTAAAATAAAAATTATGGAAATAATCAAAATGATTAATCTTGTTTGTGTGGAACATCTAAAAATGAAAAAGAAAATCCAGTCATGAGTTGCTTACCATTCAACCTCAGCAGCAACATCATATTCCAAAAAGGATGGTGAAAAGTCATCAAATAGAGAGTCCCTGCTGAAAGGAGGGGGGCTGCCCCACAATCTGTGAGAGGAAACAAAAAATGTTTTTGAAGCAAATTTCAGTCAAGTATTGAAAGAAATCCAGGACTGACTTGTTTTGTTTTACTTAGCTATAACTGGTCTAAAAAAACTTGCATTTCTCTCGCAACCAATCAAATGGGAAGTTTAACCAATAATACCTTGGTATCTTGTCCTTTCCCACCCTTTAGGTGCCTATTTTTACCTTGAGACCTCATTGGCTACTGATTATGTTAATCTCCAATCTAATTGGCTGTTTAAATTACTTTGCTTTTGGAGTATTGGCGCCCTTAAGAAACTTCTCTATTACAATGAACAGACCTCATCAAAAGCAAAGGAACAATTGGATGAAGGAAGAAAACAGGAAAAAACCTCTGAGTCAGTGTTTCACAGATCAAAATCTTTTCTTATCAATACTGATCCCATGAAAAGAATATAACACATAATTATCATTTGCTCTCGTTAAAGACAAAAGTGAAAAGAAAAGAAGCGAAACATAGTGGGTTGTACAAGGCACTGACTTGTATCGATTCTTGAAGTTATTTTATACTTCAGCTCTTTACTAACTCAATACGTACATATACTTCTAAAGGCATTAAAAAGTGAATGGACGAAAACCAATCCAAAACAAAAAACAAAAAGCGTTGAGGCATTCTTGGACAAAAATGTATTCGCCTTCTTTGAAGTGCCTTTCAAAAACTGAAAGGAATGATCGACTGTATTTCAAGCCAAATAATGACTGTAATCGAACCATACAGTACTCAGATAAATTATTTACAAGGATACTTTAGTCTCAGTTTAAATCATATAGGCCGTTTACTTTTTAATAATCGAAAAGGCAATAAATGCTAACATCGTTCAAAGAGCTAGCAGAGGCATTCAATCGATCATGATCACAAACACTCACGATCAATGAAATTCACGTCAAAAAACACGAAAGTAAATTGCAAAAATATTTCACAACGCAGTACACATCTTTTCTCGAAAAAATGTTCGCTACGTCTATGAAAAAAACGAAGAATTACAATTCGTCTTTAATACTGAACAAACAATCTTCATCAGCTCAATACGATAAACGAACAAATAGAGAACTTCCGTGGTAAAAAATTCTTATAACACGTAATCGCTTCGCGACCACACGAACTATCGCGTCCCTGGTGACTTTAGAACAACGCTTACCTCATTTCACTAGGCTCTTCTGGAATCGCTAGCATTCTAAATGCACATCTCGAAACGTTCACTTAAAATTTTGGACTAATTTTCTTTAGATTAAAAGGCAAAACGTCTTAAAGAATCCATCAAAAGACTAAAATCTTCTCAGGAACAATGCATTCCTGCGAATAGCACCAAGGTTTCCTCTGCCGATTAGAGCCCACGTGGCTTTAACCAATCACAATGTAGCATTTCCGCCATGTGGGAGCAAAACTTGCGCAATTCTGGCTGCCATATTTGGCATTGGCAGAACTCAGGGAGAATGAGTACTAGTCAAGTCATATGACCAACCCACTTGGATCGCGTGACTTCTAATTTTAACTTTCTCAGCTATTCCACCTGTTTATCTTTCACAATTCTACCTTTTCCCTTCAGGTGTACTTCACCTAATCCACAAAAATATACACAAACTGGTTTTTTTCCCTTCAGAAAATCATAGAGACTGTTGGAGGTGGCGTATTTCGTCAGCTAGAGAAATTCGGCTAACTTGGTTTGCGTGACATGCGCTATATCGTACCAATCCCTTTTCGTTCTGAGCGCTTGGCCCGCCGTTCCCTGTATAACGTAAGGGATAAGCTAAGGAGATACGAAATACTTCAAAGGAAACATTTCAATTCTTTCTACCTCTTTTGCATGGAGTGAGCTGATGATAATTTCCCATTGGAGTTAACTCTCAATTTGACCAAGGTTACATTGGTAAAAATACTAACACATTTGCAAAACAGAATGAATCAATCATATAACAAAAGGCAACAAAACAATAACTACATCTTAATTTAGCAATAGGTTTCTCATCTAGCTGTTCAATGGAATTCCATCAATAACATTCCCTTATCTTGCTGCAGAAGGACTGCACTGCCAGATATAATTGGACCATAGAATAAACACTTATTGAAAGAGGTGTTAGTGTTATCCTGAATACTCAAGGTCAAGGTAGGGGTTATCAGCCAAAGCTGAAAGCCTGAGGCTGATAACCCCCACAGAGACCTTGATTATTCTGGATATCACAAAAACCAAATCTAATAATTGCTTTACAACACATTGAACAAAAAGAATGGTCATGACAGTAAGTGGAATTAATAATTTATTTCTAAATGAGTAAATATATATATATATATATAAATCAGCAAACAGCACACAGCATGTGAATTTGAAATAATTACCCTTAGAAATCATGCACCACAGTCATACATGACATGATTACTCATGGCCTTGAGCGTCCTTGACATGATTATTCTATAATCTGCAGCTAGATGACATTCCCAGCCCTGATTTTGAAAATTCATGGTACACTTTCCACCAATCAGAAAAGAGATAGTGAGTTTAATGTATAATAATATGTCTATATACACAACAGACAATTATGGAAACTACACAATCCACAAAAAATTGCATTCCTATAAATACAAAATTGTTTATACAAGACTTTGCAATCACTATTGATAATCCAAGAAAACAAAATGATAAAAAGATTTAAACTATAAATGAAAAAAAAGCATACTATTGTTATCTTCTCTAATATATCTCCTGGACCAAATTAAGTTTCAAATCAACATTATCTCTAAAAAACTGAGTAAAAGATAATAATCAAGATTTATCCATCATCCAATTTAAAAAATCCTATCCTCTTTGACCGGAAGTATTAACTTACTATCTTTCCACAAAGTAACTGCCACCTCCTAGAAATCACAAAATAATAATCAAATCCGCTTAATTTAGAAATATTCTGTTTGGAAAAGATTGCAAAAGCTTTGTGTTTTTATTTAGACATAGAACAGCCTAAGCATGTAAGTGGGAATTTCTTTTTAAACAAAATTGCTTGTTACAAGGTTAAGATTTCTCATTACTCCTGTTGCATATTGGAAGCTCAATTGATCATAATTTGGGATATTCCAAGTTAATTTTTTATATTTGAACAAAAATCAAGAAAACCGGTTCAAGCAGAAAAAGAAAAAATGCTATTATGTTTCCTCATTGGATTTTAGCTGTTGTAGCCCCAGCTTTTCTTCCAGTAAAATGTATGGTATTTGGTAAATCTTGCTTTTTGAAACCTGGCCAAAAAGACCCTGAAACTTGAACTCCTTCTTCATCTCTTGAAATAAAAGTTTGTAGTACACCAGTGTACCATTCATGCTTTGATTCACTTCTTGTCTCAAAACAAATGTTTGTGTCCTCCATTGTGCCATTTGTTTTGAATCCCACAATATCCCCTAAACAACATGAAGATGGAAAACAAATACTGCCATCGACACTGGACCCTGAGCTGAAAAAAATTATATCTAATGACCCTTCTTCACCTTTTCTACGAGTAGGTGTTACAATACTCAGAGTCCACAACCCTTCTAAATCCATATTTGAAGCTCTCTTGTCATCATCTCCTCCTTCTTTGTCATCATCATCATCTGTGCATTCTGTATGACCTGAGTCATTATCATCTTTTTCTGTAGATAGGAGCTTTGCAAGCTCTGGATAGGCTGTCTGGAATTTTGATCTTGGTAACAAGGAAACTAGCTTTACCTTCTTAAAAAGTTCCAAAAATGAAGAATCAGTTTGCGCCATAAGTGTTACAATCTGCTCCAGCTGCTCCTTATTACATTTCTTTATAACAACACAAAGCTCCTCAAGTCCACCATAGGACTCGTCATCACCATTATCATTACCGTCATCACTATCCTTGCTCAGTGCTCTCTTTCTCTTCTTTCCCTCTGTGTGTTTAATCTCAGTAGATTCCTTTCCATTGTTGAAAATTGCACAATGATTCGGCTTTCGACGAGCCCTTCTGTCAAGCTTGGCTAGGTATTCTTTCTTCCCGTACTTCTCTATTGCCGCTTTCTCTAAATCTTTAGGATTCCATAGTTTCACGGGTCTTCCTCTCACAGGATGTTCCATTTGACGGTGTTGGTAGTTCAGCATGTCCAGATCATCACTATTCAGGAAGAACTCTCTCTTAGCGTCAGTACTGCTTAACCAAGCGCTAATCTTCTCCCTTTGTTCCTGCTCTGACATTTTTATATTCTACAAAAGAAATAATGAATTTCAATTGACAAATTTGAGTAGTTCAACGATGTACCTGCTGATGACTTTTTCCACTGGAGGACTCCAGAGTCATCATTAAGCAGAGAATGAAGATGATTTGCTCATGTATAAGGGGAGGATTTTGGACAAACCGTAATTTAAGCAAAATATAAGACAAGAAGATGATTTCTTCAAAGAAAAACTCAACTCAAACCAGTAAAGTGGAAAAAAGCGCGAAAACAATTGCTACTTACCGTTAACATTCAACCGACTCTCGAGCAAATGTTCTACTTCCACTAGCGGGGGTACCCAAAGGAGCCTCCCCGTCCCCTAAGGGATTCTCTTAGATCTCGTATTAAAGTAAAATTTTTCTTCGGGTCAACTGAAAAAAAATATAATATGAGCTGAAAACTAATGAAATATTTTGCAAAGTTTAATGAAATTAAGTTGAAGTGTAAAATCATTTACCAGCTGCAATTAATATTTTAGTGTGAAAGACCTCAGTATCCCTGGGTAAGGACCCGTTTGAGGATTACCAAAAGGAGGCCATTATTGATATTTCCTGTGAATTCTGCTCCAGTCCACTGGAAGAGCAGCAGTGAGAAGTGTCATGTCTTCCAACTGAAGTTTCTCCCAGTAACTTTGTGTTTATTTGGTTTTGGACTGCTACGGAGTCACTTTCTTTCCGGTCAACACGATGACTACCTCGTTGCCAGCTTCCTTCAAGATTTTACGCAATAAGATGTATTCTCGACCAAACGATTTTTGAATACTTCATTCGAATAGACAGTGAAGTGTATTCTGAGTGTTAAATTTTTGATGAGCAGTTATCAGCAACCGAGGTTTACAAGCTTGACCGATTGGAGTTGATCAGCGATTATTTTCTCAGAGTGATGAGACGCGGAACAAAAACCAGAGCTGACTCTGATTCCCCAGATCTAACGAACATGAATCATACCAACGAGAGCGGTGATTCTGTGAATACGGGGATGTTAGATGAGGGAGCAACAAGTATATCGTCAGGAACATCGCATTCGAAAAGTGGCAAACACGATGACTCCAAGAAAGAAAGAGTGGTCAAAGTTGCTCTTCCTGGAGCGAAGAAAGCTCAGTCAGCAGCGAAGAAGAAAAAATCGACACCAGATTTGGTAAGATGTGGACAAAACATTTTGTTATGCTCGCCAAGTTTTGCATTCTTCTGAGAGAACGGGAATGTATATAATTTTTGTTAGTGAGCTTGTATTGGTCATTAGCTATATTTACTTGTAACTTTTTTTCTCACTCTTTCGGAAGGATGTGCACAAGGCAATTATGAAATGCCGCGAAGAAGGATCCACGCACCTAGATCTTAGCAAAGCAGCGGTAAGAATTTTTTAATCTAATATTTGTAATAATTAAACTGGAACTAAATTTTGGAGGTGGGCTGCATATTGTTCGATTATCCAGATCAACAGTTTTGTCCGAGTCAAAAATTTTTCTCAAGTGTATCGCATAAGAGCAACTTAATCGGCCGCGATGTACCCTTAGTGGGCTTGTAACCAAACTTCCAAGAAACCAAGCTAGCAGATATCAAGTGAGCTGCTAGATTTCCGGGATAAAAATCTACACTTTTGCCTCTGGGGTATTTGATTGCAGCTGGTCAAATTTCGTTGCCGATAATTTTTTTTTCTTCTCACGAATTAAACTTTTGAGGACAATCAGCTAGCAGGGAATATGTGCTAGGGCGTGATTATAAAACATGATCATAACATGGTTGTGTTTTTGACTTCTGCTGAATATTCGACACAGTGGAGAACTGGTAACACCTGCCTTCGGGAGCTAAACTACTATCTTATTGATTTTAGCTGAACTTTAGCCAGTGTGACATATCTATCAGGAAAGAAAGCTTTGTTAAGCTAAGCAGAATTTTGTTTGACATTTAAGCATATAAATAAGAGATTGGAAGCTTTCCTGAAAATTGAATATTCACTGTGTAGCTCTTGATCACAAAAGAACACAGTCTCACCTTGCATGACAATTTTACTGGAGTTTTTAATTTACAATTGTGTAATGAAGTGATTTTAATCATAAAGTCAACTAAAGCGTTGGCAACAATATATTTAAAAGCCATATTTCAAGGATATCCATTGACAATTTCAAATTATCCTAAGTGAATCAAAGAGTTTTCATTTTTAATTTTTTTGTAATATTATTGGTCTGTGTTGATGTGCTCAGGGCTGTGCATGAAAACATCATATTGTTTTGAAAATATTCTATGATTCAATTATGAGATGTGTTTCAATCTGGTTATCAAAGCACCAAAATAATGTTCAATACACATTTGTTTCAATAATTAACATAAATTTTTATAATTTAATTTAAAGTTAGCCTTGACATTTACATCTGAGTGTGAATTTTTGTCTCTATAAGAAAAACCTATTAATTAAGATTTAATCATTCAGAGCATTCCTACATTGAATTCAAACTACAGATGAACAAACAGTCTTAAAAAAAACTTAATTAATCACCAAGAAGGATTATTTCAGAAATCATAATCTCACGAACATATAGAGAAATTGACTTCTTGTTATATTATTTTCAAAAGAAAATATTCTCTGTCATCAGTGGGGAACCCTCCTCCCACTGGGAAAAACAGTATTTATCACTGTAAGCTCTTTTTTTAACTCTTTCATTCCTGATAGCAATTCTCCTGTCCACTAGACAATTCTTATGATATTAATTTGGGGAATTTTGGTGTTGAATCAACAGATAATCCTCAATGTGATGTTTTTAATTTTCCTGGTCACTTGTTTGCTTGATATTATTTTGATATTGTAATGAGAAATTCTGTCTTGATCACACACAGGATTTAAAGGGTTAAAATGATTTGAGTTATTTTATAATAATGGCATGAACTTCTAACTAAAGGGAAAAAAAATTGCTATCACAAGACACAAAAAAGGTTATGACAGAAAGATATCAAAGCCAGTTTTTCAAACATGAAGTGTAAAATTTGCTCCCAAAACTATTCAATTTGTAAATTTTCCTAGCAATTCAAGTACAATATGATTCAGAGAGATAACAAGAATCACAGAAATGACCAATAACTCCCAGAAGTGATTAACATGTCATTTCCCCCCCTATGATATCCATACATTATCTAGCAAACAAGTAATGAGAATACTCAAACTTATCAGGAATGAGTTGTTATCTTGATCTAACACCAAATTCTTGCAACCTATTTACAAGGAAATGTGTAGCAACTAGAAGGGAGAATTAACAATCAGATCTTGGGAGTTAAAGGGTTAAGGTTACATTTTCTTGATGTAACATTAACCCTCATAAGAGAGTCAATCCTCATTGAGAGAATTAGCCATGATATCTTGTTACATGTTGTAGAAGGCACTTTTTTTTTAACATTGGACAAGCTAGATGTTTCTGATTTAGTACTGAATGGAAATAACCCTAAGCTTCCATCTCTGTGAATAGAGCCACCATGGGGCCATTTAATTCAGCTATGAGAAACAAGTTACAAAAATATGGTTTAACTGATCCTTGAATTTAATTTTGAGGCAGAAAAAAGTGGCCATCCAAGCAAGATTGTAAAACTGTTAGGGAGACTTCTCTATTTGGATGAGTCTTTCCTTTCCTTGAAAAGTTTGCAAAAAAAATTTGTAATGCTATGCAAAAATGATTTTGTTTTTGTTTTCAGGTTACAGCCATTCCTAAGGAGCTCAAAGAGGTATGAGTGTTTGTCTGAGTGATTGATTGACTAATTACAGCCAACTGTATGTCTGACTGACATACCAAAGAATCAGCTGCTAGACCAGAGGACTTACCTGACTGTTGGATGAACTGACTGATCTACTTGCCAACTAATTTATTAATGAACCTAAAAACTGACTGTCTCCTAACTAACTGACTCACTCACTGACAGACCAACTGACAGACTGACTAACTAGTCCACTAACTGACCAGATGACAGAATGACCAACTGACTGACTTAATGACTAACTGAGCAACTGACTCACATACTAATTGAATAACTGACTGACCTACTGAACAACTGATTACTGACTGACTAACTAACTAACTAACTAACTAACTGACTGACTTACTTACTGACTGACTGACTGACTTACTTAATAACCGACTGGATGCCTCTTGTGGAGGTCTAACTTTCTCTTATAATTTTTTTTGATCTTTGTTTTCTTTTCAGCTGACCCAATTGAAGGAACTCTACTTGTATGGAAACAAAATTGCAACTCTTCCACCTGAGGTTGGGATGTTGAAAAATTTAGAGAAACTGGCACTGAATGAAAACAACTTGACTGACTTACCAGGTAATTAAATTTAATTCTAGCTTAATAATTTTTAAAGTTTGATGCAACTTTGTTTTGCAAGTTTAGATCAATCATAATCGTGTTACCATTGAACTGTTGAGTGAAAACAGTGACTTAGATACTGATTGTGGAAAGGGAGTAGAATTTTATGTGATGATACATGATGTACATGTAGATGATGTAGTTTGACTTTCAATTGATTGTCATAAACTTACACTGAAGCCAAAGCAATAACTGCAGCCATTCAGAACAGAGAAAAATATGGGAAGGAGCTGATGAAAACTCAAAGTATAAACTAGTACACTGCATGAAGCATAAAACAATACAATGGACTAAGTAGCATCTTATTTGTTGGGAGAGTCGGAGACAATTTGTTGCACTTTTCACTATTCAGGCAATCATTTTAGAATTGCTTTTATGGAATCATATATCTCCTGTTTCCTTTGAAAGGCTTTATTTCTTCTCCTACTGTTCTTTTTAAATGGTGTAAATCAAAGCATCATGGATTTTCTTGATAAGTGAATTGATGTCAAACATGGGTATTTTTTTAACAGATACTGTGGTAAAGCTTAAGAATCTAAAACTTCTGGACTTGAGACATAACAAGATGAAAGAGGTACCATTTTTCTGTCTTAATGTGCAAAAATGTAGGCTTGTGAAATTGACTTGTAGCTCAAATACAAATCGAGGGATACAATAAATAGCCATGGCGTAAAGCTGGATTTTGTGGCCAGGAATCCAGCACATTAATGTTGTGGCTGCTGCTTCTACCAGGTGACATTAGAATCAAACTATTTTAACTTGTATTACAAACAAGCTTACCATGGGAACAATATAATTGGTCTCTTACACATATGCTGTACTTGATTTATATCTAAAACCTACTGACTTTTTATTGATATTATTTATTCCTTCAGATTCCACCAGTGGTATATCAGCTTGTATCATTAACAACTCTATACCTTAGATTTAATAGACTTGTCATAGTTGAAGCTGGAATTGGAAATTTAAGGGTAAGTCAGGATGATTTTTTTTTTCCACATTTTGTATCACAAATTTGCCACCACCTTGTTAGTTAATTTTGGTACGTATGTTTCAGTTGAGATTATTGCATAACTGAGCATTGGTAATTAGGCACAACCCAGTTTCCTTTGTTAATTGCCATAGATTCAAAATTGAACCCCACCCAGGAAAAGACAAACAAAGGGAAAGAATAATTTTTGTGGTGTTGAATGTAGAGAGAGCTGAAAATTCGATATATTTATGGTAGTGTACAAGAGAATACTTATTAATAGGAATTTTATGCCCTAGCAAAGCCCAGGTATTCTTGGTGACCAACTTTTGATTTTAGACAACTTGCATAACCTGTATAAAAGCTGTTCAGACCTTGACACCCAGTTTCATGGGATTGATAACACAGCTGTAGAATGCATTTAGCATTTACTGCATCACATAATTACTCTTTGTCTTTTGAAATCATATTCTTGTGCAGTTTAATGATGTGATGAACTTTTTGAGCTATGAAAATATCTCATTTAAATTTATGTTTTATGTGTAATTCTAGATGCCTCTCACGGTCTCTTTTTTTCCATGAACAGCTCCTTGAGAGATTGAGTCTCAGAGAGAACAAGATTAAAGAGTTACCTGCTGTCATAGGTAATTTTAAGTGATAAGTGAAACTAGCTACACTTTGCCTTACTAGATGAAAAGTCAGCTGAGTTTGGTGGATTATAAACTGTACTGTTCAGAAGGCATACATTTCAATTCACAATTTATTTGGTCGCTAAGGTCCAGGTTGGTGGTAATAAAAGAAAGCACAGGCAGGCTAATCAGCCTAATCATGGTATGTTTTTTTGCAGGTCAGCTCGTTCATCTTCTTACCCTGGATGTTTCTCACAACAACATCACAAGTCTTCCTAGAGGTTAGTTATTGTAGTAGTTTATGGCTCTATCATCCATCAATCAGTCAGTTAGTCAATTGGTCAATGAGTTGGTTGGTCTGTCAGTCAGTCAGTCAGTCAGTCAGTCTGGCAATTGGTCAATGAGTCAGCCAGAAGGTCATTCAGTCAGTTAATCAGAGGGTAAATTAGTCAGTCTGTCTCTCTGTTTGTTGGTCAGTCTGTTTTTCTGTCTGTCAGACAGTCATACATACCAAGTTAAACAACAATCTTTGAAGGGAAGCCACTGCCAAAAATCAGTTACAGCTTCCAGTTGGCTCGACACAGCTGTAGATCAGAGCCAGAGGAGTCTTGTCATTTTAACCATTACAGAGATTTGATTTTAAATACAACATAAAGTTTGCAAAATCATAAACACTAAATTGGTTATTGTGAAGTTAACCAGCTAAAAATGGTGATTGTGCATGACAGCATTGAAAAATGCAGGTTGAATGGTACTGAGATGTACTGCTGATAAGCTGATAATACAGTTCCTGCAAAGTTGTTAGATAATAATCTGACCTCTTTACTAACTGTGTCTTTTGAATGTGCAGAAATTGGAAATTGTGTCCAAATGACATCACTTGATCTTCAACATAATGATATTCCTGAAATACCTGACACGATAGGTAACTTGACTGAAATGACCAGGTTGGGGCTCAGGTAGGTTTGACAACTACGTTGATTAAATAGTTCCTGTAACAACATAAAGTGGAGAGCATGCATAACAAAGTATACTTTGCTATTTGTCTTTAAAAAAATGTGAACATACAGCATGTATACTTGCAAAACTATAGAATTGTATTTTGTTACTGAGTGCTGACAAAGCCACGAAAAGCATTGTTTTTGAGCAATGTCAATAACAGTATGTATGAAAAAAAATGTTCTGTAGTTTTTGCTGGGTGCTTTTCAAGACAAAAGTGACCATGATCATTGTGAAATTGGATGCATATTGTACATGTGATGCATGGTGATATAGAGTATTACAAAAAATAACTACTGATAGTCAAGAAGAGGCGAGGTATAGTCACTGTGATGTAGAATAAATAAGGTGGAAACTGATATTTACTTTTAAAAGGAAGTCCTTTTTGTCAACAGATACAATCAGCTCTCTGCAGTGCCTGCATCTTTAGCAAATTGCACAAAGATTGATGAGTTCAATATTGAAGGCAACAATGTCTCTGAACTACCAGTAAGGATGTTTAGGTTGTATTGTCAAAAAATTGTGTTTTACAAAGATTTAGAGAGAGAAATCTCTAATGAAACTGTCAGATGAAGGTGAAAGAGAGACCAAATCTGAAAATCTGACAGGGATTAAGCATGACCCTAAAGCTCTTTACCCACATTCCTTCCTTCCTTCCTTCATTCATTCATTCATTCCTATGAGGCCAGCTTGCTAGGAGAGCAAAAAAGTAGCCCTATTCCAACAATTCTTTGACTTTTCTCCTAGTCCGATTCAACCTTACAGCATTGTTGAAACTCTTTCTCAACCATACTGTGCTTAACTTCAACTGTAGTGTCAATGGACACTATCTTAATGGAACAGATCTTTTTGTATTTGATACTTTTAACTGAAATATTTCAATTATGATTGTCAACTACATTTGAGTGTGATTTTAGGAATTACTTATATTAGCAGCTAACATTTTTCTCTTGGTTTTAAGGATAATCTTCTTCATTGCTTGAAAATGTTGAACAATGTCACCTTGTCCAGGAATAACTTTGAACATTTCCCAACTGGGCCACCCAAGCAATTTGCTGCAGTTCAAGTAGGTTATAATAAGCTTTAATTTTTATAGAGTTTTTATTAAAGAAAAATAAGGGAAGAGGGTTGCAACTCTTTGCGGGTGGGTGTTTTTCTGGGTGTGTAATATACTCTCACTTTGCCTTCTTGACTGTCAAACCAGGCTTATTTTAGTTTCACAATAACTACAATGTTATTTTTTTGTTTACACTGACATAACTGGTAATCTATGGTTACTAAATTACCTCCTTTACTGTCAGACTTTTACCATGGAACACAACAAAGTACAGAAAATTCCATTTGGAGCCTTTTCAAAAGCAAAGTATTTGGTAAGATAATTATAATGATTAATAGATCATACTTTTTCTCATTTTGATACAATCATCCTTCAATAGGATCAACATGTTCAAGGCTTGAAATAAAGTCCTAGTTAGTTGTTGTTGATAAATAAAAACTTTCCAGTAATGCCATATTTGTATATCTGGGTATCAGCCAAATGATATTTGGAGAGAGTGGTGACATGAAATGAAGAATGGCAGACAAATTGAGGTGACAGTGTGGTGAGAATGTTCTGCCTTCTGTTCCCTGCCTTACTGCCCTCCAAGCCTTTCACTCCCCTATTGCCTTGTGTGTGGGCAAACACATCAGAGAAATGTTTGTATTTTGACAACAATTTTTCTTCACCTTTCCACCTTTTCAAATATCTTTTCCTTCCGTTCTCCTGTATAACTCCAACTCCTTTGCCTAAACCCCCTTGTCACTCCCCACAAATAAGGATTGTGTGTTGTCAGTTGGAAAAAGTATCAGAAAGACCAGTGTCAAGTGGCTATGTGCATTGTAGAAGAAGTGTACCATAAACTGACCAATGGATGCCTCTATTTCCATACACAACAACAAAATAGAACATACACCCTTTAACTCCTGTGAGTGACCAAGAAAGAATTTCTCCTTACAATATCTATACAATATCACACAGACAAGTAATGAGAATAAAGAAAAATATCAATTATGGGATTACTAATTGAACCTACACCAAATTCTCCCATCTAACATAATAAGAATCATTTGGCAGACAGTAAAGAGAATTACTAATGAGATCTTGGGAGTTAAAGGGTTAATTTCATAAAATGATTTAATTTGATCAAAAAATATGTATGTAATCAAGGGAGTACTGGAATAACTGTCATTGTAGACAGAGTATTGTAAGTTACAATACAGATTTAATGTAACTAATCTAATTATCTAATGTATCTGTTATCTAGTAACTAATTTATAGTAATGTGAACTTTTAATCTGACCCTATACTGAGCACTTTTCGCTTCTTTACAGACAAAGCTAAACATGAAAGAGAATCAAATAGCAGCACTGCCATTGGGTAAAAACATGTGCATGTTGTTATTTTTCTAATAGCAGAATCCCTTGATTGTTAAATGTTATTGGTGTCTGGATAGTGATGAACGTTCCCCTTTTTAAGTGACTCTTATATGTCTGAGATCATTCTGCAAAATTAAGACTCTTCTGACTGTCTTGCACTATTTTCCTGTTGGTTACATGCATGCTTTGTTGTACGTGAAACCAAAACTGTTTCCATAGGTGGTACCCTTATTGAATTCATTATTCTCCATGAACTTAAATTGAAGTTTCAAGGAGAGAGTACACTCATGTCACTAAATTTTGTCAATTAAAGGCATCAACTTTACAACTAAAATTTGGCCATGTTTAACAGTGTTTTCAAGCCCAGATCTAGTAAGTGTTTTAGATATTTTTTTTTATCACAGACAGCCATATATTGCACCAGAATATCATGGACTTTAAAATTACTGATTTTTTATGACACTCAGCATTTAATATGGTGTAAATGGTGTAATTATTGCTTCTTGAATGTTTTGCATTTTGAGCACAATGATATTTTATTTTCAGATTTTGGCAGCTGGATTAGTCTGGTTGAGCTTAACCTAGGAACCAACCAGCTTTCAAGGCTTCCAGGTATGTCATCTTTATGATTATATCACTTCAACATATGGGAAAAACCGTCGAACTACAGTTTTCATTTGAGTTTACAGAAATTTGGAATTGCTGTGGGTTTACCTCACCACACTCTGTGGTGAGCATTGCTTTAAAAAACTGGCAAACTTACAACCCTCATTTGAAATGTTCTCTATTAAATTTGACTGATTGAATTCAAGTTTATTAAGTAGAGGAATACCATGCTGTCAATAAGGGCTAGAAGCTAGCCAAAACCCTCAGCTAGTCTGCCATTTTCAGCTGGCTACTTTCAACTCATTTTACCATAATTACTGACGAAAAATCCCACAGTTATCAAAATGTTAACAAAGGTTTAAACCATGTGGCTTTAAAAGGCCCACTTGACACCTTTCTCTTTGTGAACTGTAAATAAATTTGTAAAAATGAATGAATCCAAACCCTGTTTAGGATTTAGATAAACATTTTGTGAAAACTCTGGGGTCATTTTAATTGAGTACTTCTTAGTCTTGCATGTAATGTCATTTATCTTGTTGCAGAGGATATTCAGTGGCTTACAAACCTTGAAGTTCTGATTCTCAGTAATAACCTTCTTAGAGTAAGTATCTCATTGTTGGACTCATTTTGGTGTGTAGATAAACGATTCTCACAATGAAATACAGCAGACAAATAACATATACTGGGAAGGAATTTTTTTGAAGTGATTAGAGGGTTTTTTAAAAACCTCATGTAGAGGCAGACCATTAAACTTGTAACAGAGTGATGTCAAGAATTAAACACTGTGTAACCATTAAATTTCTTTCTTGAGAGGAGCTCTACTCTTACTAGCCTTGTGGGATTTGTTCTCATTATTGACTCTCACGTCATCTTCTTTTACAGAGATTACCACGTGGCTTGGGTGAACTAAAGAAACTTAGAGTACTAGACTTGGAGGAAAATAGGCTGGAGTTACTTCCAAATGAAATTGGTATTTAGAGTGATATTTATTGTTACTGACAGGTTGATAAGAAATTTGAACTTCTGTTTTTGGAAAAAAATGAGATAACTTGTGTACAGAAGCTTTAATTTTTACTCTTTGTTTTTTCCAGCTTTTCTTAGGAGTTTGGAGCGATTAGTTCTGCAGTCAAACAATCTAACAACTCTTCCAAGATCAATAGGGTTAGTGAAATCTTTGTCAAAATTATATTTAATGCTTTTATATTATAACTGAAAGTAAGTTACTTAGAAAATGTTAAGTCCATGTTTAAGCCTTTGGCATCATCCCTACAAGTAAATGAATAAATGTTATCCAAAGGAGAAAGATGGCAATAGTTTAGAAAACTGCTTCAGGGCTTATCTAACTTACATGTTTATTGTTGCACTTTGTCAGAACAGAGAATTACTCATAAGATTTTAGGGTTAAAGTTGTGATTTAAAAATATAAAACACTGATACAAACTGACTTGTTAAGAAGGATCATATGATGATTAAACTACAGAAATGATTTGTTTGTGTTTATAAATTCCTTTTTTCTCCTGTTTTATTAAGCCAGAGATTTACTTTGAAAATTAAAATTAAAGTTTCTTTTCTTTTCCTTTTCACCAGATACCTCACCAATGTTTCATATCTAAGTGTTGGTGAAAATGACCTCACTCAACTTCCAGATGAAATAGGTATGTAACCACTCACTCAAGATTCACACAGCTTGACTTTCAATCAACTGAATGGTGATGATATACCGTATTTACTCCAGTAAGGAAACTCCCCCAAATAAGTGCCTTCCCCCTTAGGCCATAATAAAAAACAAGTGCCCCTCTCAAAAAAGCACCCCCCCCCCTCCCACTCCTTCCTCTCTTTCTTAACTAGAAGGGATACAAGGAAGACCTGAATACATTGCCATTATTTTATAACTTTCAAAGTTCCAACTAAAGTGGAATCAGTACAGGAATTGAAAGTTTCTAATTAAGCATCCCCCTTCACCTCACAACAACAATCAAAATAATAGATAAAAACAAAAAAAAGAAAGAAAATGACAAAGAACAACAAAAAATGGCAGGGACACCGCAACAGCATAGCCAATTACAGCAGGCCTCTTTTCCAATAAGAGCCTCCTTTTAGCTGAAATTTTAAATAAGCAACCCCTAGGATATACAACAGTATTTCAGCATTTAGACTAAGACTGTGAATTGTTGATTATTATTTTACTTTTTCTCTGTTTATTAAAATTCTTTTTAATAGGTAAAATGGAATCCCTTGAACAGCTGTATCTCAATGACAATGACAGCCTTCAGTCTCTTCCCTATGAACTTGCTTTATGCAATGCATTGCAGATTATGAGCATTGAAAACTGCCCTCTAAGCAGTTTCCCAGCTGAAGTTGTGGCTGGTGGACCATCTTTAGTCATACAGGTACAGTGTGAGCTCAGGACTTGAATCTGACAATGTTCAATTTCTTGAATTTGATTCAGCGGAATTTGACAAAAACAGGAGAAACCCACTTCATGACCTTGTGCTTGTCATTTTTATTACCATTATTTTTTTTTACAACAAAGTCACTGTAAATAGGTTATTTATTTTAATAAGCTTTTTAGTTATTTTTCATAAGGATAGGAAAAATGAATTATCTGAATACTCCTTAGGGAAGCAAATATCAGACCTTTAGATTTTAATAATAGTTTGTGATTTAATACTTCATTACTGAATCACAGAAAACTTGTTGGCAAGCTTCAGCAACTGGCAATAATTATAGTAATTGACACACCTCACCTTAGCAGGTGGTCAACAATCCTCCAACATAATAAACAGAATCTAGTAATTTGTCTTCAATAAGTTACTTGAAAGTTAGGGACAATTTTTTTAACATTATAAAACTTTGAAATGGGGGAGATTGGGAGATAAATAAAATAAATGGGATTTAGCAGTGGACATTCCACAAGCTAGCTCTTCTTGTCCAATGTTTCCATGTCGATTTGGAATTTAGAATGTTGGTTTTTTTGTGGAGGGAGGAAAACTGGAGAACCCAAGGAAAAAAACATCGGAGCAAGGACAAGAACAAACAACAAACACAACCCTCATGTGACTCCAGGTCTAGGAATCGAACTCAGGCTAAACTCTTGGGAGCAAGCACTCTCACCACTGTACCACCCCTGCTCCCCTGTAAATGAAATTTAAAATTTAAAGAAGAGTAGAGCATGGCATGACTTTTCCCACTCGTTGTAGACTACTCACTTGGTCCATGAATGACAAGCATTAGACAGGGATAGAGAGGTTTGATCATTTCATTTGTGGTGTAAGGAGTCATTGACTGAAACTCACAATAATTTGCAAGTTTTGAACAATTTGTTGTGGCTAATGAAATTTTCCTTTTCTTTTCTTTTAGTATCTGAGACTCCAAGGACCATACAGGGGAATGATGGCACAAGCAGGACTGGTACCTTCATCAGATGTCTGAGAGAATATTTTTAATGCTTTTCCACTGGTGCTGTGTTCCTGCTAGGTTTTGTTTCAGTTTTTTGTTGTTGTTTTTTTTTTACTGATGTCTTTGGCTCTTAAAATTTTAAAGATATGAGTGGTAATTCTTGCTGCATATTTTTATCAAACTAAGTAAAAAGAATTGGATGTTGTGTTAAGAAAATGTTTTTAAACAGATAGTTTTTTTTTAGTCTTATTTGTTTGTTGGCTAAAGATTAGAGTTTCGCTGAGTTTAGCATGTGGCTTGAATTCATGAACCATGACATTAGGGATAGTTAAGGGAGCTTTGTCACAATTGTTAAAGTGAGTTTTTGTATCGCAGCAAGCTGCCATTAGATTGAATGAACTGTGAAATAATTGTCCACTCTCCCAAGCAACACCAAAGATAAAATGAAAGTGATTGAGGTTGGAAAAATCAAAATGGATTGCAAATCAATTAACTTTCAAAATTTTAGCTAATTAATGGCTGTGAAATAAGCACAAATTTTTGTTCTGTCAACACTCTTACTTTCTCTTGCCTAGCTGAACATGTTGCTCTCAGTTTTTTTCAGTTTTTCTCCGCTAACCTAGTTTAAATCAGTTAGTTGCAAGAGATGGATTCAAATGTTAGTTGAAGCTAGACATTCCAAGACTTTTTTTATTTTTTAATTCAGCCTAGGCACAACTTCACTTATGGAAACAATGTTGATATCTGTAATGCTGGTTTTGTTTGATGCCCTTTTTTTTTTTTTTTTTTTTTTTTTTTTGGAATTTTGCCACAAAATTGGGTGTGGTCATGATACATAAATTTGAGACCTTTCCATAGATTGGTGATTTTTGTAGTGTTCCTTCCACGGAAGGTTCTTATAGTTTTCATCATAGATTAGGTAGATTTAAAGCGTTACTCAAGATTTACTCAATTTAAGGGGACTCTTTCATTGGGCTCCAACTCGTTTTTTAATGTTTAAAATTTTGAACAAATTTATTTTAGGTCAGACTTTGGGGAAGTCAATTTTGGTAAATTTTGTGATAGATTCTTAGCAAGCAATAGACATTTTGTGGTGGAAGGAGAGAGTTTTTTTTTACATTACACTACCTGTCACTTTAAGGGTGGGGTACCTGCTTTAGACTTACAGTAGGGGCAATTATCTTATTACATATACAGAGGTAGATTTTATCAACAATAATTTATGGTTTTCTACTAATTTAGGAAATTCTAAAATTCTATTAAATAGAAACTAGAGATAAAGAAAGGCAACCACAAGCTTTTGAATGGAAATTGGACAAGATTTGTTAAGTCACTGTAGTACATTATGCAGTGGAACATATGACTACAATTGTTTGTAAGGTCCTAGAAACTCTGAGTTGAAATGAGAACTTTGCTAGGAAAGCACAAAACCTTGGAAAAGTTGGAAATCGTTTCCAGTACAAATTTTTTTGGATAATTTTCCTAGAAAATTTGAAGTTACTTGAATGGTATTTTATAAACATGTACTTACACCCATGCAAACCTTACAGTCCAAGAAAATATGATACTTGTCACCTTCAGTCCAAATATCAAAATTACTGCCTCCATTTTTTCTTAATGTCAATCATTCTAATTGACAATTTGATATTTGAATCAACACAGCAAATTTTCGATGAAGCTGATTTTGGTTCAACTTTCACCTGTTTATTTGGGAATTAAAAACAGTCACATTTCTGCATGGCAAAGAAAATTACTTGTTTGTAAATCAAGGTACATGTGGGAAAAAAACTTCATGGCCAAAAGTCTCCAATCATTATTTTTTTACAACTGTCAAATTTTGTCAATTGTACAGTATCTGGTAGTAAGTTTATCACAAAATGGTTGTATAATTTTGATTTTGTCCATTTATCTTTCACAAGTGAGCTGTCTTTATTTTAAATACCACAGACTCTTGAACTCAGGATGTTCTTTCAGTGGTGATCTGTCATTACATGCAAGTTAGAAGTTAGTCATAGTTAGGCTCCATGATTGTAATGTTCTTAATTATTGATTTCCAAGAGATTCAAGATGGCTCATCAGAAGTAGTACTTAATATGCTTTGTTTAAAAAAATTCATGATCAAAATTGTGGGCTCGCCCTTTGCTTGCCTTTGCACTTCAATAAAAACAACACAAACAGATCTTTCTGTTTCTGTAAGTACCAATAACTTGAAATTAACCTTGATGGGTAAAATATCTTTTACTGTGATATGCCACTTTAATTAGCGAAAGCACATACATGAAGGGCAGGTACTGTTACATTCTGTTATGAGCTACCTGAAAAGGAAAGAATGCACAACTTGCCAAGAATAAAAACCTGAAAGGAATGAGGCTAGAGCACTAGGAACATACCCAAGAGAGAGAAATGCTTCTTTCATGCATATTTCTTGCTAGCTTGTTTCTGGAACAAGGAGTGCCTGCTACACTTACAGGCTGTAAAGAATATTTTTCTTTAATGTCTTAAAATATTCAAGGAAAATGCGTATTTTCAGTCATTATGATTTACATGTGATATAAGTATGGACAGCCTTACAAAATAAGCCAGCCACAGTAAATAATAGTGGAGTTAAGTTACTATAACGAAAGATATCATTAGACACATTTCAATAGTCATTTATATATGTTCATATAAAGTAGCCAAACTTTTTAATCAAATAAATAAATTTCTCTGGGAGCATTGCGAGTCACTTTTGTCTGTGAGGTCATTTGAAAATGAAATTCTTTGGGTTTCTTGCTAATGAGCCAGTTCACCCCATTCACCTAAAGTTCATCATCTCAGGGGTCCACTCAGGAAACGATAAGCACATGGTAGCAACCCAGACTAACCCTATGCTTACTGGGTAGGTCTTTTAACAACCTCTCCTGATAAGTGAAGAAAACCCCATAGTAACAAGACTGGAAATCTCACTGACTCTCCTCCAGAGTCTCCCCCAGACCATTGAGTTGTGTTCTAGAGTGAGATCTTTTACTGGCTCAGTGCATTTCTCCCACAAGGAGTATAAAAGGGTTCCAACAAACTGATGCAGAGACCTGAAAAAAATGATGGGATATTCCTGCCATATTCCCAGTCTTCTTGACCCTTTAGACCCTAACATAAGTACACACATTCTCAATACAGTTCTCTATACATTTCCTAAGGTGCCAATAAGGAATACTCTATTTAACCCTTTAACTCCCAAGATCTTATTTGTTAATTCTCCCCTCTAGCTGCTACACATTTCCTTGTAAATTAGAAATGAGAACATGGTGCTAGATCAAGATAGCAGCTTCTACCTGATAAGTTTGAATATTCTCATTAATTACCTGTTTGCTGAATAATGTATGGATATTGTAGGGAGAAGTTTTGTGTTAATCACTTCTGGCAGTTAAAGGCTTAACAATCAACAGCTTCTCTTATTTGTGATCATTTCCTTTATTCTTGTAACCTTGTTGTTTGATTCAAGGGTGATGTTGTGAGAAATTAGATGCTTGTCACTCTTAGGGTGAAAGGCTTACTGCAGCAGAAAACAGAATGACACACTCGACTCGTAGTCAGACTTAACTTTTACATACTAGAATTATGCACCTATCAAATACAGGAAAAAAAGGAGAACACCAACTTTCCTAAATAAATACATTTTCACCATACACTTATGTTGATATTGTTGTTTCCTTTAATCAATTGTTCTCTTTTTTCCATCAGTCAATCCAACTGAACATTTAACCCTTTAACCCTCAGATCAAATTTGTAATTCTCCTTACTGTTCACCATACATTTCTTCTAATGTTGGTTCAGGGAATTAGGTATTGGATCAACTTATTATCCTCAAATTGATATTTTTCTTTATCTCATCACTTATCTGGTTGATATTGTATTGATATTGTAAGGAGAAATTCTGTCTTGGTCACTCACAGGAGTTAGAGGGTTAAATATATGCATGATGCATGGAAACATCAACCCCAGACTACTACAAACTTCAAAGGCCCTAAAAGTTGTTAGTTGCAAGTGAAGGTCATCAAAATTTTTGGTCAAATGATTGATTGTTTTTACAACTGAAACTCTAAAAATTGCACCAAGAAAAACAATTCCTTAGAAAAGATAGTGAAACTTTAGCCGCTTAAAGGCAACCATTCAGCTGTTGTGCAGTGTGTGGTTATTTCAACAGGACTCATTTAAAACTACAACCTAATTTGCAAGGTTGATGCACCAGTGACACTGGTTAACCTTCAAGTAATGAATTGTTTTTTAAGAGTCAAGAATTTCTGATCTTTTTTAAAGCTTTCCTTTACATTGAATGCACCTATAGGTTTATTATCTCCTGGGAATGCGAATCTGCTGGTGATTCAACACGCGCTGTTGAGCTTTTTTCTTAACCATCTGTAGTCTTTTTAATGCAGAGTGCTGCATGGCTGCCACATTCTGTGAAGAAGTTGCCCCACTGCCCACAGACGGCTTGCCAGCCCCAGCTGATGATGATGAAGCTGTACTCAGTGCTGGGATGGCAAATGACTGATGCATGGTTGGGGAGGAAATGGGCTGAAAAAAATGAAAAAAAAACCCTTAAAACCCAATTTCATTTCCATGATTTGTGACTGATGTACAAATTGACAAAAACTTTTGCTGTGGCCTTTTACAGACATTTTTTTAATGAGCTATGATGAAGTAGAACATTTCAGTCCAAATGCGATTTAACCTGACCCAAGCAGCATATTTTATTTTATCTAGTTTTTAGCTTATATTATTATAGACCTGTCCACCAGTTTTATAATCCTCAAATGCATTTTACTTCTAATTATGGTACTTTGAGGATCAACAGCCACTAGTTCATCAGTTGAACTACTGTTGAGTGTGACCCTCCTTAAATAAAGTTGTTTGTTTGTGTGTTTGTTTGTGTGTTTGTTTGTGTAGCCATACCCTCCTCCTCAAGATGAAACAGAAGGGAGGGAATGTCTAAGGAAACCTCGCTTTCCATTCACCTTGAGGGTTCCAGAAATTAAGAATTAAAAACAGAAATTAAGAGATTAAGAATTAAAAAGTCCTACATCATAAGGTTTCAGACTGTTGAGAAGGTAATAAAAAGAATGCTCAGTAATCAAGTTTTTTTTTACATAAATATTTTTACCTTAGTTTCATTAATGGAGGGTCTTTTGAAGGGTGCTAAAGGCACAGGTCTGTGAGAGGAAGACAGTGGTTTACTGAATGTTGCAGACTCTGTTGGGCGTGACTTTGGAGATGCACTGCTGGCCTGCAGAAATAATTTTAAAAATTAAAAATGATAAAACTAGTGCATACAAAGTATTCTAAAATTTGGCTATGATTACAAAAAGTACATTGATATATATAGTGCATAAATTATGGACTCTACTTTTACAATTTTTACATGCATCCTTGTTGTCCCAAAGGAAACAGTTTGAAACCCAGGGGTAACAATGAGGCATGTAATGTAAGAGTAGTCCTGAAAAGGACTGTTATCGGTGATGGTGACTGATGTTTTGACAACCCTAATAGAACTCATCCCCTGACTCTGATGTTGACAACAGTCCTTTGCAGTGGACAGGGATAAAAAGTGGAATTTACAATCCAAATATAAAAGAGCTACTGAAAAGTATCATCTTACCACTGTGTTACTATAATTGTCAGTTGAGTGAGGCATGGGAAATGTTTGGCAACAGGGTCATGACCATACAATAACAGTGTTGTCACTGGCAATCTTATTTGTTTCCAAAGGTAACAGAATCTCAAGAGTTGTGCAACAAGGTTTCAACATCAGAAAGAGGTTGCCAAACTATTGCGGCAATGCAATGCTACACAAAGTGAGAAGTAAAAAACTAACAGAAAAATTTAGACAAGATTTGGGTACAAAGTAGTAAAACATAAATGAGAAATACCATTTCTCTCATTCTCCTGACACACTGTACACAGTACCACACATGTCGTGGATCATTGACTTCACTGTCCACAACACGCGGTTCATGACACCTCTGTAAAAAAAATATTTATAATCATGATTACATATCTATACAAATACTGAGAATATTGTCTTAATATTGACTTAAGTGCTCAAACAACCTCTGTTAATTGTTGTAAGTTTCTCTTCTCTGTACCTGATGATAAAGTGAATGACATTCATGACATTCTACCAACTGATTCCCAGGAATTTTGCTCTCATCTCTGAAAATAAACAAAAACAATATGGATTGAATGGTATAAAACATTAGATACTTTGTTTTTACCTTGACTAAACCATAGCAATTGAACAATTTTTGATTTTGGCCACATTCCAAAGTTTACCTAAAATTCCATAATTATAATAATATTAATTTGCTTATAGTTATCATGGAAATTTCCAATAAGTACAACCATTCACACTTTTTCATCCCAATCTTGATTGGTGAAACTGCACAAACTTTTTCTTGATCCACATAAATTGAGATTATTCCATGGAAAGAGTGCACGAACAATTTTCATTCACAAGTTGCAATGCATCAAAAAAAATTAATGACTGAGTGCAGCAAATGAGTGAGTTTTTTTGATGCACCACTACTCATGAATAAAAATCATTCAAGCACTTTTCATAGTATGATGTTTTTATTTCATACATACTAAGATTTATGCTGTGAAATATAAAGCAAATGACAGTGAAGATACACTGTTCGTCCAATGAGAGACACGAACAACAGTACTTCACAGTGTGAATCTCAGTATATATGAAATAAAAACACTTCTGTACTCAGATGTTTGCTTTATGCAGCTGTGTAAATAGCCAAGTGGATTAGAGCTGAAAAGTATTTTTAGAAAGTTAAAAAAAATTTGATCTTGACGATTTTTTTTGCGCCAAAACAAACAGAAGGTGATAGTCTGATTGTAGACTGAGCAATTGATAAATGGATGAATGGATGGAAGTATAGGAGGACCAACATATGGTTTGCCAAACAGACTAACTGAATGAAGGGGTTAGTTTTTAAAGAAACTCTTGAGCAACTGTCAGTGGGAGAGTATAACAGCAGGTAATTTTAAGTGTTATCAACTGAGTTGATGACATGCATTGGTCACCGTAATGAGTTTCAATGCTGACATTTGGAGCGTTAGCCCTTCATCAGAGCAAATGGTAAAGACTAACTGAATAACTGACTGACTGACTGAGGGACAAATTTATAGCAAACAATGACAATCAATAGAAAACAATGAAAAGGAAAACAAACCTGCAACAAATACTGCAAACAGATCCCCAGTCAATCATTAAGTCATCAACCACAGGCTGCAGAGCTGTTGGGGGTTCTAAATCTCCTTCATCTAAAACATCCTCAACATCAAATTGAAGCTTAGCTTTCTTTGATGAACTCTGATCCATGAAGGAGCTTGAGCTTAGCTCCACAGTTTCTATCATACTTGAGCCAACCTCCAATGTTTCAACACTTGCCTCTTCAATAGGAAAACTCTTAACTGGCTCTGGTTTCACAGTTGGAATATTCTGCTTTGGTTCAGCTTCAAATTTTTTCTCAGTCAATTTGGCCTTTACTTCTGCTGTTGATACTATTGCACTTGGTCTCCTCTCAGTGTGAAGTCCCAATTTACCTTCTTTAGGTTTCTCCTTGTTGAAAAAAAAACAGAAAATCATAGTAAAACTGGTTCTTTAATTAAGGTTGGTAATGATTGTGCCTTGTAACACCCACCATTATACTTGTCTGTTTCCACCAGTGCTGTTTGTTGCACTCAAGTAAGGTTATAGATGACAATTTTGCTTACCAGGATACTTCACATGTTAGTAGTGAAAAACTTTGTCAATGACAGAAAAGATAAAGGTTTCTGCCTGCACATATTTTAGATAAATTCATTTTAAATCCAAATTACTTGCATGAAATACACTCTTTTGCTGGGGTACCATGATTGAAATATTTTGGCTCAAGCTTACAATGCCAGAGTAGGATAATGAAAGTGCATATCACTGCAACTGTCAGAGTGGGATTTTGTTAGGAATATTGTAAGACATTTACCACACTGAGACCCCTTTGTTCAGCTTTCTCCCAAATTTTTACAGAGAACTGTTCATCAATCTTGCATCTTTAAAGAACAAGCAATGACAATGGCAAACTCCTGCCTTGCAAGCTTGCAGAAAGCTGATCCTGGGAATTACATATTAACTACATCAACCAAGTGTTGATTGATTCACATGAAAAAAAAAAAAGGACAATTCAACTTGCTCTATTTTTTTAACAAATTGTTGGGAAAAAATTAGCTGTTCACATTTGCATGAAATTAGCGGTGTCATGTTACATCAACAAATGAGGAAAATTGTTCACTTTACCATCATGCTAGTAACTCATTGATTATTATTACCGACGTTGTTTCGCTCAATCAGTTGCACTAACAAGTTTTTTAGGCTTGAAAGTGTCCAGCCCGCTGACAACCAGAATACCTAGATTATTTTGATTGTCAAACCAAGGACATGTTAAATCCTGTGTCCTTACAGCTTGCATTATATAAGAGATAACATTGAGATTTGTGTTTGTATTTCGTACCTTGGAAGACGTGGGAGCTTGCTGGTTGTGCTGTCTGACGACTTCATCTCTAAGAGCACGAAGCTGGTCCAGAGAATCAGGGTGCTTTGAGTGGAGAAGCTTCAAAGCCTTGATAAACACAGGATCTATCTCCACTGAGTTACTAGCGACGGCCATTTTAGCTCTTTGTTCCATAGTAGTGCCCAGTCTACCCATTGAACCCAACATGTCGGCCACTGAAGGTGAAGAAGTCTTGAACGCTGGCGGACAAACGCAGAAATCAGAAGTCTCTGCGGTTGAGCTCTCTAAGCGACTTCAGAAGCTTATGTTAAAGATCGAGGGGAGTTTTATTATGGAAGAAGGCCGAGCAGTTGATTATAATGCGTTGAAAGACAGCGCTTTGTTCAAGGAGTATGTCGAAGGAACTCAAGCTCTGAAAACAGTGAATCTGGAAAGTTTAGATGGGGCGGAGAAGATAGCCTTCTTTTTAAGTATCCTTCCACTGTGAGATTTGATTGCTCCCTGTTTTAACAAGCACAAACTTTAAACAACTTCAATGCAAGGCATGATGGGAGTGAGGTCTCCTGAATTAAGACCAGGGCTGATGTCACGGGAGAAATAGGGGAAAGATAACCCCGTTCTGTTAGGGACCTTGTGGTAGTGGGGAAGGGGTACCAGGTGGGTAAATGGGTTTTATGTGCAGTATTTTATTCAATTCTGAACCCTTACGCTTAACTGATCTAGGTACAGGAGTCTCCTAGATGTCAACGCATTCATTGTGAGAACAATTCTTCAACAAAGTTTAACTTTGAAACCTGTACCATTTCAAATTATTTGCCCCTCTCTTCCACAGCTTTCTTTTCTTTTCTCTTGCAAGACACCTTCCTTTTTCAAAGTGTAATGCAAATTGAAGTTGGGTATAATGAAAGTGCAATTATTTTCAGGCAGTTGTGTCACATAGAGTGGATTCCATAGAGTGACCAAGAAAAAGATTCCTTGATAATTTATAGATATTTATAATTCATTAACAATTCATGGCTTAGCAATGTGTGAGAGTGGGTTACCTAATTCAGTGCTGGAGATCAAGAGTTTCTGGAGAAAAACTTCATACAACATTGGTGGTCAGAAATTTTCTCTTGATGACATTGAACATGGAATTCTAAGAGGTATGGATGGATGACTTTTTGAACCAGACCTTGTGGTTTTCTCCTACCTCATAAAGCTGGAAGAATTCATCAGTTTGTAATTTTCTTATTGTCTTGTCTAAGGTTGGAGAGGGAGATGGACACCCAGTTGTTTAAAGGCTGATTGACACTAACCTAGGGTTAAATTTCAATCCAGGTTTCTTTATCCTTTTGTTCAAAAGCCTTTCGCGTAATTTTCTTTATTCTTTGAGGGGCATTCACACATCAAATTGTAAACAGAAAGAATTGGACTGAATTTTCTTATATGGACTTTAGCTCTCAAATCAGATTTCACATTAACCCTGGGTTATCTTAATCCAGCTTTGAACAACCTGGTCTGGCAGGCCAAGAGGTCTGGTTTTGAGTCCAACACAAGTCATGGTGCTGTATTCTTGGGTGAAGTAATTTACTCAGTGTCTAACTTCATGCACCCAGAGGGTCCTAGGAGTAAACATGGGTACTTGTGAACTGTCAGGAAAAGTGAAAGAAATACAGGGGAGTAACCAGGAATGGACTGGGATCCCAGCTGAGGGGAGTAACAATACTACCAGCCACTGTATGCTACAGTGACTATGACAAACTGCAGCATTGTGGGTTAGCAGGCTAAAGAGCAGACTTTGTCATTTTAACCTTAAGTACACAGGACAAGTGAAGACTTAATTTACACAATTTAGAATGAAAGTTATTTACTGCCTGGTTTTGCTTGATGGCGAAGCTTTTATTCTGGAACAAAAAATTAGACATTGAATTGAAGTGAGGACAATAACCTGTGGGCCTGCATCTTCTCTGTATTGGTTGTCAGGGGACGTAAAGGAACCCATATACTTCACACAACAAGTAGGGAACATAGCTCTTGGTGTTGTGATGTGGCCTTGTTATTGTTAACACAGGCCCCCATTTAAACAAGCTTTAAAGCTGAACTGAGTGAGCCTGTCTAAATATCAAAAATACTCCCTATAGTACCAGTCTAAGAATACCCCACTTTCCGTCTTTTTAAGGTAACAGACCACACCCAGCAGATGGAAAGCCCTTATTTATGGAGGATGATCCTCGCCTTGAGTTCACTGTCAAAGAAGTCGATCCTAGGATACATTTTGCTTTGGTTTGTGGTGCAAAGGTATTATTTTATGATCATATTGAATTTAATTCAAAGCACTTATTTCACCAAGTAGTGAATGATAATTGCATTCTTAATACACTATAATTTTTCCAACCATTCCAGTTTCAAAATGTAACATCTTTTTATTATGTGAATATTGCAGTCTTGTCCTGCCATTAGAGTATTCTCAGGGGAAAACCTTGAACGAGGACTCGATGCAGCAGCAAAGAACTTTTGTTCTCAAGAAGTTTGTGTTGACAATAACATGGTAAAAAAAATATTATTTTCCTCCCTTTTTTTCTTCCAGAAATTAGCAACACCCACCCCAAAGGATGGGCATTAGAAATTCAAAGGGGAGGGGATATGCTTGAAAGCCAAAAGTTATGACAGATAGCAAGCCTTTTAAGGGGAAGACAGCACTAAAATGGATCATCCTTGTGTTGGATCTCTGTGAAAGGGTTCAGTATTACAGAGAGGGATTTAATCCTCACTTGAAAATATTCTTGGTCATAACTAATAAGGCTGAAATTGTGCCTATTGTACTGTTTTATTTTTGCAAGTGTGTTCTTAGTACACGCTAAGACATACTATTTTTACAGCATAATTGAGAATTTAGAATTCAGCTGTCTTGCTCTCCTTAATGCTCCCCCTAGGTCTCATGCCAGGAGGTAGCTGACCTGTCATCTGCATGGACATGTCAAGAATACCAACTAATCTTGGACAAATGTAATTGAAATGGGAACTCCTCCTAAAGATCCACACACTTTTCCATAAATCATCTGATGATAAACTTATTTAATTCTCTAGGTAATTCTTTCAAGAATATTTATGTGGTACAAGACAGATTTTGGATCAACAGACAGAGAATGTTTAAGGTATTTAAAGAGCTATTTTTTTGTGAAAAATGTAAATTTGGAGTTTATACCTTGTGCAATTTTCAATTCTTGTTTTTCTCCTTAGCTGGATTTCTCATCACCTGGGCAAAGATGAACAGCAGAAACTAAAAAGTTTGTTGGAAGTTGCAGATAGTGACAGTTCAATTAATATTACCTATAGCGAATACAACTGGAACCTGAATGGATCAAAACTGTAAAGTTAATACTGGTTCAGTAGCAGAAAAACACAAATTAAACACTGAAGAAGTATTTGAATTAAATTAAGAATTAAAATTTTTTATTTGAAATTATCACACAATCCAGTAAAAATCCCTGCCAAGTGTCACTGATTATGATTTTGGACTCAAGGCTCACACTTATGAATAAAACACAATCAACACAAAAATTATATCATCAATTGATGACCAAGTGTTAATGCTATAATCTTTTTTCTGGGAAGCCAGGACACCAGCCACTTTGGAGACGATATGCCTTTTTTTTCCCACAGAAGGACATACATACACACAAGCCAAATTTTAATTGTAATAAAACTCCAATGTTATAATGCTTAACATTTGGACATTTTAGTGGGCTCCTTGCCACTGTAGAGGAACAAATAAAAATGCCAGAAATTATTATTATTTGCTGTAATAAGTCCCTCAAAATAAATTTCTTTTCAATGACTAATGTCAAATTTTTCATTTTTATACAAATTGATTATAGTTTATTATAATAAACAAAACTTTTTAAGTGAGATTATACTCATTAATGCTGCAAGTGAGACAAGCAATGCTCATGTTTTTTTATAATTTTAACCGGAAATAAAGGGACCAATTTTTGGAAACGAAGACTTGGAAGATATGCTTGAGCTGCGTTGTGTATCATAATTATTTTCTTCAATTGTATCTTTCTCAGTATCTTTGGGTGTTCCTGTACTTCTGTGTCTAATGTGAGAAGCTGCACTACTTGTTGAGTAGTTAGATGGGGTTATACAAGCCTGGAAGTTGCTATTCTTGGGAAAGACTACCTGCGGCTCTCTCTTCATTAATATATCAGCAAAAACTTGGCTAGGAATGCTTGAGCCAGATGCCGAAGATGTTAGGCTTCTTGTGGGACTAACCTCCATGCTCTTGTCTGGAGAAAAACTTGGGGACTTGCAACAGTCAAGGAGCATGTTGCGTACTGCTTGGCTTTGAATGAGGGGTTTAGGTGTTATAATTCTGAGAAATTCCTTCTCTCCAAATGTTGGTGTTCTTGTGTCTTTACTCTCATACTTAAGATAAATTTGAGGAGAAAAGAACTTGAATTTGGATTACATTTTTCAACTGACATCCTATGAAAAACTTAGATAAGATGTTAGGGTTGTTGGAAGTGAAAAAATTAACCATTGCAAAAATGTCTGTACATGGTTTGGTTCCTGTTTGGTTTGTTTGTTTTCAGCTCGTTTGGAATTTTCCAAAACTATCTCTGTCTCAATCTTTTGTGTCGTATATCATTCAATAAATTTCTGTCAACTTTCAGTAAAATTTCTTCAAAGATTTGAATTTTTATTATCCTTTGTGTCAGCTGACAGTGGTGGATACAAGATAAGTAGAAAAAATAAATCTGAAAGTAGTTTTAAAATTTTTGCATCGAAGAAATAAATTAAGTGTTACATGTTATCACTAGTCCTGGAAAATCTTTTTCAAATTTGTGTCACATAGCCACATTGTTTCCTTGCATTGGTAAAAGTTTATGCACCAAAAAATTCCAGAGATAAATTTTCATCGCGTTTGGTATCCCCTCACATTATTTCCTATTTGAAATCAACCCTCGTTCACGTATCTTTTACCCCATTCACACCAGCAAAACATGTTTTGTTAAACTGGTTTTTATTGAATGAAAATTATGAAAAACTTGATTTTCCATAGGATTCAAGTACTTGCTAACTTGCATTTCCAATGTGCTACATTCAAGTCAAAAAATATTTGGTTAAATAGTTTCTATGAAGAAAAAAAAAATTAAACTGTGTTTAACAAAACAACTTTTAAACATGTTTAAGCTTTGGTGTGAATGGGGCATTTGTCACACGACTTACTTCTACTGAAAGACCGTAATACTTACAGATATATCAGTGCTATCTCGGTTCCACTGCTGTAAATGCTTGTTCCAAACACTTTTAATTCTCGTCTGAAAAGTAAGATATTAAACACCAATTTATTGAGAGGCAATTGTGAGGGGGTAGCATATGACCGAAAACAAAGTTTTTGTGTTAAGTCTTACCCTTGATCTCTGACTGATGGCACGACCTTTAGGTACAAGCCGAGGCGAATTTGTCGAACTGCGAACTTGGAGTTGAACTTTCTTCAATTTTCCTCTTGTACACTCTGTTTTGTTTGCATCTTTCACATTCTCCATATTAATCGGCTCTGAAGTGACATCTTTTTCACGCACCGGGGCAATCTGCTTAAATTCTAAGGTGCTTTTACCCTCAATAAATTTCCTTTCAGCAGTCAACTCAATGTTTGCGTTTGATTTCGCTTGAAGTTTACCTCGGTGTAGGGTCGAAGTATTGCAATTTGGAGTTACTTTTTCAGACGTACTTTGTTGTGGCCTTGTCGAACAAGGCTCAACTTTCAATATGTTGTTCTCGTAGGCACCCTTTTCCTTTGTGCTAAATCTGTAGTAAGTGGAGGAGAGTTTCGGAATGGTTATACAACTTGCTTCATTGATTTTCTTCAGTTGTTTGTTTAATGCAGGAATATTCATTTCCTTCAGCTGTGTCTGAATGTACTTCTCGATACTTTCGTCGGTAATCTGTTCTCGATAACTCTTCATGTAGAACCTGGTGTGACAGGAATGGCGAAATTGAAACTCAGTGTGGGCAGAAGACGAGGCTGAACGATTATTTCTATAAAATCTTCCGCAAACTCCGCCATCCGTGTTTTTGGTCCAATCCAGCGAGTCACTTTTCGCTCGTGTATTTTTAACATTACTGTCCCGCTCAATGCAGTTGTTCTCTTCAACTAGATCCTCGTTCTTCTTTAAAGAACAGCGAGGTGACATGAAAACCTGTGGACATTTCCGGAAAGCTGCAGCTTTATTTGTTCCTTGAACATCCAGGGCCAAGCTTTGAAACGGAGTGAGCTTATCAAGTTGATATCGGTCTTCGTGTTGCGTGGCCGATAAGCAAACCTGCCATGCTGAAAAAGGTGTCTTAGAGCTTGAAACGCGTGTATTGTTATCCTCCATAGGAAGCATTTTGTACATCAGATCGCATAAATCCTCTTTAGTTTCTTGCAAAAGTTCTTTCGTTTTTGTATCAACTGTCAAATCAGACATAAACCAACGTTCGCTGACGGTGCATAAGTCCTCTACTGTTTTTTCTTCGACAAGTCTCTTGAAAGGACAAGGAATTGTCACTGTTTCAAAATTCATTGTAAAAGGAAAGAGTTCTTTGCTAATTTGGTAGTTTTAAACGCTTCATTAGCGTTGAAGGAAACACCTTGGTTAACTTTTTTTTGACCCAAAGGTTCTCACTTGCGCGCGCATGCGAGGAGGGGAGTGGTGGTGATTCCCTCTGATTTGTCTACGTGGACCAGAGTACATAGCGGGGGTGGGGGGCAATTTATCAGCCTGTTATAGGTTAACACAGACCCCAACGATGGCGCTTCTTTCTCTCATAAACTTCTCCCTTTTCCGCTTTTACGCGAGTCATACAGGCCACTTTGTGCATTTGCACTGTACATGGTGAATGGCGCAAGAGCCAATAAGTGAATCTTGATATACGGTAAGAGTATTTTGTGAGTATGTTGATATGAAACAATCTACCGAAATTAGTGATTCTGCATCGAGATAACACTGATATAATAGTAAATGATTGCAATTTTTTCCTTAAATGGCTCTGGTGACCTTATCTAACTTACTACAGTTTTATTTCAGTGTGTTTAGTGGGCTTGTCTTTCTACAACTGTTGGATCTTTTTGTGCGACGATTTTAGAGAAACGTTGTTTCTTTATCGTTCAGTGAAGAGAAACGGTCATGCCCTCACTCGGTGTGCGCCTGTTCCCGTCTATAAATCCGAACTAATTTCTAATTTTTACTTCTTTTTACCTCTTACCAAGTCTCTCTTACCTTAATGACTGGTTAAATATTTCTTATTTAAAACTGTCAAAAAATCAGGCTAGTCCTTTACATAGCGTGAGAATTTTTTCATCAAAATGAAAATAGAAAAGGTATTTGCAAACGGAACAAAATTTTAATCAAAGTGCAACTCAAGTAATTCTCTTTTAATGGTTGTAAACTAAGTTATAGAATGAAAAAAAATGAGTTCAAAGGCAACAGAAGGTTAATGAATTTATAAACAAATGAAAAATAAATATATAAATAAATAGTCCAAGTTAGTATGCTGACTACCCTCTGATGATTGGTTGCGCCAATTCAGCTAATCTGTCCGAACACTTTGCTTTTTGAGCAGCTTTAGAGACTTCAAAAGCGTCAGGGTTTGGCAAATTTGTTGCTATTTCTCTTTTGATTGGTAAAGCCAGGTCATCAATTCTTTTGGAAGGCCTGGCTTTCAGTGCAGCTTTCGACACTTGCCAAACTTCAATCTTGTCTGGCGTGAACCCTATGGGAACACCTTTAGCGTGAGACAGTTCGTGCACTCTTGCTGAGGCCCGCGACAGCAGCGCACTTTGCTTTATGGTCCACTCGCGTCCCTCGATAGGGGATCTTTTCTTCGGTTGACTTAGGTCCTCTGTTCGCGGTGATGCAGCAGCTTTTTGTGCCGCAGAAGACACTGTAGTTTGAACTGGTCTGCAAGGCTCGTACTCCGAGTGAAACTTTTTGGGTTGTGATAGTTGTTCAAGACGGCTATTCGCCGCGGCCCTCCGTGCAGCAGGGCTGACTTTCCAAACAGGCGAGGAGCGGCCGATTGTATAGTCACGAAAAACGTTATGTTGTTTCCTTTAAAAACAGAAAAGATGAAATCAGTAAGGCGTTATCCACCCTTCAAACATCTGGAGCCCAGGAGACAGGGGCAAGGACCGTGAAGGGGACGCCTTGACAACTGAGAGCCCAAGGGTGGGACGATAAAAGTAAATTTCTGTACGAAAAGCAAGCAGGGGCCGATCGACTGAGAGTTTCAAATGCCACTCGTGTCTCACTACCATTGGTACTCTTCCCTTTCAATTCTGGAATTGCCATTATTTAATCCGACCATTTGTCCAGAAATAGTTACTTGCTTAAACCAAATTGTGACATAATAAGAGTTTTTAGAGATTTTACTAAAGAACCTGCAAAACAAAATTAGAATGACAATAACCGACAACAACTTCAATGGAAGACTTATGCAAATAATAAACCGACTGGGTCACGCTTCGAAACGCACACGTGTATTTTTGTCTTTTAGGAAGCGAAAACATAGCGACTCTTATCTATATATATATTTTTTTTGAAGGAGAGCTGTGTAAAAACGGACCGATTTGTATTTGTGGTTAATAATCCCAAACAACAACAGTTATAGGCTGAATTAGGACTGTTTGAGAAGGAGAGTTTCGATAAATTTAGTCAATCTAGATCAACAGGAAGAATCTTAAGGCTAAGATTTCATGACTTTGTTTTCGGAAAGAGCACATACTGAAACTTGTTCTGGGAACTTAGGAGAGTTGTGACATTTTCTTGATATGGCAATTATTGCATTAAGCTTTAATTAAAGTGCCTAAGGCAGACGTCCTAATAAGGGGCAGTTTGGTTTTTGTCACAGGTCAAAGGAGACTGGAAACCCTTTTCTATAAAGTAACTTTTTTATGTGACACCAGCGAAGTTGCTTTTTTTTGGAGGGGGCGAATTTTAAATCTAAAAAACATAACATTTTAATAATCTTTTGTCTGAAATATTATTTGCTGCCGTAATGAAGGTATCCTAGATATGTTTGCTCGGCACTTCCTTGAGGACATTTCTTTGTTTATATTTAGGTGGACGTTTGCTTTTTAATTGTTTTCTGAATAAACAGACAGTTAATTGAATTGACCCTCTATGAACCTGTAAGAATGCAAAAACAAACCACAGAAAGAAAGTTGATCACTCATAAACATTTCGAATATTTTGCTATTAAAACTCAAAAGCTAAAGGGCTTACAAAAATGCGATCTCACGAATATGGTACAGAGCTTCCGTCCTCGATCTGACTGCCCTCAAAAGATCATGGATTCGTGATAGGCCTGATGGTGGAACATCTAAAGATATCCAATCTTATAATACTACTGAGAAGCAAATATTTGGTGCAATCAATCAGAGTATGGCTTCTGTCATAAAACTGACGCTGACCAAACCTCCGTGAACATCACATCGTTCTTTATCAACTTACTTGTACGCTGGCGTCTTAACTTCATCAAAAACACTTCTGCGCGAGACCCCGAGATTCGGTATAAATGGAACAGTTTGATCACTGGTCTTGATGTCGTAGTAATATCCATAGCGTGGGTGAGAGGTTACAATAATTTTACTGTCCATTTTCGCTAAAGGCACCTGGCGTTGTTGATCGCGCGTGAAAAATGAATTTGACACAAAAAGGTCACAGAGGTTACCATGGAGACGTTTTCTGATAGACTGCTGTGGCGAAATGGTTGTTGGGAAACGTAAGAAGTTGCCAGAGTGTCTTAAAATTCTTATACATCTCTATATTTATATCTCAGCACACTTATATTTTCGTTCATATATTTACTGTACCGTTCTGAAAAGAGAAAAACTTGCAAGTTTCTTGTACACTTGACTCGCAAAGGATGTAAACAATGACGAGGAAAAAAATGTATGAACATGAAATAATGGTAGCTCTTACGAGCAATTTCTACAAGAGTGATGTATCTTTTAGAGATCAAAGGAAAAAATATACTTATGCCCAGATTCGTCTCCTTTAGGAATGAAAGTGGAATGGGAAAAACATCGGGCGAGCATCTTCTTCACTTGTTTATCACCGGAGATGCTGACAAAGAGTGGTTATTGTTAAGAATCCAAAAATGGGGAAGCTTCAATTTTAGATCAGACTTCCTTTCTGTAAGAGCGAAATCAAGAATGCGATATTGAAAAAAAATAAAACAAAACAACTAAAGTAAGGCAGAAGCCCCTTCCTGAGTAAGGAAAAGAGGTGCATACGAGAGAGAAGACGTATAATTTGTTCTTTCACCCTTGAATTAGAGAAAAAAATTAATTTAAAGGCTACGAAAAAGGCTAAAATGAAAATAGGACCAATAATGAAGACCAAACGGAAATGTTTCCTGTATGAATGTGTACCTGACGTATCTTTATGCAGTGTATTTTACAGGTCTAACCAACCAAAATGAATAAAACTCAAGCTGGTGACAAAGAACAAACGAGCGAAATACTTCAGGGCTCGAAGTTCCATAATTTCGTAAATTAAGCAGTGGTTTCTACTACACCTTGCCCATGAATTCCAGTTTGCTTAGAATTATAATTTGATTAAACGCAGCAGTGAGAATTTTTTAAAATTCATGTGTAGTCTAGGGAAGAGCTGGATAGCCTCGTCTTTGTCGCCGGAAAGGTTGTACACTCGGTTGGGAGCGTGGGACGAGAGCGATTACTCAGCGAAACAACATGGCGGCCCTCGAAGACAAAGCGATATGGGAAGATGGCGAGGTATTTTTCACGTTCATGGCTGTTTCGAAGAGTTTTTTATCCTCCTTGATCGTCTTGAGAACATTTAACGACTGGTTTGAAATATGTTTTGTTATTTTTATAAGGAAATCGACGAGGAAGTTCTTCGAATGCAGACCGACGAAATTGTTGGACGGGCTCGACTGTTAGATAATGAAATTAAGGTAAGATTTTTCATGTCGACTTTAGTAACTTTATGGAGCTATGATATCTTACCAAAACTTTCCACAATTCCTAAGACTTTAGATTGTCTTTACATTGTAATGTTGGATAGTAAAGTCGAATTTTGTGATACGTCTGTCAAAAAAATTATTAAGCTTGTATTAGGAAATTATTCAGTTAGTCATGTGCTTCACTGTATTATTTTTTCTTTTACAGATAATGAAAAGTGAAATTATGAGAATTAACCACGAACAGCAAGCAATGAAAGAGAAAATAAAGGTAACGTCCATTTCTGCGCTGCTGGAATTAAAATTTAGGATTAATTTGACATTTTACGTACGCAGTGGCATCATCATACAGACGAAAGTTAACAATTCTCTTTTATTCACTTAGGAGAATTCAGAGAAAATTAAAGTTAACAAAACGCTGCCATACCTTGTGTCTAATGTAATCGAGGTAAGAAGTTTTCTTTATCATTTGTTATAAATCCATTAGACCAATTTCTGGGAGATAACACCAATTTTTCAGTTGTGCATGACATTATTTCTTGGTTTATACTACTGAGTTTGTTTAACAAACTACTTGTACTTTGTCCAAGAACCCAAGATAATGTATTTCTCACCCCAAGTAAAACAACCTCTGCACCATTATATGAACAAGTTATGGCAAAGAAAGATGTTTTTCATCTGCATGGGACAAAGACAAAATTCTAAGTCACCATAAGGGATCAAACCTCAGGCCTTTGGATTAAGTTAATAATGTTACATAATTTGGTGAAATCTAAAAACTCATAGTAATTTCTTTAATTCCTACAACAGCTCCTTGATGTTGATCCTCAAGACAATGTAAGTTTTATTTTTGACTCTATTTGTTTTCCAGAAATACAATTTAGTAATTAATTCATATGAAAAAGTTTAAAAGCTAGATTTCAGAATCTAATCATTTCACTCCAGTTGAATGTTCAGTCAGAAATAATTCTGCTTCATGTAGGTATACTAGCTTTATAGAGGTACTTCATTCTTTTATTATCACATCATGTTATCCTTGTTTTTTTGATAGTTTTTTTTTTCATTTGCTATCACTACATGCAAATAATATATTGATTTGTCTGTAGGCTGAGGAAGATGGTGCCAATGTTGATTTGGATTCACAGCGAAAAGGCAAATGCGCAGTCATCAAAACTTCAACAAGACAGGTAAATTGTAATATCTTGTCTTAAGAAACCCAAATGGTAAGGTACATTGACAGAATACACCTAAGTAAGATCTGTAATACTTAAGATAAGTTTTACTGCAAAATGACCTGGTTTCCTGGTAAAACATAAACCTTCATTCCACTAACTTATACAATATACAAAGTACTGTGTATGATATTAAAAACATTTGAAAGTTCTTCACAGCAGTTTTCAAACTTTAAACATTCAAACTTGGAGTTTTACTTTTATAAACTTGGTTTTTCTCATTCTTGCAGACATACTTTTTACCTGTGATTGGTTTGGTGGAACCTGAGAATTTAACACCAGGGGATCTAGTGGTAAGGAGAGTGTGTAAATCTGTCTACTTAATTGCTTCCTTCAGTTTCTCACCAGACAGTGGAGAAGTTTAAGTTTATGTCATGTACTTGTGGGAGTGGCTTTAATTACTTCTTCTACACTCCATAAATTGCTGATTTTCTGTTTGGGTTTTTTTTTTTTTTTTTTTTTTCATTCTAGGGTGTCAATAAGGATTCATACCTCATACTTGAAAAATTACCACCAGAGTAAGTGATTCTTGACTAGTAAAGGCTTCCTATTTTAAGTCTGCTCAGCTTGGCTGGCATGGATTTCAAGATGTTGTCTAACCAATTTTTTCTTGGAAGAAATTATGTTTAATTTATCTCAGAACAAGGATAAACTCATGAAATAATGTGAACTCTTCAAATAAACTCTTTCAAATTTACTTTTTTCTGGAATGATTCTAAGTTACAGGTTTTTCTTTTTTCCTTGACATGCAAGCAGGCAGAATTTAACCAATCAGTGATCTAATTAGTTCTTGCATGGACTAGGATGTTCTCTTCCAGTTCACCAACCTGTTTGGAATTGCTGTTTTGATAAGGGTTTTTTGTGGCAAATAGTGTATCCTATTATTTATTTTTGTATGTTTTAATCATTTGCAATACAACAGGGATCATAGAACATTTTCACACTCTTAGAATAGGGTAGCTTTGATGTAATGTTATTTCAAAATACTCCTCACTGGCTATTTGCCATCTTATGTTAAGAAATCAAGTGATATGTATTGTTTTCTTGATAACAATTTATGAATTGGGCTCTGTGTTGATTCCAGATACGACTCTCGTGTGAAAGCCATGGAGGTTGATGAGAGGCCCACAGAACAATACAGTGACATTGGAGGCCTGGATCAGCAAATTCAGGAGGTAAATACATTTGTTAACCCTTTCACAATCAAGATCTCAGTAGTATTTCTCCTTACTGTCTGCCATACAACTCTTATTATATTAGCTCAGAGAATTTGGTATTGGATCAACAGATAACCCACTGATATTTGTGATATTCTTCTCTATTCTCATCACTTGTTTGTTTGATATTGTAAGGAGAAATTCTGTGTTGGTCACTCATGGGAATGAAAGGGTTAAGCAAATAACCAAACAGACAACAGAGAGTTTTTGTGAAAATTCTTCATTTCAGTTAATAATGTCTAAGTTGTTTTTCTTCATTCTTTGTAATTTGAAAAATTTAATAATCTTTCTTGAATAGTCCAAATTTATGACCATCTCAACAATGCATCGATACACATTATGACCAATACTGTGTGTGAACTCTTCTATTTTATCTCAGAAAAATATAAATTTAATGACATTCTTTTACAGCTGGTAGAGGCCATTGTGCTGCCAATGACACATAAGGAGAGATTTGAAAACCTTGGAATTGCACCTCCAAAAGGTAGATATTCTTGTTATTGTTTTAAAGAATTTGTCTGTTTTTGGTCCAGTTTGTAAATGAATTATTATTCTACTACTTGTTTTTGTTTGGGTAAAATTGAAGAACAGTTCTTCAAAGCAAACTGTTGCCTGTTAGTTGGTCATCTGTTGGCCAAAAGATGCTTACTAAAGGGTGGACCAACAAATGGCCATCAGTCGCTGATTTGACATTAACGTAATGCTGCTTATTGTCATTAGGTTATTTTCTCAGACAGATTCTTTGCTCTCACACTTTCTCTCTGCCCAGAAGTATAAATGGGCACCAGTTGACTATCAGCAAAACCTGATGACGTACTTGGAGGCTCCCTGCAACAGTATCTCATGTTGAGGAGTAACAATATTCATAGTCACAATAGACCCTGGGATCAGTTTTACCCATTGTGTTCTACAAACGTTTGAAGACTTGACAGAACTTGACTCAACTTTTCAAGTTTGTGAACTGGAGAACCTCTCTTGACTGGGTGCAACTATTTATTTTAACTGTATACACACTTCTGCTTGTAGGTGTACTATTGTATGGTCCACCAGGGACTGGCAAAACATTAATGGCTAGAGCTTGTGCTGCTCAGACAAAGGTGAGAAACTGTTCTGTCTGCCTTTTAGTTTTCTTGAAGCAGAGAGACTTATTTCCTCTCACTGACATTTTGTTTCGAAATTTTTCTTTGTACAGTCAACCTTTCTGAAGTTGGCTGGTCCTCAACTTGTTCAGGTAATTGCATGTTTTTTTTAATCATTCTTTCTTGTGACCCATATTGCTCCAGTTCATTTTCCCAGCTGATCAGTGTATTTTTTTTTTAACACCTACAACAAATGTTTTTTGTTTTTAAAATTTCTTTAGATGTTTATTGGTGACGGGGCTAAGCTAGTGAGAGATGCATTTGCTCTTGCAAAGGAGAAAGCACCAGCTATTATATTTATTGATGAGCTGGATGCTATTGGAACAAAGGTAAATTGTGGAGTTACATATTTTGTGTGTGATCAAAATCACCAGAGATATAGTTGCATAGTTGATGTTTCTTAAAAAATGCTACTTTGTGCTCTTCATTACTTATTTGGGTGTTCAGATGACTTTTAATGTTTGAATTTTTGTCAAAAGGGAGGAGGGTAAAGGTTTTTATATCAGGATGTAGATTAATCTGCCTTGAGTTGAGCCGTGCAAACAAAATACTCTACTGTATGTCCAGATTTCTCTGGGACGCTAATACCAGTTGCAGGCAGATCTTTGTTTCATTATCAGTGACAGTGACAATGGTTGTATATAATTTTCAAATCATATAAATACTATAATTGTATTCCATGTGATTTTTACAATGACAGCCTTTCAGCTATGGTTTTGTTTGTCTACATTACACATTGGATCACAATATGTTGCTCAATCCAGGCATTGAAATAAGTCACAGCAAATTTCTTGAAGTCATGAATCTTAGTGGGTATACTAAGTTTAAGCATTATCTTTAACTTACATTTGGATCAGTCCTATGATAATTATTATTAGTATAGTAAGAGTAGAATAAATGTTGCTTTCTTGTTCCTCTTTTCAACAGAGGTTTGATAGTGAAAAAGCTGGTGACAGAGAGGTAAGTTGATCAAGTCATGAAATTCTACCAAACACCTACATATACAGATGAAGTTTTTTATCTGTAATTGAACTTAATGCTGTTAGCTGGGTGATGGCTTTACTGGGTAAGTGGCTCCAGGCAAGGATGTGTAATGGGTTCTCAAAACTCCTACCAGTTGCAACATGATTGGTACATTCAGCATGGTCCTCATAATTGCCATTTGTATTTTAGGTGCAAAGGACAATGTTGGAGTTACTTAATCAGTTAGATGGCTTTAGCTCACATCATGATATCAAGGTAAACTGCAAGATCTCATTAGTAATTCTCCTTACTGTCTGTCATACAAATCTTATGATTTTAGTTCAGAGAATTTGGTATTGGATCAACCAATAATCCCTTAATTTAATTGATATTTTTCTTTATTCTCAAAACTTGTCTGTGTGAAACTGTAGGAGAAATTCTGTCTTAGTCACTCATGGGAGTTAAAGGTTAAGCTCTGTAGTTGGAAGATGTTCTTTTGATAGAAATGTTTTTTCCAAGTAAGGTTTATGGATCAATATCAGTATCTGGGCAACTGCCCACCTACCCCTCTCCTAACTCAACAACAGTCAATTGACAGCAAGTTAAGGTTAATGTTGGGTTAGGGGAGGGGTAGGGGTAGGTGGGCAGTTGCCCAGATACTGATATTGATCCAGGTTTACTTGGTTATATGCAAGTTCTAAGAGCTGAAGAAAGAATGAAAATTGGGAGGAGACAAATGATTTTTTTCTCAAGCTATTCTTTTGTTTTTACTTTGCTCAAAAAAAAGGTGGAAATGTCTCATTCATTCCTTTGATATACAATATTTTTGCAATTTGTATATGTTTACTTTTGTTTCCCTGTTTTTTCTTAATTTACTCTTATTCATAATTTCAGGTCGTAGCTGCTACGAATCGTGTAGATATTCTGGATCCAGCTTTATTAAGATCAGGTCTGAGTTGTATCTTTGCTTGGAATTAATTTATAGTTTCTTTTATTTGGGGTAAATGTTTTGATTTTGTTTCAGATTTTATATACTGGTAATAAAGAAAACCATCAAGGGTGCAGGGTGAATGCGTGAACAAGTGTTCGCTTATTTTAACTTAATCTTTCGTTTCCAGGCCGTTTGGACAGGAAAATTGAACTGCCAAATCCAGATCAGGAGGCCAGGGCAAGAATCATGCAGATCCACTCAAGGAAAATGAACGTCAGGTGAGAACATGGCCATTGGACCGCCTTACCTGTTCATTGAATTGAACAGGGTATTACATTGACTGTTTTTCGCGTCATGGTACTCCCCTGAAGAAATGTGCTTGTCGTTCCTTTTAGTGATGAATCTGTGGATTGAACCACTCAAACCATGTTTCTTTAGAAATTCTCTCTTTCAAGTGCTAAAGTGAATTTGGACCACTTCCAGGTTTCGACGTTTTAAGATGAGCACGCGGTCATTTTGTTGGGAAAAATTCCCTGGGTTTAGCGAGGGTATCCTGTCTCTTGTTGGGCGTGGCTCAAGATCCACTGTTTTAGCCAGTCTAGAGGTGAAATGCAAAATAAAAGCTGCCCCTGTAGTTATGCTTCCTCTCTATAAACGGCGGTTTTTTCGAGCACGTCATTCCTTTCTAGTCGTGTCACTCGAGCCAATAACTTTAATGCACTGTCAAAAAGTATTAAGTGATGATAAGGAGCGCTTTATTTCTTTCCCTCTCGCACATAAAATGTCCAAATGCCCGGGAAATTTGGCGTTTATCCGTTTGTAATCGTTTCGATGTTTTTTTGTTTTTGTTTGTTTTTATTAACATGTCTACTTGTTCAATTTTTTCACAGTCCTGATGTGAACTTTGATGAGTTAGCGCGGTGTACTGACGATTACAATGGAGCCATGTTGAAAGCTGTGTGTGTCGAGGCAGTACGTTGAACTTTCTAGCAAACCCTTTGCTCTAATTTATTTTTGTAATTCCGTTTTGCGATTTAAGATTGTACACAAGAATATTTCAGCCTGAGGTGGGCAGAAAAGTTCGAATATGTAGCCCTACATTCTTATCAAAACAAAATGACTATAAATTCAGTCTTCGGCGACGAGTTGTTTCAGTGTTCCGAAGGCCTTTTATCAGACTGCTTCTCAGTTCCATCACTTGTTCTGCTGTCGTTTTGATTGTATGTTCCGCTGATGTATTCAACCTGTTCCAAAGTTTTTTTGATCACTTGTTTTGCTGTCTCTGTAATGTTAACAATATTAATAATCTTGTTATTAATCTTATACCTCTTCAACTTTGGTGTGAGGTTTGATCACTTTTAATTCAGCACTTCTGATCGCTTGTTCTTTTTCAGGGTATGATCGCTCTGCGACGTGAAGCCACCGAGGTAATCCATGAAGATTACATGGACGGAATCATGGAAGTGAATGCTAAGAAAAAAGCCAACTTGATGTATTACGCTTGAAGAAAGATTTCTCTTGTAAATAAGCAAAAGAAAAAACTTTAGATGCTTTCGTTCTTTTTCATTGTATTAATCAATAGTCTGAAACTACATTTTAACTACCAGTTTTTTTGTTCAGCGTTGTCAGCCACTCCTGGCTTATTGTGTTGCGTGACATGAACTGCGCCCGCAAAGAAGCATGGACATTGAAAGACCGGAACTTGTTGTGGCGAGACACTTTCGCTAAAAAACCGCAAGACCTATTAAATAAAATTTAGAAAAATAAACTGTCGTTAATCTGCGGAAAGGATCCCTATCGAAAAGCTTATTTGACGTTAAGCTTTCCCCAGTCGGCTGGTACTGAAAGTCTCACAAATTGCAACATTTTTTGTTTTTTTGGTCCTATTTATTTCCCGTGGCGGATATTAGGCAACGATTCTCCTTGGGGTTTATCCCTGCAAGTTAATGACTTCCTGTGAAATATCCCAATTTTTGTCACCTTGCACATTATAGCGCACGGCCGTAAAAAGTCTACGAATGAGCGACTCTAACGTTTTCCAAACTAAATATAAATAGCGTCCTTCGGAGGCTCTCAAAAAACTGTAAGCAGTAAAGAGCTCTATCCGTGGCAACATTGTCAGAACCCAGTTGAAGGGACACAAATTCCGTACACGACGATTAGGACCTTAAAAGTAGACTACAATTGGGGTAATCGTAATTGAAGTTTTGATCGTTTTCTATTTTTACGGTTAGGCTTCACTATCTTCAACTGCTTTCGTCGCGGGTTAACAGTTGGGTTAATTTGTCACTTATCATGCACAGGTTAACTACGATATCGTTCATTCACGCTTACGGATACCTTCTATCTTATCATGAGATCTATGTCTATTACGCAACTTCACGCTTATATGCCTATCGATGACTTAAAGCTATCCACGTTACAGCTTATCGATCTTGTAATAACTAGCGTAAATTACTTATGATCTCCATTCAATATCCGTATTTAGTTTCCACGTGTTTATCCTCTTTTACTTCTCTTTGTTTTTCGTTCCTATGTAATCCTTTAACCCTGGTGGGCTATTCCTTAATAATAATGTAGTTTATCAACTGAGTTAATAGTGTAAATTGGCCACCGTAAAGAGTTTCAGCTTTGAAACTCTACGGTGGCCGACAAACATTAATAACTCAATTGATAAAATCAAATTATCTTGCTATACTCCCCAACCGACGCAGCACCACAGTTTCTTTACCCCTTTATTCCATAAAGATTTCTTTCACTAGAAGACAATTCTCAACGCTCTGCATGAAATGGAGATTGAGGCATAGCTTGGATGTGGTTTGGATCGGTAATTGTTTGACTTGCGATGTACGCGGCCGGCCAAAACGTCCGCGCACGACATTGTCTCCGCAAATAAGAGAAAAGCCATGGAAATCATTTTCTAAGCGGAAATCAAGACAGAGGGTTCAGTTATAGACTGACCAAAACATTGAAAATATTAAAACTTTTCTTATTGGGTTATAGTTGATAACTTGAACGTAGCAGTAACAATATAATATGCTGACATGTTCGTTTGAGCGAGAATATGTTCTGAACTAATGATTATAATGAACGACGATAACGAATCAATGTCTGCATCAGAGCAACTGCTCACCAACCCCTCCCCTAGCCCAAAGTTGGTGCGAAAAATTAGTTGCTCAGATCCTGAAATTGTGATAATAATGGTATCAATAATAATAATGAGGAGAATAATAATTATAATAAGGGCAATGATGATAATAATAATAAAAAAGATTCGTGATGATAATGATAATGAGATGAAGACGACGAAGAAGATCACAAACCCCAAGAAGTTTTGCCGAAGACCGTAATATTTGAAAAAAAGGTCTTCTCCAGGGTCGACCGATCACGGAGGCAAAGGCATCCATGGCTTGCACCTTTGTGAAAATGAAGACCCACTTGGGTGGTGGAGCTCTCATACCGACTGAACTAAATGAAGATGATTTGGTTTTATCAACGGAGCTGATAATGTAAAATTGGCCACCGTAAAGAGTTTGCAAGGTTATTTACATTATCACCTCAGTTCATAAAACCAAATTATCTTGTTTTGCCCGCATCGACGCAGCACCACAGTTTCTTTAGAAACTTACCCCGTTGAACTAAACGAAACCGAGCCAACTGGTTTTGGTGTATGTTCGTTTAATACTCAATTGACTCGGTTGATGACTTCTGCACAGGTTATTGTCACTTCACCAAAGAATACTACTGCAAGCAAAATCCCACGAAACAGTTGTCTTTAGTAGGCAAAACTCTCGACAAGATGGTGGTTATGAGATAAACCAAACTCGAAAAGGTCATTTGCGCTCCCTAGGACAGATGTTTTTTTTCGAAATTCTCCAGTGTTATGCTTAAAAAGATAACGAACAACCGGCTAGCAACTCTTACGACGACATCGAAGAGCTAATCTTCCATTTTTGTGCGCCAATTTTGCGCTCGTTCATCGGAATAACTAACGAAATAAAAAGGGAATATTTAGTCCACGCAACATTACTTTCCCCAAGTTTTTACCTTCAATTTGTGTTTAAAAAAAGGCTCATTATACACATACTAAGCATGCAATTACTTCTGATTTTACCTTCAAACCATGGGTTTACAAAAATTCCCGTAACAGTTGGGACTTTTATGCGACTACATGGAAACCAACAGTGTTTCCACGGGGCTGATTAGAGGACAAAAAACATGATATAGAACTTCAACAAGATCATTTTATCGATAATATTAATCTGATTTTGATGTGATGAGCGATCCAGACTCAGCTTTTTTCGTGTGTGTCAACAAGGGTATTTTTTCGATCGTCCCAAAAAGTCTTCCGTCCCTCCCCCCCCTCACGGCAATAAATAATGACCAATGTCTGAATATTTTTTTCTGTTATTTTTTCTCTCAAGGACGGTACTCCATAGGAGAAGATGTTAGCGTACTACGAGGATTAAAGTTTTAAAGACTCGAGTAATAACGGGGAATCTACCATGGGCCAGTTTATTTTTCACAGGAAGTCTAGCACAAGAAATCCATAACGATAATAAAAATACCGCATAGGGAATTTAGTCAATTAATCATTACAATTTAGGACATCTTCGGAAATTCGAAGAAAGTGAGTTCACCTTTAAGAGATGAATTGTTAAGCATGTTAAAAGCTTAATGTAAGTTTCAAAATAATGTCATGTTTGTTGCATATGGCCACAAACTGTGTTCTACTTTCAGTTCTTGCAAGAGTCTTGCTGCGCCGGACGAAGATCAGAGGAAACTAACTTACATTGAAGTTTCCGTATTTTTGTCGGAGCGAATTCAAAAGCGCAACATTCTGTGACGGCGCAAGTTTGCACCAGTGATTATTCAGTGATGTGGACAATTCATGCAGCTCAGCCAACAGTTCCTCCTTTTCTTCTAATTTCTTCCTCCTTGTTTCCTCAAGTCTATTTGTTTTCTAGAAACGAAGAAGAAAAACATTAATACCAAATAACTTTTTACCACTCAATGATAATCAGACCTCTTTGATTTGATTTGATACAAAAAGCTGGGAACAAAACTAAAGATAATCATTGACGAAAAATATCTCAACTCCAACAAAAAAATCATGCTGCACGGATTTCTGATGTAATATAATTTCTCTGAAAATCTAAACAAAACACTTCACTTACTCTGGTAGTTTACAGTAAGAAAACAACGATAGAGCGTGATTATAGCTATTAAAAATCGATTTATAACCTTGCAGTCGAAACGCTTTAGTGATTAGGTAATATTAGCGCTCTTTTAAAGAGAGTTAGATGACCTGTCGTACAGTTTTGTTGTGCGAGAAAAAGTGTTAAGTTTTTCAAATCAAATAACGAGTGAGGATTTTAATAAACAGTAGCTCACAACTACCAAGTGCTCACAGAATTTTTTTTAAAATTAAATTTGTTCCTAGTTTCGAATAACTCCACAAACTGTTGTTGTGTTCTAAGTGGATAAGCAAGAAATAGGAAATAAATTCAAGTTCAAGCCGGATGGTTTTAAAACGTGAGTTTCTATTTTCAGGCCGTTCTTTTATACCAATTTTTTTTTCCAATCGATCGCTACATTGAAAAAGTTGCAAGTCCCTTTCACAGCTAAGATGAAGAAATTCTTTTCTTAAAATAAATCCAGCAGAATGAAAAGATCCAAAGGATATCAAATGAATATTCAATTATTAAACTTTCTTTGAAAATACCCTAACGTCTGTTGAGGCAATAACAAGGGGTTTTTACCCTTTCCAATATTTCGATGCGTTCTCTCTTTCTCTTTCGGCACTTCGTCGCAGCGATCTTATTTCTCTCCCTTCGCTTCTTGATAACCTCTGGATCTTCTTCTTTCATTCTCTGAAATACGAAACGCAGAAGTCACAAGTTAAGAGTGTGTATGAAAATAGTTCTGAGAAATGTCGAGTGAAAAATTGCTTATAATCACATTGTAAAATTTATCACCGGAAACTATTCATGAGCCCCTGTTAAGTTCTGCCAATCCGGCGCGCAATCGCTTAAAAACAACGTTTTTCCAATAAGGGAAAATAATGAGCTGCTTGAAAAATTTTTACTCCCTTAAAACTGAAAACGAAATGGATGAAAGGAAGACACCTTAAATACATATTCAAAACTGAAATTAAGTCTTGTCACACTTCTTTCACGAGCAGTTTCTCTATACCTCACAATGAACCACAGACCATTTCAGTTTCCGAGATATTTCATTTTCGTAAAAAACGTCAGGGTCACTGGGAGGAAAACTGTTTTTACTATTAAGAAGAAAACTATTGCGGTACATGTAGTTTGTATAATAAACATATCTCCATCGATATCTAAACGGTATTAAGAGAGGGGGACTTTAGTTTACACAGCGACAGCATTTATGTGAATTGAAAATAAAGTAAGCTTTTAACTGGTTATATTCAGAATGATTGATTAAAATTGTTCATACGTCGCGCCTTCTTTGACAGATTTCTGAGATCCTCGTGGAATAGAATATATGTCGTCATCGCTCGTTTGTCTTGGTACAAACACAAAACGTTGCTCATTGTAAAAAAAAAAGCTGTCTTTCGGTTTTCCCCAACAATAATTTATAATTTAGTAGTTGTTACAGCACATACCGGTGGTGCTGGCTGCCTCTTCTTCTCTTCTATTTTCGGTAACGTTGTACCATTTTCCAAATGCTTTTGGGTGATTTTTCTTTTGAGACCCTCTTTTATCATAGCACAAGGACTTTCAAAAGCATCCATTTCTTGCCTTCTTTCTATCATACCAGTGTAGAACGACGACTAAAGAAGGGAAAAAAAGATACATTTGAAGAACAATTTAAAGACGGAAAAATGTCAATGCCAGCGAACGGTAAAGTTAGTGGACCGTATGCCAAAGGCGTCAAATACGCAATGATCCGATATAAACAGGAGCCAGGCGTATCCTTTAAAATTTATTCTTTTCCTAAAAATTATAGGCAGGACAATTCTAAGAAATTGCCACCTCTTGACAACAATTGTCCTCCCACACAAGCTGAGTTGAGCTTATGAGGGTTTAATTATTTTCACAGGTGAATACGTATCTAAATCGTCCGTATCAAAATTTTCCTGTACTACAATCACGTTGGGCTGAGAGGACAAGGTTACATTGCGAGCTAGCGAGCTAGTTAATTTACGCACCACAATCGATTCGGAAATTACTGAATTCCCAATATGAAACGTTCTCTAAAATTATTTCATCAAAGATTGAACTTATAATACCGTACTATTTTCTTCTAATTGTCTACTTTTGCGAGAGAGACAGTCTCGGGAAAGTTTCTTCCAACCAGTGTCTACAGAATGGTCTTCGTGACGATAGACTCTGAACTTTTAAGGAAACGTTTATGTTGTACTTACTTCTTTGCCAGGGCCGTGATTAAAGCTAGATGAGAGGAGGGGATTTAAACTTGGTTGTTGAAGTCTTCCGTCACAAGCAGAAAACATTGCTGCATTTAAATTTTGCCAAATGTTTTCGTTTTGCATCGCGAGTAGGTTGGCGTTTCTTACGAAAAATATACATGTGATCCCGGGACAGACTTTTTTATAGATCTTTGAACTAGGGAAACTCCCACAAAATTGACAATAACAAATCTATTTTAAGCACGAAGATATGGGAATATATGTAAATCTGTTTGGTTCTGTTTTCTTTTGTTTTCGCTATTCTCTGAAAGCCCAACGATTCCTGGAAAGAGCCGCATTGATAATGAGTACTTCCGGTAAGTCACGCAATCTCCCAGCAAAGCCAAAAAGTCCTCAAACGTTCGAAAAAGCAACTAAAATCTTACTGAGTGAGGGTGGACAATTGCATGTCTTTGCGAAATACAAAATAAACCCAAATTACGAGTGGAAGCGTATTTGATCACATCAAATTAAGACTCTTAATGAAAATAATGGAATGTCAAAGCACAACGTCAGATTTCTTACCTTTGGTGAAACGAATCCGGAATCGAAGTCAAATTGTGGTATCAACAACTGCAGAAATTCACAAGACCTCAAATACTGCGCTCAGAATTTGACTGCGTAGTAGAGCAAGCTTTAACAGGACTCCACAGTGGACTTTAGCCGAAACGGAATAAAGTGTGGGATATAATACTGATCCAGGCACGAGACCAAACCGGAACAATAAACCGACATTCATAAGACTGTCACGAGGAGAAACCAAATTCATTGATAGTACGGTTTTGTTTTCAGGGCGTTCCTGGAAACCTTCTTTGTTATTTTTCTTAGACTAAGATATGTATTGTTTAATTTTTGGGCTTGCCCACTGAGAATTCGGTAATATGTACGCAATTATAACTCGCCTAAAGAAATGGTTTCGGAGAAGTAACACTCTACATCTTTCTTAGAAAACGTACCCGTGAAAGCAAACAATTCGACGTATGTTTTTCGCAGCTTTGCTGCACTGACTGATCTATAAGAGTTCGGATTAAGTATAATTCTTGCTCGCGGATGAACATTATCCATTGGTACAATATTGCGTAAATGTAACTGCAGTAATTCTCGAAGTACAGTTGTAAATGTTCAGTTTCCAGTGAGACTAACTGACCTTACCGACCCTACTGAATTCTAGTAAGCGATCTAATCGGTTTAAATGTCATTCCTTTTAACACAGAAAGGTTTGCACCTTTTAAAGTTTTACCAGAGGGTAGGCTGTATACATCTATTTTAACACAGAGAACAAATTTCGAGCTCGTTTAGCACACCTAGATTAAGAGTTGCGCGCTAAGGCCATGGTGATCGAGTTTCTTATTTAATGAAAGTCACTGCCATTGTTGCATGCTTGATTTAAAGAATATGAATTACCCTCCTTGAAAAAGCAGAAAGAGAGTGCTAACCTTAGAGATAGGGAGAGCTGTAGCCGAAGCTTCGATGGCAACGTCTGTTTGCGAAAAAAACTCTTTAGCCTCCGGTAAGTCACGGGAGACACTTCGTCTCGTTAGGTGAATTTCAAGTCGGGCTGCCTTGCACATACACACACGAAGAAACAGGTAATTATTTGCTTCAGAACAAACCATTTATTACCCTTAAATCAAGGCTAGTTAAATTTCAAACACGGATCGAGCCAATTCTGATTCATTTCGTTCTTAAGCGTGAAGTTAATTTATATTTGCTGATTTCAGAGAAATGCACGTCACGACTCAAGCCTTAAATTCTACGAAACTGGGTGTAACAGGACAAACATATCTATTTTTGCGTCAAACATTGTGAAACGCTCCCATAGAACACTCGAAATACCTTAAATAAGAGGGAAAAACGAATTAATTGAGAATTCCTTCATCATCGCTTACTAAGAAAGAAAAACAATGTTCTAGTTGGCGGAAAATTGTTTCCTGCTGGAAAAATTCAATTTCCGGTCTGGTGAGAAATTCAATACTTTTTCGATTTTCACTCCATTTTGTTTTTTGCTACATCCATTTGAATCGCCTTAAATCGTAGCTCAACAGTATAAAGCAAGAAACAGACAAAAACTGGAGGAATATGTTTAAACGGTTGTCGTAATTAGATGCGTAATTCTGGTTGCGAGAGTTCAGGATAACGCGACTTAATTAACAATTTCTTGTTTCCTCTGCACCATTTGCAAAGAGAATTTTTAAAGTAATGCTGTTATTTTCATTTTAGGACACAGATTCAAAGACGATATGCACAACAGAGTTCAATCCTTGAGATCTACAACGTGTGAATTATGAATACCTTGATTAATTATTATTCACGTTTTGTTGTGAAGCCCGCTTGTCACGCAATCTTGTTGTATTCCAGGTCAAGTTCCGGGCTGATTAGACTTCGCTAGTCCATTTTTACACCGGAAGTCAGGTCTTATTGATGTAAACAAAACACTTCTTCTCGAATCACGGTTAATGCAGATTTGCTAGTTTTGCTATCTTGCTCTATTATGAAAAAAGAAAAAAAAAGGAATCTGGGTGCTGTACACGACAAAATGAAACTATCGTCTTCTACGAAATAAATTTTCTCTGTTGAACGTGTTTCAAAGAATTTTCTTCGCGAAATAAATCTTTAACTGTTTATTGGGTTCAAGCTCTTATTCATGTTGAAATATAGTCTTCGTGGTGACATAATTAAAACAATTTTCGAAGGAGTTTTCCTTGTTTTGAACAATGCAGGGAAACTTCTATTCTATACGTCATTTGTCCAGCAGACAAAAACCGAAAAATGTGGTCGAGTAAATAACTCCCGATAAATTCAAGCCATGGCTCCCATTATATTCTGGTCATGGCTAGCTCGAACTACGCGGTAACTCGAACTAAAATTGGTTTCTTACAGTACTCCTTCAATTCTAGAGAAATCTTTTACCCCCAGTAACTCCAACCTCCCGATAGACCCCCTGCCCAAAGCCGTCTCTTCCATGAAATGTAGCTAAATGCGCATGATTTACTACGCTAATCGAAAATTAAAACTTTTCCGTAAGGAACCGTCTGTTACCTTTACTCCCGTTATCCAGTAAATATGGTTAAATATGTGCTAAACTGAAGTCGAGCACCTTTTTTTTTTCCATAACCTGATCTACACACGGGGGTCGGGAGAATTCGAGAAAATTATTGTATCGGTTTGAAATAGTTTTGAGAATTCGTCCATCCCATTGCTTCGCTAATTAGCAGTTTTTCTCATAATGAAACTTGTCTTTCACACATTTTATGAGTCTAAGGATAGCTTCAACTCAATGTTATGTTTTTCATACAATGGTTGCCTGATTTTTTACTCTGTTTGTTCATTTCTTGGCAATCGTGTGGTCACCACATCCAGGCTTTTAAACCACACTCGTGTCCCCCATGGGAGAGAAAATTACCATCTCTCTTGATCTAACATCCAAGCCCAAAATCCCACAGTGATGACAGCATTAGTTATTAGATATTGGTTATTAGCCAGGCTGTCATCTCCCTGAGCTTTTTACAATAGAAGCCACGGGAATGGCCTAAATGGCTGACTGAAGGTTACACAAATGTCTCAAGTTTGACTTCCTTGTAGACACAAAGCTCACATCCTGTCATGATTATCGGCCAGACTCAGTGCATGGTTGGTACCTCAGAAATGACAGTAGCACCGTGTTTGTCCCACAGTTCCATTGCTTCATTAACAATCATCTCAAAGTTGTCTTTTGGGACAGGCTGTACACAAGCACCATGAAAACGTGTAAATAAAAGTACTGGTAATTAGACAAAATAAGAAATTTTATTTATGAGTTTAACCCTTCACACCCTAACATCAGTATGCACATTCTCTATACTGTTTTCTATACATTTCCTAAGGTGCTGACAAAAAGAATTTCCTTAACAATCAAGAGCCTCTTTAGTTGGTGACCATTTCCCTTATTCTCATGACTTTGATGTGTGATTTGAGGATGATATTGTAGGGAGAAATAATATGCTGGTCACTCTTAGCAGTCAAAAGGTTAAATAGTATGGTAATCCAAAACTGCCATGACAAGGATTTCACTATGGTGTGTGACTAGTGAAGTACAGTGTATTTGATATATCTTACCTTGCAAAAGAACCTCTCAACACCCTGAATAGATTTTTCCATAAGGAGTTGACGTCTAAAGAACACCAGAAGGCTGACAGCCACAAAAACAAGAATCTTACTGGATCCACTCACAACTTTGTCCCATATCCTACAGAAGAAAAAACTAAACACATTAAAAAAAACATACAAACTCAATTCAACTACTTACAATGTACCCCTATAAGCCCCAGCCTAAAGCTGTCAAGTTTCCTTAACCCTATACACCCTAACACCAGTATGCTCTGTAAATTTCCTAAGGTTCTGACCAAGAGAATTTGTTTAAGAATTCAAAACTTCCTTTGTTGGTGATCATTTTCTCTATTCTCCTTGAACTACATGTGTGATTCAGGTGTGATATTGTAAGGAGAAGTTAGATGCTAGACACTCTTAGGAGTGAAAGTGTTAAGAGTCTGGACATGTGTAACAATTTACAATTAAAGGTTTTTAAATTAGCTTTGGCATGGTGGTGAGAATCACCTGGGCTAAGGTTTATGTTATCAACCAAGATGATGACAAACAAGGCTAAAACAAAAGCCAAGCCTTAAGTCCCAAAATAATTGAAAAAAAGTATTATGCGAGCTTAAAAACTATCATAATCATGATGATGTCACTTCTTAGTGTCTATGACTACTGTCAGGAGGTATAAAACACCAAACACTGCTTACAGGAATAAGCTTAGTACTTAAAGTGCCCGTGACATGAAATTTTTTTTGCATAAGTATTTTGCTTATGGTATGAACAAATCAATTTTGATAGAAGAAAAATTTCAAAAACTTAAAACTCGGTTTTTTTATGCCCTTACATGCTCTTATTTTGTCTTAAAAGTGTCCTGTGGACTGGTAGTTAGTGGGTGATTACATAGAAAACGGTGAAAACTCTCAGTTGACGCTTACAAATCCCTCACATCTCTTGCAATTTTGTGTCAGTCAGCATTGAAATACCCTTTAAATAATTTCCAATAGCCATGAATACTTATCTTCAGCAAGCTCTACCAAGAGTTATGATACATTTTACTCCAGTTGGAACTGACTGAGGTAACTCTAACTAATGAAGTGGAGGTAATATAGAGGCAATGATTGCAGTTATAAAATCTGTACTCAAAATGATCAAGAGACAAAAGTATTCGATAACCTTTCCATGCATGAATCTGGAATATCCTCAGCAAAGCCACTTTCAAACCACCTCATGAAAATAAAAAGTACAAAACATAAGAAAACATTTACAAGAAACAGTTTAACCAAATGAATATAAGTTTTCACACCAAAGCCATTTACAACTCTAAAAGAGATTTTTTAACCCTTTCACTCTCAAGATCTGATTGTTAATTCTCCCCTCTTGCTGCTACTCATTTCCTTTAAAACTGGTTCCAAGAATTTGGTGTTAGATCAAGATAACAACTTCTACCTGATAAGTTTGAGTATTCTCATTACCTGTCTGCTGGATAGTGCATGGATATAATAAGGAGAAGTTACATATCAATCACTTCTGGGATTTTAAGGGATAAGAAAAAAAAAGGGCTTGAAAACCAGAAATTAAACCAATCTGACCAGTGTAATGAAGTAAAATTTGGTTTTTAAAATTAAAGAAGGAATAGGGTTGAGAGAGTTGTTTTTACTGAGATTGAGAAATTAATAGCTCAAATATTTTATTTACCTCTTATGTGGTAAGACATTAAATGCGTCAATATTTAATAAGTGTTTATGAAGATGGACATCTTCAGCTTGAAGGTAATACTGAATCAGGTTTGCCTTGAAACACAATAATATCAATAATTAATAATAAAGAAGATTACAGCCCTAATTTCAAATAAGAAAAAACTGTAGCTTAAACAAGCATATTAACAACAGGCTAACACCAATTTTCAAATAAAAAAACAATAAAAACAGGAGATTTTGGTGCACAAAAAATCTTTTGAGATTCCTACAAAAGTGTTGGTTGCAAAGGTCCTACTGTGCAATTATAATAATACTGATTTTTGAAAAAAAATTGTGTTAAATTATTTGACTTAAAGTAACAACTAATAATAATTCATAACTCATGACCAAATTCTACAAACATGCTACACAACTAGAAAACTCATTAAAGTAGGCTAATGTGCATCACAGCATTGTTGTTGTTGTTGTTTTTTTTAATATCATCGAAAACAACTTACTGCAACTCATCATCAAACTGGTTTCAAATATTTTAAACCAAGAAAAAATCAAACCAATAAATGTACAAAGAAAGATTGGGTACAATTCAAACCATCATGCATCTTAAAAAATGTTAAAAACTGAAAACACTTGCTTGGCTTTTTAGTATAGTTTCTTAAAACGGTATGCCACAACAAGATTCTGTGTTACCAGTTTCTCTAGCTGTAGTCCTGACTGGTCCAGACACTTCATGAAGTTTGCCGACAACCAGTAAAGATCAACTTCGTCTTCAAACATTTCGCTAAACACCTGCACTACAGATCTCATTACTTCTGCTTTCCTTTCAAGATCCTAATGGGGTACAAAATAAAGCTATTAAGTTGTGTGTTTTCATCAATTTCCAAACTGTAGGTAGAGAGAACTGTTTCCAGTGAAATCCCCCACTTCAAATGCAGGAGTTTTAGGATTCTTGCCCAACAAATAAGCCACACTTCTTGGTACATCCTTCACCCTTAATCTCCCAAGATCCAATTAGTAATCCTCCCTATTTCCTGCCATAGTTTACCTTTAATTTAACCTTGTAAATTAGACAAAGAATTTGGTATTTTTTCAAAATAACACTCTTCAGCTGATAAGCAATTTTATTATATAGGCAGCAATGAAATACCAAGTGAGCTTTTGTGTGAAAACATGATCTCTTCAAAGATAAAGATAACATGTTATATCCACACCTTAAAAGATCACTGTTGCTATAGTTACATACAAAAGTAAAATCATCAGTTATGTTGTTGGTGTTTGTATAATAAATAAAATATTACATGGCCATGCCAAGATATTAAATTTCTCTTCCAGTGTTGAAATATTTGAAATATCTGCACACCCATGTAATATCCTTTAAAACTTGACTGTTCTCATAACCTGTTTACAAGATAACTTATTGGAATTACAAGGTTGAGTTACAAGTCATTCACTTCTGGGAGTTGAATGTTTAACCCTTTAACTCCCAGTTCAAATTTGTCATTCTCCTTACTGTCATTCATACATTTCCTATTATTTTAGTTCAGAGAATTTAGTATTGGATCAACTTATTATCCCCAAATCAATATTTTTCTTTATTCTTATTACTTATCTGGTTGATATTGTATTGATATTGTAAGGAGAAATTTTGTCTTGGTCACTCATGGGAGTTAAAGGGTTAAGGCTATATGGCAAAACAGCTGTAACTTGCTTAGGGTTACATCCTAACATCAATATGCATATTCTCTATACTGTCCTCTATAAATTTCCTAAGGTGCTGATAAGAAGAAGTTGTTAAATAATCAAGAGCTTTTTTAATTGGTGATCATTTCCTTTATTCTCATGACTCAAATGTGTGATTCAGGGGTGAGATCATAAGGAGAAATTATATGCTGGTCACTTTTACAAGCTAATGGATTAAACAATGTATCTTAAGGGTGTATTTACACTACAGATTGTGGATCAAGTAAGCAAAGCAAGAGTCCTTAAACTACATGAAAGCCACTGCTCTGTTGCTCAACTCAGCATTTCAAAATTATGAAATAATTAAATTTCTATTATATTTTACCTTTGGTACTTTTACAAATCGAAAAGCTCCTTCATCCAACAAAAAGACCATTGACATTTGATAAGGCAATTCATCTCCATCTGAAATTTTCCTTATAACTCTCAAAGCATGCTGAAGGTCATGAAAATGTTCACGTCGCTGTTGCATTACAAACTGCTGGGCATCGTGGTAAGGGGGAATGATACCTGTTTTCCATGAAAAAAGAAAAAAAAAAAAAAAAAAAAGAAAGGCTATGAGAATTTTTATCTGTTTGTCTACTTCATCAGTGGCTCCCAAAGCTTTACTTTTACTCAGAAAATTAGATCATAATTCGCTGTGCAGGGGACATTTTGTTATAAATTTAAGGTATGATTTTTATGGTTTTCAATTCCAGGTTGTGTTATAAGGTATTGCCCTTGTTCTCAGGACTGGAGTACTTTTAGAGGTAGTTAGCATTTGTATCCAGTTCACTCTTTTGAAACTGTAGTACATTTAATGAGGTTTTCTATGTACAAATCTCATGGAGTCCCAGAGGAACGCTTTATTCCAACAATAGTTTGCATTTTTTTTCATTGTTTTCGTGATGTAGTAACCAATGCAAGATTTTGAAAGAAACCCGCAAAAAAGTATACGAACAAGCCGAACGCGAGTCATTTACAAACTTCTGGACGTTTCCCCACCACTCCAAGGGGTTATTAACCGATAGAATGAGCAGTCTATTGCCTCTATAAAATAAATTTGGCTTTGAAAGTATTATAAATGATATATTTTGACAAATCCAGGCGCGAGATGTATCTCAGTTATGTTATTCTCGACCAGAGCAGCTGATCTTCAAAATTAACTAAACTGATCAATGCAAACTTCCGAGCGAAACTTTCTACCGCTCAGTATCGATGTAAATAATTTCCTTCAGGCTACTTGCAATGATCAGAAATTTATCGAAAGGCATTCTTACCTAAAATCACTTTCCAGACATGGGTTCTGTAAACTGCAGGCAAGGTAAACCGAGTGCTAAATGTTGAAATGCGTTGTAAATCTAAAGAAAAAGTTTGGGTATTTCTGGACTTAGTTTCTAGAACTTTGGAGCATAAAAATCACCCCTGTGACTATTTTAATACCTATTGGGTTATCTTTCAGCAGTATCTCCAACGCTTTCCTTTGCTCGACGTTTTTTAGGCCTAAAGTATCATAATAAAATGTTCGAAAATTTCGTCCATTTTTGTCCACCATCTTGGTGCAGGATTAACAGGTGTCATGTAAGCGTCATGGAATTTAACAACACCTCGGACTTAGTCTGCGGCTCAAAAAGACCCTAACTAGCGCGACACCGAGAACATAACGTACGACTGAGAGAAAAAATCAGGGCGTTGGCGATTTCAATTAAGATATTTTTTGATTCCGTAGAACTAATTGTTGCCCAATGTAGTTTCTTATTGCCAAAGTCAGTTTGATATCTAAAAAACAAATCTCACCGCTGTTCCCCAATGCATCAATCTTACTCACCAGCGACTGGGGCTCACTAAAAGAGAACGGATGTCATTTGGGTCATTTTCCGTGAGAAAAAAGGCCATTTGCAAAACGAAAAGCGAAGCGTGGCATATGCAAGGAAACAATTACATTACAATCGTTTCGGATCAGAGAAACGTGACTCGCAGCTCATATGGAGGTATTTTGTTAAAACGGTTTCATTTTAAGAAGGCGTTTACAGTCTTTACAAGAAAAAACGGTTTTTAAATGTTTAGCTTGTCGGAACATTTTATTATCCAGTGCTTTATTTATGTAACCGTCGTAGGAAAGCTAGGAAACCTACACGGAGGAAACCTACTCGTGACAAACAGATCGGACTCCCGCTGCGCGGTCGTCCGATTTGGTTATCACTCGTATGATTACAGACCGAATTGGACGACACGAAGTCTTACCATCAATTAATCATAGAAATATTAATTTCCGAGAAAAGAAGAATAGCCAAGTTATAATGTTATGTTACAGTTTGTATAGTATTAAACTTAGTTTGAAGGACCGCGGGACACTATGGGATTCGTTTGTGTCAACAGCTAGCTTGTTGCAGACATGTTTTGTGGCTCTCGAATTAAGACAACTCATTCATTTGAATAAGAATTTACAGTCCTCTTCAGCAAAGTATAACAGGTCACTGTTCGACAAAAATCTTTAACCTCTAATCGGAATCATCTTTGCAAACATCTTTGGAATCAAATTAAACCTCCGCCGGCCAAGGATAAGAGTTGGTGGAAAATTTCAAGTTTATATTTTGGCAAACAGGTGCAAGTTTCCTGGTTTAGTTACATCGTGTTTTGAGCTATTCTGAGCTTTTTCGCGCATTCGTGGCTAGAACTGAAGTTCATTTAAGCTATTGCATGTTACAAACAATGAATGGGCACATTGTAGAGTGTTATTTTTCTCTTCTCTCCTCAAATACTTTAACAGTTCCGGTTGCAAGGGCGGAAATATTGATTCTATTTTAACATTTTTAAAAAAGAGAAATTCACACAAAAGAATCAGCGCTAGGAATTCGGATTTCTTTTACTTTTAAAACTCTACATTACTTGAAAGTTCTTGTTTATCCCGTTTTTCTTATAAGGGAACTTAACTTTACATGCCGTAATGTATTTACAACGCAATTTATTATTGTACTATATCAATATCCTTTATCGTTAATTATTGTAAACTGTAATCTAATTGTGATGTAAAATAAATAAAATGAAATAGAAAACTTGAATAATAAACTCCTTTTCTCGTGTTACTTTATATGTATACTTTCACTGGTATCGCTGAAGTAGTTACCAATCAGCGAAATCAAAGGTAAAGTATATCTGTGATTCTACGCATCAAAATGAATGAAGGAAATCAATTTCGTTCTATTTTATCCCTGCAGCCGGCATCGGTCGCTGACACTGGAAATCTGGTGGTTCTCGGGTGATATCAGGCTCAAATCTTCCTCTCTGGCGGTCAAATGAAAATCTTTGGAATAAACTGATATCTTCAATTTATTCTATTGAAAAAAAAGTATGATAGACTTAACATTTGCGCGATAAGACCTAAAATTACCGAGAAAAGCTCAATAGCGAAAGAACAGTTAGACGGCATTTTAAATCAACACTTGAAGGTTATCTGTAAGTTCCACTGCCGTGTATTTTTTTTAACTAACTACATCCTGACAGCTGGCTTATCTTAGGTTATTCTCCCTGTGATTTGATAAAGATATTAGTTGAAAAATTATCAGGTTTTAAACTCATATTAACATGGTACGGAAGCGTTACAAGGTCGAGCTAAATCATGTGCAACAGCGGGTTCTACCCGTTTAAAATTTTTTAACCTTCAGTGAAGTCTGGTGTCACTATATCTTAAAACTAACATTTCGTTCAACCACTGGGTTTCGGTGTTTTTTCCCTCCAAGACATTTCAAAACTTTCTTTCTTTCCATCCAGAATGTGCAATTTTCCAACCAATTTCTGTTCTAACCGATTAATCGATTTCCTATTAAACACCTCTTTGATTATAAACTGTGTATTGTGTTTGGTAACAGAAGTGACTTACATTTGAGCGAAAGTTTCAGAACAGATTGAAACATTCTGTTTAACCAACAAAAATATTAATTTATTTACCTCAATATCCAATTCTTGCACAGTCTAAATTCCTATTTTCCCCATCAATTTCAATTAAATATGAATTATTGTTTTTGTGTACCTGTACGTTTCGCTAGTTTAACTCAAACATATGCGCTCGACCAGTTGAAAAGTGGAAAATAACTAGTGCCATTATGAAAGCACACTTCGCCAGATAAGCTTTATTTCTTCGACTTAAGTAAAGGAATTGTGGCGAATAATTTCGCAAATAAAGTAAGTATTGAAAGGAAATTCTTACTGGTTATCATGAGAATAAAAGAATCAGTCAAATCAAGTAATTTTTTTAACCAGCATTGTTATAAAAATAATCCCTCTGCACGTTAATAAAGATCCGGTAGCATCTATTGAAAAGCAAGTAATCGCAGCCGGAATCATTTAACGGGAAGAATAAACAGTGGATTATCCAAGACACATGAGTGATCGGCCTTGACTGTTATACAAAGACCTGCATCTGAAAATAACAAGATTTTAATCTTTGATTTGCTTTTACGAGTACCTCCAGAAAGGGCCAACGGATTTCGAAATCGAATTGATTGATCAATAATATTGACACTTTTTAGCTGTATTCATAAATTCGTGTTGCCAACATTTATATATTATTTAAATTCATTTTGAACAATGACCAGAAGATTCGAAAACCATTTGACATCCATTTCTATCGGATGACAGAAACAAGTCGGGTTTCCTATTTTAGATAACGTTTCCGTCAAAAAGAAAAGACATGTTTCTAGCCTGCAGTTTGGAAAAACTGCTTCATAATACCGAGATTTCATGATTAACGATAAAAAATTTAAGTTGACTGGGAACATTTACAGTACAAAGGCAAGGACGTCGTTAATTAGGAAGCTTCAATACACCCGCGCCTCGTCTTGGCAATCTCTTTGTGCACGATTTCTTTTTCATAGTGAAATAAATGGTTGTTTGATGATCTGAAAAGTATTCTCAGCTTACAACGTTTACAATCTCTCTAAACTAATTCGTTGTCTATATTATTCTTACCACCAGCTGTAAACAAAGTAACTTAAAGTATAAAGAAAATTGAGGCCAACTTAAATAAATCTAACGTTTTTTTCGACTTTAATTAATTTTAATGCATTGAAAAGGATGGATAACCTTTGTAATTCTCTTCTTATCAGGCGGGCCTCTATAAACAAAGATGTTTTGAACTCTGGGGAAAGTCTTGTTATGTTCACCACCGAAAAATAAACTCTCTTTTGTTCATTTAAAAATAATTCGTTAATCATTTTGTCCAGCCATTTTTAAGTCATTACTGCCTTCTTGACAAAATGGAATCCGCTTTAAATGAAAGAAACATAACTTGCTATTCTCATACTTTCCGGAGGATTTTTTTTTAAAATAAACCAGGCAGGTGACATGAAATTTACTAAAGACTTTAAAGCAGAGAATATATTTGGGTTTTTTTCGCACCAGAAACGTGACAAATGAAAACTTATTTATTATTTTATAGTTCATATGAAAGCTCATTTTTAAAGTCATTGTTAAATCTTCAATCGAGAGGGGAAGGAACTTACTAGTGATCTCCTTTGTCCTCCTTCAGTTTTAAATTGATGCGAATGTTGCACGGAGACAAAACACGAGGTTGGCGTCGATAAAGGACCACTTCCTTGTCAGTGCCGTTTAAGGATGAAGGCAATTTTTGTGATGCTCTTGATGTTAAAAGCTGTGAGGTAAGTTCACCCAGAACATTGGGAAACGATTTATGATCGTACTTCAAGTGATGTGAGTCAATGTTTACATACACTCCAGTCTCAATGCACTGGAATTATTTGCACGGTGAGCATTCCAAGAGGATTCTTGGATTCAGGTCTAGTTCATAAAGCGAAACGAAAAGGCGACCGTGTTGTTGGTATAGTTGATAGAATACCCCGTAAAGTCGAAAAAAGTCTATGATACTTTGATTCGGGTGAGGTGTTCCACTTGAGAATTATATCAACTGATACAAAAACGTAATTGAACCTTGGGAAACATCTCATGGCAGAGAGATTTCAGCGCTATAGTTGCTTTGAAAAAACAACCGCAAGACGTTAAACAAAAGAGGAGATATTTAATGAAAATCTAGAGTCGTACGGGGCTTAAGCTCTGATATAAGAAAACCCCTATGACCCTAAATTAGCAATAAAATAATGAAATTATTGAAAGGCAACCTCGGAATTACATTTGTTTAGGTTTTTCTAAGAGAAAATGACACTTAAGATTTTTACGGTGTCCGGTTATAAATCAAAATGCAGATATCATTCGAGTAAAGACCATTTCAACTGAGCCATTTTTTCCATATGTTAAACATACTTCAGAATAACTAAGTGAACAATCGACCTGTCAGGCGAAACATGAAAGTTTCTCAAATGTAAAGTAAAGTTGTTTATTTTGGCTACATAAAAACATTTTCAGAGAAAGGTAAAGTCAGTTTTATGAATTATGAAAGGGTTCTGGTCTACCAAAGCTGATTTGTGTAACATGTAACCGAAACAACAATAAAACCGTAGAAATAAAAATTTTCGTGCTCTTGAGTTCTTTAGGCATCTTGATTGTCCCTTCAGACGAGCTCTTACTATCAGGTGCACGATTTAAAATTCTCTCACGAATTTCCAAATTGTCTTGGGCGACTTTAACATTCCTATCGTTATTTGATCATCCAAAATGTTATTATGCGAAATGATTTACAACGTGAAATAAAATGTGATTTGCAGTTTTTAAGACCAAGTCAGTGTGGTAACGCGTGATCGGCAAGGCATCTAAGATTATGACCGCTCTCTGAAACTTCAGGTGTTTCCCCAAGTTTGTTTCCAATCTCTATGCAGCTTGCGTACAGCAAATTGGTTTCTACGTCATGATAAACATAAGAGACTTAAACTGGAGCAGGATTACCGCCCATGTAATATAACCCATTAATGAGTTGGATGCTTCTAGTTAGGGCGCGCAACGCACGTTATTGTTTACGTGGACGAAGACGAAGAATAGATAAAAGGAAATTAAAATAGTCATTTTACGTAAGAATCTGTGGGCAGACATTTCCTCCCATTGTAAAAAAGATAACCTGCCCACTCTGCACTGAGCGTATTTTCAAAGAACTTTTGAAATATGTTGACATATGCTGTTGCTATTTCAGTGTGAAAACTCTGCCTGAATTTAAATCCAGCAAAGAACCAGATAACAAGGCACGTGCAGATGACGTAACTGAAGACATTACTTTGGAATATCGTCCTGAGATATTAAGGGAAAATTTGATCAAATTATTCAACTTGACTGCACAGGACTTAGAACTAAGGTACGGAGTATTCTAATGTGTATGGGTGCGTAAGTGTGTGTGGGTGTGGGAGGGGGGGGAGGGGAGGGGAGGGAGAGAGAGTAGGCCATTTGTGTGGGACAATAGGAAATGAGCCGAATAACCCAAAGTCAGCGTAGTATCAGCCGAAGCCAGAGCTAATTATGGCTCTTGCGGAATCCCCCCCCCCCCACCCCCTAAGTTCTTTTCCAGTTTCTTTATCAATGACACGATCACGCTGAAAATTTACATTCGTCCTGTTAGCCCATCACAGATAACCACAGAACTTTTTCAGTCACGCGGTGAAAAATTATGTAAATTTATTTCAACAAAAGTAAATATTAACACAAGAAAAGCGGTTAAAACCCGCGGGACTGATTAAGAGAATATCAACTGATATTCTCCTGGACTGACTTAGTGCGCCAACATGGCCGCCATTTTTTTGTTTAGGTTACCAATATGGATGCCCTTACGTTACGTGAAAACGATCTATTATATTCCTGGAAAGATTGCCATCGTCCATTTCTACTCTCAGTTAGAGAGAGGAGAGAGGCTCCGTCGACCGTTGACATAGGCTCTGACTCTTGCCTGAAAACACAACAAAATTATTTCTTCAGAGTTAGATTATGGAGCCTTTGATTTTGTCTCTCGATTTATCGGTTTCGAATATGGACAAAATAGGCAGGGATAATTTTTTTGCACCTATCTGGCATATCTTGCCAAAGTACACAAAATACCCTGGTTGTGTAGTATTCTATAAGGGATTAACATAAAGTTAGTGTGACGAGGGATTGGCCAGATTCACTTGTGGGATGCAGGATGAAAGACAATTTTAGGGCGGAACGCGGTTTAAAGTACAGCGAGATTGGAAGCCCTATTTTTGATCCCTATTATCAGTTCTAAGCTTGTAGGAAGATTGATTTTTAATTAGCTGTCGGTATATCTCGAAACATCACCTGACATAAAACTTTCTTTAATCTTTTTTCCGAGTAGTAGATGATATTATGTACTATGAACAAGTTTTATAGTAAAAAAGAGCAAAAATTTCCTTTAACACTTTGCGTAATCCGGTTACAGACTGCGAACGGTTTTAACATTTCGGGCAAACTTTGTATAAAGTATTTATACGGTTATGATGTAACCCCCAAATTTGTGTTTTGCTTCTTTTTTTGATTTGTATTCTTTTATCCTGTTAAATCTGTTACACTTTCCACTCTGAGACAGAAATTTTACTCTTTCTTCTCTCTTGACAAGCCTGGCCTCTTCCAAACGGTTTGAAAATAATCGAATTTTGTTTTTATATTCCTAGTTATGAAACAATTTGGCCAGGGGGTCGTAGCACGATAACGCTAAAAAGGACACGTGGAAAATCTGGTGACAAGAAGTTATTGGATGTACCCCAGGTTACAACTGGTGAGAAGAGTGACCAAAAAAGCACGACACAGAGCAGGTAAAAAGCAGTGCATTATTGACTTTAAGGAACAGATTTGTCCAGGCATATTTCTTGCGTTAAATGGAGGCTACTTTGTTGATTATCCTTCAAACATCTTTGCAACGCGTGGAACAAAACGTTACGAACAGCTTACCGTTTACGTTACGAACAGCTTACCGTTTACTGCGTTGCTAATTTTTCACTGTTCTACACCATGGATTTATGGACAAATGAATATGTTCCTAGTTCTGTAAGCAGCATTCGTCTTGAATTAAATTTGAAACAGACTTTTATCGTATTGGGCATGAGGCCGAAAATTGGGCGATATCATTTGGGGAATATTTTTTTTTAGCTAGGGCATATCTAGTCACGTGACCCCTTTAAACCAATCGCGTGCGAGCAAAATCATTTGTAACCTGAAGTTGACTACCATCTCGTCCAAGACAACTGGCAATTTTCCCCAGTCGTTTCATGGTATGGAAACCGGGGTAAGGTCTGGCGCTAATGAGTCACGTGGCTCAAAATGAATTGGAATTAATATGGGTCCACACTATCATTCCCAGGCAATGCTCGTGAGATTCTCATGAATGACATTTGTATCAATTTCTTTCTTGAAATCACTAGAGGTACAACTCATAAGCTACAAGCTAAGCGAGTGATAATTCCACCAGACGAACGAAAACAGCTACCTTCCTCCAGTAAGGCCCAGAAATCACCTCACTCAGCTGCTTGTAAAGTGTCTTGTAAAGGATTTTGCAAATGGTCTTGTTCGGGGACTTTGATAGGTCCGCATCACGTACTAACTAGCGCGCATTGTATCGACGGAGTGGATGTCGCTACTCTTCAGGTTGGGTTTCTGGAGAGAAATGGCCGGCTACAGTGGTACGATGTGATGAAAGCGTCCATGCCACTACGATGGAAAATTACTAAGAAAAAATATGATTATGCCGTGCTTAAACTCAAAGGTCGGGCAAATCGTCGATCGTACGTCAGTGTCGTATCCGTGTCCCTGCCCAAAAACTCGTTGATATCGATCACAGGTAAGCTAGGCGCTAGTAAGTATCGATCTTACTTCAGAGTCGTTCCATACCCTTACCCAAAGGAATGCAGAAAAAAAGTCCAGGTGACCTGGAGGCTAATTGCTATAGTTTCGTACGGGAAACTTCAGGTCGCCAATGTCACTGTACCTGAGCGGTAGAAAAGCAACTGACAATGTTAAAATCAGTAACTCATTGAAAACATTTTGAGCCGGTTATTTAAACAAAGTTTAGCCGTTGTTTAACAAAAACCATCTTCAATTTAGCCGAACCTTTTGTCTAAACATTTATTTTTGTTGACAATGTCCAGATGGTCTGAAGACCACTGCTTGCATAAAACCGCGGTTCGGGTTACAGGCCTCATGTAAATATAACCGGCCCTTCGGGTTTAACACTTGTAAATATTCCCAAATTCTATATGGAAACTGCCCGGACCCACCTAATAAATCAATTAATCAGTTATTTATCTGTACGTCATTAAACATTTTCGGTCGTTTTTAAATGCTTGATACGGTGACCATAATTTTCGAAAAACAAAGAAGCACGAGCAAAAATCCACTTTTTTTTTCACATCGTACCTCCTAAATTGAATTTTTCATGTTTTTTTATTCGTAAGGATTTCCCGGTGACAAATCTCCTAGCAGTCTTTGGATCTCCAAATGTCGTGCAATCTTAGTGAGCAGCGGTCAGATTTGGAATAACTGTGACGTGGTGAGAGGGAGTTCGGGGTCAGGTGTTTTAGTAAAGGACAACAGCGGAGGGATAACTCGCACGGTTGTTGTCGGTGTACTGTCCGGCGAACAATCTGTACGAATTCGAGGACGTGTCAAGAGATTTAATGTAGCTGTTCATCTAACAGGGTCTAAGCTATCTCAGATTAATGAATGGATAAATAAATAAAGCCTATTTTAAAGCTTGAGAAGGAGAAATTAAAAGCATTTAAAGGAGTAATTGTCCTGTTCCGTGATTTAATTTTTTAATTATACCGATCCTCCCTTCGTATAATGAGATTATCACTGAATAACTTCAACCACAGGCAGCCCAAGCTCCAGCTATGAGATGATCATCTTGCGCAGTACGAGTCATGTCAAAAATATAGGACCTTGTATGGGAATGTGTACAACCGCTCTTAGGAATAAAAAAAATACACTCAAATTCTCAATAAATACCTCACCTTACTTTCACAGTGTATTAATTGTTTTGTGACTGCTTACTTTGTTGCAACGAGGCCATTTTGGCGAGTTGGCGGTCACAAAAAAGGCAATGCATGAAATGAACTTTGAAACACTTCGACGTCGCTTCTCTGTGTTCCTGACATAGGTTATTTACCTGGTAGTATTTCTGTATAGGGAAAAAACCGTGCTCGAGGTCTTAAGCGCGGCCTGAGGCTGTAGGACCGTACACAAGACGAATAACTTATTCATGATTTTATTTTTCTGCTGGTTCGTTTTCTTCCGCTTTTCCGCGATTGGCGTTGACATTCCGCGGGTATCTGGAAGGAGCGAACTTTATCAATGGTCTGGGGAGGGATGGGACGGTAAGGCTCGCAAATCACCCATCCTTTCCTACGCTCGTCATAAACTTGATATCTGGCGCGATAAACAATAGACTTGAAATGCGACATCAATAGCAAATATTTCTCACTTTTAAATAGTTTCTTTTAATTGCATCTCAAGATATGTTTTTCATAAGATTAGAAATGGTACAAAAAGATCTTATCTCCAGAATTTTTCCATACAATGTTCAAATCTGCATCACGCAGGATTTATTAAATCGCGTATAACTTTCAAACATTTTAAAAATCTTCCTTATAAAACTAAGGCAATCTTTCCACACTCAGAACTTCGTACGAAAAACAGTATATCGCATCAGGCCGCATCTCAATATTTTGATAGTTATTTAGTGACAACTGCAATTCAAATGGAAAATAAAAGAAATTTAAAAGGCTCTGAACAATTCTTACTCAACAACACAATATCTGGGAAACACACCACAAAGTGCTAGTAAGCTCCCACGGCTGCAGGGTTTATTCTAGTGCGCGGCTTTGAGGAAAATTACCGCATAAAATTTGCGTTTCTGCGCCAGTAAGACGCAAAAGGCTCTTTCCGGGTACTTTTTTAAATTATCTGTTCAAAAATATAACTTACATCAGGATTAATATAACAGCTCATATTTAAATTCTTTTCAAACCTCATAGCCTCTTCATGTCTCAATTGCTTATCTCTTCTTTGTTTTCTCACGGAAAAGACTCTTGAGGCGAATTTGAAGACCTCTTTGGGTAGCCCCCTTTTTTAGGCCCCTATCACGAGAAAGGGCCCAACAAAACCTGAACGGGCCCACTGAGCCTTCTTCTAGAATAAAGCTTGCAGCTGTCACACTTTACGGCTTCTAAAAGCCATTTGACCACCTTGGCGTGGCTCCCTGAGCTGCATTTTATTACAGCAAGACCAAATGATCAAATAGCGATGACATAGTCATCATTAATTTTATTGCAAAAGCGAATGTCGAAAAGGGTCTTTCTTTTGCAGAGCAAAATCATTCTTGGTCTTCGTTTAACATCAAACTTTGGAAAATCAGAAATCTTTTATGTTTCGGTAGGCAGAAGTGAAACGAGGGGGAAATGGAAGAACAATCTTTACTGGAATGCAAAATCAACGATCAGGTCTCCGGTAAGCGATAAGAAGCTCGACTGGAAACGTTTTGACTGGTATACAAAATCAACAATCGGATTTCTGGTAGGCGACGACACTTAGGTTTTCTCGCAGTAAAATACAGTTTGGTTTGCTGTTGGCTAGTTTCTTCTTGAGTCACGGCAACGCTTTTTGTCGAGTACATACTGAACAGTTTTTCCACGGAAACCTAATCATCTTTACCAGTCCAGTTAAGACTGTTGTCACCGTATACCCTCTCTTTTCCCCCACCCGCCGTGATTGATGATTTTCATCAAGGTTCTCGGTCCCTCCTTTTCTACCAAGAGGTAACTTCTTCAGATTTCTTTAGCGAAGGGACCCATTTCAGCGACAGATCCAGCCTCACATCCAGCTTGTCATGTGACCTGAATGTCAGGTAGCCTTCGAGACACGTGATGTGAAAACCACGTGAAAATTTAAACTTGGGTACATTTCACTCCAGGCAATCTGCCGCATGTTATCCACCAGTCCCATTGAACAAACACGGACGAGACCAGCGGGCAGCCAAGGCGAACTGTCTTTTCCCAGTCACGCACTTCGTTTCCCATTCGGTAATACATTTTAAATGTCACCACTAGAGGATCCTACACGTTAAGAGAGTGAGAGAAAGAGGACATTCAGATTTTTGTGTGCAATTTCTTCATCCTAAATTCCAGTTTCCAGCCGTTCTCTGTTATTCTGTCGGATACGAACTTAAAACAACTCAAGGAAAAAAGAGTTTGAAAAAAAAAATTTAAAAAAATCGGCTGTCGGGAGCGAGGAGGGGGGGGAGGGGTAAGGTATGTTTCTTGAAACCCTCACCCTATATCCGGCTGAAAGATTGATTGTTTTCCCACTTTAATCAGCCCTGATTCAAACAAACCTTCTTTGTTTGAGCTTCACCAAGTAAACTTCAATCAAACATTTACAACTAATAATGAAGTGGCATTGAGTAGAAATTAGTCCAGTGCAGAGTGTTTATCCACCCTGAACGTAACCAAAACCTGGGGAGGGGTGACAGGGGCAGTCTACTAACCCACCCCTTTTGGATGAATAGGCCAGCTAAGTATGTAAACTGAGCGCACTTTCGATTATATAGAAGATTATTAGAAATAGAGCACATACCAGTAACTTTTGTAGTCTAGACAACTGTACTACTTGTTCTAAAACTCCTCCATTTTCACCCAGGAATTCACCAGAGAGAAGGCGAACTTTGCTCATGACAGGCTGCAAACAAATCCAAAACAGAGATCCCTAATCACACCTTCAAATTTTGAAAATCATAACTACTTTTGAATCTACTGACAATCAGAGCTGGTTTACTCCTTGCATAAGGAGTTTGTCACTGGCTTTTTTCTGTTACACATGGTGCTGTCTAAACTTAGGTATTAGGATTCCATATTGCTTCGGCAGATGCTTGAGTTCTGCTATGTCTGACTTATAAACCAACTATAGCACCTGAAAATCAGTGATTAATTAGTCAATGAATCAAAGGCCCAAAAAAAAAAGTCAATCAATCAATGTATCTGTCAATCAATCAATCTATAATCCTATCACCTACTTAGTCAATCAATCAATGTATCTGTCAATCAATCAATCCATAATCCTATCACCCTACCACCTACTTAGTCAATCAATCAATGTATCTGTCAATCAATCAATCTATAATCCTATCACCTACTCAGTCAATCAACCAATCAATTAATCATGATTGATCAATTAACAACAAAAACTGTTCTAAGAAATGTTTGAGGTTCAAGAGTAACACTGAGTTTGCAACTTACCGTGGGTACTTGTAGATCCATCACAACTTCTTGTAGTGGAAGAGGATTTGTATTATGAGCAGAGATCTTAATTTCCATAACATTTGAAAACACAGGTCTGCATTCAAATGATATGACCAGTCCATCTTGGTCAATTGGTGGGATTTCATCTGGAAGATCTGCAGAAATTGTGAAACAAGAAAAATTCAAAAAGTGTGATACCACTTGAGGGGGGGGGGGGTATGGACAATAATCTCCTACTCCACAAGTGTTCTTATTGCCCACCTCTTCTTCCCCCCTTTCCTCTGATACCTTTCCACTGACCCCTTTACCCTTCCTGTAACATATCCTCTAAAAACATTCCTCCAGTCTTCTGTTGTGCTTTCCATGTGTATGGAAAACCTACTGATTTTGACCTAAAATTCAATGAGAGTCTCCTTCACTGGAAAAATTTCCAAACAATTACTAGTAGTTCCACTAGCTCCAAGGTTCTGCAAGCAACATTTGTTGTTGCAAAGTGCAGAACCCAGGCTCTTGTAGGTTATACCAAATGCATGCAAGAAAAACATGCTTATCTTGTTCCATTTTATCCGATGAAAAAAAGAAAAAAAAAATGGCTTTGTACTTTAACCAAAAGATTTTCTCTGTTTCACATGGAAATGGACAGCACCACTGCTACTCACAATGAGCCTGATTCCAGAGTTTCATTCGTTCCCCAAACTCCTCTGGCAGCAAATCTGGCACAATAGGATCAGTGAGTCGACAGTCTGCTACTGCATCACTCTCATGGCATGGTCTCTGGATCAGATTTCTGCTACTTGCACTGCTAACATCTGTTAAATACAAACAGAACAGAGTTCTTAGAAGTTCCAGGGTTCATTTCGTCATAGCAACTCAGATTGTTCTTTGTCCCACAATTGTGCCAAATTGATGAACATCTTTCTTTGAGAATTTAAGAGTCAAAATGTCTTACCGCGAGCGACATCCATAAGTATGAGCTCAATTCGCTCATTTCTTCTGATATGTCTCAGTAAATGTGTTGCATACAGGCCATTTGGCTGGTTTGGCTCTTCATATGCCTCCTGTTGGGAACAACTGATACAACAACCCAAGATAAAATGATTAGTTCTCCCCTTCTAAATCAAAATAATAAGGTGTTGCTAATTCATAGACTCTCCCTCTCTATGGCATTATGCATTATTGTGGCATTAATGAGAGGAGCTTGGGAAAGATTGGTGCCAGTCCCTTTATGTTTTCAAAATCAAGCACTATCCCTCTATAAAACTGTTTTAAACTTGCTCTCAAAGGTACTAATCTCTATGTTGAATCACTAATCACCAAGTGAATCAATATAGGAGTTAAGGTTCTTTGTGAGAAGAGTTTCTGTGACAGTCATACTGCCTGCTGCTAGGCTACTGTCTAATCAGGAATATGCTTAGAATATATTCACTAATGAGTTGGCATTTCTTTAGATTCACACCAAAGTGGAAAACTAGTTATGACAGAAAGAAAGAGTTGGAATAACAAGTGGAAAAAGTAACTTTTCATAGGCCTAGCATAACTATATCAATAAAGAAATCTTTCTATTTAAATGAAAGAATTCTCCAAAAGACAGTTACTCACCATGAATATGCAAAAATATTATTTCCTTTTGGTCCTCTTTTGCAATAGTGAACAGTGCCAGTTTTCTTTGGTAACCTGTTCATAGTAATGGGGCTGTTAAAACTTCACTCATTACTCCCAAGGTAAAATTGATTTATTTCATGATTCTCTCTCCTAACTACAAAATATTTTCTTTTCAACACAAACACTTTACCCCAAACAACTTAACAGACAACTTAATACAGCCTTAAGGTTAAACATTTCTAGACAAAACAGTCACACTAACAACTTCTTACCGTATTCGACAAGAATCAATGATCAACAAGTTTAAGGCTGTATCACATGCTTGCATGGTTTCAAGAATCTCCTGAGCACGCAGACTGTCTTGACGATTATACTTCAGATTTGCATCAACTGGAAGAAGAAAGTTTTCTCCCCCATCCTCATATCCATGACCAGCATAGTAGAGTACTCCATAAACACCCTTGCCTTAAATCAAATGAGAATTGATTTGAAATTACAAACTTGCAATAAAGTTTAGTACAGTTATAGTGTGTTATAAAATAGCTTCTGGCTCTCAGCCATGGCTCTGAGTGCCAGATGCTATGATGGTACTTTGATTATCATTTTACTATAACTGAGTTCTCCTAACTTAATTTGAAAAAGAAAAATGAAATAAAAAAGATTTTGATCCAAGACCATTACCTGATCTTAGTAGGCAATATGTTTTTCTTTTGCAGTTACATATAATTTCTGTTTGCATCAACAAAATTTTTAAATTCTGTGATTTTTTTAGCTCAATTAGTGGAGAGTTGTGACAGTGCTTTAGTGAGACTCCCATAATGATTGAAACCAGTTGAAAGTTACTCACCTAAGAGTCTGCAAAATGAAAGAACTGCAATCCTCATCTCACTCAAGGAAAGATTCACCAAAGCCACAACCTAATTAGAATAAAGAAATCCGCAGCTTAGTTTGATCTAAATTTTTTATCAATAAGTGCTGGCAGTATTGACCAAAATGAGATACAAAGTCACTGTGGATTTGTGGGTAGTGTCAATAAATGGTGATGAGATGGATATGAAGATGATATCTGAGGTTATCTCAACCAGCGAAACAAGCTGGTGAAGAAGTAATTTATCAACCTTGTTCCTAGGCTACATGTTCTTTCTCACATGCTTAGGAAAATACAGGTATTCTTTGTGCCACCTCTTATAAACACAATTACTCTCAGTCAGTTAACAGTCAGTGTCAGCCAATTCACAGTCTGCAGTAAGCAAATGTCATAAACCAAAGTTTCAGTAGCAGAAGTCATCAACCCCTTCATTAACTCCTGGGGGCAACCAAGAAAGAATTTCTCCTTACAATATCAAAAACAATGTCAAGCAGAAAAGTAATGAGAATTAAGAAATATATCAATTTGGGGATTTTTAGTTGATCCAATACCAAATTCTCCAAACGAACACCAAGAATTGTATGGTAGGCAGTGCTCTCCTGAATGGAGAGAGTTACTGTTAGTTTCAAGTGTCTTTCCCAGAGACACAATTCATACCCACACCACATTATACATTGAAAGAGGTTAACCATAGAGCTTTTATCATCTGGCATGTAGCAACAGGCAGGATTTACAATATACAAATCAGTACAAAAATATCATTTAGCAAAAGAAAATCAATCAAAACCCATGACTAAGAGAGGCGCATGACTTGTACATTTTTAACAGTTCTGGGATAATTGCAGTCCTAAATCATCATTTAAAGAAACAATGTCACACATGAGCTAACTCTGACCTTAAATCCAAGAGTGAAAAGGACTTGTGCCACATCATATGCATCTTTTTCAGCATAGAACAGCCCTTTTAGTTTCCCACACTCATACTGCTGGTTTCCAATGACAAGAGCAACTTTGTCTGATACCACTGGGGGAATGAAATATTGAGTGATTAAGTCCACTTTTCATATGTTTCATTATGTAAAAATACAACAGATATTAAAAATAATGTAAACTCTTTAATAAGCCATGAAGGGGTTTTTAGAACATTGAAGCACAAGACAGGGTGGTTATTGGATTAAGGGTTTATCAAATTTGAAAATGCTTATCAACCCTGCAAATAGTCATTTCTCTCCTGAACCAGCTATCACCCAGCTTAAATTGATAACTAGGTTACAAAACCTAAAAAAGATTTAAAACACAAAAGGGTTTTAAGTACAAATATATTTTGCAGTGTACTGCTGCCACACACCCAAATGAACCAAAGTAACAATACTTGGGAATAACATTTTGCACCACATTAAACAGTAACTGGTCCAATGAAAAGACTTCTCTATTCACATTCTGCTTTTATTTCCTTTTGCAAATTTCCTTCCATTATTTTTGCCACAGAAAGGAATCAATTACTCCTATGGCTCCTAACAACACTATAACAGCTGTTTTCAATTTATTAGTAAAATGACATGTCTCTTGTTATAATAAATGTTAAATTTTGTCATTTGAAATATTCACCTGGTCGTGGTGGACTTTCTGGAGCAGTACTTGGTTGTCTCATTGAACTTGGCTCTAACACAACATTTCCATCTTGAAGGTCAGATCCTTTATTTGAAACCAAAATTTCATCATAAATAATCAAACTTTTGTTCAAGAAACATAGTTCACATTTGACAAGGAGAACAACTCAGACTTCTTGAACATGGAAACCTTTACCTTCTGCATGCTTATTGATATGACAGATAATTACAGAAAAACACTAATGAATGATGATAACATTGAGAGGCAATAATATCTTACCATTTTGTCGATCTGTTGCAGGATGGCGGACTTCATCCAAAACCACACCAAAAGCAACAAACAAAAACAAATAAACAAGAACAGCATGAGTCTCAGAGCCTTTTTTCTCTCTTTAGATGACTTCCCATTTAATTTTTTTCTGTACGTTGCTTTCACTGTTCATGAAAGTGAGAGGGAGCCTATCATTAAATGTATCTAATATGTAGATTGCAGTTATACCATAAGAAAGATGTGAAACTTTAAGATTAGTCATCTAATTGTGTTTCATCACCAAATCTTGTCTTTGGTTGACTTAGGTAACTTGAAATTATGAATCAAAAGTTTTAAAGAACTGGGCACCTTAGATTTCAGAGTCAAGGGCCTTCAAACAAGCATCTTGTGATTGTTCTAATGCAACAGCTTTGTATAAAACCATCCAAGTCATTATTTGAATACCTTGTGGTCTTGGTTCCAAAGCTAAAGGGGATCCATAATCAGAGAACATTGTGTGCTGAACATTTGCAATGATTTCTTGGTAAGGACGAGATCCTAAAACATTCAAAATAGTCTGTTACTTTACTCACTTAGTACAACAGCATACCACAAAATAATACTAAAAGCTTAATAAAAATAAAAAAAAGAATCACTGGTCCTAATAAATTTAGGAGGAAGAGTTAAGAAGTTGGTTCAGTGTCACCCTTAAAACAGAGTTTCCAAAGACAAGCTTCACCAAATAAAGCTCACCTTCTATGGAAGTATAGTTAAGATGCAACTAACTTTATGGCTCCTGCATTTTCATCATATCTTCTTGCATAGTTACAAAGCCTATCCCCACCAACTCTACAGAGATGCAGGGGGAGGGGGAAAGTTTAGAGGGTCAGCAGTATTGTTCTTTTAACCCTTCAACTCCTTGAAGTGATTAAAATGTAACTTCTCCCTATAATACTCATACAATATCTAAGAAACAGGTAATGAGAATACAAAAAAAACTATCCAGGTAGAAGTTGCTACCTTGATTAACATCTAGTTCTTGTAACTATTTTATAAGGAAATGTGTAGCAGCTAGAGGGGAGAATTAACAATCAGATCTTGAGAGTGAAAGGGTTAAAAGGAAAAATTCTTCAGTGGGTAGGAATCTTCAAAAAATAATTCAAACTTTAAAATACAGTCAAATAACTGCATTTCCAATAACACTTACTGCCATCATCCCCAACATAACATGCTGGCCTGGGTGGTGTTAAATTGTTATTGTACAGGTATTCATTCTCTTGAGGTGGGCGTGTTTCTTTCAGATCTAGACCACAGAATATGTTAAAAAAACCTGTCAATTAATGACTGGCTTTGTTGAATGACACCTTAAAACTAGATCACTCTCATTTACATGTGTATGTTAATGTGTGAATTTTTTAGAGCAGTATAAAAAATTTGACAGTACTCAGGGTTTGAGCTAGGATTTGACTATTTAGGGTCAATTTGTCCCTTTAGATTATATTTGGGGGGACATTTTCCATTTCTGAGGGTCGCTTAAGCATAGGGTCGCTTAAGCATAGGGTCGCTTAAGCATAGGGTCGCTTAAGCATAGGGAAAATTTTAAACATTTAATGAAATAGCAACAAGTTACATTGTAAGGTGGCATGCTTATTTTTATCTTTCTCTGTAAACTCTTAACTGTATGATTCTCTTACAACCAGCAGCTGATCATGGCCACTAAAATAATTAAGAAAGTGACTATTTGTAAAAGAACAAGACCAACAACTCTGTTGTGCCATTATCATTTTAACAATATCATATTTGTTCTTGCTTCCACATTTCATTGCAGATCCTTCTTAGTTAATTAACATCTTACATGTACATTTATAATAGCAGTATTTCACGATTTCAAAATTCTCCTGTTCTTTATAGCCCACTCTTCAAGGGCTAATGAAAAATCAAAGTCCACAGAAGGTGGCCCCTCGATGTCTATGGTCATAAGTACATCTAACCTGTTGGCTTTTAGTCTGTTTCTCAATGCATTTTTAATCCTGTTTTGGGCACTGAAGCCTCTCTCACAACAATTTCGGGGGAAAAGCCGCAATTTTGAACGTTTTGTCAAAGTATTCAGAATTGGATGAAACACTACTAAAGTGGTTTTGGGAGAAGAAGAGTCAGGATAAGTCTAAAAGTCTTATTTTGAATCACAATTTTGTAGTTTAAAAAAAACAACGCTTTACTCAGCCGAGTTCTGTCAGATCGTGTTGCAATGTTTACACAAGCCGTGGGAATGACTGCTTCTGATTGGTCAGTTTCCGATGTTGTCAAAATGAGATAAAACAAATATCTAAATCTTGCTTCTCTTATCTTTCACAAAAATTGCTGTTAGCGTATTAATTCTGCGGCTAAAACCAAATTGTTTATTGAAAAATTGTGCCGTTTATGGTCGAATTTATGTTGAATTTCAACTCTTGCAATTTTTTTGGGGGGCACAAATACTTCAGTAAAATTTGTCGCAAAAATCGCTCGCTTTGGACGGGACATTTTAAATTTTATTGCGGGATTGGCGCAATGGCGCGGGCTGGCTCAAACCCTGAGTACAGTACTTAATGTAGTTATGTGGTCTTCATTCTATATTCTGCCTGAAGAAAACATTCAAAATCACAACTTTAAGGCTGGGTTGACAAACTAATTTCCCACATCAACAAAATGCTTTTAATGGCTACCTCCCATCTTTCTTAGTGAGGTTAACAAACTCTGTGCTGCTCATCAAAAAAACTGAATGGCATAAATAAAAAACAAAATGACAATTACTTGGAAAAACTCTTGCTTTTGCAAAGTGTGATTAACTTATAATAATATAATAATAACAATAATAATTCATGATCATAGCTTATAACTTATTTAGTATCATCTGAAGTAAATACCTGTAGGTAAAATTAGTCTTGCATGTACAGTGAGACATTAAGCAATGTTCTATTAGGGCTGTTATGTAATATCAGTAACATATATATAGTGTTGTAAATAAAAAGCACTATTTGCTTGTCTTTGAATATAAATATAAATATTCTCTTAAATTCAATCAAGAGCAAAATTAACAAACCTCCAGTGGAATATGCTCCAAATAAGTTACCACCAATAGGAAAAGGTGGTTCAGGAGGGAGAGTGACATGCGTGGGCTGGTAATCTTTTCCACTTGGATACTGTGATAACTCTAGAGTAAATAATATCAATTGATATGTTTTAAATGGAACTATTTGTTATTAGATTTATTAAATAACTGCCTCCAGCAGAAGGTAATATCACATCAACACTGTCCTAATTAGCTACCCAAGTCCCCCTTCTTCACTTGGGAATGCCAATCTTGACTCCATAAAAAGAAAAGTTCATGTCCCCAGGACTTCCCCAGAAGTCCCCTCACCATTGTTTCAAACTCAATTCCTTGAACCCTGTAGTTAGATGAGACTGGCATTTTAAATAGGGCCTTACATTTATCAACAGTTTGCTATGTTCTGACATTTTTTTCAGGCTTGTTCTTTTATTACCAATCTGCCGATACCCACTGTAAGTTTGAACAATTTTTCCCTTTGTCATCATAATAAACAAACTGTTGGAAACAACAGAAAATGTATGGAAGACAGTTTGGAGAATTACTTTATAAATCTTGGGAGTGAAAGGATTAAGAAAGATAATTTCATCTACTGAGCCACCGTACCTTAATCGTTGAGAAATGTTTTTTTCACATGAAAGCTGCTATGAGCTTACTTAAAGATTGAAACGTTCGCTATTGTAAACTAGTCGATCTTTTAGCGGAAAATGGATCTGTACGCAAACAACTGAAGGTCAAGGCTCGAAAAGAAATCAATCAGGAGGTGTTTCTAAAGAAAAAATTTCGTTTCAAGGCGATGACAATTTCCAGGAAAGAATTTAAGAAGCTGTTTGTATACAAACGGACGCAATCGAATGGAACCAAAAGGTTACATTCTTTCTACTAATCGAAAGAAGCATCAAAAGCGATTGAGTAAAAAATAAAAGAGAGACAATTCAGTTATGTTCACGAAGTTTTATGTCCACGACTGGCTTTTTTTCATTTTCGTAATAGCTTCATACATGCCCATGCAGATCATATTAATAAATGCAAATTTACTGATTCTGGGCATGTTTCTGAGAAAACGCTCTAGCTATTTGATTAGATCTACCTGTAAATTCGACGGGTCTGAGAATGTTAACAGCATCGTCTCTTCCCATGCTTTTTAGAAGTTCAATCAGATGTGTAACTGTTTTGACTTCTCCATTTCTTTCCGAAGACATCCACCATTCGTACAACAGGGACACCGTCGGGTTCTTTTGTCGCTCAAAATTCCTTACACTTTCGTAGTTATAATTCATTTTCCCGGCAAGAAATCTGAAATCTTTCATTGGATGTCTGGGATTTAGTTTCATACCAAGCTTTTCCAGTATATCCATGCTCAAACAATTCATAAGTGTACTGACTCGCTTCACCTTCTCGGAAGCCATGTTTTCTTCTCCTGAGTAGGGTAGGGTAGGGGCGTGCCTTTCGAGCATCGAATACGTCAAAAAGCACCCCGCTGGTCCGATACTGATAAACAAGCTCCATAAAAGCACCCTTCTCCCCTCCCACTATGAATTGCACTCGCATGCCAATCTTATTGGCTTTGCTACTCGCCGTCTATTCCGCCAGAGACAGTGAGTAAATTAAGTAGCTCAACAATTTGGGGTTGTAAACAAGTTAAAATAGAAACATGTGGCTCTCCAATGATGAGTTTTTGAACGATCATTGGACTATTGAGCGACTAGTGGGGTTTTGCCGCTGGTGCTGTAACAAAATTTAGAGCCTTGCACTCCGTTACAAAGCAAGAAGCAACGTCTTTTTGTGACTTGTATTTTACAATTCTAACTTAAATTCATTTACATAGAATATATTAAAGTTCACACGACAACCAGGTGGACAATCAGACATGGTTTGATGCTATTCTGGTTTAAAGATTTAATGAATGTAACCGAAGAAGTTACAATTCATAGACCCAACGTTTAGACACTCCTGTCTAGTGTCTTAATCAGGGGTGATCTAAACGCTGCAACAAGAGGTCCTTTTATATGATCACTAATTAGCGGCCTTTTTTCTGACGAGGAGTAAATAGGCGTCAGGAAGCAAACCGCCATCGTCACGATTTAAAGGAGCGTGGAAGGGGTTAATATGCCAAGCCTCCAAACAAAGGCGCTGGTGGTAACGCCGATTAGTGGTGATAATTTTAGAATTATCCCGCTCAATTGTATGGTTAGTTAGGCATATGTGCTCCGATAAAGCAAAAAGAGCACCAAAAAGCGGTTTTCCTTTGCAAAAAGGAAAATTCTGCTTTATCGGAGCACACACTGTAAACCAGTGTAGCATCAAACCATGTCTCATTTACATAGCTTTTTTGTTCTTTTTTTAAACCATAAAAATCTAAACTTTTATTTCCTTAACACACTTTAGGTGAAGGCTAAAAACTCTCTCGGTGCCATAGGGGTATTCTTATGTTTGCCTTCATACTTACGCGCAAATGTAAGTCTTTCCTAACAGACCTAGAGCAAGCGCATAAATCAAATCTTCCAAAATTTTCACATTTTTCTTTTTTAACACAATTTGATCAGCGCCAAAATTTCTCTTTCTCAATTACAGTCAGCTCTCTCTTGGGTAACCGCCTTTGGTACCGGAAAAGCAAAAACTGGTCTCAAATTTTGCGAAAGATCACAGCGATTTAAAAAGTTGAAGGACTTGTCTGAGCGGGAGACAACACGGCAAGAGGGATTTGTGATAATGACCTGTTGCAGACACTTTGTTCTAACTTTTTACTTATTGTCTTTTCCTTTACGCTTTGATTTCCTTTGTTCCGACATATCATCAAGTCTTTTGTCCAATTTTCTCTGTAGCTGCGCTTTACGAGTCACGTCCAAAGCTTTTGGTTTCCCCGCCTTTGGCTTGCTAGCTTGTTGTCTAGCTCTCAATTTTGCCGCTTCACCACAACCATGAACCTCGGGGATATGATGAGACAAGCAGAACGTACCATCACAACATTTACACAACTGTCCAAGAGTTCTAATACTTTTTTTGCAGCCGTCGAAGCCACATTGTGTGTCTAATTTGGTAAAAGAAGCCAATAGTTTGTCAAAGTCTTCTTCTGGTTGTAACGCTGACAAGGATTTGGTTTTAAGTTTTGTCTTTTGCGGCTTCGCACTTGGCGGAGCCGACATCTCCTGATTCCTTTCTGCTCTGTTTGTTTCGGCCAGTTTAGATCTCTGCATCTGGTCGCAGCGAAGAGAGTGTAGCTGGAGATTACAGGCTGGGACTCGTTTCTTGCAAAAGGAGCATGTGCTCAAAAGGTCGGAATCATCTTCGTCGTCTACAAAAGACGGAGAAATATTAGAATCTGAACATTCTAACTCCACGGCTCCTGCGGTGAGCCATTAAGGGTCTGGAGAAAGTCGTTGCTTGTCTCTAAATCTTTTCCCGCCTCATACCCGCTAAGGCAAAATATTGCCGTGAAACACGTTCAGTAGCTTAAAAAAACGCGAAAAAGAACTTGACACGGAGACTGGTTCTGGAAAATAAATGTGACGCGTCCATTTTCTAAGGGAGTTTCCATGAAAATGATAAATTCTGCTCGAAAAGCCGTATCCTAATTAAACTCTGCACAAATTTTGGGGAAATTGGAAAATCCCGCCCTATTCGTGAGCTCGGTGTCTGCTGCTACAATCAATGCACTCTGCTCGAAATTTGGTGGCAAAATTAATACAAGCCTCACAAACAAAATCAGCAATGTAAGGTACATTTTTCTTTGGCGTCGAAAGTATCCCAGAAATACCTTGGATGTGTTTCACTTGGTTCATTCTATCTCAGCCAATTAGAAGCAAAAATAAAACTGACCAATCGCGAGCTGGTCATTCGCGTTTACTCGCGCTTCTAGCAGTTTACTTATGCCTACAGTGCGCTTTAATCGGCTATTTTAATCAATTTAGTCTTGGTTAGCGACCCTTCATCGAAAAGTAGCCTGTGAAAAATTCTGATTTGCAATCGCTTAAGTTGAAATTTTCGCGCGAATTTAACCACCAATCAGAAACCTCGCATTGATTTCCAGACGTGGGTTTTTGAGAGTGTGTCAAAGTTTCCCGCAGTGCATTGCAAAACTACTATCGCATAAACACACTTATTTAATTTAAACTTGTCAAATAAAGTTGGTGAAAGGATGGGTAAAAACAAACCTTTTGAAGCTGATATCACTTTTCTAACCACGATATACCTCTCCTTTCCCTCTCCATGGCTTTCATGACAGAGAGACAACTTCTCTGCAATACTGTGAACATCAAACCTCTGTTGTGAGCTCAGCGACTTCGGGAAAATCAACTCCTTCTTCGTAGCATCCTGAGTGAAAGCTACAATTTCTTTTTCAACATTTTCACGGCTGTAATCCGTAACCGCATTACTGATATTTTTACTTTTTTCTTGCTTCATTTTTTTTACATTCTTTCCAGAAATTTGTTCGTTGTTTTCTTCGGTAAGATTGGATGCTTTATCAGAAACAACCGATGAAACATCTTTTTTCTCCTCAGCTCCGCTGAATTCTAATTTTCTTGTGCCCTCTCCGCTTTCAGAATTATCTTTTGATTTCAAGTTCTTTTCTCCTTTTACATCTCGTTCTTCAGAATCGGGTCTTGTTTCTCCTGTGCCCTTTTTTTTCCATTCATTACCTGTCATTTCAGACATGGAAACTTCGTCCTGCTCGTACGTGTAACAGTTAACACTAGTTGGAAGTGAATCCTGGAGATATTCATGAGCCGATCGCACCTCTCCTTCGCTGCTCATGTATTCCATTAGGGATTTTAGAAAGTTATCATGATTGACAGTCTCAGAATCAGCAACAACAGCCAGATGGCGACGAGCTCGAGTAATTGCAACGTTAATTCGTCTGCGTTCGGCGAGAAAACCAACTTCACCTAAAAGAAAAAAAAGATCGATGAAAAGGCATTTGAACAGTTGCTACATGGAGAAGAAAAAAGCGCTCAGTTTTGGTACACAGTGACAGCAAATTTCAGGACAATGTGGGATCATAAGCTTAGATTCAGGATTATCTAAAAAATTTTTATAAGAGAATGGTTACAAAAAGAGAACCAAAAAAACCAAAACTAACAAACAAAAAAGGCAAAAAAACAAAAAAGAAAGAGTTGGTTTACTTTACTTTTAAAAATAAACCGTCATGTAGTTATAATCAAATCAATTTAATGTCTTACATATATGGCCCAATTGTATCCAAAGGGGACTAAAAGTCACTTCGTTATTGCGTAAATGCAAAATTGAAGGCTCAAGTTTTGTGGGGCTTTATCAAAGTGCAGGAAAAGCCGAAAAAAAAACCATAAAACTAAATAATATTAACACAATACTTGAATTAACTTGATTGTAAGTGGAGCAAATTTGATAAAGGCTGAAGTATGTTACCCTTTTTGTTCGAACGGACCAGTGATATAACAACAGCTTCCTTCTCTCTTCCTTGAAAACCATCCACAGATTTGATTTCTAACGCTGGATACTTGGAAGAGAGACGTAATCTGAGTAGCTCCACCTTAAAAGTATTGGGCAAAGAGAGAAATGAATAAAAGAAAATTTAAAAGAAAAAATATTTAAAGTAAAAATTTTAACTTCGCTCTGTGATTGGTCCTGAAAACTTGCGCTACTCTCTCCTTCAATCAGATGCAAAAACCAAAAACTAACGACGGCTCATTCCCTTGCCTTTTCTGGTGCTTCAGGAAGCCCTGGCACTGATGTATGGGCTTCAGGAAGCCCTGGCATTGATAAACCCCCATCCTCCCTCTCCAAAGCTTATCTGAGTCTTTGATAATTTGTAGTTACCAAGGTAACCTTTCAACAAAAATAGACGTGTCAGACCTAAGTTATCTGTTTCAATCTACCTGTAAGTTGTAAGGTGCGATGACGGCGATGTCATTAGGTTGGAGCCCAGCCGTCATAAGCGCCATGACATGCGCAGCGACAATGTCAGCCTCGCCTTCATTCCCTTTTGACACTTCATCTTCCACCTCCTTTTCTCTGACGTCACATCCCGCGGTGTCAATCAAAAGAAGTGGAATTGACGTCTCGTCTGTTTCTTGAACTCCAGGAAGATCTTTTAAAAGATGTGAATTCACAGAGCTGTCTGCGTTAAGTCGACCATCGTACAGTTTTTCAGACGACCACTTCATAATCGCCTCATTCATTCTGTAACAAAATTAACATGTTTTGTTTTACGTTTGATAACTCAAGATATATTAGTCCCGAGAAAACGATAGAGAAAACTGTCGTTTTCCGCCAGGATTCGAAACCAAGTTCCTTCTGCCCGTTGTTCTCTCCACCACTCAGCACCAGAGTAAAACCGTCGGGGTGAGGGGGAGGGTATGGGGTATGTTCAGGTCTAGAAACTTGCTAAAACATTTATTCCACCTTCACAGCACAAATTACACAGGATGTGGATTGGGATTTGTTAATGAGATTTCACCCTTGAAGTTCAAGATTTGAAGCCGTTACGACCAAGAAAAATACACGATTGTAACAAAAAAAGAAATAATGCCTTCTTTTTCATTTGAAGGACAACTTCAATGACTAGGATTGCGTGGCACTCGAGAACACGGAGCGAACAAGGAGCGTTTCGCTTGTTTAAAGATAAATAATTTCCACTTTCCAAGTGCAATAATTACAATGTTACAAACCTGTACTGCGTTGTTAACATGCGCACGGCTCCATCTCCCAGCATTTTTATGAGCCTCTCCATTAAAGTGACATCTAACCCTTGTTTGGCCGCTTTCTTGGATAATATTGTGGGAGGTAACTGAAGATGATCACCTGCAAGAACACACCTGAGTAAAAAAAAAAAAAAGCAAAGATACAATTAAACTTGCGCAAATAATACACTTACCCCAAGAGACTCACTTACTCGCTTAACACAATTCAGGAAACTTCGATTGTGGTTGGTTCAGTGCGCAGTTTTTTGGGTGAGTGAAATTCACCGCAGAAACACAAAATATGCAGCTAACGGTCTTATTACCCTTCAACAATTGAATCTAATTATAGCAATACTAGTTTAAATTTCCTAACACCTAAAATATGTAATTCTGTCACAATTCACATTTGCTTCTTTTTCACAATTCAAATTATGTCTAACATTTGATCTGTTATTAATGATACTCTCCATTAGGTGGGTGAATCTCAAAATGCAGTTGTATACACATGTTTACCTTTTTTTGTTAAGACTAGAGCTTATGTTACTGTTTTTCAAAAATATTGTATCTTCGCCATCATAAATGTACTGGGTTTCCTGTGGTGTTCGCTTACCTTGACGCCCGTAATAAAGGTATCCAGCAGCCAGCCTCGAGCGATTGCGCAGCCTCATCAATAACAACCAAATCAAAGTGGTCTTGCTTGACAAGTTTAAGGGGACCATCAGATGACGCACTAGTATTGGTTGCCAGGACAACATCAGCGCTGGTAAGAATTTCTGTGACAGCTTTATCCTCTCTTTGCTTCAGCTCTCCTCGTAAAGATTTTATTTCTTGTTTGAGGTGCTTCTTTTCTGATTGACTCCTTGATTTTCTTACTTTTGACTGATGACAGCAGGGAACCAAAAGACAAAAGGTATAAAAACTTCCATCAAGCTCTCAAATTTGCCAATTGAAAAGTAAATAAGCTCAAAAATTGCTCTGAACTTCTATGGAATTCACAGAGACCCTTGCTCATAGGAAGCCATGTTGCTGGGAAAGCAAATGATTTGCAATGATGATTCTTTTCATACATCTTTCATTAAATCCATCAAGTATTTATGAATTCTGTTTAAGCAACAAGCTTTTCTATATCTAACTGCCTTGATCTTCCTCAAAACCAAGACAAGTTGCAACAGAAGCAGAGCTTCTTATAAGAAATTCTGTCTATATTCCAGACACAGTTTGTGAGGAAAAGCATAAGCCTGGGGCAAGCAAGTTGCTAAACATCCTGGAAACTCCATTCAAAGAAAATAATAGAGTGGGAAGAAAACAAAAATGGTTGTTTATGTTCAGCACAAAAGTATACTTGAAATCTAATCAAATTAACTATCGCGTTACACCAAATCTCCCTCTGGCATGTTTATTTTCCCCTAAGTCTCCTTGGTAGAGGGGACTAAAGAGAGCATACATTTTTCCCAGACCCTAGCTGATTTTTGCTCATCTCCATGGCCTGAAGGACCAGCACATGCTATTAATTGTTCATACCAATGTATCATCAATGTCTTTTCTGACATCTCGCACAATGGCTGTTCCTTCAGAAGTAGACAGCAAAGCATCTAAGGAATGATCCTGAACAACACTCAGCAGTCGAGCAGGGTGACCAATCCTCACAACCTGAAACACAGTAATCAAATACAATTACAAGAAAAGAACCTCAGTTTGTATTCAGGAGTCAGTCAGTCAAATTTGTTGGTTACCCTGCATAGTTTTGTCAGCTATCTGATCATAGGAAGTTAATGCTCATGTTATGAAAAGTATTTGAAATTGAAGTGAATTGAGAGAGAAATTCCTTTGTCAGGACATTTCAATTTCATAAAAATTTTCTGAATAGTTACTTTAAATTAGTAATTAAAACATTACCTTAACTTTGCCTTTAATCAATTTTTCAACCATGTTGTCAACAGCAACATTTGAAGGCGCACAAGCTAATACCTTGAAGGAAATTGAGCCATGAGATACATATGATGACCTGAGGCAAAATTCTTCTTTTTTTTTCTTTAAATGGATTAAGTACAGCAATCTTCACTTAACACTACAAGTATTTTAAAGCATTTGCAGCAGTTGAAGTGTAGCCATTGTTAATACAAGATTGAAAAAATATGGGAATTGTGAGAAGACAAGAACAACTAGCTGGGAGGAGTAGGAAAAGGGATAGTGACAGACCCCTCCATGGAGACAGAGAAGGAGCAGTCCTAGGCTTATAAACTTCACCAAACTCAAAATTCACCAAATTCTGGGGAACTCTTTGCTTAATGACTCACTTATAAAATAATTAAAAATTTTGTTCCATTGTACTGACATATCCAACCTACACTTAACCTTTTAACTCCCAATACCTGATTAAGTTACATGTTAATCATGTTACCTGTAATCATTTCTGGTAGTTAAAAGATTAAGGTTACTCTTTAAAAGGTTTAACTCCTTAACTGCCAACTCCATTGAGAAGTCCTGTGCCAATACAAATGGATTAAATATTTTTCAAAATTGTAACTTCCTTTAAGTTTTAGTGGCCAGTTTATTTTACATCTCCAGTGCCAGAGATTTGACTGTTACTCTCAAACTTTTGACATACTGAGTATGTCATCTGGGCACACAATATCCAAATTGTGTGACATACACAGTACATCTAGCAGGCAATAAAGGAGTTGAGAGATAAGTTTCACCCTTTATGGATCACTAATCTAAAGAAGTCCTGTGTACTTTAAATCTCTCACTCTTAAAGTTTAGGGACAAAAATCAACAAAACATCTTAAATCTTCATCTACCTTCATGTTAAGATTTTTCACAGCCTGAGTGATAATCTCAACAACAGTTGTAGTTTTCCCAGTCCCAGGTGGACCATGAACTATGGCCACTTCTCTCTGACACAATGCAAACCTAACTGCTTGCCTCTGTGAATCATCGAGACTTTGATTGAAGAAGATGCATGGCGTCTCTCCTCCTTCTGTGAAGGGTCTGATTTGTAACGGAGGTCCAGGAGGTACATTCCCAAACAGTACATCAATCAAATGAGCAGCTGGCCCCTCTCTGTACTTTGTTAAGGTGTCAAGGGCACTAAAGTGGTAAAGAAGAAAATTAACTTTGCTCAACTTGAGTTGTTAGTTCTATACCATGATAAACTTGTCCACTCATGGTCAAGATGTACTCTTCTGACTAGCCACAGTCAGATAATGCTTTAAAAATTTGAAGACAGGTATAATGATTGCAGAAGGTTATTAATTTTGCCTTGGATGTTTGGTATTTTGTTGGTGAGAGGGTGGAGAGGCAGAGAGGTGAGGAAAGAAGAGGGAATTGTCCTGTGTCACACAGTTAATTGTAAGAGAGGAAGAAATGTGATAAACCCAAAATTTTAAGAGGGCACACAGTTTTTAACAGTTTTCTTGAGAGTGTATTGTGATTTTTGCCAAAATGATCACATATCAGCTAAGAAAAAAATTATAAGTAAAATCTTACATCATATCACAGTACCATGCACAACATAAAAAGGTAAAATAATTAAAAACAACAACAAAAACAAATAACAAAATGAACCTCACCAGTGAAATACAATTGAAATAATAATATTCTACAGGTAAATAAGGCAGAAAAAATTAACTGGTTTGACAGGGTTTTAACTCAATCCTCACAGGCATTAGTTGGATACTACTTCCATCTAAGCTAAAAGCAACATGTTTAGAGCAAGGCAAATATTAGAGGGTTGTTTGTTCCCTGTTAAGAAATCACATTCCTAAGCAATTTCTTTAATTGAAGTTCACCTGTGAAGATCGTTTTATAATTTGTAAAGTTTACATGACATAGTGAGTGCAGCTGGTGGCAAAGTCTGGCCTCTAATCTCAGATGAAGACTGTTAACCCTTTAACTCCCAAGATCTCATTAGTAATTCTCCTTACTGTCTGCCACACAATTCTTATGATGTTATTTCAGATAATTTGGTATTGGATCCACTTATAATCCCATAATTGATATTTGTCTTTATTCTTATCACCTACCTGCTCGATATTGTACTGATATTGTAATGAGAAATTCTGTCTTGCTCACTCATGGGAATTAAAGGGTAAAGAGTAGTAGTAGCCATAGCAAAGTGCACTGGTTTGGCTGAGTAATAATGACCAATATCTTCTGACTGAGTGATTTAATTACCTCTTGATTCTTTTGTGAGTTACATCATTTGCCAATTTGATTAGTTTAAATGGACCATCATCATCAAAACTGAGGTTGTCAGCTGTTTCATCAAATGCTACAGTAACAACTGTCTGGGAAACACGGCTTACAATTCCAGAGGCAATATCACTTGCTGCTTGATTGGAATTCAACCAACTAAGTCCCACTATGTCTCCTGAGTAAAGAGAATTCGAACATTACATCTATTTGATTCATTGTAGTACGTTGTGGATTGTATCTTCATGAAAAAGCGGAGCTAGATTGTCCACCAGAACATCGAATAATTTGGGCCCAGGGCGAGCTCGTTAATAGCTAACGATTGTAACTTTTCACTGCACCAGATAAAGAAACAATACTTGCCAGGTGTTAAAGAATGTGTCGGGAGTTTGCCATCAGAGCCAGGCTTATTTATCTCGAAGGTCAGAAGAAGTCGTCCATACAAGCCCGTCCTTCGGCTTCGGATACGAAGTTTCAACAGACAAACGCCCCTTCTTTGAAGCTCCTTTGGACTGACATTCTCTTGAAGAGATTTTGTCTCCTCGATTTCAGCTTCCCTTTCTAAACTTAGGAGAGAAATTGTCTTTACCACAAATTGAGACACGTCGACCGCCATTATGGCTCATTGTAGTGCGGCGAAAATGAAGTACAAACGAGTTGTTGTTGTGATCAGCTCCTCTGACAACTAACAATGCAGGCTCGACTATTTCCGGTTCTGTTGTTCTTTCCATTCAGTACAGACATCTGAAATATTTTTTATAGTTATTTGACATTATTTCAATTATAAGCTATATAACGACTTCAATGTTTGCAGAAATGAAGGGTAAGTAACCAAGCTTTTAAAACTGTCAGTCTTCCTAAAAATTTGGGAAATTTTCACATTTTTATTGAACACAAAATTTTAATCCTCTCTTGTGAGGATGTTATTGAGAGATAAGGGATATTTTCAGGGGGCTGAAAGCAGAGACTGATATTTTTTAAGTGAACCCATGAAAAGTTTTTACTAACAAACATGCACACTAACAAACAATTTTAACTGCAGAAATTTGGGCCATAGCGGTTTTGGATCTCTGAAAATGGCCTCGTTTTAACTAGGTTCCTTACGTTACTTTTCATGTCCTCCACATGCGTATACAAGCCTGTCACCCCTAATAGAATTAATATGCCTAGCTAGGCTAAAAAATTATGTAGTGGATATCAATCTTACGATGCAAAGTGGATAATATACATTGGATTAATAAGTGTTAGCGAGGAGCTCAAATCTTTTTGTAATTAACAATTAATTTTGTTTTCACAGCTTGCAGCCGTTTGATTTTGAATTCTGAAACAAAAAAAAAGTATCCAAAGTGGGAAATATGAAAACATTTACATCAGTCCTTTCTGTTAGCTCTCCAGGAGGCGATTGCAACGTCTCTTTTTTCTAAAATGAGATAGTCTTAGTATTTAAATGGCATTTAATATTTGAATCAATTTAAATTCCCGTTGCATGGTACGCATGATTTGCTGCATAGTCATGCAAATTTCTCTTTTGCGTGACTCTAAAATTTGATTGGTTCAGCGTTCGCATCTGTTTTGCTGTCCAAGCATTTGATTGGCTAACGATTCAAACGCAGTTTGTTTGAATGATTTCTAAACTGTCGAGCTTCTTCGAATCAGTCATTTCCTTCAAGCGAATGTAAAGTTCGTTCTGTGAATGCTTACTTTGATCTATGATCAGTAATCTCGTGATTTGTTTTTTCACAATTACTAATCAGTTAAAAGAGCCGAAAGCGAAATTATTTCCTGTTTCTTTACACTGGTAGCCGAAAACAAGCTTGATAAGCGACCAACAACCTCGAGTAAAGATGCACAGGGCAACATCTAGGGAGAAGTTCAGTTCTGCAAAACTTCCTAAAGAACTGGATCAGTATATCGTAGATCCTACAACGAAAAAACGTTATCACCGCGGCCGTTTCCTTGGCAAGGTACATACGGTTATATAAAAGTATAACCCCTAAGCAACGCGAGCACACGAAGGTTTGATCGCATGGTCAATCTTCAAATATCTTAAACACTTGTTGCTCTTCGTGATCTTTCAGGGAGGATTTGCAAAATGTTACGAACTCACCGATATGGAGACGAAGGAGATCTTGGCGGGAAAGATAATTTCAAAGACCATGTTGACGAAACCGCACCAAAAAGAAAAGGTGAGCAATTAAACTATGGACGCCTAAGTATGGACTAGTCGTTGTTCCGTTGTAACACTGAGCTTATCAACCTAAATTTGTTTAATTGAACTCTCGTTAAGCCTAGTTCGCTATTCCATTTTCTGTAGATGTCCATGGAAATTGCCATTCATCGTTCAGTGGGACAAAAGAAAAGTCTTGGCTCCCAGCCGCACAGACATATCGTTGGTTTTCGTGGATTCTTCGAAGACGATGACTATATTTATATTTTACTGGAGTTGTGCAGAAGAAGGGTATGTAAGACTTTAGGAGGAAGCTGTGGAAGCTAAAATCTTGTCAGGCTTACGTATTTAAAGAATATTCTCACTTATCATCGTGATTTTCAAGACCTATTAAACTAATTTTTTTTTGGTGTTAGAGACCGTTCTATCCGCCGCTCATCCATAAAATAATTTATGCAATCGAAGGCGAATATTTGAAATAAACGACGTCGATGTGCTGATAAACAGGACGCGCGAAAAGGCCATTTTTGGCGTTTACGATAGGAAAAGAGTAAGAAAATTGTGTGCGTGGCAAATTCTGCCTTAAAATCTATTGGAAATAGAATAGTCGATATTTTGAATATTTAATTTAGTTGAATCTTCCACGTATTTGTAAGTTTATACTCCAGCCTTTGTTCTTCGTTCAACGTTTTTACAACTCCACTGAATCGTTTTTAACAATCATTTTTTCCTGCTTGTTGCTTTTTAAATCAACATTATATTTTGACACGCTGCCTCAATGGGAAATCAAAATTACTAAGCCGTAGGGTTTATTTTACTAGACGAACTTTAAAAGGAACTAAGTTCTTTTCCCGAGAAACACCTGTTGATACTCCTAACAGAGCTGAAATATAAATATTACATGAACAATGAATAATAAAAGAAATTTGATATTAATGATTTAGGGTAAAAAAAAGAACCCTATGTGAGCTGGTAGTATAAAGATTTTTGTCTAAGTTAAATACACTTGTTAGTAATATCGTTTTCCTTCTTTTTTTGCCTCAGTGTAATTTTGATTCTTTAATTTATGCAAAGCGAGATTCACTTAAGATTAAAAAGGAAATTTGGCTGCATGTTCACCTGGCATTAGCAACAACAAAAAACACTAAAAATAAACATTAGCAAAAGTTTTCATAAGACTAGTGTATTAAATAGATTAAATTTTATATGAAGTCTCTGGTTTTGTCTCATCTCCAAAAAAAATAAGTGAAGAAGCTAAAATTAAGTTATTCTTTACAGGTATGCTCACTGAATTGATCTTGCCCGATACCAAAAAATTGCTGTATATTTTGCTTTCTTTTTGTTATTTCTGTAGAAGCATTCAGCACCCAACACTGAATATTTCATTCACTGTTCAGGTTTTCCTCTAATTTATAAAAAAAAATTTCTTGTGAAGCAATCTTGTCTAATACTTGGCAAAGCATGCTGCATTTTGAATTAGTTTTATTTCAAAATATCTTTTTAGAAGGATGTTTTCATTTCCATGGTGCATTAGGGAAATTAATCATTGGTTTTGTTAGTTATAGTGGTTTTGTGAACAATGAAGTTTTTTGAGGTATTTTATTGAAAAAATCTTGCATGGTTTGGTCCGGTTTTATTGTCATGATGAAAATAAATTTATTTCAGAGATTTTTTGAGATACAAATTTATTACGTAAAATAAAGCTAGAAAAATAGAAGTTTCATTCTCTTCTTCTCCAGATAGGTTATATTCACAAACTATGTATTGCATGAACACAGTTTTTGAACAATAAAATTTGTATTTGAAAGGGCAGAGTTGCCAACAGGAGCTGGTAGTTGACTGCTGGCTTGTCTTCAATCTTTAGCCACCTTCTTTCCTCTCATTTTATCATAAACATTGATTTGTTTTTGAGTGCAATTGAATGTATAATTTACCAGTAACAGGTTTAGAAGTGTAAATTTATTCCCTTTTCAGAATTTGCTAGAGAATTAGTGTTAACTTCATCAAAAAGTTAACAGTTTAGCAGAACAATTCAAAACATGGCTTCCATGACACCCTTGCCCTTTAGTATTTCTTAATTGCTTTCTACATCCAAACTAGTTGACAGACTGCATGTCCTGGAAGGGTAAAAGCTTATAGTCTGTTGTTTTGTGTATTTCAGTCCATGATGGAACTTCACAAACGTCGCAAAGCCTTGACTGAACCAGAAGTCAGATATTTCATGAAGCAGATTGTTGAGGGCACTAAATATCTTCATGACAATAAAATCATTCACCGTGATCTTAAGCTTGGAAATTTATTCCTGAATGATGATATGGATGTCAAGATTGGAGATTTTGGTCTGGCAACCAGAGTGGAGATTGATGGAGAAAGGAAAAAGTAAGATATTGGAGGAATATAAGCTTCCAGTACAGGAACAAGATGGTGTTATGCTAAATAAAGGAAAACGTCTTGTGATACAGAGCAAATGGGGGCACATGCACCAAAATGTACAAATACGAGCTGTTGAAATTTAAGTTTCCTGATACATTTAGTTGCTGTTTTGCATGAAATGATGTCATGGTTGCCATGATTAAAAAAAATTTAATTAATAGCCCTTTTGAATGACTGATGATGGCTTCTGCTTGGAAATGTCAGTCACTGTGACCAAACAAAAACAGTCTTTCTCAGGACTACACCTTCATCTGGATGATTAGACCACATGATCAGTTGTTCTTTTGTTGAGTCCAATGAAGATCATGTTGATTACAAGGGCAAAGGTGAATTGTCACATGATCATGACAGAGTATTGAAATTCCAATTTCAAAATGGGATACATGTATTTTCTTTCTGGAATTTTTTCATGCTTGATACTTTTCTCCATTTATGCCAACAAATATCAATTAATTAACTTTTTGGTTACTTTTGAAAACTTCTCAACAATATATTACTGATAATCTAACAGTTGGGCTTTCCTAAAAAATTGAAAACAATTCTTGAATTGTAACATGTAGCTGTGCAAAAGACTGATGTAATAACAGCTTGCTTTATTACTTTTGTTTGACTGTACCATGTACAAAATGCAGCTGTGCAAAAGACTGATGCAACGACAGCTTGCTTTATTACTTTTTTATGACTATAACATGTACCTTTTTTTTAATTGAACATCAAAGGAGTTTACTTATAAATTAATCTTTTTTCTCAGAACTCTTTGTGGAACACCAAACTACATTGCTCCCGAAGTGCTCAATAAGAAAGGACACAGTTTTGAAGTGGATGTCTGGTCATTGGGATGCATCTTGTAAGTTCAGTAGGGCCAATTCTCATGGTGGTTGAAAAATGTGTATGACCTCTAGAATTTTTACTTCAAATTTTTTAGAAACTGTTTGTTCAGGACTCTGATTGAAAATGGTATAATAATTTATAACTACAAGACTAACAGACTCTTATGATTATTACAGGTACACTCTTCTTGTTGGAAAGCCACCCTTTGAGACCTCTTCCTTGAAGGATACTTACCAGCGTATCAAAAGAAATGAATACTATATTCCTTCTAAAGTTTCTCACTCTGCACAGCTTTTGATTATTAAGCTTTTACGACCAGATCCTGCAACAAGACCTGGCCTTCAACAAGTTCTAGATGACGATTTCTTCAAGGGATTCACACCGAGCCGCATGCCAGTTAGTAGTTTAACCATGGTGCCCAGGTTTGCCTCAGGATCTTCTGCTAACCTTCTTGGCACATCCAGACGGCCACTAAATGAGTTAAACACACAAGAACCTGTTGCTAGCACAGCCAGGAAAGACAAGGCTGCCTTTCTGGAAAAAGTAAGCAACAGAAGGTCACTGGGTGTTCGAGTTTGTGGTGCAGAGAGTAAACTGATTATGCCTGGTGAAGCTGTTGCTGAAGAGTTAAAGGAGGAAAACCAAGATGGTGAGTCAAGGTTTTCTCTTAGTGTTGTATATTTGAAAAAAAAAAAAAACTATATATATATATATATAGTGAACGGTAGATCATGGTAATTACTATCAAGTTTTACACTTACATCAACTTGGAATACTGCATCCTCTCTGTTGCATCTTAATGTACCGCTTAATTGAAATTGCCAATGAAACCCTGTTAGTAATAACTACACAGTCAGCCTCTGGGTTCTTTATAAATAGAATCCTTCTCTTCAGCTGAAAAATTCAGTGGCCAATTTTGATGACAAGTATTTAACTAAATAATGTTGTTGTCATTAATAACTAGCATCCTATTGTTATCATGGTCATCATCAAAGACTTTGAGGTTTCTTGTATATGTTTGGACCTTGAATTTAAAGTTTACGTATTGCTGTTATTATCGATTAGCTGATCTTCCTGTATTATTTTTGTCACAGAGATACCAAAAGACTGTTATCTTTCCCAACTTCACAAGCTTATTACGTCCTGTCTGGACAGCAGACCTTATCCTCCCCATCGACCCACCATTAATGAAGGTAAGAAATTTTTATACAATTATAAAATTAATATTATATTTAATAAATTTTAATAGTTTCATATGAACATATTGAGAGTTTTTCAAAGGATAGTCTGTAAGTATCCCAGAGAGATCAAGGGAGATCCCAGAACCTGAGCCCTTCGGTTTACTCGCACTTTGATAAAGAAGGCTAAGTAAGGGCCATTGCACAAAAGTGGACAGGCTTAGATTTGTCTCATCAAATTAAATCCAAGGACAACTTTGATCTTGTCTGTTGCATGCATCCGTATTAAAAATTTCAAAGTTGTCAAATTCTGTCAGTCCTGATCTTCTCAGACAAGTGACTGTCATAAGAAAGTAAGTATCTTTTCTCAATGGATTCAAATTTAAGTAGAATTGCCAGAATCATCTCAAGTTGTTTTGAAATTTTAAAATATGCAAGTTTTGCAAAAAAAAAAAAAAAAAAGACAATTATTGCCTTCCTGGTAACAGCTGCAATCCTTTTGATTATGGTTCATAATTTGATTAATGGGAGGAATTTTTATTTTGAAACAGATGATGCTGAAGACCCAGCATATGTTCCAGTGTACTGGGTTGGTAAATGGGTGGATTATTCTGACAAGTATGGCTTTGGTTACCAACTTAGTGACAACAGTGTAGGAGTTCTGTTCAATGACTTAACAAGAGTCATTCTTTTCCAGGATGGAGAGTAAGTAGTGGAGAGTAGATGTCCTTTTTCATTACTTAATCCAATCATCTTTTTAGTACTTGTATGAGGAACCAGGTATAGAATTGGTTGACAAATAAGTTTTCTTTTCATATCGTAGGGACCATGAATTTATTAATGTGTAAAATTAAATTAGTATTTTGGCGACAGTATGATTGAAATCTTTTCTAAGTTGTTAACACTTTTGGAGACATAAGGCTCCCCTCAACTTGTCTTTCACAGTAAAGTTTAAAAATGTGTCATTCATATCTATTGTTGCATTGAAACCTATACAGATAGTTAAATGTACAGTCAAGTAAACATATTTTTGATTTGGGTTTGCTTTGGAAAATTTATAGATTTTCTAAGTTATTTTAATTTGTACCAGACAATTTATTTTGTCAATTTTTTCTCCTCACAGCAACCTGCAGTACATTGATGAAGAAGGAAAAGAGCATTATCACACACTAAAGGGTTACCCTAAATACCTTGAAAAGAAAGTAACTCTTTTAAAACACTTCCTGACTTACATGAATGACCACTTATTAAAGGTATTTACAAAGTAAAAATTGTTATTTTAGAGTACAATGTCTGTCCACATGGCTTGCATGGGCCAATGAAAACCAGGAAAGTTAACCAGGGAAAATTACTAGTAGGAGTTGATCTTTTTGAGAATCCCAAAGCAATAAATACTAAGAAGTGTGATTGAATGATTATTTTCAAGTTACATTGTTTGAAAGTAAAGTCTCAATCTTATGTCATCAAAAACATTAAATAAGTGCTCAGAAAAAGTCATGTATTGTCATGGTGGAAATGAAAAGTTTTTCAAACTAAAACCCTGATTTGCTTCAGAAGGCAATTCATGATTTTGATTTGGTAATAGCATTACGATTTTTTCTCTCAGGTTTAAAGTAAACAGATGTTGCTTAGAGTACAAGAGTACACTGCCAAATTTAACTTATTTTGTCTTCTTTGCAACATCTGGTATCAGTTTATGGTATACCTGTGCAGAAGTAGCAGGAGAAAACCTTGTGAAGCAACCAATGAAGACTGCTGACAACTAGCTCTTTCATTCAACTTGTAGTACAACTGCATGTGGTGAATTTGTGACAATTGGGTTATTGCCAAAAAAGATGCAGCTTGTACATCAGTGTTTACAGTAAATTGCACGTGGTCATAAGTTTTAAATAAATTTGATTGTATTCAGGCTGGTGCAGGTACCAAAGGTGCCAAAGAAGATGAATCGGCAAGGTTACCTTTCTTGAAGCAGTGGTTTCGTACAAAAGAGGCCATTGTATTGCATCTCACTAATGGCACTCTACAGGTGAATACATAAATTCTTTCAAGATATATTTATTGGTACTGATGTCTTACTTGAAGAGGTGCTGCACCAAAAATTGCTGCTTTTATGACTCCCTAAAATTGTGGTGTGTCATTTTGAAGCTTTAGTGCAGAGTTTATAGAACCCATTTGTGGCAGAGCATCTTAGTGCTAACTGCAACTGTCAAGGATTTTAATGCTGATGGGACATTAACATTAATTTTGTTTGTAAATAGGATAAGAAAGATGGTAAGTTTTGAGCTCAGTAAGAAATAGTTACAAACTTTTATATATAAGATTTTATATTCTTTGTTGGAGCTGTATTTTGTCTCTTGACACTTTTTAATTGTAACATTATCAATTCTTTATGTTTTTACACAGATCAACTTTTTCAAGGACCATACCAAGATTATGGTGTGTCCTCTAATGGGGGCAGTGACATACATTGATGAGAGCAAAAGATTCAGGACATTTCCTTTGAAGAGCATTGAAAAACATGGCTGTAGTGCCAGTATAGCCAAACGACTTAGCTATGCTCGTAAAATGATAGAGCAAATACAAGAGTCTGAAAGGAGAAGCAATAAGGAATGAATGAACTGGATTACCTTAGTAGTAATCTTAACTTTATCATGTTTTTCTCTTGATTTCTTGATTATTTCCTCATTTTATTCAATTATGATCTGTATGGGAAGATTTTACTGTTTATAATGATGAATTAAATATTTCATTATTAAACTATTTATTTGCAAAAGTAGAAGCTGTTAGCCAGTCAAACTTTTAGGATAGTACTTAAAAGCAGTCTAGTGTTATACTCCTGAGTTATGCTTTGTCAATCACATCTGTTGTTTCACTCAATGCTGTTCATCTTTCTTCAGACCTTGGCAATTTGAGAATGAATTGATGAATTGATTACAGTGGTCTTGTAACCAAGAAACCTCTTTGTAAGAAAAATGAAGAAATTCAATCCTTAGAGGTCATAAATAAGTTAAGTTTAGCTTCTAGAGTTTATGGAAAGAATTTTACTAATTTACAAATGTTCCTCGAAATGATTTGACGAAGGCTTAAGATAATCAATTTCCCTTTATAGCTTATTGTATAAATACTCCCAATGCTTTTCCACCAATTTAGAGTCTTTCAGTATGTGAAAATAACTAGTGAGGTCACTACGATTTGTTCCAGAAACTATGAAAATGTGAAAGAATATGTTCACAATAGTTAAGATGAATACTTCAATTATTGTTTGTTATTAATAGTTATACCTCGTCATTGTAAATAGCGATTTTACCTGTAATAAAAGAATTTACTCTACGTCACATCTCTGGTGTAGTTCTCTTTCTGAATTTCTGTCTGGACTTAGAGGTAAAAAATTTAAAATATTCTCTGAATTCAGTGCATCAATTATTGCTGCAGGTTCTCATCAAAGCGTTTACCGCCAATAGTTTGTGAGTAGACCAGAAAGAAATGCCCCCAAACCTTTTCCGAAATTAATGATTATTAAGTTCTTTCCAATTTAACCAACCAGGCAGATAACACTTTATGTTTCAAACTACCGACTTTGGAGATCCAGTTTACTGACTTAGAGTGGACTTCATAAAATTGATGTCATTAACTGCCACCACTCTGCAAGCAGTTTAGGCAGGACACAAAACAGCCAGTCTTTACCCACAAATTGAAAGTGACCAATCAAAAATGATGAACACCAGACTGATAACCAGCCACCGACAAACAATTCCCCACCTCTCACTAATAATGACTTCTGTTCAGGTAATGTCAGTTTTCATTTCACCCAAAATATTTTGAGGCTGATTGAAAGTTGCTGATCAAAGTTACCTTTTGCAGTTTAACATCAGTATGCATAGTCTCCATACTTTTCTCTAGACATTTTCTGAGGTGCTCTCAAGGATGAATTGTTTAAAAATTAGGAGCTTCTTGAATTAGTAATCATTTCCTTTTTTCTCCTATCCTGAATGTGTAATTCAGGGAGGATAATGTAAGGAGAAATAAGATGCAAGACACTGAGGGCTAAAAGATAACATCCACAGTGTGGCAAATTTTGCAACTTTTCCTCAAAAACAAAGTGGCACAAGATTGAATCAAAACATGTACTGACTGAAGTAATGTAGTTGGGCAATAAAGAATTGTGATTTAAAAATGGGTGCAATTTTGGGTTAAAAGCATGCATATGCTTTTGGACCAAATTGCACTCCACTCAGTTCACTTATAGTACCCTCATAAAGAAAGCATTTACAATTTGCTAGGTTATGAGAAAAAAAAAACATGAAATAAGCATTACAATGAGTTTTACTGTAGTTTTATTGGCAAATAAACTGTAGTTAAGTTTAAAATTTCATTGCAGAAGTATGAATTTTTTTTTATTTTGTGTATAACTGGGAAAAAAATGAACTAACTGACCATATCTGCAGCTGTGGTCTGGAAGCAGACTTAGGGCTGGTTTCTCAGTATAAGCAAGGACATACTGTTTCATCTAGATGGTATTGGTGTCTTAAGCTAAAGTTCCAAGCAAGAGCACCTTGCTGTCCATGTATACAGTTTTTTTTTGCTCAGGCTTACATCAGAAGGAAAGCTATTCTTAGAGAGAGTTCAGATGTAAACTTAAAAATATAAATTTAATGCACACCTTTGCAAATTCATGTCTTAGAGACTCAGGAAAAACATTTTGTTTGGTTCCTTCAACAGGTTCACCTCTGTACACTTTAAGTTAACGTCAATGTCTTAATGTCTTAATGTCAAAATGTCTCCCTTGCAAAACAAGTCTTCATCTGAATTGTCTGGACAACCTCTTTTGATAAAGTTCATTGCATAACTAGTCAATAACAAAGTAAATAACAATTTATTCCCTAAACAGAATTGTCATTAAGATTTTCCTACAACTGGCCTTGGCTGATTCCCTCCTCCTGGTGGCACTGGCATTCTTCCTGGTGGTGCCCCATGTGGTGGTCCCCCAGGTGGTGGTCTAATACCTGCTGGTGGTGGCATTGCCCCAGGGGGTGGTATTGGAAATGGTAAAGCTCCAGGGGGTGGTAAGGCTCCTGGTGGTGGCATCATTCCGGGGGGTGGAGGCGGCATCATTCCAGGGGGTGGTAGGTGTGCAACTTGTGGGGGTGGAATGGCAGTACCAGCTTGATAAGCAGCAGCTAAAAATGAAGAATGAAACCATGCGATGTTATTGTGACAAAATGTTTCTTAGGCACTGGTACAGAGACTGCACAACACTGCATGTACCTTAAAGCAAAAAATTTCCTTCTCAAGTCAATTCAGTTTGTAAAACCTGTCCTAAGAGGGACAGTATCATAATTTGTGTGTATTTTCAAAAATAAGTCTCACTTGTTCCTTCTTAAGGGAACAAGTTCAAAAGGCATGTGATGATAATAGGGTTTTGAAGCTTTGTCACTATTGGAGTCTCAAAGTTTCAGTACAAATTAATTTCATACCAACTTTTGGTGCATTTCAGTGAGTTTTTTTAAATCTAATTAGTGCTTAATCAAATTATAATTCAATTCTCTTGACTCAAGAGCAGCAAAAATGTCATGTGCACCGAGAAGTTTTTGCGAAAAATAGTTGTCTCTTAAGTAAATACATGTTAATGTGAAATGCATACTTGTCTGATCAATCAAACTCTGTGCCTGTTCTTCCATCCACTTCGTGTAATAAAACCTCACATTTTCCTTGTGTTTTCGGCCACCATTGTGTGTCTTCCGGACTGACGGCTGGGAGTTAGAGAAACCAATTTTGTTAGCATAGGTAAGAAGAAAGGAAGCTGTCTAGGTGTTGTAATTCCAGGAAGGTACTTGATAATTAAAGGGAAGAGTAATTACACCAATACCATTATCAAACAGCCAATGTATTACTATGAGACTAACAAAATTGTAAATACTTAGGATATTTATGGAAAGTCTACGTTTTTTGGGAAAAAGCTAATGTAGGCTAGAAAAGTAAACCACAAAAAGCAACAGTAATACATTTTCCGTGGTGAAATTTGTGCCCATGTATTGACTTAAGTTGCAATTGGTCAGTACAGAACTGACCTGTTGGAATTAAATTGAGGAGTTTTATAATATCTAGTAACACGGGATACATAATTATCGACGCTTTAACTTAAAACTGAGAAAGTTCACCTAATGGAGAGAAATTTAACCTGTTACTCAAGAAGAGTAAGAGACAATGCAAGTATACGAAGCAAATAAATATCAAGGAACAAAGGGAGAGAGAGTGCTTTTGGAGTAAGCCCTGTAGAAAGACACAGACTTTAAGATGCTAATGAAAGAAGTCCAAAGTTGTGGCAAATTCCCAAAGAGACATGAATTATTGGTGCAGACAAAAAAAGGCAAAAACGTCAGAGTACTGGAGAGAAGAGCAATGCGGAACTGGCTACAGTAAGCGTCGTATCTCAAACGAAATCTAAACAAATAAATAAAGACTTACCGAGTCATGTGTTAAGTAAGTATCGCAGTAATCACAATAATACCTAGAACGGGAAGAACCATTATGAAATTGAATCATGAAGCAAGAATTCCTCATGAAATAGACTAAAAGAAATGCAATACAACGTTATTTTCAAGCTGGAAACCGGCTCTACTTACTTAGGCATTTTGGTACAGTGCGTCCTCCACGTTTGCGCGTGGTAAAGCTACGCATAAATTTCGCCAAGTTGCCGCTGTTGAATAAAATGCTGGCTCGTTTTAGAAAGTTGCGTCACACGTGGGTCAAGTAATCAACATGGCGATGCTCGCAGAGCCGAAATCCAAGCAAAAATGGAGCAGCGATCCACGAAATACAGCGTGGACCAATGGTAAGGAACTATTTATTTGTCAAAAGTCTCCCCCTGGCTTTTTTTATTATTATTTGAAATTGTTTAGGTCAATTGATAGATTGCCGTTCATATCTGAGCCATTGGGAAGTCTGAAAATGGATCCACTTTTAACCGGCCGATTCTTTTGGTTACCATCCTTTTGCCAAAGCTTGCCGTTTACCGTTTCTCATGATTGGTCGATGGAAGAATATAATTCAGGTTGATGATTGTTTTGGATGGAGCTTTTGCTTGGAGTTTCATGATAACTCCAAATTTATGTAACATGTTAGATATTACATACTCGAAGAGATCCATAGCAAGGTTGACGGCAGAGTATAGGGAGTTTTCAAGGATTCAACCTTTTCTTGAGAATGGCTATATTATTTGGAAGGTTTGTAAAATGAGACAATGATATATTTTAAGAAGGAGAGAGATTATCAGAATGTTAATTGTTTAAACTATTTTGATCAGATACCAGACGGTTTGGTTACCAGATGTTGACTAAAATGGGATGGGAGAGTGGAAAAGGACTGGGTGCTAAGGAGGATGGAACTAAAACACATGTTAAATCTGTCAAGAGGCAGCAGAACTTAGGTAAGAAAGCAAAATATTGTTGACATTAGTGATAAAGATTGCATGCATTTCTTGATGAAATCTGTTGTTATAACATGTAAACCTTTGGAAAGAAAGGATATACAAAAGCTTTTTGAGAACACTAAATATTAAGTTAAACTTGGTAAGATTGATCTTTTCTGCAGTCACAACTTCATTTGCTCCAATACTGGAAGTAACACTATTGCCGCTATCAAATAGCCTTCTCAGTCATGTTAAACTTGCTGACTAACTGATACTCTTTTATGACGTTTTCAGTAACTATGCATGAAACAAAAATGAAAGATCCTGCACAGTCTGGAAGTCTTTATCTAAAACTGCACCATATTAATGTTTTCATCTTTGATTTTTATTGACTTTCCTAAACAGTCAACTCCACTAACTATGGTGGCATGCCACTTGAAGGGTGTATGAATTTTTTTTTTTTAAATTATCAACTTGGTTAATTCAACCAAATAATCTTGTAATACCCCCCATCTATGCAGAGCCACAGTTTCATCAGAAACTTACCCCTTTAAGCTTTACAACAGTGTAGCAGACATTTATCCCTGGGTATCATTCTCGTCATGAGGATTTAAAGTTCATTTGCATGTATACAAGAGTTAGAGCATTTGTCTGAATTTCAGTGAAGAAAATGCTTATTAGACTTAACCAACTGTTATGTTGTTCATAATATTCAGGTCTAGGGGCTGAGAAGTCTCATGAAGATAACTGGATATCACACCAGGTAGCATTTGATGATTTGCTATCTCAGCTTAATAATCATGCAGAAAATGATAACGGTGAGATAACCAACAGTTTTACATATGCATTTGAGTATCTATCATTACTGCTATGGGTTCTTCAAAAAACTTTTATGTTTCCATTATTTTCTTGGTATATAATTAGAGTTTTGAGGTTTAGTTTGTCTTTCATCTGTGTGTTACAGAGGAAAAGTCAGTGAAGAAAGCAAAGAGTCATGAAATGGAAAAGAAAGCAAGACAGTCCCGAAAAAGAGTGTTGTAAGTACTGTTCCTTATTCTTAGAGGACCTCACTAAAATCACCTTTTAGTGATAAAAAGTCTCTTGTTACTCTAATTTTTTTATAAGTTAGGTATGAATCCTGTGTCAAATTTCTAAACTGCCATACACTTATGTTAGTCACTCTATTGTAGACAATAACCAATGCATTTGTGTAAATTAGGACTGAAAAGCCTTCTTAGAGCCCTAATAAAGATCTTTTTCTAAGAAGTTAAGGATTAACTCAGCTTATGAGTTCAGGGGCCTTTCATAGTTGGAGCTTGGATGGGATACTGGTCCATTTCAGGTTACCCTCAATCATTACAAGTATGTCAGTTTTCCACTAAATTTTGGTGATATGGATTTCTCTTCTTGAGAAGAGAGATGCAAGTCTTGCCTAACAACCAAATGACTTGGTTGAGGCTTTAAGCACATCACCTGTTGACTGGTAGCTCAGCATGCCAACTGTTAGGTGGCTATGTGCCTTGAATGTTCTACATAAATTGAATTTGTTTTAGACAGAAATACTTTAAGTTGGCTTTCATCTTGTAACATGTGTACCACCATGCTTCCCAACATTGACATGAGGATGTGAAATTGAATTGTGCTTTGTTGGAAATATGGAATGTGAGAGGGTAGGCCAGGAAGGATTACCTTACAGAATTAGTGTAAGAGGTTCTTTTAGACTTGGTGCAGAAGTTAAGCATCCTTGGTTAGAAGTTGCATTTTTCCTGGGCTTTGTTACCCAAGACAATGTTATTTCTGGACCATTTATGTGTATAAGGTTAATGACTGATTGGCTGTTTTGTATTCATAGTTACAATCGCTTCATTCAGAGCAAAGACTTGTCATCTAAATCAGCAGAAGACATGGCTTGCATCTTTGGTCAGAGGAGTAAGTCAGCTCCTGGAACTCCTCAGGAACAGTCAGAGGTTGGTTCAAACATCTTTATCGAAGCTTTGGGGTTATTTTATTTCGATAGCCCTTGCTCTGATTAACCGAAATGTACCGTACCGGTTGCTCTGTTTTGTTTTGTTATCGAATACGAAAATACTTAAAAAATGTTGAAACAAGCCTTTTTTACAAAGCTACTTTTCTTCCAATGTAGGACGAAGAATCGGACGAGAGTACTGCTTCCTGTCCGCCGCCATCTTCTCACGGTGTGCAGACTATAAACTCCGGACAAAGCGTTCAGGAATACTTTGAGATGAAAATGAGGGAGATGAAAGCGGCTCGAGAAAGGAGGCAGACAGTGGAGGTGAGCGCTATTCAAGAAAAAATAGCAACGGGAAAAGATCACAACGAGGAAGTTGACGAATCAGAACCGAAGAGGAAGAAGAAGAAAGAAAGTAAAAGAAAGCTTAAACATGCGATTGAAAATGAGGAATTGGTCAATAGCGTAAGTGTTACGCATTCTTTTGATGTGAAATGTTCAGCTGGAAAGAGAAAGAGAAACGGTGCCGTGGAAGAAACGAAATCTGGATTAGAAAGTGGATGCAAACCGTCGAAGGATAGGACGGAAGAAAAAGGAAAAAAGAAGAAAGCAAAAGAAATTAATGGTCAGACTTTAGAGGTTGACAGCAGCTCTTTGGGAAGGCTGGAAATAGTAGAAGAGGTGAAAGATAAAAAGAAAACGTCCAAGAGAAAGAGCGAGAAGGGGATTGCTAGATTTGAAAATGAAGATTTGGAAAAGTCGTCCGAGAGTGACCGAAGAAGGAACAAGACAAAAGGTAGCTCTAGCGACGAGAAATCTTTTAATGAGACAATTTCCGAAGTGGAGGAAGCAAACGATGAAGGCAACTTACGAAAGAAGAAGAAGAAGAAGAAGAAGAACCAAGATGTCGGTAATAGTCTAGAAACTGTCGAAAGAATGAAAAACGAGAAGAAGAAAAGAAAAAAGGATAAAAAAAGAAAGATCTAGGAAAAAAGATGGGGGTGACCGGGAAAGACCGAAACAAGATTATTTTAATTCTTCCACCAAAAAATAAACCAATAGCGATGGCTGATTTTTATGTTTATGTTCTTTTATGTTACTCACGGTACCAACTCTACACACGATAAAACAATCATCGTATGTTATTTTAGTAAATGTAGAATATTTGAACTTACTTTGCCAATCATTACTTACAAATGTTTTTGAGACGCGAACGGCAGCCGGAAGTTAAAAAACTCATTCATGGTGCTCATTGCACCTATTTGGTCAGCACAATTTGGTTTAAAATGTTATAACGAAGACTTAACGGCCGATACAATATTGGTGTCAAAGCGCACTAGAATTTATTTTTTTCTTTTCCGGTTGCTGTCTGCGGCCCAAAACTGTCCCTGCTTTAGTTCCCAATTGTCGTTTGAGAGCGCGCCGCTTTCACGGTATTACTTTTAAAACTGAATTGCTAAGAACTAAATACAATCTTAAGCGAGAAGGAAGAAGAACATTTTCTGTTGCTGCACCACTTTTATGGAATTCCTGAACCGGTGGTATCAGGAACTGTGGATATGTATGTAGTCTAAACCAAAAAGTATCTCTTAAGCAAAGGATCTCAATGATATAATAGCTTTTACTGCAAACGGTTAAAATCTTGGCCATTTTATAGCCATAGGTTATTCTTTTTCCTTTGTTTTTAAGAGAAAAACTTCTACGGTTTACTTTTTTTACGACCAATGGTTAAAATTTGTCAATTTTTACGCCTAACGACTGATTATGTTTTACCGTTTCACGGCTAACGGTTAACCCCAAGATCCTCTAAAAATATTGCAATTAAACGCCCGCATAACGGAACAAACAATTAAAAAACCTTCAGGGTGGAATTTGATAAATAGAACATCAAACCAATAAGAATTGTCAGTACCACCTGAAGAAATTGAACAGGTTCCTATTTACTAAAATGTGAATATCAAAGTAAGAGTGTTAGACTATTAACAACACGGCACAGAAGGGATTGGAATTTTTAGAGAAAACCTGGCATTTCAAGGGGAGACGACCTGAGCTGAAGCATCGAATGGAAGGGTAAAGAAATTTCCTGAAACCACACATACAGTGAGCAAAGAATATGTTGAAAAACTTTGTAAAATTAAAAAAAAATAAGTGAAAAATCGAACTGAAAAATTGTTTCCTGAAAAAGAAAAATCCCCTCAAGAACAGCATCGAGCTGATTACTCAAGAAACCTGATATATAAGGAACACATCAGCCTGGACCAGAAAAGAATAGGCTCTTTGATGCCGGTATTTGTCGAGTATCAGATATTCAACTGAATGGCCATTTTAGTGAAAATACGTGCAAGCGAAATACATCGTAGAGTGCCGTTGAACTCTCGGAAATGATGCTACACGCGAATTTTTACTGTTATCTGTATTATGCAACATATGAATGCAAAGAAAATTAGGGTATCTACTGCATGGTCTACAATAGGTACATTCATCTACACTGTCTGTAGTAGGTACAGCTATCCACACTGCCTAAAGTCGGTACAAGTATCTACACTGTCCACAGTAGATACAGCTTTCTACATTGTGTTCAATAGGTACAACTATCCACATTGTCTACAGTGGATACAGCTGTCTACACTGTCAACAGTAGGTACAGCTATCTACACTGTCTACAATCGGTAAAACTATCTACACCGTCTACAATAGGTACAGCTATCTACACTGTCTACAACATGTAAGCTAGTTGTACCTACTGTAGAAAGTGTTGTTGAAATTTGCTGAAAAAGTACATCCCACGAATTTTTCAAAAATTCGAAGGAGACTATCCCACCAAAACGAAAAATAGCAACATATATAATATTCGATCGCTAAAGGTTATATAACGAACGAAGATTCTACCAACTTTAACTCCACGTCTGTCGCCATTTTTGTCGCAGCTCCGGCGGGGGGAGTGTAAAGGCATTCAGCGGATACGTATCTTGGGCTATGGAATCCACATAAGCTTCACGGAAATTACAGAACATTTCACATTATCATACAAGTACCCCGGTTAAATTTAAATATAAGTCAGCTTCCATATGGTATAACCTTTTGATAACTTATATTTGGTAAAACCCCATTTCTGCCTGCTTTATCCAGAACTGCGAATGCTACCATGCCATCTTGGAAAAATTTTGCGGAAGATCCGCGCGCAGTGACGAAGTTTATGTCTATCCAATAATTTAAAAAAAGAGAGATAACGGGCACGAGGTAATAGTTCAAAAATAATTTAAAGGAACTAAAAAAGACAAAACTCATAAAAAGCAAACAAAAAAAAAGCATTCTGTTTCAAGTTTTGGTAAAGAATGTAGCTTCCCAGTGTTTCTCTGTTTTTTTTTCTTTTTACGCGGTTTTGGTACGGTTTTTGGTACTTGTCATTTTCTTCCGTTTTCCTTTCCTTTCTTTTACAAGTCTTTGTGGATGAATCTAACATTTGACTGCCCGTCTTTGAAAAGGTAACATAAGGTAAAGGAAATCTATTTATAATAAATACCTTCACAGAGGATGCATTTTTACTAACTTTTCTATTTTTACCCCTTCTTATCATCATTTTTATCTTTCCTTTTCCTTTTTTTGTTTCCGAACATTTATCTTCTACGGTTTTCGTACTTGTCACAATCAGAAATGCCTCTCTCTCGATTCCCACATTTTGTTTGCATTAATCCAGAGCTCGGCACGTAGACATACTGAGAAAACGTTTGCCTCCTTCTAACTTGCATTGCCTATCGAAGGATGACGAGCTTGAAATGGATAATACATAAGAAAAGTCAAAGGAAGAAAAGAGGTTAAAAAAATACATAAAACGGTTAAAGTAAAACAAAACCATTTCTATTTTAAGGAAAAAGAGTCTTTGCCGGCGACTTCTGAGCAACAGCAAACACTACAGGATTCAGAATATAACTAACAATTAACAAAGTGGCCTGAAAAAAAAAAAACTTCTCTGAAACAAAAAAGGGGCAAAAAGAAGATAAAAATGATGATACTAAGGAGAAAAAGTAGAAAAAAACAACATGCAGGTTCCGCGGGGAGGAGTTCCTCGGCCCCCAAGCCAGATCGAGAGTTACTCCTTGTCCGCCAGCTCTAAATCATACTCGGGGAGAAGTTATTCGGCCCCCAAGCCAGTTTGAGAATAACTCCTATAGCGTGATTCGAACCCGCGACCTCGATGACCTCTCTTGCACTCGTTGCGCGCCTACGATTGCCGCTCGACCATCTCGAAACTACGTATTTAATATGCATGAATTGTCGGTGTAGTGAGTTTTAAACTGCCAGGCTGGGGGGGAGGGTGAGGGTGAGGAACTTTATGTTACTGAGAGTGTAATCGAGCGTTTCCGGTCAAGAATAAAAGAAACAAGTCTAACAAAGAACTGACAAAAGCGATCTACACGAGGAATATTAGCATATGTTGTAATGGCGGACGGCTTCGTTCGCTGAAGCTCTTTAATATAATTCTTCAGTATTGCATTGCACATCTTGTACTGCACATAAAAATCACGTAATCATTTAGGCGAATAAGTGCGCTTACTGAATTATAATCCATGGACCAGGTTAAAGGCTCGATGGTCTTAAGCTCTTGATTGAGAACGGTGACCTATATTTCCTATTGCACAATTTTGGTGTACAAATTATCCCTTTTAGATTGGGGAATCTTATTTGGTTTTTTTGGCTCCTATGAATCCTTCAATAAAGAAGATACTAGTCCTTTTCTAGGATCAAAATTTGCATTATCATTAAAAAGCTCTTATTTATCTGAGAGAAAGGAGGTGTAAAGTTTCGTATAACCTGGACCCGGTACAAGTAAGAAGAGGGTACCTTTGCCAAAATGTCCCCCCTTCTAATGACCAACAGGAAGGGCTTGAAGGAGCTGTAGACGGTAATAGGGAACTTAACTACCTAATTAAGTTTACAAAAACACACAGTAATCAAGGAGAGCTATGACTAGAACCAGTTGTAACTGGTTAAGCCATGACAAATCGTGAAGTTGATGCTAAGATAAGATAGTCATAGACACTCTTCCTGCTTTTAAATGAGAAATATAACATAGTTTCCCCACGAATGATAGAATGACACCCACACAGGTACCATGTATATGAAGGCTCAATTCTTCTTCTTCTTACCAACTCCTTGTGCGACATTTTACCACAATGACAATTTTCCCTCATATTTATGTTTATTTTCATCATTATTTGCACATCTTTTACTGGGCATAAAAACCACGTGATTATATAGGCGAATGAGCGCGCTTGTTGTATTTTAATCCATGCACCGAGTTACAAGATACGATGGTCTTTAGCTCTTGATTAAGAACACTGACCTGTATTTTCTATTGCATAATTTTGGTGTGCAAATTATCCCTTTTGGATTGGGGAATCTTATCTGGCCTTTTTGGCTCCTATGAATCCCTGAATAAAGAAGATAGTAGTCCTTTTTTGAAAACAAATTTGCATTATCATTAAAAAGCTTTTTCAGTTCATGCAAGAAAAAAAAGGCGTTCGAGACTATAACTGAATAAATCTGCATCTTACTGAACTGATGGCTAAAGAGTAATATGATTTATAAAAAAACGGGTCGATTGGTATCAGAGAGTTATGCCGTACAGAAGCAAAGAGAGAAAATGGTGGTTAGACGTCACAATTTTCTCGCAGATTATTTCTGACTAAAAATACAAATCTCCTTCGTAAAAGTAAACGATAGACTTATGTATTTAACCATCTTCCATTTCAAAGTGGGATTGATGCTAGGGTTATCAGCATATTTATCACTGACACTTCTGATTGTCATCCGAAATACATTTACAAAATAATTATCTGAGAGAACGGAGGTGTAAAGTTTCCGATAACTTGGACCACAAGTAAGAAAAGGTTACTTTTGCCCCAACCTCCTCCCCTCACTCTAACGACCAACAGGAGGGCCTTGAAGGGTGCCGGAAGCCATAGTCGACGATAAGGAAATTAACGTCTTGATGTAGTTGGCAAACACGTACACTCAGTGAGAAAGGTGAGCTACTAAAACCATTTGTTTCGGGTTAAGCTTTTAACAAATCGCAAAGCTGATGCTAGTTAAAACTCTGCTTGATCTGAAGAAGCAACATTGGCATAACAGGCAAAAGCAACATTTCAAGCGTTAAGAAAGACAGATCTCCTTCAATGCTTTTTTAAAATCTTGCTTCTTATGAGGAGATGATGTTAGGGGTATTTTCTCTTGTTCTTTTATCATAGGGCTCCGTCCAGTTTTGAAGGGTTTCGTTGCATACTATTTCTGACGATTACCGATTCAATGACATTTTGCATGATTACGAAAAGTTAAGCTGATGTCGGAGATGTTCTCCAGCGTGGATCCTCATGCAATTACGAGCCTATTTTAGTATTCTTTACATGGTGAATTTCACCGCAGTTTACGATCGGATATGTAAGGTCAGAGTTCGGCGAATAGACGTACTAAGAAAGGGTTTAGCTTCAACTTGCATTGCAAATCGATTTGAAAACTGAAAGGGATGATACAGAAGTATCGTAGAAGAATTTAAATAGGGAAAAATAGATAACACAGTTGCGGAAACAAAACGATTTCCAATTTGAGGAAAAAGAGGTTTTGCCAGCAACTTGTGAGCTACAGAAAACACTACAGGATTAGAATATATAGTTGACGACAATGAAATTATGAGGGAGTTAGGAATTAGTAATAAAGTGTGAGAGACATGCTGCATCAATTGAATTGTGCCTAACGATTAGCAAGGCTGAAGTCAATTTGCGATTCCCCTCTCAAAAATCTTAGCTGCGCCCTTTCCCCAGGAGACTTCTTTGCGGACCACTTGATTCGAAAAAAAAACTAAAAAGAAGAAAAAGAAGAAGAGACAATAGAAATAAAACAAAACCGACACGAACCAACAACTGTATCAAAAAAATTACCTCAGTGGCCCAAAAGATAAATGCTTAGAAATAAAATTTTTTGCCCAATTTTCTTTCTGTTTTTTCCGATGAATTTTTGGATTTCTTTTATTGCATTGTAAACTCAGAATGACCTTTCCCGCCAATTTGAGAGGGATCCTTTGTCACGAGACTTGCTGGGGAATTGGATGATGCGTTTCATCGGTCGATCGGCAGCATGTACGCATCGACACACGCTTATAAGGTGCGGAAACTGTAAATTTCTTTGGTGGCCAGTTTACGATCGGAAAACGACATCCCGAGGTTAAATTTCGGCGTGTAGACATACTAAGAAAACGTTTACATCCTTTTAACTTGCATCGCCTAGCTTGAAATGGATAATACATAGACGTAAAAGGAAGAAAAGAGGTAAAAAAAATACATAAAACGGTTAAAGCAAAACAAAACCATTTCTATTTCAAGGGAAAAGAGTCTTTGCCGGCGACTTCTGAGCAACAGAAAACACTACAGGATTCAGAATATAACTAACAATTAACAAAGTTGCCTGAAAAAGAAAACTAATAAGGAGAAAAAGTAGAAAAAAAACCAGCAAAAAGAAAAATACAATTTCGCGGGGAGGAGTTCCTCGGCCCCCAAGCCAGTTCGAGAGTTACTCCTTGTCCGCCAGCTCCAAATCATACTCGGGGAGAAGTTATTCGGCCCCCAAGCCAGATTGAGAATAACTCCTATAGCGTGATTCGAACCCGCGACCTCGATGACCTCTCTTGCACTCGTTGCGCGCCTACGATTGCCGCTCGACCATCTCGAAACTACATATTTAATATGCATGAATTGTCGGTGTACTGAGTTTTAAACTGCCAGGCTGGGGGGGAGGGTGAGAAACTTTGTGTTACTGAGAGTGTAATCGAGCGTTTCCGGTCAAGAATAAAAGAAACAAGTCTAACAAAGAACTGACAAAAGCGATCTACACGAGAAACATTAGCATATGTTGTTATGGCGGACGGCTTCGTTTGCTAAAGCTCGTTAATGTGAATCCTCAGCGTTGCATTGCACATCTTGTACTGCACATAAAATCACGTAATTATAGAGGCGAATAAGCGCGCTTATTGCATTTTAATCCATGGACCAGGTTAAAAGATACGATGGTCTTCAGCTCTTGATTGAGAACACTACCTATATTTTCTATTGCATAATTTTGGTGTACAAATTATCCCTTTTAGATTGGGGAATCTTATTTGGTTTTTTTGGCTCCTATGAATCCTTCAATAAAGAAGATAGTAGTCCTTTTATAATAACAACATTTGCATTATCATTAAAAAGCTCTTTCAGTTCATGCAAAGATAAAAAGGCGTTCGAGACTTAAACTGAATAAATCTGCAACTTACTGGACTGATGGCCTAAGAGTACCATGATTTATAAAAAAACGGCTAGAATTTTTAACTGTTTGCAGAACAAAACAACCTCGCAGATTTAATATACCTTGGTTTGACTTTGCACTGCTTTATCATTTTATCATTCTAAACGACCATAAAACAAAGACAAAGTTCAAAATTAAAAAAAAAGAACCAATGCATAAAAACATTTTTTTTTTGACCGTAAAAGATACTCCAATAAATATTGAGAGAAAATAGCAAACTAGAAAATAGCGGTATTGTTGTGTGATCTCTGCTAGACGGTGTGAATAGTTGTACCTATTGTAGACAGTGTAGATAGTTGTACCTACTGTTTGCTGTACTAGTTGACACAGTGATATGTCTTACATGACAGTTCTACAAATTGACACAATAATATGGCCTACATGAATAAGTTTTAAGAAGTGACTGCATGTTGTTCTACCATGCAGTATATACCAAAATTAGTCACATATGGCCTGAAGCTTAATCTGTATTGCTTATAAAAAATAGCTCATATTAGTAATATCCTAGATCTTAACTAGTGTAGGAATAAAACAATTTCACGGAAGCACTCCCCAGCCAGTTGACCTATTTCTCACGTTCATTACGGCGTTCTGGAGATAAAAACTCTAACAAATTTATTTCCAAAGAAAGTGAGCACGTTTTTAGGGTTTTTAAAAGTTTAACAGGATGTCGTGATTTAAGGTTAAGGTAGACTCCAGTCTCCCGGTTGTTCCTTCCAATATCACACATTCACCATGTGAGTCAAAAGGGTGGCGTGAGAGTGGCGTGACAATTATAACGGAAGTGGTCTATCATGTGAGTTTCCCTTCGATTGCTAAAAATTGGATTGACAGCCGTTTTGTTATTGGATTTTTTTTGTTTAGATTCGTAGTAATAGTATGGATTTACTCGAGGCAGTCTCCGATAAATGCTGGCGTAGCCTACGAAAACACCCTCGCTCCCAGCGTATCCCTTACCCTACCCCTGAGAGCACCGTCAAGAGCTCATGGCAAAGAGGCCGTCACAATACAGCACCAGCCAAGATGGCGGTGGCTGAGGATATACTGAAAGACCCCTACTTTGCAGATCTCGACATTGATTTGAGCCAATTTTCTGAAGAGGAGAAAACGGTGATACTTGGCGTCATGCAAAAAGCCAAGGTAAGGATTTGAAATATATGGAAATCTCGGATTGTGTTAACTTTTGCGACTGTCAATACAACAGAATTATCGTTCCATGTGTTTTGTCCGCTTCGATCAATTGTGACTCAAATGGAATTAAGGGAAGATTGGTTAAATTATTTCATGACAAAGACCATTTATATTTTAATAAACCCAGTTTTCTGGATTTATCCATTTTAGGTTCTTGATCAGCAGCAAATTGAAGATAAATTCAGGTAAGGCTTCACAATTTTCAGCTTAGATTCAACATGCCAGCTTTTATGGATGCATTAAGCTTCATTTGTTAGCACCTTATTTTGGCAAAGAGTTATGCTAAAGTATGCGTGCTTAAATTTAAATGAGCTGAGCTTGGAAAAGAATCTCCGAACACACGGATTTTAGATTTTTATGAACAGGTGGAGGCGTGTACAGTTGAAAATCCTCTGTACAACCTTTAGACTCGTAGGGAGGTGTAGGGGAAGGTTTCCGGCAGCTGTGAACACATGCGCTTACAGCTTTGTCTCTGTGCTCGTTTAAACTTTTGCTATTCAAAACTTCTGTGTGCATTTTGTAGATGTAGATTTTATTGCAATCCAAGAGTATCTAAGGTAGAAGTTGACCTACTTGATTAACTCTTTAGCATCTAGGAGAGACCAGGAAAGAATTTCTCCATTCAATCTCAATACAATATTAAGCCGACAAGTGATGACAATAAAAAAAAATATCAATTAGAGGAGTACTAGTTGATCCAAAACTAAATTCTCCAAACTAGCATCTTAAGAATTGTATATATCTTGGGAGTCAAGAAATTAAAATCATGATTAATTATGCGAAAGACAGTAAGGATAGTTAACATTGAGAATTTTGGGATATAATAGAAAATATGATTATGGTTTGCTAACTTTGCCAGGAAACCAACAGAGGGACAACTTAGCAAATGGACAAATCTAATGAAGGGCTGGCAGTTTAGATGGTTCACTCTTGATCCTGGTTCTGGGTTATTGGAATATTATGTGGTAAGAATCAGTGCTCCAAGCTGTGACCTTTTTGGTTGCCATGGTGACTAGGAAAATGGAGGCTAAATTTAAAATACAAGTTGCCAATTTGGTAGCCTGTGCTTGATAGCCATGTAGCAAGTTGTAAAAAAAGGAAAAAAAAACAAATGACCATAACTGGATTTTTATGTCATTCAATAACTAAAAGTGAAAAAGCATGAAGCCCTTTCTAATGATATTTCACTATTCTCTTGCTTATTTGCATTTTAATGAAAACTGTGACTGTGCATGATAATTAGAGTAATGATGGGGGAAAAAGGGTAGAAATTTGTGTAGCTTGGTAACACCATCTCCCTTTCTATCCAGGTAGATAGATATGCCTTCAATATTCAAGCAGATTTTAGCATAACATTATATGATGTTTGTTTTTTTTTTACAGTTCAATAGGGAGAATTTAATACTCAACAACTGATTGGAGCACTTAGAATTATCTACCTCTGTTGCTGACTTAAAACAAGGCCTCTTTCACAATGATACTCATCTTCTAATTATGCTTAATCTGAAAAATCCAGAATTTTTCATTTCTTTTTCTACTAGAATTACTAACTGTAACCTTACTGATGTTGTATGGAGGTAGAAATAGTGAAACTAGAATCAGTGATATATTTTGGTTTACTATTTTGTAAATATCAGGATAAAGAGAGGAAGAAGCTTGGACCAAGAGGATCAGTTTATCTTGGGGTAAGATTCCTTTATTGAACATGGAGTACAAGTTTCACAAATTAGTTGTTTCATGATTGCAGTTTTCACAATTATCATTATAGTTTACATTTCACTTCTTGATTTCACTGTTACTAGGTAGTTTAAAATGCAACTTCCTTATTATGTGGCAGATATTCTATCAAGGTTTCCTGTGTCTTGGATTGAATTTTTTCATTTACTGTTTGTTTGTATATTTTTTGGTTTCTTTGATTGTAATAGGGAAGTGTGATAGCTCCCAGTGATGAGGATTCATTCACATTCAGTGTTAGTGCAGCTAATGGTGATATTTTTAAACTGCGAGGTAACTGTTTGTCACATTATTTTAAGCATAATCTTGTAAGTTTTTTGTAATGCTATCAAGATGGAAAACAATGGCGGACATTATTATTTAGAATACTAATTAGTAATACGATGTTCAATTATAATAATTTCATATCTAAATCATTGATTAACCTTTAACCCCCAAGAGTGAGTAACACCTAATTTCTCCTTACAATATCACCCCTGAGTCAAACATTAAGGTCTCAAGAATTAAAGAAATGATCACAACTGAAGGAGCTCTTGATTGTTAAACAAACTCTCCTTTTCAGCACCTTAGGAAATATGTAGGGATCAGTATGGAGAATTTGCATAATGATGATAAGTTGCAAGGGGTTAAACTACCATTTGCTATCAATAGCTCCATTCTTTCTTTCAACTTATGTTTGCTTACAGAAAAAAAAACACTGTCAAGTTCTTATTTGATATGTGTGCAGTTGGTCAAAACCTTTTTGAAATAGGAATCATTATTTAATGGTTCTTTGTTTATTTTTTTTACTTCCTAATGAATTATGATGAAAACCCTTCTCTAATTCTTATTGTGTTTCTCCTGAATTCAGCCAATGATGCAAAAGAAAGACAGGACTGGATTAATAAATTGAGAAGTGTGGCAGAGTTTCATACATCAAGTATTGCTCAGGTGCAATTTTCATGTTGCAATTTGATTTAAGTTTGATAACTGCTCCACCCCCCTCCTCTAATTGATTATTTTTTTTGTAAAACATGAAAATGAAAAAAAAATTTCTCCCACTTTTCGTTGCACAAACCCTCTCAATTGTTTCTATCCAAACATTTATTGATTTACAATCTGCAAAAGTTGGCCTGCTAGTTTGGCCAATCTCAAATCCATTTTTCGAGGTTGATTCTAAGAGACAAATTAATGAATAGATTTGTTGAATAGCTCTTAAAAACTTGGCACCTGTGTGAACTCTGCTAAATCTATGTTTCTTACCAGGCTGCCCCACCATTATACACCACACACAGTTTTTCTGTGTCAGCTGGACAGTCAAGTGGTCCTGTCAAGCCAAACACAACAACAGCATCCTCAAGTGGCCATCCTAATGTTGCAGTGGCAGATGAGTTGGTGTCAGACTCACCAAAAGTGACACACAAAACCTATCATGTACCTGAAAAGATCATGGAGGGAATGTCCCACGTTAGAGATGACCTGTACAGAATAGAAGATCAACAGATGGTTTTTATTGATCAATTAGAGGTTAATGCTCTTTGCTATGTAGTTACTAGTTATCCTGTTTTAAATTGAAATAGTTTAGTTAGATGAGCATCACAGATTGCTTGAATTTCTCCTTTGATAGGGTTAATCAATTGACAATAAAATTTTTCAGGTGTACATTATAGCAGCTTGTTGTCAACTTCACTGGAGAACATAGTAAAACTCGAAACAATTTTAAGTTATGAACAGAGTTGATTCTTAGTTAGTTTGGTTGTCAAGTGCATTTTGACTGTGCTTTTGTGAGACAAAATAAAATTGTATTGGCTAATGAGGATTCAGTAAAAAATATTCCAAGGGGCCAATGAGAACTCTAAGTATAAACAGATGTCAAACTTCCTGGAATGAAAGGGAATTGGAAAGACTAAGTCACCTTTGGTTTTAGTTATTTATCTGATTGGGTGGCATGAGTTTTCCTGACCAATCACAGAATGAAGAGAAGCAGAACAAAAGTAAACATAGGTTACCTTTAGTAGCTTCAGATTTGCAAATTTCCATTCTCTCTCTCTCTGCTGATTCCATTACCCCTATGAGTTGGAGGTATGCTGTAGTAAACAAGGTATTGATTTTAGTTGGTTTTAATATTTTCTGCAACAAATAGCAGATAACTAGTTTGTAACTTTGAGAGTGAACATCAGGTATAAAGCATGAAGGCTTTTGTAAATTATGTTCCATACTATTAATAAATCATCTGAATCCTGATGAAGTGTACAACCTTCTTATTGCAGTTGGATCCAACAGGAGAAGAATCACTTTTTCCTCTGGATAATGTAAGTGATTAAAATGTAATGAAATTACCTCTGGATATAAGTTTATCAGTTCCAATTCTATCAGTTGTTACTTTTAGGTGAGAATCAATTATTAATATATTAATTATAAGACTTTTTGCACACTGTCTGTGCTTGGCTAGTTGCTATAACACAGTTCTTTTACTGCATGGTATATTTTGTGAATTGCTGTCTCAAATGTCGAAAAATAAAACTACCAGTTTGTAGTATTGATTTGATTTGTTTTTCATTTCAGGATGTACTGATTTTAAAAGCAACTGCTCAGGTTATTGTCACTGATACTTTTTTAAAATCCCTTTTGCAAAGAAAAGATGTTGTAGTGCAAATGAAAAATTTCAGGTCATCATTGTTTCAAACTTGTGTGATAATTATGTATCTCCCTTAACTCTTTTAACAAATAAATACACAAATCAAACCATTTTGATTTTATTTTAACCTAAGAAAAAAATTACAACAGACAAAAAACAAAAAAATTTTGTGATACCATTTTTTGGGGCTAGTTTTAGTTATTATTTGAGACAAGGAAAGCAACCTTTACCTTCTGAAAAAACTACAAAATACACACCATAGTAGTTTAGAGGTAGAGATGAATTTGAAAGAGGTTTTATTAAGTTGAGAGCAGAGGAGAAGATTGAGGATAGTGAAGGATTTCAAATGCCTCAATTAAAAAAATTCTACTAAATTCACCCTCATTGCATTGAGGTCTGATTGCTTGGTACATACACCAGCTATAGTAACTGTAACTGTTTGAATTCATGTGCTAGCACATTGTCAAAGTGCCACATGAAAACCCATTTTTACATTATTTTTATTATTATTTTTATTATTTTTTTGTTTTAGTCTGCTCTCAGCACGCTGCATCACTGTTTTTCGATCCTCCAAGGACAGGTATTCAGTGTATTTTCCGTGTAACGTCTGCTTCTAATACTGGTGGATTATTTAAGCAGACAGTTGACAAACTTGTTAGTAATGGTTAGTCATTTAATTTGTAAAGGAAGGAATAGCAGCTAGTTGAGAGAGTTGCTAAGTAAATCAGATCTTGGCCGGTAAAAGCCACTGCATTAGTAAGTGTGTTTTAAAAAATAGTAATACTTTGTGTAAATAGTTCTGAGAATTGACATTAACAGTATTTTGGTTCCAATTTAAGCCTGAAATATATCTACTTTACAGTTTTATTGTGACTTATCCTAAGAGTAGCTTTCGCAGGTGAAAATCTAATTACACTTTATCAATTATTTTTATCTGGATAATTCATTATTAAAATTTCACATGGAACTTGATAGCCTTTCAAAGCAAAAAGTAGTTTAGGACTAAAAACCACAATATCTTTCCAGTTGTGTTTCTCCTTCCAACTATGAAAACAGAATTAACAAAAACTACCTTTGCTCTGTTTGAAATTTTTTTTGATCCAAAAACACATTGCTTTGGCTAGTTCATAAGAATCTAGTGTTAAAATCCTCGTGATGTCTTTTCCATTTCCTTGTTACTTGTCTGCGAGGCATTGTTGTTGAAACGAGAAACTAGTGTATAATTCTTCAATGAAAGCAACTCACCACTTAAGTTGAGCTTTATAGTTCATTTGTGTTGTTTCCTTTTACAGGCAGCCGATGTTCAAAGTGAAACTTCAGGTACCTTTCGTTCTTTTATTTTCGCCGAACATTTCCACTTTTTTGCTTTTTTTTTTCCTGTCGTAAACATTTTAAACCGTAATGTACATGTTAACTTTGCAACCTGCCTGGCCAGTCTAGTGTCGCCTGCAAGTTCTACTTTTTTTTTTTTTTTTTTTTTTTTCCAAGTACCGGATTTTCAAGGTAAAATATCGTGCAACTGAAAACGACTTAAAGGAATTCACCGTCGATATGTTTCGCTCTTTTCCAAGGGATGTTGTTGTCTATCTTCGTATGTCCCATTTTTGTTTTTATCCATCGAAAGTTGTGTTCCAATCTCTTATTTCTCTTTTTCTGTCTCATTCTCTTTTTTTCAAACTTTGCGTTGTCACAATGATCTGTTTCCGTAAAGCACCGTTAAATAAAGTGAAATTTATTTCCCAGTTTTTGTATAAATATATAACAACCAGGACCTGTTTTCTAGATCACGTACGGTCTCAAGGGTTTACCCAACGACTTTTACAAAATTACGCGTTTGACGTCCATTGTGATCAAACCCTTGATTGAATAATGGTTGAATTTTGACTTTGTCGACAGCTCGGCTGTGCCATTTGCATCTCTACCTGACATTATTTTATTCCTTTAATTGTCATGCCAAAACAGAACTGGTGGTTTCAGTGAGATACTGACAAAACTGTGATAGTTTTTAATTTGGCTTGTAGCTTCTTAAGCAAAAAGTGGTGTCAACAAAAATGATTTTTAACTAACGAGCTTTCCGAGAAGAAATTTGGTAAATTCGTGTCAAATGTAGTTTTAAAGTTTCTGTCAGTGCTTTCTCTTACCAAGGTTAATTTTTGGTTTAACTCACTATTGGCTCTCTTTTAACAGAATCACGCCGTGAGTCCATAATCAAATGTTTTTAGTTTGATGTATTTAGATGTACATACGATACATCTATTATCACATGGGCGAACGAACCACTTGACAACTCATTTGTGTTATTGACGTAACAAGCACTCTTTAGCAAATTAATAATTCATTGTATATACTGGCTGAATTAGCTATATAAATGTGTAACCACCACGACACACGCTTCTTTATTCGGAGTTTTATTAAACCAGACATCATGTCAAAGCGTCTAATTAACTTCCACCGATACTTGAGAGTGGCTGGCTTGGCTGTCTCATAAACGTGGTACGTGCTGTAGTTTCCATGTAGGCGCCGAGCAAATTTATGCTAAATTTTTAACTCATTATGCTTTGCAGGTGAAAGTTTTATTGTGGGAAGTCTTTATTTTCTCCAGAATTGTGGATAGTGTTTTTTGTTTGTTTCAGTCTTCGTGTGTAAATTTTGCCAAAAGCGTGGTGGAATCTGTTTGTTTTTTTTTTGTGGTCAGTAGAACCCACTAAATGTTACTACTGCGCGAATTATTGAGACGCAAAGAGCAGGCTTATGTAGAATATTCTTCACAGGGAGAGTAATTATTTTGCTATTGAATGTTTGCTATTGAAGGTTTCAATAACAATTTTGCAGCAAACTTAGGTTTAGCTCAACGTGGAGTAATTTGAACTGAGATGGAACCTTGCGAAAGATTATAGTACTGCGCCATGAGAGCAGGTTGAAATTAAATATAATGCAATGGAGTGTTGTTTTTTGCTTGTTTGCGGCTGTTTCCTCGATTTACATAACTTTCTGCTGAATACAAAGCAAAAAATTACTTAGTAGTGTTAATTAGTAAAATTGTTTGGCTATTTTTCTTTCAGCAGAAGCGTTGCAGCAGGACGAAAATACTTCCGAGTAAGTATAGCTTTCTGTTCGGATTTTGAGTCGAGTTTTCATCCCTAGTGTTAAAAAAAATATTCATTAATTCCTCCTCAATTTTCGCTGTCCAAGCGCTGTGAAAACGAACTTGTTGCATCCCTCAAATATTTATTTTCATAAGAAATAGATCAGCTAAACAAATTTCTCGCCAGTGATATTCTTGCGTTTTAACTTTTCACTTAAAATAATTAGGCAGCAAATGCTTCGCTGTGTTTACGATATTCTATTGTCAACATGCTTTTCATTTAACAGACGTTGTACTTATCAAACCCAGGCCTGGTCACAATTTACATTTAGCAGATCCCGCATTTATCAGATACTATCTTTATCAACCATCGTTACATTTGTTCTGTCATTACTCTGTTACATTTTTTTAATTAACGTCTTATTAATCGGGGTTTCCTTGAATATCCTATATTTCTTGACGCAACCGCGGTTTGTTTCGTCAGGTTTGCGGGAAAAAAGCGGAAGTGATGGATCGAGCTTGAAACCTGCTTTCTAAAGAAGTGTTATTTTTATGTCTTGACGAATGACACTCGCGCAACCTGCTACTCTGAGAATGAAAGCACTTGTTTTGAAACATCAAGTCTAAGTACAAAGCATTTTTTCTGTGGCAATTTTCCAAACTATTCGCTTCAACTTTGCAGGCAAATTTCGTCGTCTTCCATATAATTATTTAACCGCATGGTCAAAATGTCTATCCATTGAGCCAAATGAGTTTTTTACTTCAAATTTAAGAGTGACCTGTCGAAAACAGCTATTTTAATCATTGGCTTGTATTAAATTTTCTCGAAAAATAATGACTTAAGACCAACTATTGTTTGGAGGCGTTGATGTTTTGACAGATCTGACTATCTTGTTCAACGAAAGTCAAATTTGAGAAAATTATTGCTGAAAGTCCTCAAGTATGCTACAACAAGGGAACATGAGATTAGCTTATTTTCTCTAGGCCAAAAGAAAGTACACGGTGTGTTTTCATGAAGGCAGCTTTGAAGCTCACTTTATTTCGATGGAGAGAGCACTTGTTTCTGCAGCTCAAGACTGACTGGTACAATTAACAGTATATAACCACCTAAGCCTCCATTCTCAGATACCAAGTTCTTTCAGACGAGTCCTGCTTGGTAAGGATTGAGTTAATTCAAACCCAGTCAATAAATTTTTCTTAATCAACTTCAAGTTTAATTAATCGACGTGATTAACAATACAACATTTAAAGCGTGTGATTCCGTGTGCTTTGGGTTTTCATATGCAGGTGTATAGGTATTAGTCATCATAAAACAATTATAAATGAAAACGTGTTATCTTAAAACCGTGCAGTAAAACCTTCATAAAGTTAAGAAATGATAAAATTGACTTTTTTACCCCTTTTTCAGTTAAAACAAGCACTTTTTACGTAGCAAGGAATCAAACATACGTTTTCTGAATTAGTGATTCCGTTCTTTTTGTCCTTTTTAAAATTCTCCAAATCTCCTTCATCATAGTAACTTTAAACAATATATTTTGTCGTGTTCATTAAAAAAATAAAATTATATAAACGTATAAAATATGGAAGAAACAGTATTCGAATTTTATACGTGCTCATGTAAATATTATTTAGACTTAAACACATGCTTTACTTGAGCTAAATGATTTAACTCAGGTTTCAACGAACTCAGGGTCAGATCAGCGACAACGCTATGAGTCGACGACGTCATTTGAGGTAATGAATAAAAATGCGCATGTCATTTAAACATAGGTGTAACCTCTTACTTGTTTGCGACTTTCTTCGTCATTTTTTTCCGAGGGAGCAATCGACGTTTCGTTAATCTTCGCAAAGCTTATCCGAATATTTTGCGAATGAAAAGGTCCTTTGAAATTGATGCACCTCTACACTACCCGCTGCTTTTAGAGGAGACCATTTTTTTCCCGGAACCGCGTTGTCAACCTCTCTAAGCAGAAGTACACGAAGTGCGCTGTATTTGGACGAAACTCTCGTAGATTTTCCTTCTTTTACCAAGATAATGTATAATCATGTTTGAAAGCGTAAAGATGTGGCTTGTAAAAAGACGTGGTTTTTTTAAATTGACCATGACTAATTTTATACATACACTGAACAACTTCCCTCGGCAATGTCTCATTTGAGCATATTCGTTCATCTCCGACCGATTGAGCGATATTGAGCCCGCAATTTTCTTTTACGATTGTGTTGCCAAGCAACGCTTCCCATCTGTGAAGCCCGTCGACCACGTATTCAGTGTTATAGAGTTCTAAGATCGGTCATGATATCCAGAAGTGAAAACTGGGGCGAAACGAAACGAAAACATTGCGGACGATTGAGGAAAACGATGATTGTTCCCTCGGAAACTGTAACTTATGATAAAGCTGATGAAATCAGTTAAGGAATTATTGTTATTGTAACCTCAAAAACCCAGATTTTTTCATCAATAAAGCCAGTTATACTCAGCAATTTTGTAAGATCTGAACAAGGGAAAGAAACCAAGGTTTGCAGTGTTGTTTTGTGCTACCGAGAATTTTGAATTGTGACTGCTTGACAACTAATACTTTAAAGTTTTAAATCAAAGCTTTCTGGCTTAGTGCGATTAACATATTTGTTCTCAAAGACGGGTAAAAACTCTCTCAGCCCTAAATGTAACAGTTTTGCTGGGAAGATTTGACGACAGAGTGTTTTGAAATTGCGAAAAAATGATTGCCAGCAGTATTCCTCGGCAAACCAATGAAAATGTAACAAGATCACAGTAGCAATAAATTTTTTATGTACTCTTGGTATTGACGTAACAGTCTCTGTTTTGAGAGATGTAATCACAGACATTTTCTTCTGTTGAAGTGACCTGCGTCCAATTATCTCCTGTGATTTGAGAGATCTAATATATCGTTATTGAATGAATATGAATGCCATTCCGCTCCAAGATAATGAAATCCGAGTCCAAAAGTTCTGTTTTCATTAATGATTAAGCAAACGATAAGAAGGCGGAAAATACAGTTTTTTCTATGTTCGCGTTGTAGAAGAACAACAATTTGATATGAATAAATAATAACCAAACTTCAACATTCGACAATACGCGATGAATTCTTCAAATCCGGCTCTAGAAAAATCGACAGACACAAAGAACGTCTACCAGGGGAATATTTCTCGACTGATTTCGACAAAGCAGTGTTTGTAAGTAATTTTCGTGTGGGAGATTAGGCACTAGATAAATTCTATATCAAATGGCTTCGTTTAGCTCTGATTTAAGGAGAGAAGTGTTGCCTTTGCTATGGCCTATGTTACACCACAACAGGTCGGGATTAAACATTGTTTTCATTAGATTAGTGTCATATATATTTTTCACGTCGCTTTTTTTAAATTAAAGCTTCAAGACTCATGGGGATAAAACCGGCGGAGAGAGTAGGTCGTTTGGCTTCCACAGAAATGTTGGGACTCCAAAATCGCAAAGAAAGGACGGCAAAACATCTGATATTACCACGGATAGCTCAGGTGTAACGTGTTGCGAGAAAGCCAGGGCCGAGATGAAATACATTGACGGTGAGTAAAAATTTTTCTGAATTTTAAATGTGACCCGAAAACTTTACGTATTCTGTCTCAATTTTTTTTTTCAAACTTAGAATTTAAAACAGAAACACCTGTCGGTTTACGTCGTAAATGTTGAATTTCAAAAATTTAGGGCTATGTTTCGCGCAATTTAATTATAAGCGAGTACTATCTTGTCCTGAATTCTGGAACCTTCTCTTTTCTGACGATCCTCGACACCCATGCTGTTTCAATTTACTTTCTCTCTTTTGATGACTGCAAGAACCATGCTGTTCCAATTTACAAAATATAGTTAACAATTCTTATGAAACCTATTTTTTCGGCTTGAAGTCTGTGGAACACTCTGTGTAGATGAGGGTTGTTGGAAGCTTTTCCATTGTGAATGAAAGTAAATGAATGATTTTGTCGTAAGCTCGTTACAAAATTTAGACACCCTTCCATATGCGACCAAAGAGTTCAAAAGTTATCATCTTTCCGCACAGGGTGATTCACTGATTTCTGTCACAAGTGAGCCTTATTATGGGCTAGCTCACCATAGGGCTTTTATGTAGCTCAATGGAAGAATATCGCATTACCGCGAAATCGGATGTCTTGGGTTCAATTCCTTTAAGGGGGACTTTTTTTTTCGTTCCACGCTCGTGTCTAAACGAATCATTACTTTCTTTATTTGACCACTAAACTTGTTTTGTTTCCTGAAATAAATATAATGCATTCGGCATTTTTGCTGTAAGGATTTGAGAACAGCATTGTAGACCAGACCGAGCTTAGTGTACCACGATTGCCGCGAAATCATTGCATTTGATTACTTTGACGAGCAGTCATAAAAATAATGAGATAACCATGTGTAAGTTTTTCTTATTCCATTGCCAGTTTGCCCAGACCATTTTTTCCCTGCGTGCTGACCATTCGGTCACCGCGACCAAGATGACTAACATCCAAAATCACGCATTAAGGTCACGAGAATTAATGAAATGATCATTAACCTAAGAAACCTTTCAGATTGTTATATACATTCTCCCCGTCAGTACCTTTGAGAATGTTAAGAGAACATTATGGAGAATATGCATACTGATGGAGGGTGTAAAGACTTACTTATTATTTTTGGCGTTGTAGCTCGTAGAGAGGAAGAGGAAACTGACGACGAGGCCTATTGTACTGGAGAAGAACCTGAAAACCAGTCGGTTGAGGAACATAAAAGTGTTATACTACATCTTGTCTCTCAGCTCAAGCTAGGAATGGACTTGACTAAGGTACCTTGTGGAGTTCTCGAGATGTGCACAGGACTGAAATCAGTGGAGACATCGAATTCGAGTACTCGGTAACGAGTACAAGATTTGAACTCAAGTTTTCAGCATATAGTTATTGTTATTGTTTACGAAAGTAATTAAGCCCTTTCTTGATTGAAGAAATGTAAAACTTTTAACGTCAATAGTTTTGGAAAACGTTAAATTTATAGCAAAAATAAGAAAATGTTTACACCCAGCCCCATCGTGTTCCATTGTTTCTAAAATTTGCATTGAATGGACCCTGTTTTAACAGTGGTCATTTCTACTGTGTTTTTTTTAAGGTTGTTTTACCAACATTTATTCTTGAGCCGCGTTCCTTGTTGGAAATGTATGCAGACTTCTTTGCCCATCCTGATTTGTTTATTAAGTAAGTATCATTACTTTAAGTGCATGGACACCACGTGCATGGTCTGAGGTTGTCATGTGCAAGTCACATGCATAAGTTTATGTCCATTATTTTTTCAGTAAATTGAAATTTCGTGCCTTTTGTTGACTGTAACCCTAACTCGAATATTTTCAATTTCATATCGTCTTTTTTTTAGAATTCCTGACGGTCTCACGGCAGAAGATAGGATTTTATCTGTTTTAGAATTCTACTTAACTTCCTTCCATGCGGGAAGAAAGGTGAGACATTCAACAAGTTATCGTATATTTCTTAGTCCGTTCCTTCGTTTGTCTTCGTTTTTGTAGTCATTATTGTAATTCGTTAAAATATCTCTACATTTCTTTTTCTACGTTTAGGGTTCTCTAGCCAAGAAACCCTACAATCCCATATTAGGAGAGACATTTCACTGTTCTTGGAAAGTGCCAAGTTTGTCTAGCGGGAAACAAGCTTCCACAAACAGTCATATTGATCACTCTTCAACGGCCTCTGATGAAGGAAAAGTTTCGTTTGTTGCAGAACAGCTTTCCCATCATCCTCCGAGTGAGTAATTTAAACAGGTTCAGCAATAGTGAAAATATCATTGTGCTTATAAACGTCGCAGAAGAGCTGTAGCGTTATTTGAATTCTTCTAGGAGTACAGAACAAAATATCGGTGCACCATCTCGATTCCGTCACCTCATAAGATCGACACCGTAAGAATTTTAATTCATTGTGGTCTGTTGTCACTCTAACAGTTTCCGGGTTTTACGCTGAATGTCCAAGCAAGAAGCTGTGTTTTAATGCTCATATTTGGACGAAGTCGAAGTTTTATGGAATGTCTATAGGTGTAGTGAATCAAGGAGTAGGTAAGGATTGATCGATATTTGTCTTCTCCTTACAGTATCGGTACGGTGCTAAGCTCTAAAGGAAAGAGAATGAAGTTGTCCTGATATTTGTCAGTTTTCATGTGAATTTATGCTTCTCCCTCCATTTTAGCTATGTACTGTGACAAAAAATCGTTTTAGTTTTCCATCGCCGTAGAATGTTTGCTCTTTCCACTCCTTTTGGCATTGTTAAACTATTCCATAATTTCAGTGATTTAGGAATGGTAATCAAGAATATCGTACACTCAAGTTTTTTTTGAAGTTCCTACCTCGTTTGTTTCAAATGTACAAATACATGGGACAACATTGTCTACTTTTTTTTAAATACTCTTTCTCCGATATCTGTTCGAACTCAGGCTCTAGTCGTTTTGGGAATCTGACTCCAAAAATTCCATTTTAAACAATATTTCAGTGTGACACTTTACTCGTCAACTCACGTTGTACGTTTGTCGCCTCTCTTCAGGTGTAATTACCTTGTTAGAGCACAACGAAGATTATGTTATAACGTTTCCTAGCACGTATTGCAGGTGAGAGTTGTACTTTGGATGGCTATGTTTTCAATCGAGTGTAGGTGAAATTCAGGCAGTTACAAAGGGTACTAAACAATAACAGTCATTCTGATTTTGTTCTTAATAAAGTGATATTCAAAAAAATTAAACGTCAATGAATTTGAACAGGAGCTCAAAGATTTTGAGGGAAAAGTCACTATTTACTAAAGTCATCTTTGAATGGCGGTTTTGCGTAAGGTTTTAGACCAACCATAGTCAGGGGAACTCCAACTGTGATAACTAGGATATTTCGGGATACTTCTGGCACAATCTAAAACCTCTCTTTTAAAAGCTTATTGTCACTTCACTAAATCGTTACCTGGGTGTATTTTGATCAACGATTTTAATTCTATTACCTAATTTAAACTGATCACTTATATCAACAATATTTGAGAGAACTGATGAATTGTTCAAAGCCCTTTCTTCGACAATTATTGAAAGCGTAAACCATCCTTTTGTTGAAATGTCTGGAGCTTTTACTTATCTTCTGCAATCAGTTTAAAAATGATATTTCAGGAATCCTGAATCTCCTGCACCCCATAAACGCCCAGGCACGTGCTTAAAAATTTCAACCCAATTTCAGGTCAATTTTAACCTTTCCCTGGGTGGAGTTAGGTGGAAAAGTGAACATCACGTGCGCCAAGACCGGTTACAACGCGTCTGTGACGTTTCACACCAAGCCTTTTTATGGCGGGAAACTTCATCGAGTCACTGGCGAAGTGAAAAACACGTCATCTGGAAAAGTTATCTGTAAAGTGAATGGCGAGTGGAATGGCCAGATAGAAATGACCTTCACCAGTCATCAGGTTTGTGTGATTAAGCCCCCAAGGGAGTTTGGGTATTCGGGTTTCACGGATCTTTTTTAGTAAGGTATACGGTATTTTATGTCAATACGGGAGTACCTTTCTCGTTTTGCAAGTAACTTTTTTATACAACTTTGAATCTTGGGAGAAAAATTGGATTTATCAGTATCCCATTGGCTCTGGATAAAATTGTTTGGTTTTTTGTCCACACAGGAAGAACCAAAGATTATCGACACAGAGGCACTTCAGGTTTATCGAAAGCGTATCTGTCCTCAGTCAAAACAAGAGGAGTTTGAGTCTCGCCGGTTATGGCACAGAGTCACGCATGCGCTGAAGACTGATGACATCGATTCGGCAACGTCAGCGAAACACGAGGTAAGCATAAAATCATTGTCTGCGAAATGAGGAACTCAGCATGCAGAAATCTTAGGATAACAGATTTTCGTAAGCTGTTAAAACGCTCACTACTTACGAAAATCTGCTGCTAATGCTCTTTAGAATAGAGGGTGACATCAACTAAAGGCCCGTGATTTACCAAATGGAATGATGTGAAACTATTTATTGCCCACGTTTTTTTTTTCTTATAAATGATGAGTACTTCTATATTTTTGGGAAGTACACTCTACCACCGTGTCGTAAAACGTTTATTAATCTTAAAGCAGGCACCAGATGACTTTGTACAATTTTGCTTTTAGCTTGAAGAAAGACAAAGAAAGGAGGCACGAGAAAGGAAAGAGACTGGTGTCGAGTGGAAAACAAAAGTAAGTCGTCGCCCCTAAAAGTATGAGGTACTGAGGTGTGGTTACTGTTTATAAAATTTGGTTTAAATTAGAAAAAAAAAAATGATAGAAACACCTCTCGTTTGAGGTAAACATGCTTTACTCCAGACAAACAATCGTCTGAAAATAGGCCCATTTTTACACCGGCATTTCTCAGATGATATAAGTTGCACTGACTTGAAATCTCTAGTACTTATATGATGATGTGTTTTCTTAAGAAAGTGAATGGTAATTCTTGGTGCCATTATCGAGAAAGGTGTTTTTGTCGAGGATAGGGAATTTCTACCCTACGGCGTAACTAGACTGATACACTCATATAGTGAATTTCGTCAGATTTACGTGGAAAGTTTCTAGTCATTCTGTCAATTCCTAAATCGTGTCCACTGTGTCAGTTAATCTCTTGTAAGGAGTTGGGATAACTACTTCAAAAAAGATAATTCGAGTTAAAATTGACTTCCAGTTTTGATAGGAGCGAGAGCCTGAGCCAGATTTTGTGTGTTTCTTCTGTTTCAGTTATTTCATCGCCATGGTGATGGTTGGATGTATAACCATCACATGAAAACTTTACTCAAATCCAGTTCAGAAGAGGCGTCTTCGACTTCAACTCAACCAACAGAGCAATGAGAAATACATTGCAAAGTCAATGGAAAAAGTGACCAGCAACTACCGCATCAGTTTTAGGATAGCATCCTTCTTAGCGAGGAAAACAAGGAAGTTACCACTCCCTTCATCTGTGGAATATGATTTATTTCCCGCCTATTACTGATTAGTTGATTTTATCCAGCGGATGACATATCTGAAAGAATAACGAGTTCATGTCTTCTGGAAGAGTTGGAAACCATTCTGTTCCTACTGGGAAGTGGAGGATGCCTTTAGACAGTAATAAAAAAGTGACAAACGTGATAGAGATAGATATGTTTGTACATCACGCGACTATTTACTTTTATTTAATTGAAAAAAATAACTTATTAGGTGAATTTTTTCATGATCGTGATAACGAGTTCTGGGACGTTTGCGATTGAGTGGTTGGGCAACCGATCAGAAAAGCGTGCTTGAAATGTATTCCTAGAGGCTGCCTGGAGTAATATCATCTGTCTCACACTGCAGTCTTACGATCGACTGGGTGCGTGTCACCTTTTAATTTGGTGGTATTCAACACCTGTAATTGGCGCATGTGATTCCTTTGCGATCACATCGCGTCCAATCCTCGGTCTCGATCCACATCGGAAGTGACCAAATCGTTAGACAAGTGATAACGATTCATTAAGAGAGTAATAACTGTTATCTTTTGTACGATACTTATCTTTTGTTTATGACGATTTCGACAATATCTTTGTAAAAGTAACCCCCCTCCCCATGGGTTATTACGATCATTAAAATGAGCGAGCCTAACTGAACGTAAACAAGTATATTTTTCAAACGCAGAATCGAGTCCTATCAGAATTTGTCACTAGGTAGGAGAACAGATAGAATGAAACCTAATGGTTTGACGAAATTCTGCTGAAGTAAGTGGAATTTTTATAGTTAATGCATGAAATGGAGTATAGTCCATTAAAAATAGCGGAATATTAAAATTGTCAGTTTTAGTGCTTCTAGTCTATGGATTTTTCTTTTAATTTTAAGGACTTTTGAGATGATTTAGGGGAACTCCGAGTTTCTCTGTGTCCCATTTTCCTGACACCAGCCTTTTAACTAGGGTCATTTTATGTGATTTTGTGTGATCCATATCGAAATAGACTGACTTGCAAGACAAATGGTAGTAGAGACAATTAATGACGACAATAATAATGGTGTTTTCGTGATACTAATAGCGAAAACGATGCTCTTCACTCTCATTAAATCAGGAGCTATTATAACACTAAAGTGCTCTGAAATAGATATCTGAGAAACGTTTCCACTTAAAAGCGTAGGTCATGTCGGTTGTAAGGGAAAGTAAAAGCGTAACCAAGAAAGTTCCTTTTTTTAAATATTGCCTCAGCATAGGCATGAAACGGATAAAGTTAGAATCTCTTAAAAGAATGCTACGCTGTATTGTTGGGCAATTTTGGCACAGGTGCGAAAAGAAAGCGTGACCAACGAGCTGAGTCAAGATGGAATTTGCTTACGACAGGTAGGATATTGTTTTTCTCGGGAGTAACTGACCGACTAAGAGTAGAATTGCAATAGGAATTTGAAGGTTTATACCCAAAACGTTTCTATATTTTTTTCGTAGCCCTTTTGTGTGCCAAAAAAATCGCATGTATACGGCAATCTTCGGCTGTGATATCTTCCCAATCAAACATTACTTTGAGGCTTTGCACTTCGACCTTTCTCTATTAAAATTGTGCGATACTGCACACATTTAGAGAGCCGGTATTTTCTTGTTACGCTTGTCAGTGTATAAGAAATTAACCCTTTAGCTCCCAGAAGTGATTCACATGTGACTTCTCCCTACAATATACATCCACTATCCAGCAAACAGGTAATGAGAATACTCAAATATCTCAGGTAGAAGTTGTTATCTTGATCTAACACCAAATTCTTCCATCTAATTTACACGAAAATGTCTAACAGCTAGAGGGGAGAATTTACCATCAGATCCTGGGAGTTAAAAGGTTAAAGCTAATAAGAAGGTAACTCGATCCTCCTGTGTTTTTATCTCAGATGAAATGCAGAGCATTAATAGTCTTATCTGTCGCTGATCACTGACTTGTTGTAAGGTGGAACCGTAATATATTAGTCATTGTGCGCTGGATAAAACTATCATTGCCGTTTAACTTTAGCAACACAATAGCATCTCACTGCAAAATACCGCCCTTGTCCAATTTTTCATTTGACACTTAGCAAATCCTTTCAGAAATAATGATGAAAATTGTGATAAGAGTGAGATTAATAATAACCGTTATACCAGGAAGAGAGGTGATGCAATCATCAACGACAGTTATAAACAAGCGTATTTAATATCTGCTAAATGCTAAGGTGACAGTGAACTAATCTTCTAAAACTGAATGGCTGCCTTTAGTCACCAATGGGTCTTCCTACTTGTCGACTTGTTTCTTCCTCTGAGCCTTCTTTAGATTCCCTATAAAATGAATAAAAAATATCATGAGATTATACATCATATTAAAACAAGACCTGACGACGCCTATCCCAATAGCAAGCATAAAACTCTTATACAAACTATGTGTATCAGCGTTAAAAGTGAACAAAAAGTTCTAAGTAAAGAAAAATCTTGCCCAAGTCTTACCTTTATGGGACATCCGTACAACTCTATGCGCATGCTTATCCAATAATTGTAGGATAGTGGATGGATTTTGACAAGGCGTGCGTGGAATGCCGGAACAAATTCATGAGTAACAATAGAGTGGCGATCGTAATTTCCAGGAAATACCTGTAATAAAATTTTGTTGAACATCAGTCTCAAAAATTTTTATCTAGATACATATTTCAAAATATAAATGCGAGTTCAAGCTCATTCTTTGCAACTCACGAGACGGTTAAATCGGTTAATTTAAGAGCATTTATCTATTTAGAGTAGTACAGCTAAACAGAACTAAGAAAAATACCACTAGCAGCCGACCAGAACTCCCGCTAAGGCTAAGTTACTGTCAAAAGCGAAGAAAACGGTGACTGACCAAGTTGCTATTGGTTTTAGGTTTACTGCTGATTGGATTAAAAGCTAGCACGATGTTCTCTAGGCCGATCATTATGTTGAGTATGGTGGACTAAAACCAAAGTAGACCTAGATTATTTTAGAAAGACTGTCGAAAATTTATGTGACGTTGGAAAAACAGGATTTCTCCAAGATTTACCTTCTTGTTCCCATGGCTCATGTAGTAGACCCAATTGGGGCTCACAAGACTATAGGAAACAGCATAGCTGGTCACCCATTGATTACAACAATTTTGCCTCCCTTGTGTGGCGACTTTGGTCACAGTAGTGGGTCTGCCAAGATCGATTTGGATCCATTGGTGGGCATCGTTGGTCTTGACACTCCATGCCCCCGCATAGCCAGATGGTGGCTCGAGGTTTAATCGACCCAGTTTGGCGGTATTCTTTGCTGAGTAGAATGACGAGGCAGACAGTGCACTGTCTTTGATGCGGCCATCTTCCATTCCAAGCGACATCTGGCAGTGATAAACTTGAATATGTCGAAAATAAGAGACAAAATGGGAATGAAACGGTAAAACTTCATCAAAAGATATAAATGTCAAATTATCTATAATTTAAAAAAAAATTTTTTTCTCATTTCGATTTTAATCGAAATGAGAAGCCTTGTATCTGATATCTTAAGGTACAGTCGGTTTTTTATCATTGAGATTTTCATAATTACTATGCAGATGAAAAAACGTTTTACGCTGTAATGTCTATAGACAAGAAGTTTCTTCTCAGCCTTAACGTTGCTTAAGATTGAAGTGTGCTGTTGAGCAACGAAACATGAATGTGTACAGAAAAATAAAACAAGAAAATGAAAAAAAATCTGAGGCAAATAAATCAAAGAAAAAAACGGAAACAAAAAGCTTCATTGCTCCCTAGAACAAATTTTTATTTGTACTTCGTATCTTGAAAAATATCGGACTTAGAATAAATTAATCCAACAAAAAGTAAATTACCATTGCATCCGTAAACCTCAGCTCTCATGGAAATATGGTTGTGCCAAGTCCAAGGATGGAATCGGATATATGTAGCTTCAATATGGGGATGGAGGAAGTTGTACACAGGAGTGTTTTCATCTACATTTCCTCCAAATATCTGACGATATGAAAGCATCTAATTTATCACTTCAACATAAATATAATGCACAACTCAGATGATGTTTTAAAAAAAAATTTAAATTTGAAGCCTGAAAGGCCACAGCACTTGATGTCATACGTATACACAATGAGTGCCTAATTTAAGAAAGAGAGTGTGCACTCCTTGATTTAGGTATCAATATTGATCGCGGTTTTTCCTGTCCTCAAAGTTAGTATTTGTCTTACTTATTGTTTAATTAGAATGATTTTAATAACTTGGTAATGTCAGCAAATTATGCTTCTCGTTCACATGAAACATCTGAGGAAAATAAAGAGAATAAAAAAGGTAACACAGACTGTGTTTTTTCCCTTTCGGTCTTGAACGTGACTTCTCAGTAAAAGTAAAATTGTTGAGTGAACTACATTAACCTTGGTTTGTCCATCAGAGAGTCTGTACCAGGCCCAATGGATTCCATCTGAACTGTAAGATAATTTGAAGCTTGCCACCCATTGACTGCAACAACTATACCTCCCTTGAATCGCCACCTTAGTCACTGTGGTCTCACGTCCAAAGAAAACTTGCAGCCACTGGTTGCGATTATTACTAGCAGCGCACCATGCCCCAGCCTTACCCTTGGCGGGAATCTTGTTAAGGCGGGAAAATTTAGAGATGTGATTAGCGCTGTAAGATGTGGATGCTGATAAAGCACTGTCTGGAAGATAGCCGCTTTCCATTCCCAATGGTAGGAAACAGCTGCAATCTGTTGGTAAAGCAGAGCGTGATCATAATAAAGTTAGGCGACTTAAGAAAACTGGTAAATCTTGGAACATTAGTCAAGTAAAAGTATTTACAAAAGTAGTAAGTATTTCTACTTGTAAGCTCTTACTAATGATAATTATCTGTTATGTTTGGTTTTGACATCCAGCTAAACATGCTTAGGCTCTTGATTATTTACCGCCAACCAATTCAAAGTAAGGTGTACCTACCCCAAATTGACCTGGCCGCGTGAGTGTGTCCAGTGCTTCTTTTTACGAGAGATGCTCCACGAGCTTTGTTTTCTCCGGCATAGGAAACCTGGTTTAAAAGTTGGGAAACATCACATTTTTATTCTGTAAAAGTTATTTTCTTGATAGAACCTTCAGTTCTTAGAACTGATTTTGACTTTGTTTTCTGAATATCCAGCCTGTCAGCTTTTCTCTATCGAGACAGTTATACCTGTAGATAATGGCCATCCCACTTCAACCGCAAAAACAAGGACTGCTTTCCAAAACTCAACTATTTATTGTTACATTTCTCAACCCTGAGGTCGCGTATATCACATGACCCAAACGTCACTAAAGCAATGGCACGCAATGCGTACAAGCAAGATAAAAATTTACTAAAACTAAATAAAATATCAATGTTCAATCGCGACAATTGGTAACAGTTTTATGGCGTTTTGGAGAACCATAATGAAATTTGTATAACACTTCGAAAAATCTTTTTGGAAATTTTGGATTACATCACCTTATGACTGCTTATGATTGAATTAATACCCTTTCCGACAAGTTTTAATCTCAAAATTAAAGGAAACTGGTTTCGATTTTATGACATTCTCAGTAAATCATATTGTTTCTTTTTTTCGCGATCCCTCTAGTTTTCAAACTTGAGAGAGATATTGAGAAATGAATTTTATCGAAAGTCAGAGACAAAATAATTTGTGCGTTTCGATTTATCTGCCTCCCTCCTAGTTCTGCTTTGTCCCTCTTAACTGAGCAAGCTTTTTTTTGCTATGAACGTTGGTAAATCAAGTTCATCGAAGTAGTTTCTTAAAACAGACACAGGTTTTGAACGCATTTAATTGCTCTTCAAAAGGAAAATTTTTCTGAAGCATTCCTAAAGTGTCTTGGAAACTAGAGACGATTTTAGGCTCATTGTTCTCTCAACTTACGTAAGGAAATCGTCCCGTGAGAAAATTGCTATAGGGTGATAGATTTAAGGTTTAAACTTTTGCCTCCCGAGATTTGAGACATAAACAGAGCTTTCGTCAATGAGTGTACACCATACATTTGAGCCAGGGTGAGTTTCACACCAAGGCAATTCAAACAGTAGGAACGCTAGAATTATAACTCAGCAAAATTTGCTTAGGAGTAATTTAAAGGCACTGACTGATTTTGCCATTTCAAAAAGGTTGTTCAGATTGCGGCTTCTCCTTAAAAAAAAATGATCGCACATCGATCACGTTAAAAAACTATGCATGCTCAAAAAGAGTAATTGATTATCTAAGATGATAATTCTTGATAACTCACCCGAACAGTCTTCGCTTCTGGGAAAACTCCAAACAAAACGAGGACCAGAAAGAAATTGCTTAGTCGAAACATTGTAACCTGACTGATAACTGGGGCTTGTCGTAAAGCTTTCACTGAGGCAAGTAACAACAAAGATAAAATAAGGACAATATTTTCAAGCTTAGATACCCTTGACCATTTTCAGTTCGGCAAGCAAGAAATTTCCCGCTTTAATCAGTCGTTGTCAAATATACTAAAATTTTGAGATCACTTCTGAAACTGATTTAAGCACTTTTGCAAAAGAAATGGAGATGTTGGCAGATTATATAACTTGTTCTCACATTCTCTTTAACAATCATGGGATATATATTCATTTCCACGTGCGGTCACTGTTTAATATTGTATTTCAAAATAAGAAAGAAGTTTTTAGTTCGTGACTTGGGGCCACACCTGCTGTGAGATGCCAAAAGACCGACAGTGTTTGTTAGAGTACTGCAACGTGGCCAATTAAGAAAAATTTGCATTTTAGCGAAAACATCCCTATTCAGAAGACATCCATGATCATCATTCAGAGGATTCAACCAAGACATCCATGATCATTTGTCTAATTAAAGTAGTGTCAAACTCTTACGACAAGAGCAAACGGCTAAAGAAAGTACTCTGATTTGAAAAGTAGTAAAAGGGTATCGTATTTTAATTATATGCAAATACATTTGTAAATATAACTTCATAAAGTTCAATTTTTATCGTTGACTGTTTGCCTAAAACACCGTACCTAATCTATCTAATGAACGATTTTGTCCATAGCTTCTTTTTAAGGTTAATGAAGTCCTAACAAATTTAAAGTACCAAAAAAAACATAAAAAATGAAACATAAGATGAGATAACATCACAGAATTAGAATAATTTAATCATTGTGAAAATCAATAAAGGGCATTATTTGTTAAACAGTATGACACTTCTCAATATTCCTCAGAGACCGTTTTTCGTCATCCTTTCAACATCGCCGGCATCTGTATTATCTTCTTCGCTCTCTTCTCTCGTTTGCAAAATTATCACAGACAAAGAGGAATCGAATCAAACGAAAACAACTTAAGTGGAAGAGCACGTATAATTCTGCTCCTCAAGTTTGCTATCGCACTGAACGAGTTTATTTTCCAATCGCTGACAACTAGAATTGCGTGGAATTTTTAAAGTGATGAGGAAAGATTTGACAATCTTTCAAGCCAACCACAGCGATTTGACGCTTCAAATTTCTTTTCATGCTTTGTGTAGGTGCGTGATAAATTCGCCCGACCTTATTTGTCTGATTTGGGTGACTTCATGACTTCATCATAACGATGTGCTCACAGAACAGCGATGTTTGTTTAGAAAAAATCAGACTTAGATGCATCATAACTGAATTTACGATTCAGAAAACTATAGTCATCCTATATTAAAAAATGTTTTTTTTTCTTTTTTTGGCCTTTTTATTTGGGAGGGGGTTGGGGGGCTGGGAAATTGTTTGTCTTAGTTATGATAACCAAAACAAATAAAAGCGCCACAGCATACTTATCAGCTAATAAAATGACGAGCTATATCCAACTTAGGCGTATTATTATGGTTTCCAATCAAAATTTTTTTGACTTTCTGAGAATGGTCACCGAAATCTTACGTTTCTTTTTCATAATAATCAACCAAAGAGCCCTTCAATTTCAGACTGATACTACAAAAAATGAACCACAAACCCACTGGGGAACTGAAAATAGGGAAGATAAATTGGACACTATTCACAATTCAATGGAATTTAGTTCTTAGACCATAGATAAAGATTTTATTTTGTTTTAGGAAAAAGCGGAATGTCTTATGATTCCATGTATGTCTCTTATCAACGGTCCATCTAAATGATCTTTTCAGTCGGCTATCCTTTGATGCCAAATGTTTACTCTTCATGCTAACACTGAAGTATGCTTGTTCCTCTAGGATGATTAATTTTCCTCAAAAAGAGAACAGAATTTCGTTGGTTCCTTTTCACGAGAAAAGGGCCTCCATTGGTTTACAAATTATTCCTGTTGGTAGATTGCTGTGACAGTTTCGTATGAAAGCTGGTGACAAAACATGTTTCTTTCGACAATTGGTAATCAGCTTATAGTAATATTAGAAATAATTAAACAAAATAACAGTAGATTATTTACAATTTGTTGAACTGTGATTTCTCTGAATAAATAGACATCAACTTTTTCACAGAATATTTATTTGACTATTTAGTTTTAAAAACAATGAAAAAAAAAAAAGATCAAAACTTCTTGCAGTGGAATAAATTATGCTTGCCCTCTGATGTATCTTTGAGATTCATCTTTTAATGTCCTTCAGAATTTTAGGAATTATGAGCTCTTGACCCTAAGTAACTCATCATAACTAGAACATGAAAACAGATTTTCTTTTTGGGTTAGTCATTCCGTCACAAGTTTCTCCGTCTTAAATCCAACGGTTATTATGGAGGACCTAGAATTTTGATACACTAAAACTTTGAGCTCTCAGTGCAACAGAAATGATCTTATTGCGATTCCGATGATCTTGGCGAAGCAAACAACACTATAAAATGCGCAAAAATACTCTAGATGATGATCACTCTTTCTGAGGTCACTAATTTAAGAAATAATTCCGTACACGCAACTAACAGATACGATAGTGATCCTAAGGTGCTCGGAGCTAACACGAGACTCTCCTCTTTACATTCACATTCTTTCAAAATCAAAACAAAATGATTTAAGACAACATTTTTTAAAGTTATATTTTCCATTATCTGACTTAAAGATAGATTAAAGAATTCCTTCCACGGTTTACAGTTAGTCAGCACTCAAAAGACGAGGAACGAGAACACGAACAAAGAAGCTGTTGTGTGGAAATTTTTAATTTACTTTTTAGCACTTGGAGAGCTACACTTCCTTATTTTCACAGATCGACGGCTCTGTTGATTCACCTGTTTTAACTACAAAAATTAATTACTTCAAGAGCTGAAAGACCAAACAATAGTTGTATCTCAACACTCTCACTTATACCTTCGCTTTGAGGAGGAACAAGACCAGCCGTCTTTCTTCTTTCCATTTGAAAGATATGATTCAGCTATCCTCAAAATGGAATATCGTTTTTATAAAGTGAAAAATACCATAATCTCTCTGCTTTTGATTTCTGTCGAAGTTATATTTGTGAATTCGGCATCGTCAGCAGGTAAGAGATATTTGGCGACTTTGACGTGACAAAAGAAAGAAAAAAAAAACCGTTCGCATTTTTACTTTGAGCCTTCTCCCAAATATTTTGGACTAGCTGTAGGTTTGTCGCATTTTCTATTCCCTCTTAGAAGAAGATTTGGAAAGGAACGGAAAGGTCGGTTTGCGATATTGCGTCTTCTTATCCAAGACTATGCTGTTGCTGCTATCACAAAAAAAAAAGATTTTCTGGGGTGATTGATCATGTCTTTTTTACTTTTTCTTGGCTTGAAAGTAAATGGTGGTTGGTCCGGTTGGTCAATATGGAGCGGATGTGCGGCTGGGATTTGCGCGGGGAATCAGCGGATTAGAACAAGGACTTGTACCAATCCGATTACAAGTAAAGATGGAAAGTACTGCGTTGGAGAGAGCTCTCAGCAGATGGACTGCATGAGTAAGTGTGTTTTTAGGCGTGTGGTTTGGAATTAATTATTTCCTGCCTGATTAACAAAGAAAATCACTAATACAGGCATCAATAATCGTGGATACAGTTATACACTGAATGCTACTGGTCTGACGTTAGAAGATGGGAAACTTTAGATCATGAGACTAAAGAAAAAAAGGTAAACTTTTCCTGGTGCAAAACAGTTCCCATGAAAATCTCTTGAAAAAAAAAAAAAAACAAAATGGCACACATAATCTTTGATTTAGCTTTCGACGACGTCAATGTTCCCAACCAAAGATATAACGGTTGTAATCGAAAAAAATTTGATTGAAGGGTTTCCTTGTGGCATCAATATTCAATATGTATCACGAAGTCATGCTGACGTGGCTTTCAGAAAGGTAATATCTACATCTGGCAACCTCAAAGGAAAAATTGTAGGCTCACCTTTTTTTTTTTAATTTAAACAAAAGACCAATATAAACAGCTTTATTTTTCGCCAGTTATAGATATTTTCGATTTTTATGATGACTTTAATGGTATAAATTGTGCCTATAATACCATAGATGAGGGGATCAATTATTATTCTAGAGATATCCACAAGAGATAAGCTTAACTAGAACGATACTGACAAAAATGTATTTTGATAATGTATACTTAAAAATAAGAGAGGTGTTTTTAGAAATTAATGTATTTCTCAGGTGAGAACGATTACGTGATCTTTGATATCTATTTTTTTTATAGCAACGGAGGATTAGTTTTTTCATAGGACTTTTGCACCGTCTCCAGCAATAAGGATCAACAGTTTGAATGGATGATCCGCCAGATTCTTAAAGTTCTCAAAATTTGCTTGTCAGAATCTAAATCTGAACTTATTCGTCATCTGACAATATTTCATTGCAGTTGATGGTGGTTTCACAGAATGGAGTCAGTGGTCTCTGTGCGATAACCCTTGTGGGGGATCTGTGGTTAACAGGACAAGAACTTGTGCCAACCCCACCCCCTCTCTGGACGGGAAACCATGCACTAGAGCCACAGTACAAACGAAGATGGAATGTGTTGGGCCTTGTCCAAGTAGGTCGAATTTAAATCGCGTACATGTATATGGATAGCTTTGAACAAAAGTAGAATGGACATTTTCGGAAGAAATGATATAAAACAAAAGAGAAACAAAAGCAGTTTATTAACGAGTCATTCACACTAGTTTGATATCATGCATAGCCGGATTAGCGAAAAGGAGTAGGGTCTTGGCATGAAATACGATTGTTTTTTGCGATCGCGAAAGTGTATCAGGACGATTTATTACAATGTAATGGATGTACTTAGCATTATGAATACTCTGTAAAACAATGATTTTACGGGCTTTACAGTAAACGCAAGAGGAATTAACTTTCTCTTCTTAAACACGTATATCTACAAGTGGGCCTCTTTCTTCTCTGACTCGTTTGCTTGACTCTTAGCGGGTCCCCTCGACGGTAATTGGGGTTCCTGGACTCCTTGGTCAACCTGTCCCAAAACATGTGGTATGTCGGATGGAAGCATTCTCAGACGAACTAGGTTGTGCAACCAGCCTCCCCCGATGAATGGCGGGAAGCTGTGTGACGGCGACGACACTGAGACTGCGAGATCTTGTTTCGCACCTTGTCCAGGTTGGTACGCTGCTGATCACCTAACGTAACACATGAAATACAAAGCATCCACCATGTTTAATTTATCTCCGATTAAACTGATCGGAGCTTTTAAATACAAAGTAAAGGCGACAATGAAGAAATAGTTATCAAATCTGTCACATATCACGGTCACAGACTTGTTGTAAATCTACCAATTTGAACAATTAAGAGCTACTTCTTTTTAAAGGTAACTTTCAATAGGCAAAAATCTTCTTGTGACCTTAATCCTTAGGAATATATGATTAGCGTTTTAAGGTTTTGCTTGTCATACCTTTTTCTTCTAGTGGATGGTGGGTTCACTTTGTGGTCTACATGGACGACGTGTAGCCAGAGTTGTGGGACTGGCTCCAAATCAAGAAGCAGACTCTGTAACCAACCAGTACCTACAAATGGAGGAAAAAACTGTTCCGGGGACTTCATTCAAGCGAAGAGCTGCAAGCTTACGTCATGTCCTGGTACGGATAAATTCTCTCTCTGCACTCCTTACGAGGACTAGCTTATGCAAAGGCACCAATAATGATTCGAAAAAGAAGAAATATGGTAAATTTTGAGCACAATCATCGATAAAGAAAAGTTACTATTAATATCAAAAGATCGTGGTATATAAAATTCTGAGTCCTCCACGAGGAAGCAAAACCCAGACATTCGGATTTCGTGGTCCGATACTCAGTCATTGGCATACACAAAATTTTTCGGCGAGCTGAGTTATCACTAGGTACATAGGTAACATGCGCGCGCATATTGCTGGAATCAGCAATGCCGAAGGCATAAGCATGAAAAAGTTTTTGATAATTTTTATTTATTTTGTTCGGCAAACCGCACTCTAATTTTTTTCCGTTGCTCACACGGTGCTTAGAAAATGCTGATCCCTGTAGATAATGTTGCAGCCAGGGTAGGGGTTGGCCTTTTCATATTCGCTAAGCCTTTAACTCCCATGAGAGACCAACACAGAATTTTACAATATCAATACAATATCAAGCAGACAAGTGATGAGAATAAAGAAAATTACTAATTAGGGGATTATAAGGTGATCCAATGCCAAATTCTTCGAACTAAAATCACAAGAACTGTATGGCAGACAGTAAGGAGAATTACCAATGAGATCTTAGGAGTTAAAGGGTTCAGAAGTGAGTAACAAATCATCGTTGAAATGACGAGCTGCTTGACTAAAGATATTGCAATATTACGTCATAGGAGCTGTTAATGGTGGTTGGTCAGCGTATTCGTCTTGGAGTGCATGCACAGATTCAAAGTATTGTCTTCAAGGCATGAAAAAACGCACCAGAAATTGCACCAGTCCCCCTCCAGCAAATGGTGGCGATGATTGTGTTGGTCTTGCTGAGGAGGTAAAGAATTGCCCAACGGATAAATGCACAAGTAAGAACTATTTCCTCTTTCTGAATAAACCATACAGTACTTTCGCAATCTGATTTGGTGTAGTAGAGAGTTTGTTAGAAGGGAGAGAAAAGGCGATGAACCGTTGAGGTATTAGATGCGTATTTCTTCTTTTTTTATTTCGGTTCGCTTTGGGATTCTTTTCTTGGACTCTTCTTCTTTACTTAAGAATTGTTCACCTTAGTCCAACCATGGAAGGGATCTTTCTGAATTATTGACCAAGAGCAAGGGCTTGCGTTTTAGATGATAGTGCCGTAAATTACTTTTAATAACTTTAGCTATGAAAGAACACTTGATCTGATGCCCTCGCCGACCTAACTAACTGGAGAAGGAAATATCTGAATGAAAACAATTAGATGATTAACTAAAAAAAACTGTTATTGGTTTGATGCACTGTATCTTAAAGAGCTTATATGCTTTTATTTTGATGTTTTTTAGAATATCAGCCACTTAAGCTGGAAAAGACTGTAGCAGACCCAAAGTCTTGGATTTATCTCGAGTGTGGGGCAACTGAAAAGTTCTCTGTCAATGGATCCCACAAACAAAACCTGCCATCTGGTTTGTTTTCAAGTCAAAATTTCGGTTTCATCAGAGCTGAACTGGAAAGCGGATATTTTGCAATCCAAATGCTCCCTGACGATAACGACGAATACGGAGAAAAGAAAATAACAAAGGTTTGTTCGCAAATGGAATAATGAGAATAGCATTGTTTTAAAACGCTGTCGTTGAATAAGGAAAGATGGTTTTCGTTTTGTCGCGCGCAAGTGTGAGAAAACTATAAACTCTGGATCGTTAACAGGTGATCGAAACCCCAAACATTTGGATTTGCACTCCAATGCTCTACCGCTAAACGAAAGAGAACTCAGTTGTTGCCTAAGCTATAAGACACGCGCCGTGCATATCGTACATGAGGGAGTAGAACGTGATGAATATTATTCTTTTTTTTTCGACAAGCTTTTGATTACGCAATGGTTTCGAAATGGAACTTAAACACTTCTTAAAACTGATTATTGATCCCTTCCACTCCAAAGAGAAACGAAAATCAATCTCTCCGTAAAATGCTAATGCATTTTCAATCGGAAAGGCGATAAGTAGAAAGAAAAATATTAATGCCAAACAGGGTTAGTACTTAAATTCAAACCAAATAAACAGAGCTGAACATAAGGGTTGTATGACAGGCGATAAGAAAAATTGTTACTTAGATCTATAGTTTAAAAGATAGGCAATATGAAATACAATTTCTATTTAGATCTGCTTTGAGATCATCGACCCACTGACAATCGAAAAAATTGTCACCAACAAGGCAGCTTATTATGTAAAGATCAGCGCTCTACCGGGGTGGACTAAGCCTGAATTAAATGAGACAATTCCAGGATTCACCATCTGGATTGATGAGGCACAAGCTTTGAGAAAATACGAGTTCTTATGCGCAAAATCCGAGAAGTATGTCCCATACACCGAGTTTGTTATGCAGGATGTCAGGTGAGCTCATAACATAATGTATTTTAAAATTTTTTTCTGTATTATCATAATTATTTTTTTATGTTGCGTTATTTTTACCTGTCGCAACTTGACAACATTTGGCTCCAAAGCAATTGCCGATATGTGATTTCAGTCACCGATGGACTCTATCTGTATTTGTTGCTGTTTATTATGTTATTCGTCGATTCATTACATGCGAGAATTGACAGATAAAAGATCGGGTGAGCCAACTACAAAAGCCACCTCACCAAACTGTTCGCGGACCAGTTAGCCATTCAGCCAAACTCAACCAATTTAGCAAGCAACTTACCACTTGACATATCACTCGCAAGAAAACAAAAACATAAACCAAGTATAAGCATGAGGAATTTTAGATGAACATATTTGCCAATTCACATTTGCAGCCATTCATCATCATACGTTGAACACTCTTCAAAAAAAAAAAAAAAAAAAAAAAAAAGAAAAAAAACATGACCATTATATTTATCCTTATCTACTCTGATATCTGAAAATTTTGTCTTTGTGCTAGATTCTCCTATTACACCGAGGGAAATTTCCAGACATTTAAAGCCAAAGGAGATTACTATTTAAAATCAGGAACTTTGTTCAAGACGGAAGTAAAGAAAAGCGGAGGAGTGTATGCCACGGGGAACGCTGACTCCGCTAATTTTGGTGATATGATGGCGTCCTTTGGTTTGGATCCACACTATTTACCGGAACCTTTCATTAAGGCATTGACGTAGGTTTTAAAACACTGGACCATCTATTTTCGAGTGCCTTGTGTGCAAATTTACAGGTTTTTTCTATGCAAATGTATAAACTTTGGTGATTCTCAACATTTCTTCGTTGTTTGTTCCCGTGCGTCCGATTTATTAGAGATGCCTAAAAGAAAAAGACTAATCTACAGTAAAAGTCCTCCTCTTCCTCGATGAAATGCTCCCCATTTGGTGAGCTATCGGTAAGGCTCTCATTGAGCCAAGCTAAAAAAAAAAGAAAAGTATGCTTTCCGCCAAGAGAAAACTCGTTATAGATTCTAGCCATGTTAATTTTGCTCTGCGACCCTTACAACAAAGAAACAACAGTGATGATAAATGAAAAAAAAAAAGATGTATTCATGAAAAGAGACAGACGCAAGATGAGTCATTTTAGACTCACTCTACTAAATGGTTTTTCTCGTAGACGAGTTGGCATCTGGAATTTTACCATGGCTCCTGCCCAGTTACTTAGAAATCTGCAGAGAAATGGAGTATTTAGATTCACAGCATCCATCGACGCCCTTGGAGTGCCAGTCCACGTTGAAGTTTTGGCAGGCATCAGATTTGCAAGGCCGACATTTGCTGTTGGATTTTCCTTCGATCGTGGGTCGTTTGGAAGGCTGGCAGAAAAACTGTCTGGAATCGAAGTTGATTTCCTGGACAAATTTGGTGTAGAGCTCGAGGTAGTAAGGATTCTATGTTCGAACACTTTTTGTTTTAGTACCTTAAATACAAACCCAAGCCAGTTGTGTCAATCACTTAAAATATTCGTCAATATATCACACGGGAACAACGAGAGTTCAAAGTGGAAAGGCGTTGCAGGCTGCTTACTTTCTCTATTGAGAAATTCAATCGTTTTTATTTCAGTGCTTGTTTGAGTTTCTTGTAACAGAATTATGCAGCGAAATACAATTATATGCTGACTTCTACATTTTACTGTATACTTTTAACTCCTCTGTAACAGATTGGCGTATCTTTCCACCCTCCGAGTGGCTTAGGATTTCAGCAACTCTATGTCGATTCAGAGACAAAGTTTTCCAAGGAACCGCTTCATAGTTACATCTACACAAGTGTTCCTCAAGGTATGTATACCCCTGCCAAAAGATTCTCTTCTCCTCAAGATTTGAAGCTCACTTACACGCCATCATAAATTACTTCTTTAGAGGAAACGCAATCTGAACTAGTTATTTTTTCTAACTTTGTATAACATCAGACGAAACTGCTGAACAAGTCAGACGTTTTCTTTTCAGGATTTTTTGCCCTCAATGAAAATTTGTTGTTGTTATTGTTTTTTTAGATAAATAATTTTCATTTTCGTGAACTCTTTTGGCTCACAGGAATCTTCGCTGTAGCTCAGGTTGTCCTTCCAAAAGACTGTAAAGGCAACAAATTCTGTGAAATTATGAAGATGATTGTAGGGCCGACAATTAAATGGTATATCACTGGTCACTTTGAATGGAAGAAGATCCGAATCGCTACCGGGTTCGCTAATGTTCGCATCCAAGATGGCCTTTACTTTCACAAGCTGGAACTCTACGTCGAGGTACTTGTGGAGAGACTACTGACACCTTGCTCGTTTAAAAGTTTTTATGTTGATTGCTCGATACGTTTTACGAAGATTTTTTTTACACTTTTTATTTTAGGCGGACTGGAATGATACAAAAGTAAATACTAAAATAGGTTTCCGTGCTGATATCAAAGTACCAGTGAAAGGCGAAGTTTTCTTTGATGGGATCAAGGCTCCAGAGAGCGCTCTTTTTCTGGTTGGTGGGTTGGCATACGACTTTACAGAGCAGGTAGTGAGCGGAATTCTGGGAATGAGAGGATTCTGGCGCAAAGCATTCTCCATCGACTTTCTTGGCATTGGTAACATTTATCTTGGGTAAGTGTTGAATAAATATTCATATGATATCAGTTTAAAACCTAACTTGTTGTGCATATACGTTCAAAATCCTTCAGTTATTTAATATTCACAAATTCATGCTATGGCTCTTAGGATGTCAAAAACGAATTGGATTCCCTCCAACAGAAAATATAAACTAAATTCTGATAATTTAGATACTCTCAGTTGTCATCTTTGTGTCTTAAAACATCCAAGAAGAATCCAGACTACTGATGCAGATTTGATCTCTTGTCACTTGCTTTTTGCATTACAGTCTGACCTACCAAGTTGGGGTACCTTTACCTATTACCGGTGTCAAGTTTGGAATGGGAATCGAATATGGATACGACTGTCTTAAACCTGGAGACTTTACTTATGAAGTGAGCTTGAAGACATGTGTTATACGCCGCGAACGCAAAATAAATTGGTGCTAGGAACTATTGGAATACTGATTGAAGAAGACATTGTTCATGGTTATCTTTCCCTTCCTCGATGCTCACAAGAAGTTAAGAGAGCTCTATCGTCAGGGAAACTATATTGTGGAGGATTTATTCAAGAATGTATATGTATCAGTATTTGTATTACTTGTATATGTCTCCGTATGAGTATCCAGCAGCTCAGCTCGGGTCCCATGTCACAACTGTTATTGGAGTTTAATAACACGTATTTATTAATTCAGTTTTATCCATTGCCTCGTATATTTATTCTCTGTTTTCATTAGGGGCATTGTTTTGGAGGCAGTGGCTACTTTGGGGTTGGACAGCCACAGTTCTTCTACGCTGAAATGACAGCAATGACTCTCGGGAAGATTATACGCCTCTTGGGATTCACATTTGAACTTCCACCTCCAATAGCTCAGTCTGGCTTCCCAGAAGGCGCTGCGGTACGTTTTCCAATTTTTGGTAAATGTCGCTGTTAGCTTCTTGCATCACTCTTGCCAATATCAAAAAAGTACACGTACGAAGAGCACCAATATAGTTGCAAACGTGATTCTTTTTATGGGGCAGCCAACACCCTTTAAGGATCAATGAAGTAGAGTGTTAGAGTGACAAGGCTGATAGATTATGTCACGGAAAGTTATTTTCTTTTAATCAGGGCGTTGAAAAGCAAATAAAATACACTCGGGTGAGAATCCTTACCCGACATACTTGTTGTGTATTTTGAAGTTTTGGGGTTTCCTCAAATCCCAACCATATGATTAAAATAGACCGCTACGAAGGAGAAGATATCAATCTGATTCAGAACAAATTTATCATTACAGGGCTCATACGGCGAATCTACTGTGGATTTAAGAATCACTGGTGGTTCATTCATTCCTGAGGGTCTTATGGTAAGAGGAAAGGTCAATATTCTGGGATGGACAATTTCTGCGTTTGCTAAACTATCAGATTCGGTAAGCAAATATATCAGTTTTGTTTTGTTTGCTATCTAGATATTAAAAATTGACCATAGCGCGAACAGTATTTGTCTTGGGAAACACCTACGATGAAGATCGTTTGTGGAATGGTGTCATATTTAATTTATTGGATATTATCAACTATCAACATGACGATAGGGGGCAAATTGAGCCATGTCAGATTATTCAAAAGTATTGACTATTAAATCTAGATTTATTTTAAATAATCATGAGTTATTCTGTTCTTAAGGTTCATGGCGATTTATTTTTCTTGTTTTGATCTTTTTCAGTCAATTAAAATAGATCTAAAACCAGACCCAATAAAAATCTTGGATCTGGCTACGATCGTTAAAAGCCCAACTGAACCAGAAAAGGGACCTTCATTCTTCGTCGAAGCCAAAAAGGATCCAATCTTTTTCGAAGTAAGCGGCTACTGATTCATACTATCTAGAATTGTCCGGCATTAACCTAAGTACCTGTCACACCCCTCCTAAGATAAATTAAAAGCATATTTTAGCGCATACAAACAATTGACTTAAAGTAAGCCTCTTTCTAATTTATTGCTTCGCGTGGAGATTCTTTAAGAAGCTTTTTCAACAACTACAAGTTGATTGAATTTTACTGGCACAAGCTCTATGTCGAGCCCTTAATAATGGAAAACGGGAGAATTGTAATTGAGAGATTTTTCGTTCTCAATCTTAGAGCTCTCTAGGCTTTTTCGCTTCTGACCAAGAATCAAACACAAGTTAACGTAATACGAATCGCTTAATCTCTACAAGACAAAACAAGTTCTAGTTAAGTATCGAGAATATTCCGGAATGGTCCATAGCAGCTTCTGTTCTGCCTTACTTCGCTATGCGATTGGTCCTCTCGACCAATCGATCAGATCGAGTGCTGAAACCGATTGTGATTTGCTCACTTGTGTTCTCCCGCGCTTCAAGCACTTTCCTTGTTTTTCTTTAGCATTTTCACCGGCTTCTTGTGTAATTTTGCACTCCTCTGATTGGCTGTTATGGCTACGTCAGTTTTGGTTTGCGAATCTTCAGCGAAATGCGCCTCATTGATATACACTTTTTTCATTATCAAGATTTACCCTTGGCATATCATGACGGAATATTATTTAATCACCCACACAGGCTTTTATAGAAGGATATATAGATCTTTTGGGGATCTTGGCCTACTGCCGGCTGAACCTGACGATGACTCATATGGAGCTAGTAATTCAAGGAAATTTCCTGGGTCTCATCAAGGCTGAAGTGTTCGTGTCATCAGCCTTCAGTTTGACCTTCTTAGGCTCCAAGTTCTACTGCAAAGTCTCACTGGACCTAAATGGATTGAATAACGTAAGAAAATGGGCAAATAGTTAGGAATAAAACTCTTCAAGTTTGATAATAACAAGGCATTTTTTCACGTGAGAGCTGGGGATTTTAATATTTATTTATTTTGTCATTTTAGTTGCTGTTATATATGGATTGAGACTGAGAAACTAAACCTTTTCTCAAACATCTTAAAATTATTAAATTTAAATTTACTCTGTTTCTTATTGATATGTTCCTGATTGATCAATCTGGAGCCGCATATATTTTTGCGTATAACTGATGAATTTTTATAAAATATTGTTTCGCAGGCCCTAGATGTCGCAGCTGAGGCTGTTAAAAGTGCTTTTAATGAGGCTCAAAAGAAACTTGCAGATGCAAGATCTGCAGTCATAAAGGCAAAGGAGGACTGTAAACGGAAGATGGTACTCAAATGTGACAACTGTAGAAAGCTTAAATGTGCTCAAGCAGTAGTCAACTGTAAAGGTTTCTTGGATAAAGCTGGAAAATGGATTGGTGGTGTTGTCGATATGGCTGGTAATTAATGTTAGAACTACACAAAGTGAATGTCAGAGATTGATAGAATGATCTGCAACTTCACAGTTCATACTGCAGCACCTGAAATAAGCTGTAGGTTATCTCATTGAAGTTTTTCCCTCAGAGCAATTTTTAATTCAGTATCGTAGAAACAAACTCAAAGTATAAAAAAGCAAATTATCTGAAGCGCGTGAGAGCAAAATTCTTGATTTGTTCCAATTTGAAATCTTAGTTTGGAAGATGTGGCGAGGTTCCCAGACAATTCAAAGAGCAAAGTAAAGCAAAACCAGCATATTACTTTCAACAAGCAATTGAAACTGATCTATGGAAGCACTTGAATCTTTCTTTATCATATTTTCTGCTTTTCAAGGGAACTGGATAAAAGGAACTATAAAGAATGTTGATCAAGCTTTAGCTCCGGTAAGTGAATAGGGCTATTTAGATTCTTAATTTGAAAATTATGACAATGACAATAAGACTGATGAGAATGATGATAAAAGTGATAGGTATTTTGAAACGATCAGGTTGAAAGTTCAATTTGAGTCATGTTCACTTTTCAAAGCGAACCATGATCTCTGGAACAATAATGAATGCGTTTAGTTTCTGCTTAAAAAATGAAAGTCTTTTAACTCAATTATGAGACTCCTTGATGAAGCTGATTTTGGTGATGATAAAATACATTTCCTAGTAAGTAACACGTCCACTCAAAGGAGCACCAGACGTAAACATAGTCTTCATCACAGGTTGCTAATGCCATCAAGAAATTCTTCAAAGGCTGGAAAAGAAAGAGAGCAGTACACGACATGCGCAATGAGAACTTTGCACTTCATGTCCGCCGACGCCGATTTATTAGTAAAATATTATGCGAAGGCCTGGTTGGCGGTGGCTGCAGTTGTGAGTGTCTTAGCCATAAAGCTATGTCTTAAAATTTCACCATTTATGAATTTGTCGACCGAATAGTGTTAAATAACGTATTGTAGTGAGTTGCATTGATTTGAAAGTATGTTTTTTTTAGTACTTCTCTCCTTCGCAGTTATTGTTTAGTATTGTCATGTAACGCGTGTTGTGTGACACAATTTACCTGATGTGTTAAGATCTTAACAACGGCAACGAAAAAAAATCTATTTTATCAGAGGCAAAGGTAGGACTACCCTTATGTTGAGGGGTAGGGGCATAATTTCCATCAATGGTCATACTGGTATTTGTGGGGCTGCCTGTTTTGCTTTCTCTATGGAGAGATGAATGCATCCTTGGACCCCTCTTCGCCATCAGGCCATGAACTTCCATGAACCACACCAAATACCTTTCATTGCCGCTTTTAGCTGTATCTAACCTTTGTGAAGGATCCTGCCACCTTGGGGACCACATCGGGAAAGGCCTGTGTAACGTTTTAGACATTGCAGTTGGCCTCCTGAAGTTAACAGAGACGACCTGTAACTGGGTCAGCTATCAAGCTATCAAATACGTCCTAACACAACTTTTCAGAGTCTACAGGTAACTAACTTTGTACGGAGAAAGAGAAAAATTTGGTGCGATTCACATGACTCAACTTAACCTATGACAGTTAAAATTTGATCCACGCTGCCTTCAAGCCAAAAGCTACGTGGAGTAGCTTTCGGCTTGAAAACATGTTGTTTCCTTTACGAAAAGAAAAAAAAAAATGGAAGAATATCCGCTTGGGCCGATTCAATTTCCAAGTTTGCATTTGAAGGACCAATTGGAACGTTCCATGATAAAAATTAGGGCAAATGAATGTCTCTTTGAGAAATTTCTTCGGGTCGAATTGATTTGCATCCGTGCATTACTTAGCACAGTAAAACTATCTGAGGCGTATCTAATTTTTGGATCAGATGGTTTCGATGAGTTGGGTTCACCCCGTTGTTTCTTCCCTAAGAAAAAAGAGAATTTTGTTTGATTGTGGTTTATGGATTCTGTTTTTTTCAAACATAGCATCAAATTTGAGTTTTCACTGGCTGCTTACGCACTGGGAGGGAACAGCAATCTCATATTCAACGCAGCATTCGACTTGATGATATTTGGGAGACGTTTTTATCTGGCAACTGATTTCAACTTGAGAGATGCGATCGGTAGCCTGAAAAAGGGAGCAGATAAAGCTACGGAGTGGTACAAGGAGAAAATGAATAAAAAGGGAGCAACAGACACTGAGGAGAATTACTACGATAATGCAAATCCTTACGCTGATTTTGACATGTCAGGTACATATGTTTATCTATTATCAAGAGAAAATTATCATTTCCTCCTGTAAATATTCCTTGATTATGCATACACTACCTCAGTTTTACGCAAATGTATCCGTTGAATATAACCAGTGACTTTTACGGGACTTCCAAACTCTGACATCCTCTTTTCACCACCTCTCCTAATTCTTTGTCGTGAAATACTGAGATTAAAAAAACCGACTAAGATGTATTTCCCGTTTAGTTGCGGCTTATAAGAGCTGTTATTTTAAGGCTAGTGTCTTTACCATCTTGAAACTCGATTGAAAGGTTTTCTAAGAATTCGAAATAAGCCTGCAGTTTCGTTTGTTTTAGAAACGTTACATGCACTTTATTACCTTTCCAATAATTGGAGAAAATTTTCTAATATCTATATTTTACTTGCTCTGTAGAAATATTCTTGATAGAGAATCAGCAATCAGCCACAGATGACAGACGCGGCGCTTGTTTTTTCGTTGAATCCAAGACAGATGGCGCTCTTATCAAGGTAACAGGTTGTAATGATACAGATGAGAGACAGAACTGGGCCTACACTATGAAAGGACAAATCATGGTAAGTAGCATTGTAGTAGATATTATTCATGTAGCCATTTTGAAAGATGTTTTTTTGCTGCTAATTTAGTTACAAGTAGATTTCGTGTGGAGAATTGAGAATATTCTCGATCCCAGTTAGCCCGTGGCAGAGCTTATCGTTCTTGAATTATTCTTCATTTAGAATACATGGTCCCAGTTGTGTATTGATTCAAATGGAGGATCAAAAAATTTCAGATTGAAACAAACCAAATGTGATCCGAGAAAAGATGACCAGAATTTTCAATGTGATTTGGCGGTTAGATCTCTAATGAGAAAGCGAAGCGATCAGTGCTGGACACTGGGTGAGTGAATTTGTGCTGTTTTTGTGTTGTTTGCTCTGTATGACTTCCTCCTACACATTCATCTATCTGAAATATTCTCTAAGAAACTTGCCAGCAATTTATATTTACAGTTGTAGATTTTTAGCTTTTGATTCTTTTTGAAGTTGGCCAGACGGAAAACTTACGTAGAAACCACTTTGTAAACGACACTATTCTCTGGCTTCTATTGGCTGTTAAATTTACCAAAATGAAAAAAATTATGCCTTATCGCCAGTCATTCATGACTAGCCCATAACAAATCTGGCCTTCAAATCTCCTGTGATAATGTCCTGTTACATTAAGGTATTGTTGCACTACGGGCCAGTTAAATTGATCACCCTGCCGTTTTTAAACAATTTCTCTTTATTGAGTGACTTTGTAAGTTTTATTTTTTCAACACGATTTTTACAATGATCATAACCATTACAATTTCCTAAAATGTGACTGGGGCATTAGCTGCTTTATTTTTCAAAAATCATTCTGTACGTTTGTAATCGGACAGTTGGCTGTAATCGGACAGTCAAAGCAGCCAACCATACTAAATCCTCTTAGTTAAATCCACAATCATAGAATTGATCACAATAACTATGGCAACAACCACAATTCTGGGGAATTTCCAAAATGGAGGAATTTTTCACTTTACACACTGTCTCTACTGGAAATGTTAGGCTTAAATGTATTTGTTTGTTTTTTCGGAAATTGTAACAGTTATGATTAATTGATAACATGACTTCGTGTCGTCCAATTCAGCCTGTAATCATGCTCGTGATTAAGAAATCAGACTCCCGCTTCGCGGTAATCCGATTTTGTCAATCGCTTGTTTGATTACAGATCGAATAGGACACCACTCGTTCCTAGTACCATTATAATTTATTTATCTTCAGGGAAGACAAGCTTGAATGGACCTGGCTCTTTGGTTCATCTTGGATCACTGAAGTGTATTCATCCACAGGGAGGAGGCTACAATGTAGCCGAGGGAACAAAGCTGCTTATTCATTGCGGATGCAGTGAGAGCAGGTAAGATAAAATATGTTTAAGCCTGCCTATTCTTCTTTGATTTAGGGCAGTATCACCCTCCATTACAATGGAGCTTGTTAATAAATAGCGTAAATCTTGAACATTCGGGCTGCTTATCTCCCTCAGTGCAATGGCTTTGGTGGAAACTAGAGGGCTGTTGCTTACTCATTATGAGAACGCAAGATTACATTAAGAACAATAGGGCTTCACATCTGAGCTACAAACCCAACAATAACTCACAGATGGGAAAACTGACGGATTCGCAAGCTTACCTTAACCTATATGAAATCAATCAACAGATTAGAATTCGTCCTGCAAAATGGTAATTTGGTTCATGCCAAGAGTGGAAAATGTGTACGGCCTATGGGAGAAGTCTTGGATGGTGTTGCACTTGGTCTGTACTCGTCTTGTGAGGGGCATCAGTTTAGCTTCACTGCTGGAGGGTCTCTACAGCACGTTAGAAGCAGGAAATGTGTCAACACCAGATCTGGAGTAAGAGTAGAAGTAGAATAACGCAGTTAAAATGTCTTGGAAGAAATATTTCAGCCTTTGGGATTTTGTCGGGCCACAGGATTTGCGGTTTATTTATTTACCAATCCAAATCTTATAACTGTGATTCTGTCAGAGTTTGATAGCAGGCAATGTCAAATTATGGTTAATTTTTGTTCTATTTCCTTATTTAACAGACAAAAATTGATCTAAAAGAGTTGAGGGTATTTTTCATCTACAGCTTAAGTTCGTTGTGCTTTTTTTCTCTTTTATCAGAAAATGAAAGCCGCGAACAATGAAGATATGGTGCTTAGAAGCAAGTGCGAAAATAGTGACACTTCCCTCACCAAGGAACATCTTCTCTTCAGTTTCGTTCCGAGTAAGTTGTTCTAGAACGTCTGTTTGTTGGCTTTTTTTTCTTAGATAATGACCTAAGAATCAGAAGGGTATGAGAGTGTGTAATAATTTGATGCTTTTTGTAAAGCTGACAAACTTCCTATCTTCTTTGTTCAGCTGATCCAAGCGTTCATCTCGAGAGGTGTACACATTTTGATAGAGCAAGGCTGGATCAGCGGTTTGAGGTCATGGACGAACCAGCCGTTAGCATTTGCAGCAAATTCGCAAAGAGTAAGCTCAAAATTAACTTACCTTTGATGATTAAACGGAAAACGATTACAAAAAAAAAAACAAGGAAAACATTCAAAACATTAATTTATTCTTATTTTAAAACAGCAAACGCGATAATTTGACGGTAGTAACAACTGATAGCTTATTGTAATAGCACATTCTTTAAAGTTGTATTTCTTCTGCACAACATACACATGCATACCGAGGCTTAAGATGGTTTTACTCTTTAAATTTCAATTAAAATAGTTACGACCTTCTTTAACCTTATCTGAAATAATTCCGTTTAGATCTTGCATACAAGAAGGCAACAGAGCAGTCAAGTACTGATAAAAATGGATTCAGTTACCGAGTTGTCGACGAAAACTATTCGTCCCACTATGAAGATAAGTCTTGTGCACAAACCAAGAAAGAAAAGAATCCTTGGTGGGCAGTTGACCTTGGAAGAGAGTACATTGTCACTGGTACGTAAACTAAAAAAGCTATGAGTCCATGGCTTCCAAATTACTGACCCAAACAATTATGATTTTTTTTTTCGGTGGTAAAAACCCTCGGGAAGTTTGTTAAAGCACCACAATTCCCCTTCTATATTGAAATATTTTCAAGTTACTATTTTATTATTTTGAAACGGTCCATTTTTTTGTTACCACCGTTGACAAGGAGGTCAGGGGAAGCATTTTAGCAGTTGTGTCGAGGATTTAATAATTTTTTTTATAGTTTGAGAAGAGTCCTACAGTCTTTGCTTTGATATTTTTCCTCTCCGATATCACCCCTCAAAACACCGATCAGAATGATCATCAGCTTCCAGTTGTTGATGCATCTTAATGATTCTTCTCAGATGTGATGATTGTCAATCGCTACAATAACTTTGAAAGACTCACGAACTTTGATGTTAAAGTCGGTGTTAGCAAAAACAACACAGAAAATCCAACATGTCACGACCGTGTGGGGACTGTAGGCAAGGGACAGGCTCTGAGAGTCCAGTGTGATCCACCAATCCCAGGACGATACGTGTCAGTGCAGATGTTCGGAGAAGGGATTTTATCCTTATGCGAGGTTGCAGTGTATTCCAGAGTTGGTATGTCAAGAATAACGATAACGCATACGTTTTATAGACGCGGGCAGAAGGCGGCGGTTGAGAATTCTTTTCCCTGGTGCCCTCTAGAAATGCTTTTTTGTATTTGCCTTTTGTTGCTAAATGTAAAGGCGCAACACGATGAGTAAATAAATTGTACTTCCATTCGCCGTTCACGTGTCGGATGTGTCTGTACCAAGGCTCCTATCATGTTTCCTTTTTCAGTTTAAAATTTTGATTTGAGGAAAGTGATGTCCTTAATTACTTTGCCAAATAAAGAGCTTTAATTGCCCTTCCCAATATTCAAATCACTTTGTTGGTGTGTCACCTTTACCAGGTGCCTTCGCAGATTTATGTCAACTCAATAATGGCGGCTGCTCACAGGTTTGTTATAACCTGTGTAACCTGAAAGTCAAATGTGGCTGTTGGCCTGGTTATACTCTGGCTTACGATGGAAAGACATGCACTGGTAAGAAAAGTTATCGTTCCTTTTTGTTTCTTTTTTTTTCTTTTTTCATCCTTTTTTTTTCCAGTGGAGTTGGTGTTGGTGTCATGCGTTTTAGGTTGTCACGGTAGCTATCTCCATAAATACCACAGAAAGCAAAACAGTTGGTAACTCATTGAGTGATAAAATTTCCCATCAGGTTTGAACTTAAGTTAAATTTTGAGTCGATTAAAGAAATGTTCATCCTATATATTTACAGAGCTCTCTACGGCAGGTAGGACTTGGTGGAACTCCTAAGAATCGAATGACAGTTCAAATCTTGGCTTCTCATAGATCTGTTTCACGAAGAAGCTGGCTTAATTTGCTCTATTTTCCTTTTTCAGACAGAGATGAATGCCAAATAAATAATGGTGGCTGTGATACTTTAAATGGCCTGTGTATCAACACTTTGGGAAGTTATCACTGTCAATGCAAACAGGGATATCAATTTCGAGAGAATAGTGAATTGATTTGTGAGGGTAAGTAACCACAACAATTAATGTACCTTGCCTTGACAAAGTTTACTTCTTACTTAAATGGATAATGAGTGTTTTTAAGATAAAATATTACAACTTACCTTCCAGGTCGTGTTAAAAACTTTTTTGTCGTTTTTTGTTGTCTCAACTAATATAACGCATGAGTTATTAAGCCTGCCAGTTGATTAAACGTGCAGTGACTACTGCGCAAATATAATAACATGAGTGTCCTTAACCCTTTAACTCCCAGAAGTGATCAATATGAAAATTTTCCCAATAATATCCTTACATTTTCTAACAAATAGCTAATTAGAATATTCAAACTCGTCGGGTAGAAGTCGTTGTCTTGATCTACCACCAAATTCTCGTAACTAATTTACAAGAACATGTAGCAGCTAGAGGGGAGAATTACCAATCAGATCTTGAGACTTGAAGGGTTAATTGTCTAAACGTTTTTAACCTTGTGTCCTCAGATTTTAATGAATGTCACATGAACAATGCCGGATGTGAACAAATTTGCAGCAACAGCAAAGGAAGTTTCAACTGTGATTGCAGAGCAGGATTCAAACTCAAGGCAGATAAAATGGGTTGTGAAGGTAATGGACGAACAGACCGTCAAGAAAATGTCTATACTACATCTTGTTGGGACCCGAATTTGTTAATGCGCGTATTGTTATTATTTCCATTTTAATTAAAGTAATCATCATTTCACGATTATGGGAACTTTACTTCGTCAAAGATGATACCTTTTTAAATGCACTTGTTTATGAAACTGTCAGTTAAATAAGCTAATACTTTCGTGCAGATATCGATGAATGTGCTTCGATTGACAAGGGTGGCTGCGAGTATAAATGCAGTAACTATGAAGGAGGATATTACTGCACTTGCCCTGCTGGTTATCGACTGATGGACGATAATAAGGGATGTGAAGGTACTCCAGTTGACGCATTTTTCAGTCAGAGCTTGTTTCAAGGAAGGCTTCAACATCTATAAGTACTAAATACTTTTATAAACCTCTGTTTGACATCTGAATTGACGTTTGACATCTGAATCAAACGAAATATGTTTCCGTAATTCTGGAAATGTGACTTTTTAGTCAGGGATTATATCAACGAAGGCTTCAACATCTAAAAGTACTAAATACTTTTGTAAACCTCTGTTTGGATAAAATTGTCATCTGACAGAAACAAAGCTCACTGCCAAAGTAATTTGTATGCTTCTCCGTTAAAGAGATTTATCCTCCAGTTTTAGAGGTCCCATTCCGTGGTAGAGTCACATCAGAAATGACAATATAATGTTTAATATCTGAATCAAACGAAATATGCTTCCGTAATTCTGGAAATGTGACTTTTTAGTCAGGGATTATATCAAGGAAGGCTTCAACACCTTTAAGTACTAAATACTTTTATAAACCTCTGTTTGGACGAAATTGTCCGGCATCTAACAGAAACAAAGCTCACTGCCAAAGTAATTTGTGTGCTTCTCCGTTACAGAGATTTATTGTCCAGTTTTAGAAGTCCCATTCCGTGGTAAAGTTACACCAGCGATCTGCACTGACGACCGTGCAAATATCAGACGTAACACTGTATGCTCGTATGGCTGTGAGACTGGACACCATCTGGTAGGCGACGATAAAGTGTTAATTTGCCAGATTGATGGAATGTGGAAGGGAACTGTTCCATTTTGCAAGCGTATGTGATACAAGTTTATTTCACTCGTTGTTATATTTGTCAACGCTGTAGAAAGATAGCAAGAGCATCTCCCTTCTCCAGTCAACTCAATGATTTTTCCCTAAGCGTCAAAACGGCTAAATGTATATGACAAGAAGCTCAATTGTCGTTTGTAAGAAAACGTCAATGCAAACTTAACTGATAATGATTTCATACCGCCAGAGAAATTTTCTGTAATTATAACATACATGTAATTTACCCAAGGAAAGTTTACACGATTACCTTGCTACTCCTAAAAGCTTAGTGAAAACAATTTCACGTACGAAACTCCGCAAATTTTTGCATTTCTGATCAGTCAAAAGATTTAAAACACCGTCTCCCACACCATCTTAAGAGCTTCAGAGCATTACTCCCCCCTCGGCTTAATACGTCTCACACAATCGCTACGCGTAAGTCAATAGTTCACCATGGTTACGTCTTTCTGTGAAGAAATCTGATGAAATATAAGGTGGAGGTGTTTCCCAACTGATTGCTTTTCTTTAAAAGATAAAATTGTCTTTGCTTTCTCCTTTGTAAATTTTCAGCGGTTGTGTGTCCGAAGTTGGCTTTACCAGAAAAAGCTGGAGTGATTCCGGTTTCATGTTCAGAAACAGATGTTGAGTACGGAACAGAATGTGTGTTCCACTGTGATGATGGCTTTGAACTAAAAGGTCCACGGTACACCACATGCAAAGAAGATACTTCATGGAGTGAGATCGCACCATTGTCTTGCGTAAAAGGTGTGTTGTGAAATGGTTATTTACAGGGAAAACGCAGTCAACTTAGAAACGACTTATTGTGTTGGGAACGAGGTTGAAATAAACACATTACCTGGTCGCCATAGGAATTTAGAGGGTGGTGCCTTTGAACACATTGCCGTATAAAGCTGTAGGCTTTTGAAATAATTATCATGATAATTTTCCTTACTCATCGATCCAAGCTCATTTAAGAACGATTGTGACTATTATTGGATAAGTGTACGGGTAGTATCTGATATTTCTGCTAATGCCACACTTTGGGTTACCGATATTTGTTTATAGTCGACACAGATCCATGGATCGAGTGTCCAATCGACAGAGTAGAAGATCTTGATCCAGACAAGTCCACTGTGGTGCTTGGTTACAAGTGGCAACTTCCACGAACCAACATGAAGAACGTGACAGTATCGCCTAGAAACTACGATGAGAATTATCCATTCTCTGTTGGCAAACACCGAGTCACATGGATGGGTGCGAGTGAAAGTGGATCACAGCTTAGCTGTAGCTTCTACATAATTGTGAATGGTGAGATTTTGTTGCCGTCTATTGGAAGACACTCTTGATAAAGCTGTGATCAACAGCTGAAAAGTCTCCTTGCAAATCACAAAATTGTTAAAAATTAGGTTGCGCGATTGATGCAATTTATGCTAGATGTGACAGAATGTGAAGAATCCCATCAATTTGTTGAGATGTTTCCTACATGTACAACTGATCTTATCTGTTGCGATATTTCATCATTTGACATGAATGGAAAACGGGATAAGATCGTTCGTACTATGTAAGTACCTGAGCTATAAGGAAGAAATTTTATAAATAATCACGATATAATTCTTTTCAAGTTTTAATGTTTCTTATTGTCTTATCTGAAGACGTAACCCCACCCTCAGTCCAAGGTTGTCCAGCCTCATTTACAGACGTCACCGACTCTCATCAAAAGAGTGTCACGTGGGAAGAGCCAATATTCACTGACAATGTAGGCGTTGTCAGTGTGTTATCCAATCGTCAGCCAGGTTTCGAGATGGATACCTTTACGTCGATAAATATCAGATATACTGCCACTGATGCATCAGACAATGAAGCGTTCTGCACTTTTAATATCACAGTGGAGGGTATGCAATATTTAAAAGCATAAATTACCAAAGTTTTTCTTCAACAAGATTGCTCGTCCGGAATATCACTTTTATGTTGCTAGTTAAAGCAACTACTCAATGAAAACCGTGACTTTCCTTCGTCTTTGTTCTTTTTATTTTCCACTTAGAATTGAAATAAATACTAATCTCGAAATAAGTCCTTTAAGCATACTTAACCGCTATGCGAGATGAAATTGTTGATTTATTCATTTGTGAACTTTCATCCCGGTTATTGAAATGAGATTTAGTTTCCATCAAAGTTCATAGGAGAGATTTCACCCATGGCTCTAGTATCAAGTACGAGATTTAGTGCAAGAAATCTTTTTTTGGTCAGCTGCGATAAGATCCAGACCTCGGTTGCTAGGCTAACCCACATTTGCAACTGCGCCGGTCGAATTGCCATATGGGAGAGAATGTTGAACTTAGTTCTTATGGAGAGGCACCGACTCCTACCTTACGTTTCTCGAACCTTGTAATTTTAGGTTCAACTTGTATGACCATTAATCCTCCAAGAAATGGCACAGTTACGAAGATGGGCTGGTTCCTTCAGCTAAAATGCAATCCTGGATATTTCTTCAACCCTCCTCCCTCAGGATCATTTGGTCTTTTTCAAAACCACGTGTACAGGTGTCTAGGAAATAAGTGGGTGGCTCAGAGTGATGGAGTGTCCGTGTTAACAAAGGCACCAGATTGCGTGGGTAAGTATGATACCGTTCTTGGGCTTAATTATCATAAAAAGTATGAGTGTTATTTTTAAAGTGTTGATATTATTATAATTATTGTTAATATCTTTCTAATATCCCTTTATTTCTTTATTAGCTCACGCAACTTCTTATGGCCGTTCGTTTTGCAAGGAAGGTAGCATTTCTATTGAAAGCATCTGCGGTAAGTCGGGACAGATAATAATAATAATAATAATAATAATAATAATATCAACCAAAAAAACATTCTCATTGACTTGATCTCTCTAAAAATGTAAACACCCTCTTACATATGCTCTTTTAGTAAAAGGCAAGAGATCTGAAAATTACCCAGGTTTCCCCACCTCCCCCCTCCCCCCCCCCCACCTGATATGCGTAGGCGGCAAGAGAACAATTTCAAGCTCACACCTTAACGTTCAAATCGCTGAAACAGGAGACACGCGGAGGAGGGGTTGGGGGAGGGGGGAGTGAGAATCTGGCAGCAAGAAATCGTTGAAAGAGCCGCTTGCGTAAAAAAATGAGTGCAAGCACTTTGATAAAGAAAAACCAAAAAGAAAGCCCAAGTCACTTGCTCCTTATCAACAGCGTATAATTCAGCAGAGAGCTTATCTTGTCATTTTGATAATTGTTTTCATTGTTCAATTAATTCATTGTTTTTGTCATGTACTTACCTATGTAGACTCATGTCTATTTTGTTGTCAGTGAACTGCCCACCCGGAACATATAGCGACAGCCATAGCAACACATGCGTAGAATGCAACCCGGGATTTTATCAGGACCAGGAGGGAATGACAGAATGTCAGCCATGTCCAAAAAGTTATTCACACATTATAAAAGGATCTAAATCGAGTGATGATTGCAAACGTAAGATGAGCATTGTTGGGTTCGACAATAGCTGGAATAGTGTCATTTGAAACCTCACAGTAGCAGTATCGTGCCAAACAAATTTGATTTTCAACCCCTCATGTTGAGCTATATTGAGCTGCTATGCTCCCCAGAAATATAACCTGCCATAATAAATGCAAACTCAAGTTTAGATTGCAAACGAATAATTGAAAACCAACGGTTCGACCGAAGCTGAGAGTCTGATTTTTAAAGTCCCAGTAGAGTGGCAAAACATTTGGTGATTGTTCTTTACATTCTCAAGCCTTTATATTTTTTGCAATTTTTTCCTTAACCCTTGTAACTTCTGATAATAACTTCTTTCTTAGCTTCAAATTTCTCAAAGAATGTTTTTGTTAGGAAAACAAAGAAATTTATTGTTTTGTTGAAAGCTGTAACTCATTTCATCTCCTTTGAAATCTAGCAATCTGCAGACATGGGCACTACTCTGTTAATCACGGCATGGCACCGTGCGTGGAATGTCCAAAGGGAACATACCAAAACAGAGAACAACAGACTATGTGCCATGCGTGCCCAGTAGGATCGATTACAACTAACGTGGGAAGTGTTTCATTGTCTGACTGCTTCTGTAAGTATTGGACCTATGGAGTTAAAAGATTAAACTACAGATCAAATTATATTTAGTAGTGAGTGGATTCTGTGAAGGTAAAATCGTGGAGAACTTGGAAAAAAGAACTCTGGAACAAAAATGGGATCCAGGAACGAACTCCACCAAAATTTGACGCCAACTAAATGAATCGAACCCAGGCTACAGCAGTGAGGTCGAGTGTTCATATCGCTGTGCCATTCCTACACCCAAGGATCTCTGCTTGAACGTTAAAACTAATTGTTATCGATCCCGTGTGCTATTCAATTTTCGCAGCTCCTCTCCGTATCATGATGACCATCCCGGATTCTGATCATGTCGTGAATGAGGAAACAACCATTACGCTCGCTTGTTACATTGAGGGCATCCCGACTCCAGCAATAACATGGACCAAGGTTGATGGTAAGATTCGTTAAGCATTTCATGCTCTTGATTAATGGCGTCCATAAAATGGCTCTAAACCTCTTACATCGCCACGCTAATAACATCACGCTAAAGGCTAAGAGCTAGTGATCAAAATTATTCCTAAAGTAAACTAGAAAAAATCACGCAAGATTTATAATCAACGGAGTTGACTGAAAACCTTCGGAGTATACCGCTATTCGACTGTGTTTTCACCTTTCGTAGTTTTCTCCGTATCAAAAAATCTCTCGCACTTTGAAATATGCTTTATGGAATGACTCACTTAGAGATTAGAGATGTCCGTCATGCGCTGAAAACAGCGCTCTATTTAACTGACGTATAATAACTTCTAAGACTTGATTTCACCTGGTTAACCCCCTAATGTACCAGTAAACTTCCTTGTAAACCATGCTTGAAATTTTTTGCAGAGGAAATTCCTTCTGGGCGGCTCAAAATCCGTAATCTCTATGACGCTGATGTGCATTTAGATGGCATTGAGTATTACATTCACGATGCTGTTGTTGCCGATTCTGGTACATATGAATGCAAGGCTACAAATAAACATGAATCAGTTAGCAAGCAAGTGAGAATCGAAGTACTGGCCAAGTCTTCATCTGGCGCATTGCCTTAATAGGTTAGATATGGACTGAGCGTGTGCTTCAGCTAGTAAGGTTCGAAGAGCGCTCCTTTTGTTTGGTATGAGAGTTCATTTGCTTTCCTGGTTATTTTTTATGATGACGGAAAAAAAATATATGATTTGGCTATTCAGGTTTTTAATTTCTCTTGAGGTTGCTACTCATGCCTCTCATTGTTCAAAAAAGTAAAATACTTAAATTCAGCCAATGAAAATTATCCTTTTCCATCGTTTTACTACAGGTAGGCTGGTTTTGTTGGATATATTTGTTTGGTACTGTAGGGGTAGGGTAGGTAAGTGGACTTGAATTAAAGGTAGTCTTTTTCTTACTAGGAGAGACTGAAGTTTGGGTTTTTTGGCATGGGCAGCCAAATTTTTCACGTTCCCTCTCTCTCTCAATATTCAAACGTATAAAAGCTTCTACAAAGTTTTAGTCCAGTTGGAAGGAAGCCATCTACGTGTACAAGTGCAATACCTCGGGTTAACTGATGCGCCAAAAACCTGTAGAAATTTGTATTTGTACAGTCTTGTAAGCACACTTTTGATTAAAATGATTCGCTTTATTTTCTTTCAGAAGCCCTGAACTTGACGAAGCCAAAACGTTATGGACCAATTTATGATGATGTGCACGTCTTTTTATTAACAGACGATAGAATTAAATAAATTTCAGTAAAACATATGCAGCCTTTTCTCGTCACCTTTGAAATAGCTTAAAGGGATGATTATTTCATTCGCAGTTAATTTCGCATGCTGGTTTACTTCTTAGATCTTGATATTGAACATCATTGTGCATCGTAATCCACCATCACATTATATTGTTTTTCTTACATTGTCGCAAAGAGTCTATCTTTTTTTGAGTTATTAGTTTCGGGAAGGCTAATTAGCCTGTGCTGACAGAGGAACGGCCTGCTCAACATAGACAAAAGAAATATGGGGTATTAAAAGCAAGAGCTATGACAAACTTTTCAGTATTTTCCAAAAGAGGATATGGAGTTACATGTTTTTTACGTGATTCTACCCGACTGCACGTAAAATCTCTAAATTCCGCGATACAGCGTGGTTCAGTTCGCAACAATATCTCCGGGACAACCCACCCTGCGTGCATGCGCTCTTGCTACACAAATGGGAAAATTCGCTGTGGCAATCTCCCTTGACAAATGTGTGTACAATTTAGAAATTTGTGAAAATTTTTGTTTTCCAAGTCAAAATGTTCTCGCTGCTATCTATGTGCCCATGCAGAATTTCGTAATACACGCAAATCAGCGCTAAACGGTCTAGCTTAAAGTGCAAATGGAGTTTCTCGGCTGTGGCTAAAAAGTTCGCATTGATAGCGAAACGAATACGAATTTAAATACGGATGCTTTGTTTCAGAGTTGTAGGGCAATCGAGATTTTGTTTCAGCTAGATTGAACACGACGTTAGTGATTATCAGTTCTAAACCCGTTCAGAGGTTTGTTTCTTACAGCCATAATGACACAGGGATTCCCCTCTTTCCTTCATGAAGGAGGTTGAGAAGCTATAAATACATGAGCAAACAAGCGCCTGTATATTTGCGATAGAAACTTGTATCCTTTTCTTGCGTCTCCACCTGCTGCTGTACACAGTTAACCTACATCCTTAGGATGCAACAATATTTTATTCATATAAAATGAGTTGTTTCCAGTTGTGGCGTCAGATAACGATTTTCGCAAAACGAGTTCAAATATACGTAGGTAAGCTGACAAAGGTGTTTCCTATGAAGGAGGAGAAATAAAAAAACTTAAAAACTTACAGCGATGGAGAACTTATTCATTATGGGAATCAGTCGTGTTCCTAACTTTGGGGAAAAGAAATCATTTTAAATGCGCGACGACAAATGCCCCTTCACTCCTACAAAACAATTTTAGTTCAATCATCTTTGAAATAATGAAAATCAGCAACAGAAAACTAGAAAAATTCTGAATTTCAAACAGGGTTCGAGAAATCACTATCATGTATTTTCACTATGCTAAATTTGCAGTCCACAAACACCAGCTTAAGCAGCTATTTGGAGAAGACAGTTTCAAACTTTTTGTGACAAAACAGCTTTAAAATGTGTTTTAGATTTTATTTGAATTAGTCACAATGCACCAATATAATTCAGCAACTTCCCAATGAAGGCGTTCCTGTTTGCGTGAAACTAAAATAGAATTGTCGCGCTCAACGACTAGCCAATTCACAAATATAAGGTTCGTTATTATTACATATATCTAAACATGGGGGCGTGCATAATGTGTTAGATTTATTATCTTTATTTGCCATCTGGTCTTTGCTTCTCTGGAGAGTTTTCTCCCTCGCCTAACCTGAAGTAAACGTGTACAACTCACCACTGTAAGAGCGTGACAAAATCAAATTCACTGCAACGATTAACGAAGACCTTAACTGATGAATCATAGTTTTTACTTATCATTCACAGTTGCTGTGAACGTGTCTTCATGTCATTGAGTAAACAAATCCGCTTAGTTGACTCACCTGTTTACCCTGGAAAAGAACAGCTTCGAGAGAGGAGACGAAGTCTGTTACCGAGAAAAGAACGCAGAGGTTTTTGTGACTGGCAAAGGCCGATACTTCATCAGGCTATCAATTACATCTGAATACTTCACGCTTTTCTTGTTGAGTAAAATTTTAAAAACCTGTACGGCTTATTACAGGCTGTAACTAAAAATTAACCTTCGACACCTTTATCAAAATATCAGATTTCAAATAAAAAAAATGAATATTTTTTTGCTCTTTTTCTGCAAAGCTCTATTAAGGACTATTTGAAGAGAGAATAAAGTTAGAACTAGCGTAGTTGGTCATTCGCCTTTGCTGCGAACGTTATGCTTAAACTTACAACTGAACAAATAGACGCCCTCCACGTGCTGCTCAAAGCCACCCACGATGTTGAAGCAGTCAAAACATTTTGAGGTATTATTTCCCAAGCGACAGTACTGCTACATAAATGGAAATCCTCCGCTTATTTACTGTGAGTACCACTTTTTTGACAGTTTAAAACATTGAGAGAAATTACGTTCCCTACCTTGACTCTTGAAATTTCTTTCTTTGAGGAATTCTTAGATTCGCTATTTCTTTTCGTTTATCTGACATGCATACACGATCTGATATACATACACGATTTCAGTTAAATAGCCATTTAGTCGAGAAGAAAAGATGAAGTCTACAGAAATTCAAAAGTTGTCTTAAAAACATTATAATAGTCAATGTTGAGTTATATATTTAAAGTTGGTCCGAAACGTTCTTATTAATTCGGGTAAACATAGTGCTATATTACTTGTTTCTGTTCACGGCCACTAGGATGTATTAACTCACCTGTTATTTGTATATCAGAGCAGGATTTACACACCTTTCCTACGCTACGTATTTTGTGACATAACGATCTCAATTTAAGCAGCTTCAATTTATCAGTTTGCCGCAAACTGCTCAGTAGAGCGCAAGCAATAGTTATGCTTGAGCTTAGTTCAGTTTAAAGCTTACTTATATTCATAGAAGTTAATCATAATGGAAAAAGCTGCGTCTTTCATACTTCTGCTCTCGGTTCTAGTGGCATTGTGGAGTAGTGCAACCGGAGCCAGTAAGTAGCTTAATGACTTTTGTTCGCCTTACAACTAGGGCTAAATTTCCGTCAAAAGAAAATATTTCTCCTAATTCAGGCCTAGCTTAACTGATTTTCTGAGCATTTAATTCATTTGAAAAAGATTTGAAAACCACAGGGAGGTTTCAAACAAGTCATGAGAACTGAACTTCATAATGGGCCTCGCTCGCCATAGAGTCTCTGTGGCTCAGTGGTAGAGCATCGGAGTTCTAAGGCTCGATTCCTCATGGGGACTCAGAATTTGATTTACCAATTATTTTATTCTCAAAAATAGCGAATGGTGGCTGGGCCAGTTGGTCAAGATGGAGTGGCTGTGCAGCTGGTATTTGCGCGGGAAATCAGCGGATCAGAACAAGAACTTGCACCAATCCCCTTCCCTCTGACGATGGGTTGTACTGCGACGAAGGAGATAGTTCACAGCAACAGGACTGCCAGAGTAAGAAGAAGATATTTATTTTTTGTGATTACTAGGGTCTTCCTGGCGTATTTAAAGAAGAATGCTATAGCTCTGCTTTTGAAAATTACGCTATCGTATTCTGTTGCAATTCCATTCTATTTCCGAGCTGTCCCAAACTTCCTTCTTCATTCGGCCTGCAGCTCTCCCCGCCTTTAAATAAGAGTTTTACCGCGTTACCTAAGGAGTGAGACCAATATTTATGTGATTGGCATAGCAACTGGATGCCACGTAGCAGCACACAAGTAATACCTTGACCCTAATATGCATGTGCACAACACCAATATGATAACGTGACCAAGGAAAAAGTAGTCCTTTGTGATGCAATGCCTTAGTTTGACTGATAACTAAAATTTAAATTCTTAGAATGAATAAAAACAAACGAATACATTCTGATCAATGCTACTCGAACTGGAACTTGTAAGTATTGACCGAACTGGCCTATCTTTTCGCGAGAAATTTATGATCAGTTGCAATAGATGAAAAGACAAAACTAATATTAATAAGGGGATATGGAAGAGGGGAAATTGTTGAGGAAAAGGATTGAAGAAGAAACATATCTAATCCCTTTTTTAATTATTTCTTCTCAGTCGACGGTGGCTTCACCGAATGGAGTCAGTGGTCGATATGTGAAAACCCTTGTGGAGGATCTGTAGTCAACAGGACAAGAGGGTGTACTAACCCCACCCCCTCTCCAGACGGGATGCCTTGCTCTGGACCAACAGTTGAAACCAAGATGGAGTGCGTGGGGCCATGTCCGAGTAAGTGAAAAATATCTATAATATTTTAATGGAATGAGTAATTTATTTTCCAAGTTGTCAATTAACTGCAAGAATTGAGCAATTGGAATGTGGGAGTAAAAATTGGTGAAATATTTTCTTTGAATACTTGAGCTGGTTATGCTGAAGAATTAAGGAAATGAACTTCATTACGTAGTATTTCAAAATTTTTTTGAAGAAAAACGTTTAGAAACTCACTAATTTAGAGTCAGTCTTATGGGACCGTATCAGCAGCTACATCATATTGATTATTGAGTATTTCAATTTCTCACGAGGCCATAAAAATCTTGTTCTCCTAAGCTAACATTAAGAAATGAACACAGTCGATCATTTATCAACAAACGAACGACATTCAATACTCACATTTTTTCCTAAACGATAAACAAATGCTTGAAACGCCTTTTGAAGCAAAATGTCAAAGGCAATTGACTTACCTCCGACAACTCAAGCGAACATTTATTCAAGTGGTTTACTAGTTTCCAAACTCAGCAGCACAAAAGTAACTTAGAAATGTACAAAAAGCTTCCGTATTTCTCATTGGTTTAATTTAGCGGGCCCTCTGGATGGTAACTGGGGTTTCTGGTCTCCATGGACGCGGTGCCCTAAGACCTGTGGTATATCAGCAGGATCTATCATCAGTAGAACGAGAGTGTGCAATAATCCACCTCCAATGAATGGCGGGAAACAGTGTGTTGGAGATGACAGAGAAAGTGTTCGATCTTGCTTTGCGCCTTGTCCAGGTAAAGATGGCTCATTTTCATATGACTCACGAACCCTAGCTGTACTTTAAAGCGAATTATTTTTCGTAAATGCCCATCCAAACTGGAGAGGCGAGCGGGCAGAGAAGCTGAACATTGTATTGTTGAATCCAACCTAATTCAACTCGTCTTTTCAGAACTAATCATCGGTTGGTTTGCCCCCTTTTCGTTTTGTTTATAGTCGATGGTGGGTTCGGTTTATGGTCAGCATGGGCAACATGTAGTAAGACGTGTGGCACTGGTACCAAGTCAAGGAGCCGACTGTGTAACAACCCAGTCCCTGCTAGTGGAGGAGAAAACTGCACTGCGGATTTCACTCAAGCGAGGAGTTGCCAACTTAAATCATGTCCTGGTAAGTAATCACAAACTCTTTTTTGTCAAGATTACAACAGTTTCTTAAAGAATGAAGCTGTTCTTAAATTGTTCAAAACTTTAACATTTTCTTTCTTAACAAACAAACAGAAAAACAACAAAAAGCACATGCAGGTAGAACGATAATTATTGCTTGTTTGAATACTATTCAGGTGCCGTAAATGGAGGGTGGACACCGTTTTCATCTTGGAGCACGTGCACGGAGTCCACCAATTGTCTTCAAGGCACTAAGAAAAGAACCAGAAGCTGTACCAACCCCCCTCCAGCAAACGGTGGTGACTCTTGTGTTGGTCTGGCTGAAGAAGAGAAGATTTGTCCAACGCAAGCCGATGGATGCACACGTAAGAAATTATAAGATCTAAATTTTGCCTAAAAATTTCTTGTAATGTCATTGGAAGTAAACCCAATCGAAAATTAAGGTTAAGCGAAGTTCGCAACGGTTTTCTCGGGTGTACCAGTGACTCCACGACATGCTTAGTGATGCAGACGTGCAAGGCACTGCTAGGTTTATAGACGTGCACTTTTGTTGTTGGTAAAATCTGTAGAAGAGGTCTAACTTAAGTTTTCCTTTTTTTTTTTTTTTAATTCTAGCCCTCAGGCCGCAAAAACCAGACAAAACGCAGGCCGATCCAAACTCCTGGATTGCTCTCGAGTGTGGAGCGGCCGAAAAGTTTTCTGCAACAGGTTCTTACAAACAGGATATCCCTGCTGCTGTTTATTCAAACTTTGACTTCATGAGAGCTGAGCTGGAGAGCGGATATTTTGCTGTGCAAATGGTTCCTGACGATCAAGATGATTATGGACGAAAGCAGCTAAAAAAGGTGTGGTTACACAAAATTAGACTGCGCTCTGTTCGTATTCGTAAGATGGAAATTTTTTGCCTATGATCTGTTGTTTTTTCAGGTATGCTTTGAGATAACGACATCCTTAACCATCGACAAAGTCGTCACTAACAGGGCAGGATACTACAAAAGTATTGATGCTTTGCCAGAGTGGACTAAGCCCGAGTTGACGGAGACTGTTCCTGCATTTACCATCTGGATTGATGAGTCACAAAGTCTTAGAAAGTATGAGTTTCAGTGCGCAAAATCGGATGAGTATGTACCACTACCGGGTTTTATAATGAAGGATGTAAGGTGAGTCTAACGTTTCAGTGAAGCTTACTTCCATGTTAACATCGCACACAAAATATAGTATTAGAAAGAACGCTAGCCCTCATGTATCAAGCTCATCTAACTGCAAATGATTTGAGAAAAAAAAGGCTCAACGGAATGACCGAGAAAAGACATAGGCAGTCGGAGTTTACAGTCATCTCGCCATCAGGAAGACTCGCCACCAGCGAGCTCACCATCAAAGAAAGCATTTTGGAAAATTGATAAAAGCAGAAAAAGAACGTGCAAAGGAATCAGAGAGTAAACGAGCCAATCGTTGACTAAGATAGATGAACTAGTCATCAGATTAGTTTGGCCAAAAAATAGCTAAGCGCTGGCTTAGTCGCTGACTCACTCTGTATGATGTCAGGTCTTATAAGCACGTTTTTCCTTATACCTTTTTAGTAACCATTAGCAAACCAAGTCTAAATCAATATTTACATGACTTAGAACGGACTTCATATTCAGCCTAGTTTTGGGGTTAAAGGGTGCATCACTTTTGCAGGTTTTCCTACTACTCTCAGGGAAATTCCCAGACATTCAAAGCCAAGGGCAAATACACTTTGCAGACAGGAACTGTATTCGAAACAGAAGTGAAGAAAGATGTCCTCACTGGAGCAGTGCACGCGACAGGCAACGCTGAATCAGTTACCTTTATTGACATGATGGTCTCATTCGGTTTAGACATCAACATCTTACCAGACTTTCTTGTCACGGCATTGAAGTGAGTTTTTTGCTGTTATTGCTGTTGACTCATCAATTGCTTAAGCTCACCTGCAATTTTTGTGTTAGTGAGTTCTTTGAGCAATGTGAAATTCGAAGGGGAAAAAAGGAAAGGTCCTTCTTTCGCCAAAAGGCTAGCTCCTAATTTGGCTGATCCTCGCTGCACAGAGGCATTAACAGTAAATGGACCCATGACTTTTTTGTTACCCAGTAGGCTCTATCTGGCGAAGGGCTAACGCTCGAAACGTCAGCTTGGAAACTCTTTACAAGTACTAATTTACATTATCAACTCGTAAAACTTCATATCACCAAATTATCTTGTTATATACCTAGAAAATTGCCCCCTTTATGGACTTGTGTACTTTTTAAGCAACGAAATCCTTTCCTCGACCCATCATTTGGACTAAGAAATTTAAAGGCATGTTTCGTAAAAGTAATACCGATACTTAGGTGCACTTCACTCTCGTTAGCCTTTCAAAATCTAAAGGCTTTTCTCTTACAAGGGATATCCCTATTAATCCGCTTTCGTTTGAAGAAACACACGTTTTCTGCTTTCGTCTACACTAGGAAGTCGTAAAATTTTGGCATATGGCTTCAAAAGAAGAGTCATGGGAGTGAATCGTTTTGGAAAAGCTCCATTTTCCCATGTGAACAGGAAAACCTGGATGTTATTGAAAATGGTGACGTAGAAAGAGTAACTCATTTTCGTTTTTATCAGCATCTTCAGGGTTTTTAGTGCGGACGAAAGGAAAAGATGAATCAAAAATACGGTTTTTGAAGTAATCAAATCTACGTGCGGATGAAGCCACAGCAAAAGCGCTTAAGTATACATATTAAGTATTTGAGTTCCATTCAGTCGTTCAAATCAGTCCAGTTGAATGAGTGATTCTTTTCTTGCAGGAAAATAGGCCTATGGGAATTCACCATGTCTCCTGCGCAGCTGACAAGAAAGCTTGTTAGGAACGGCGTTATCAGATTCACATCTTCATTGGATTTGGGTGGTGTTCCCGTTCATATAGAAATTTTGACAGGAATTAGATTTGGAAGACCAACATTTGCAGTGGGTTTTTCTTTCGATCGTTACTCGTATGGAAAACTGGCGGAGAAGCTATCTGGAATTGGTGTTGATTTCTTGGACAAACTTGGTTTGGAGTTCGAGGTAAAACATCGGTTGATTGCAGTTTTTTTCCCTCTTATCAGCGTAATTTGCTTTCATTCTAAGGAGAATTCGTCATAAACCAGTCATTGATCTGATTTAATTCTTTGAAATGGATTGGATAAAGCCGACAGGAATTTGCGTGGCTCTAAGTTTGTGAACTTTCATTATCGTCTGTGAGAATGATTATGCCACCCTCAGGGCCTAAAAATTTCTTTGAAGACATGGTCCATAAATCTAAAGCTTGGCGATTGTAAATTTGTTACACGTGTTCAATCATTTTGTTATTTTAAGGTATGAAATGTAAATAACGAATTAATTATCACCTCTTTTCAACTTTTACTATTTCAACAGCTTAATTATATTCACTCTTTTCATTCTTTTACAATAATTACTAATATAAATGTATTTGACTAAGAACTTGAATGATTTTTGAGTTAATTAATTCCTCCACAGATCGGAGTATCTTTTCACCCGCCGGCACCCTTCCAGCAACTCCTGGTTGATTCGGAGACCAAGTTTTCCAAAGAACCATTGCACAGTTTTGTCACAACTAGCGTTCCGCAAGGTACATTTTGGTCTCTAAAAACTTAGCAGAGAAAAACTTAGCAGAGACTTATAAGCTTCAACCGTCAGTCAGTGAATACACTCACATGCATGACAATTACATTTTTCAGTAAGAGCTTGGATAGGTTTTAATTGGTAAAACCTTCACCCTTTTCAGTACGCGATTTCACTATGATCTTATAGTAAGATCGTCTTGTGACAGGCTGTTCTTACTAGCAGTGACTGACCCTTGACATCCTGTGTGCAATTCATCATTACAGTCAATGCATTTACTATACACTAATTCACTGTTAAGCAAATCATCAGGGTAAACTGACCACTCAGGGTAAATTGATGCACTGATGAATTTTTCGATAGATGAATTGAAACTGTGTTTTGACCTTCCAATATGTATAGGTATCTTCGCTGCTGCTCAAATCATTCTCCCAAGAGACTGCAAAGGCAATAAATTCTGCGAAATTATGAAGCTGATCGTAGGGCCAACAATAAAATGGTATATCACCGGTCAATTTCAATGGAGAAAAATTCGGGTTGCCACAGGTTTCGCAAATGTCCGTATCTATGATGGACTATACTTCCATAAGCTTGAGCTCTACGTGGAGGTACGCATTTAGACTGCATTTTGACTTCTTTTTCATCTAATTTCAATCTTTTCTCGTGTATAGATGAGTTACTTTGAAGCAATTTGGTCATATTTGAAAGAAGCACCCTCGACTGAGATAATGTTTGATCTCAGTCCCTATTTGTAGCCCAACATGCTCTTTCAAAGGAGCAGAGGCAGCAAAGAGGGTCTCAATGGGGTAATGGTTTTTACGGCTGACAGTTAAACGTTTGGCTATTTTACGGTTACGATTCATCTAAAATAACTCAAAGCGGCACATTGGAAAAGTTTTTAAGGTTGAAATTTTTATTAAGACTAACGATTAAACTTTAACAATTTCACGCCTATAGCTTGATTTTTTTAGCCGTTTTAACCCCATTAAGACCCCCTTAACGGATAGCACCAGTAAAGCACAGAATAATGGACTTGTAACTTGTATGAAAGATAGTTACTTGTATGGTCAAAGTAAACAGTTTATTTTTATCGAGTATACCCTTTTTTTACTCTTTCTTTCTATTTTTTTCCGTATTCATTTCTCAACAAGGCTGACTGGAATGACTCAGCAAATCACATCAAAATTGGGTTCCGCGCAGACATCAAAGTACCGGTGAATGGCGACATATATCGTGACGGAATCAGAGCGCCAAACAGTGAATTGTTTCTCTTCGGTGTGTTAGAATACGATTTCCAGGAACAGGTGGTCGGGGGAAAACTGGGCATGAGAGGAATCTGGCGTAGAGCATTCTTCATACCATTCCTTGGCATTGGAAACATCTTCCTTGGGTAACACTCAAATTATGAATCAGCTTTCTTTGCTTGGGAGTGAATAGATAACACTGAAATTATTTTTTAAATGATCATTAGAATAAAAATGATACTAAAGAAATATAGTTGTGTTAAATGGTCGGCAGTTGCTGGAGACGGAAATTTTGACTTTGGAAAGTTACTTAATCAATAACTTCCTTAACTCCAGAATCTCTAGTATTTTATTGATGGAAGATTCAGTTGAAGGACCGCTTCAACCCAACCATTGATTAAGACCTTACTACATTGGATTTCTGCCTGAAATTCTTCAGGGAAGAAAAAGATCTTGGCTAAGCTACCTTTCTCATAGCCACGTTTGAAACTTTTATACATTTTTCAGCTTGACGTATAAGGTTGGAGCGCCCATACCCATCACTGGCGTGCAATTTGGAATGCGAGTGGAGTTTGGATATGACTGTCTAATACCGGCGGACTTCAATAACGATGTAAGTTCAAAAACATTCAAGATTCCACACCTTTCGTATTCTCGAGAGACTCACACGAAACTTTCATCATTGGTTATACTAGCAGTATGCATGTTGCATGTCATATATTCGCTTAGAGGTACAGCCACAGATTACTCTTAGAACTGCAGAGCCTCAGAGCGCAGAATCCGAAGTTAAAAAACTCCCATTCCTCCCGAAGGTACAGAATTCGATTTTTTTCTTCGGTTAAGGCTTGAAATGGGACCAAAAGTATCTTTCTGTAAATCATACTGAACATCTGTTTATGTTGCGCTCACCAAAGATAAGACAATTAGCCACACAGGAGCGAGCTACCATAATTATTTCATTCTTTACCCTTCAATCGGTTTTTTGATGGTAATAATTTTTTTTCAGGGGCACTGTTTCGGAGGAAGTGGCTATTTTGGTGTTGGATCACCACAGTTTTTTTATGCTGATTTTGACGCACTAACACTTGGAAAAATAATTCGTCTCTTGGGATTCACTATTCCTCTTCCGCCGCCGATAGCACAGACTGGCTTCCCGGAGGGCGGATCGGTATGTGTGGATTAAAAGGACTGTTTCAATCACTTCCTTATAGTGGCTTACTATAATTTTCATCAATTGTCCAAGTAGACTACTTTTCGAACCTGTGCCAATCAATGGAAACAAATTCTGACAATGCATCGAATTTGAAACATAGATTTGAAAACTGTATCGATGCATAGGGCGTAGAAAAAGGTTTCTTTAAAAAGTTGTAACGGTCCTAGCGGATAACTTGCAAACCAATCAATCCTTAAATAAATCTTTAATTGTGTTACTATGAAAACCTGAAGCTTGCAGGTATGAGGTAACTTTTACAAGATGTAAGGCGCGAAAGTCCATCTGTAGGGTAGGGTTAGGTTGAGTACACAAGTAGCTGTATTGAATTGACTACAATGTAAATAAGTGCCGTTTATTTATTGCAGGGATCTTACGCGGAGGAAGCGTTCGACCTGAGAATCGCCAATGGTCCATACATCCCTGAGGGCTTTGCTATTAAAGGAAGGGTTAATACTTTCGGATGGTCAATTTATGCACATGTCAAGTTATCAGAATCGGTAAACAACCTACTCACTGTCTAACTATATTTCGATGTGACAATCAAGGCTTCACATTTGTATAAGCAGTCGTTATCAGTAAAAGAAATCATTCTTAACGACAACCATGACGAAGTTTTGGAAACGTGATTTATACTTGCGCTTGTTCTTGTGCCTTTTGCGTTTGATTTATGCTTGTGCAACGGCTAGCTGACAGCGGAAAGGAAAGAGACAAACCAGTTTGTGTTTTGTGTTATTTTAGATAAATAAACGCTATGGCGCAAATAGATCCTTAAGTGTCTTGTCCTCTCAAACTAAATGAGTTGAAATCTGCAACGTTTGAATGTCCATGTCAGATTATATTTATGAAGTGATGTTATCAGTTGTGATATTTTGATCAAGGCATTTGTTTCTAATTGTGTTGGAGTGAATTTTTCTAGGCAATTTTTATCGATCTAAAACCAGACCCGATACAAATCTTGGACCTTATAACAATCGTCCGCAGTCCCACGGATAAGGACAAAGGACCTTGGTGGTATTTAGACGCAAGAAAAAGTCCGCCCTTCATTGAGGTAAGTTGTGTAGAGCTGTTAACATTGCAGAGTCATTATTACAATTAATTCTTATATTTTGAGAGCACCAATTCACTTTTCCTTGATATTACAACCATATTAAGGCGGTAAACGATTTTTTTTAAAGGAAAATATAGATATTCAAATACATATCAGACAGGCATAAGTTTTCTTTGAATTTCTTTGGCTTCTTTAATAGCGATGTATAAGTAAGCATAACTTCTTTATTTCATAAGCCAGTAGGGATTCCTTCATGGTATAACTCATTCCAAATTAAATTCCTTTGGCTGAGATAGGAGAACCCAGCGAGAATTTACATATGGTTTTCAAGCTGGTGATGGCCAGTGCGTAGTCGAAGTTTGAAAAGCATCTGTTCGAACGCCGTTAACAACAATATGGCAAAATTTTTCGCCCTAATTCCTGAAATTGTGACAAGCATGAGGGTGGGAGAACTGTCCATAATTTTTTATTATATCGTCTGCTTTTTTCTTTCATAGTCGTATGTTGAGGGACACACCAACATACTGGGAATTTCAACTTACTGTCGGCTGAATTTGACCACCACACGCATAGAGTTGCTAGTCCAAGGAAATTTCCTCAACCTCATCCAAGCTGAACTTTATATGACTGCAAGTTACAGTTTGACATGGCTGGGAACACAGTTCTATATTAGAATTAATGTGGACCTGCACGCAATCAATAACGTAAGGAAATTATTTTTTCCATATCTAACGAAAACTGTATTGACAAGTGATGATACTTGCCGTTGCAAAAGGTCCAAGAGAGAAAATGAGAGCGATCAAAATACATCACTGTGACGGAGAAATAAGACAACGAAATTGAAAAGGTTATATGAATAACAATGTGCACATTCTTCGGGACGTCAAATGAAAAAGTGAGCAAGTAATAAAAAGGAGAAAAAAGAACGAAAAATTGATTGTCTTTCTCGGGAAACTGCTGGAAAATGCGATCGGCAGAGTCCTCCTTTCCTGGCTTTTCAAGTTGAGCAGGCCCCTCAATTCATAATTATACTAAGTGAAAAAAGGAGTTGCGCTCCAACTTAGCAAAAATAAGTGGAGTCTTGTCCGGGCCAAATATTTTCGGTTAATGTTCATGCCCCTAAATCGCTCTTTCACAGGCTTTAGATGCAGCAGCGAGAGCTGTGAAAGGCGCATTTGACGCGGCCCAAATGGCGCTTGCTGATGCAAAAGCAAGAGTAGTAAGGGAAAAAGAAAACTGTCGAAGAAAGCTGACACTCGAGTGTGATAACTGTAAGAGGCTTAAGTGTGCTAAAGCACAAAAGGACTGTAAAGGATTCTTGAACGCAGCTGGAAAATGGATCGGTGGTGTTATCGATAAAGCTGGTAAGAGTAAAAACCCTATAAAACAATAATGATAATCGCGGAATTAACTGCAGCCAGGCCCTCAATGCGTTATGCATGGTATAAATCCCGCAGCAGTGGAAGGGGACGTTTCCTCTTTCGATGTATAATGTAAAGAGTCACTTATGACAGAATAAGGAGCAAAAAAGCCGAGTTGACAAACTAAATATCTTACAAGCCACTATTACCAGCAATGATATTTGGAGATGCTCTCTAGAATTATGTGATTTTTCTCAACACATAGTCTATCGTTATTTGAGACTTGATAACGATACTGTAACACAAACTGGAATCCAGTCGTATCAAACCTTGGGAAGTATTAATTAATGTATCTGTGTAAACTCCACGTATCATGGGAAAATTTGCATTACTTGATGAATTTAAAGTTAACAATATCTTTTTTTTCAAGGGAAATGGATAAAAGGAGCCTTCAAAGAAGTAGGAAAGAAGCTGGCTCCAGTAAGTAAATCTCTCAACGAAACCTCTCTGAAAACAAGCGATTAGACATAAAGCAATACATGTAGTTTCTAAAGGTGATTCCTTGGAGAAAATAAAAAAGATATCGAACAAATTTTTTATGCTTTCGTTAAATGTTCTCTATTAATATCTGCAACAAAAATTTTAAAGGGCATGGCCTCAAAGCTTTCCTCGAGTCGTTGCTCTCAAGGTCATAATTTTTACCCTCGAGTAGCGGGCATCGTGCACGCTTTTAGCTCTATCTTTATTTCCCTTCGATGATTTTTTTTTATTTAACCAATTCAAAAGGGATCATTTGTACACCAAAATTATGCAAAGAGAGGATGTAGGTCACCACGCTCGTTCAAGAGCCATAGACCATCGTACCTCTTTACATGGTCCATTGATTAGAAAATCGAATTTCAAGTGCGCGTGTTAATTAAACGATTATGTGACTTTTATATGTTGTACAGGACGCACAGTGCAAAAGTAAGAAATCTCATTAATTCTATCAAAGCATATTTAAACAATGACTAGAGCTTGAATTTGATGAACATGAGATTTTTACTAAAATAATTTGACTAAATGCTTTGCAAAGTAAAAAGGCTTATGACGCTGACTGCCTATCGCCAACAGGCCTTCAACGCTGTTAAGAAATTTTTCAAAGGCTGGAAAAGAAGAAGGGAGATATTGGACAAACGTAATGAGAATTTCGAACTCCATCTCCGACGACGTCGATTTATCAGCAAAATTCTGTGTGAGGGGGTTGTAGGAGGTGGATGTAACGGTAAGCATCAAAAAAGCTTTGTACAGCGGTTTTGTTTACATGAGTAAACTCAGGAAATTTGATTAAAAAAAGCGCGAATAATTTTTGACTTCCCTCTCTGAGCCACATACTCTTAGAATTCCAACCAGCTTATATCATCCTCGTGGCAATACCATGAATAACATAGGTAATTAATGAAAGTTTGTTTTCATTAATTCATAACGAATGGTACAACTCAACGATGGCATTTGGCTTGTGCAATGAATGCTCATGGCAATCAATCAATTGCAGTGATGTTATCTACCTATACCACCCGTACTTTCATTGTTGTTTTTATTGTGAATACTTTTTTGCTGATTTACAAGGCTTTTGTAGAAATGATGTCGTTGCTTACAGGTTGTTAGTAATCGAAGTCTTCTTTGGTTTTCAGCGGTGTCCAGCCTTTGCGAGGGATCGTGTAAAGTGGTTAACCATATCGGTCAAGGCTTGTGTAACGTTTTGGATTTAGCCATTGGAGCTTTGACGATAACTGAACGCGCAACAGCCTGGGTTGGCAAAGCTATTGACTTTGTCCTGACTAAACTGTTCAGAGTGTACAGGTTAGATAGTTGTTTAACTTTGATTTACCATACTATTTTCATACCAACCGTAAAACATTATCAACATAGTCGAGACCTTCAATCCTTGCCTCATAGAAGTACTTGATGAAGAGATATTTATGGTGCCTGTAAAAAACTAGAGTAGAGCGCGCCTATGGCCTTCCAATTAATCATCTTACATAGACCCAACCTACATGTAACCCAGGCCACAGTGGTGGGAAGCGAGCGCTCTCACCACTGCGCTATCCTGCTGACCCATGGCTATAATTAATGTAAATTGGCCACACTATAGAGTTTCTAAAGCTGATGTTCGAGTGTTAGCCTTTCGTGTTTTGTATGCTCATATTCTGAATCTTGATTTTTATTTAATTATTTTCTTTGTACAGTATCAAATTTGAATTTAGCCTTGAAGCATACGCTAGAGGGGACAGAAATAACGTCATATTCAATGCAGCTATCGACTTGCTGATCTTTGGAAAACGCTACTATCTTGCAACCGAATTCAACCTGAGAGATCCAGTCGGAAGCCTAAGAAGTGGATCAGATAAAGCAACAGAATGGTACAAAAGCAACATGAATAACGAACAAGCAACCGCACCCGAATCGAACTTTTATGACAGTCCGAATCCATATGCTGACTTTGAGATGTCAGGTATAAAACAACAATTAAAAATGAATAGAGGCATTCTTAATCGGTGAATTGCAGCTTCTTGTACCACGCGAGTTCGTTTTCCGAATGATTTCGTATGCATTCTTAATGGGTGATATAGAGCTTGAGGAAAAAATGAATTTCCCAGGACGTGAACAGGAGCCAGAAGTTGAGTTTCCCTTTTTCTAGGCCCTAGATTATATATAGTTACTCCTGTGGCGTGTAGAGAATCAAAGTGTGTTGTGACTAAGCGGTAGTTTTTGCTGTTTGTTTTCAGAAACATTTTTAATCGAGAATCAGCAAGCAGCAACAGATAGCAGGACTGGCGCCTGTTTGTATGTCGACTCTAAAGATGATGGAGCTTTTATTAAAGTTACGGGCTGCAATGAAAATGATGACAAGCAAAATTGGGCTTACACTCTGAAAGGACAAATTGAGGTTAGTGTATGGAGCCACATTTTTCGTCGGTAGATACTTGATTACATCCAAAACAAGTGTGTAAAGAAGTAAAGTATTCTTTGTTATTTATGCCCATTTGGTTTCATAGTTCAGGTAGAATTGCTCTTTGAATGATTTTAAAACGTGTAACGACGAAGTTTTACCTCTGCTTTCTGTTTAAAAAGGGATCGGATTGCTTCGGATTGAAGTTATACGACGAACATATAAAATATTAAGCTTTATTCAGTAACAGTATAATTTTAACGCGTGTCTAAAATCACAACAACCAATGAAAGCAACGAAAAATGTATGATATGGGAACTGAAAGTCTATTAAATTCCAATTGACTAGACTGCGGGCAAACTTAAGTCAATAAGTCCTGATTGGTTTATGCTTTTCGAATGATTGTATGGGAGAGCAGCGCGAGTATCTGAACTAGACACATATCGAGAAAGAGCAACCCCACCCAATCTCGGATTACATTCGACAGTAATACTTGCCGTTGGTGGGGACAATCTTTAGAAATGAAATCACGTATTCAAACCTATATCAAAATTCTAACCAGATAAGTGGATGTAGTTTAATAGGCGGTCGTTCTGGCCGGACGGCTCTGATTTTATCCGAATTCTCCTTCTTACTCTTGATAAATGGACCAAGCTAGCTAGCTACCATTATTTCAAGAAAAAATGGTTATTCGCCTGAGTGAGTGATTTACAGCTAGTCGATGTTGCCAAATGGGCTATGATTCCATTTTAAGATACAGAAGTAACACGGTTGTGTCAAAATACAAAAATTTCCTCACAATACTTTCATTGATTGTTGCTATTTTATGAAATTTGTAGAACTACTGGTCTAAGTTGTGTATTGACTCAGGCGGCGCTGCCACTGGTTCCAAACTGAAACAAACCGCATGCAATCCTGTAAGAGATGATCAAAACTTCCAGTGTGACTTGACTGTGAGAACTCTCATGAGAAGACGAAGTGATAAATGCTGGACACTGGGTGAGTAAAGATAAACTTTAAGCTCTGCTCAAAGAAAGACATGAATCAAACCTTGCATTCAGGTACGTGCTTCAAAGCTTCCAAAGCAATTTGTGACCGAATTCGAACCCCATTTTATACTAGGGCTCGTAAGGAGCACTTTGATCAAAAGAAAAAAAAAAACACTTAAGAACTCAATTCATTTGAAATCTTGTTATTCTTATTTCTTGTAATTCATTTACACATATCTGAGTTTGAACGACGATATCAACACAGTAGAAAACTAGACAGACCTTTCTCGGAGTGGGATGTCAAATTGGCGAAACAACCACAAAAAAACTTTGAACAGTTTCAAGCAGTAATGTGGTTCTACATAGGTACATCAACAATCAATGGTCCAGGCCCTCTGGTTCACCGCAGTTCCTCAAAATGCATTCACGTGAAGAATGGTGGTTTTAGTGCAGTACCGGATGGCACTGGATTAGTTATTTACACTGGATGCTATGATGGGTATGAAAAGATTACCAGTTTTTAATGCATTAAACCAGAAACATGGGGAAAGGGAGAGGGGTGTCCTGGTGGTCAACGCAGTCGAACCTCATTGTCAGGGCCAGATCGAGTCCTGCAAACTTCATTGAATGCCTGAGGAGCGCGTATCATACCTGAAGAGGACTCTTAATGTACAATTGAAACGCTACGGTCCACATCGGAAGTAACATCATGAAATGAACAATTTTAGTTCATGTCAAGTGCATTCACAAGGACCAATAAATGGAACTTTTAACAATATAACTAAATATGGTTTTCGTTAAAATCGCTTTCGAATAAAAGGAAAACCCTTGTTCTTACTTCAGTTCTTGCGATGCCACCCTTAGAATGGAATAAAAGAGTAAATGTGATATTGATAGCAGAGTATCAAAAATAGAGTATGGACCTTTGCACTCTCCCTAAGTCTCTCTACCTTCACACTTAACTTAGATATTTCTCTCGACCCTGATGTCAGTACTCCAGTCGAGTTTTAATCAGATTTAGGTAGCCTGAGAAAGTGTGCAATACCTTACAGTAAATATTTAGACGTCTGGTAAATATGTTGAAACGATTTTAAAAGCTGTCTTTTCTGTTGAACAGAGGAAGTTCTGAAAATCGATTAGAATTCGCCCTGGAAGATGGCTATTTGAAGCACATCAGGAGTGGAAAGTGTGCAAAGCCAATTGGAGCAGTCTCTGATGATGTTGTTCTTGGAATGTACTCATCTTGCGAAGGACATAAATTTAGTTTCACAGCTGGAGGCTCATTACAACACATTGCAAGCAGAAAATGTGTCAACCCCAAATCAGGGGTGAGTATCGAAATGCAGCGTAATATTTGGATCATCATTTGCACATATGTACACTATGCCGGAAATCCCGTCTTAAATTTCGTAAAGGAAGCAGGTAGGGAAAGCTTTGATTGACGTGTTTAATTCCTTGTTGCTTTCACCCAATTTGCATGACGTAAGGTTATAGCTGCGAAATTTGTTCCATGCACCTCAGTGTATGGGGTTATGTAAGAATAGGACAACCTATCCTCCCAGATCACATGATTTGAGTTGGATAGCAGGAATGAAAGCAAACACGTCAGCCGAAACCTGCCATTGTTGAAGGCATGAGAATTGCTGTTGGTCCACCCCACGAGAAGATAATCGGTGTGATCAGGCGGCATATTTTGGACGAAGTTTCCTTTTAACTCACCTTGTGGGTCTCTAGTAATAACTACAAGTGTAACAGTTTGCCTACGAAAGAGCCTACTCATCGCAAGGTAACGTAATTAAATGCTTCATTTAAAGGCTATAATAGAGGCATGTTTTCACCACAAAAGTGGATATACGATTATCAATATCTTTTTTTCAGGCCATGATCCCTGGAAATGGCGATGATCTGGTGTTGAATTCTAACTGTGAAAATAGTGACTTTTCAGAAAACAAGAAGCACCTTTTATACACTTTCCTTCCACGTAAGTTTGTTTGACATCTCAGTTTGCTTGAAGCATAAGTTTTGTTTGACAACTTTCTTGACACGTGAGTTAATTTGAAGAAATCCATTTTTCTATTCCTAGAAAAAAGTTTTTTTTTTCCATTTCCCTTGGATATTTTATGGCGATTATTGCTTTTTCAATCAAACGTAATTCTTAAGCGGTTTTTTACCAAAACTGGTCCAATTTTAACTTTAGATATAAATTTTTATTTTCGATGACTAGTGATATTGCTTTGACGACAAGTAGAATTAGTTGTGCTTTCTATACCGAAGCTCCAAATAATTGCGAAATTTATGTTAGTAATAGTTTACTCACAATCTACTCACTCGTTATTCGAGTTGCAAAAAAGTTCATAGTAAAACTATTTTTCTTAGGAAATCCAGGGCTTTAGGTTTAAAGAACTCTTCTACGACGATGAGGTTAAGTACAAAAGATCATAGAATTCTTAAGGTGTACTTTTAAAAACCTGACGAAGACAAGCTTAATGTTTGCTTATCTTTTTTTCTCTAGGTAGCCCATATGTTAGTCTTGAAAAGTGCACAAACTTTGATGAAGCAAGACTGGACCAACGATTTGAAATTATGGATGAATCAGTTGCGAGCATCTGTAGCAAGTTTGCGAGAAGTAAGTTTACAGTATTTCTGTGGTCAATGACACATACTGACCACTGCAGGCACGCACTACAGGTAAAGAATTCCATCTGAATTGATAATTTGGCATGTGTGCTTGACTGAGTTGGTCCTGTGATCTGACTGGCATAGTTGAATTAAGCCGGAGTCATTGTTCATTTGGTTAATTTCCGGTAAGGGGACAGTCATTGTGGTAGCCCCCTAATTTACCAAATAACACTACTACAAGTCTAAAGATCCTCCGCAGGAGAATGAGATATCTAGATCATTTAATTTTTTTGTTTTATTTTGCTTTTTTTTTTTGGTCCTTCAGCACAATCGCTCTTGTTAATGTAACTGATATGATTTATTTTTTGGTTTGTGGTTAATCAAAATCAGCCACTTGTAGCCGTTCTTCGGACAAGATGGAATACTCGTAGAAGCTTTTTTCGGGGAAGTACAATACAAAATCTTGTAAAAAAGGCTCCTAAGACAAGTAAAAGAGAGATTACTCTCATGGGCTGCGAGATGCTTTCATCGTTCAATTAAGCGGTGACGTATGATTGTACATGGTCGCGTACAACTCCTCACATCGATATTAGGAACGATATAAAAACTTGGAAATTGGTTGTTACTATTTTGATTTTTTTGCGGCAAATTGTAGCTATAAACTAGGGCTAAACGGTTACACACAACTTACAGGTCCTTGTGATTATTCCATTTTTCAGATCTTGCTTACCATAAGACTACAGAGCAATCAAGTACAGCTTATAATGGGTTCAGCAGCAGAGCTGTGGACGAAAACTATTCCTCTCTTTACAACGATAACTCGTGCACTCACACTAGGAAAGAGCAAGACCCTTGGTGGAGAGTCGATCTTGGGAGAGAATACATCGTGACAGGTACGCGACACTGAGGCGAGACTGAGGCGCAAACATTTAACTCAAACTTCAACTTGAAATTTCTCAGAAACTCAGCTGAATAATGCTGGAGAGAAACTGACCCTGACTGTAATTGTAGTTCTGCAAACTGCATTCAGTCATCATACACATAACACAGTTTTATTTAAGAACGATGTTGTCTAATCTTAAAGAAAAATTCCTGCTTTTCCAACTTTCGGTTGTATTAGAAGTTTTTCACGAACTAGACCTAATAACATTTAAAATAAAATGACCTGATTGCCATTTCATCCATTAGTCTTATGTACTTTTTGTCGACAAAAAAAAACTCCTGAAGATGAAAACAAAATATTTAGAAAACATTCATCCCACATTCTCTTTGCACAGATGTGATGATCGTAAATCGGCATGGATTTTATCAAAGGCTTAAGAACTTTGATGTGAAAGTCGGGATCAGTAAAAACAACAAAGAGAACCCGACTTGTCACGACCGCGTTCGGTATGTTGATCAGGCGCAAGCACTCAGGGTGCAGTGCGATCCACCAATTCCAGGGCGATATGTGTCGGTACAGATGTATCAATACGAGGCCCTAACTTTGTGCGAGGTGGCAGTTTATTCAAGAGTTGGTAAGTAGTGAAATCAATGATGTTCGAAATACCTTCGCCAGATTGAGAGAGAAAAACGAGATTATTCGCAAGCTAAGCTGAGCTCCATTTGTTTTCACAATTTTTTAATCTTCTCAGCTCCAAATTGTATTGGAACCCCACTGGATTTACGAAAACAATTTTTTTTTAAAATTCAAGCTCAAGCTTGATCCCTTTTCATCATTAGACGAATCACTTTTTCATGCAAAGCCACTCGCTTTTGCCAAGCTGTAAGGTCTTGTATAAAATATGCAGATACATGTGGGGCCACTCTTTTACTTTTTTTGTGTCATTGTGTAGGCAGCATGATCTTCTTCCTGCCTTAAATTTCCTTAATGGGTTGTTTTTCTCTTTACCCTTATTATATATTTGTGACTTTCACTATCCGAATAATTTTTAGGAGGCTCTCGAGAAGAATGATCATTGAATTTCTTCCCTCTATCTGATCAACGAACATTGCAACTGCCACACAATGGTGTATTATTACGGTGCTATTTGAAAACATCAAGGAATGGCTCCATCTTTTTTTATTATTTTTCCTATTTCCTAGGCTCTCTCGCAGATCTTTGTCAACTGAATAATGGCGGCTGTGAACAGGTTTGTTATAACCTGTGTAATTTGAGAGTCAAGTGTGGCTGTCTGCCTGGTTACACTCTGGCTTACGATGGAACGACTTGCGTTGGTGAGTAGCTTTTCAATATTATAACATGGGTTGTGCCTCCGTTTCATATTATAGTGATCCTCTAGGAAAGGCTCATGCACTTCTGTGGCCAATTAAAAAGGTTGGTTTATGCTTAGCGTGCGTATACCGAATTATGGATGCACGCGGGAAGCTTGGAGAGCACAAGAGAAGCATAAGAGCAATTCTAGCTTCTTGAGTGCTCTCCAAACCTCCCAAATACATTCATAACTCGATACAAGCACAGCTAAAGAATGAACCCATTCTTTTATAACATGGCATACGGACACAAGTTGTGCACGAAGAAAAGGACTCTGTAACAACTATGTCGGGTTTACCACAAAATCGTCTTCTACCCGAAAACTGTGAATAAATGACAAGGCTAAAACGACCAAGAAATATTTTTTGCGATCTTCATATAAAGAAACACTCTAAACTGATTACGTGCATAAAAATATTGTTTTGAAGTACGTTAATACCTCGGGAAAGTAATGCACTCTTCCTTTTTTCCAATACAGATCGGAACGAATGTAATCTCAATAATGGAGGCTGTGACAGAGCAAATGGTCGGTGTGTCAATTCTCCTGGTAGCTTCCACTGTGAATGTAATGCGGGATACCATCTACAAGAGAATAACCAATTCGTTTGCGAAGGTGAGTAGCGTAATGAGTACAACAGATACAAACCACGCATAAGGTATTAAAGAACTATGCTATGACATTTTTCATTAACTCGTTAGATTTCCATCGTCCCAAAATAAATAAGCCGCGGAAAACGGCATCGAATACTGCTACATTTTATTAATCTACATAGGGCGAATCGTTTTTTCAAGAAACTCTGAGCTTAGTTTTGCCACTGCTAATCTGTTAACAAATAGAGTAGAGTATGTTTCTTCCAACTTTCATTGGTAAATTAAACTTAGGCTGGCTTTTTTTTCTATCTTTTTTCCTCCAATGGATTTCATTTTAAATTTACCTAGATCGGAATGAATGTGGCATGGATAATGCTGGATGTGAGCAGATTTGTAGTAACAGCGATGGTAGCTTCAACTGTGATTGTAGAGCAGGATTCAGACTTAAATCAGATAAAATGGGTTGCGAAGGTGAGATTAATCCCACAACAAAAACATATTTGTTAGGCTAAAATATACTACTATTTCCTATAATTATGGGGCCATGATGCGCGCGTTGCGAGCTCCGCTGTTAATATATGTATCATTTTGGTGTTCCATCACAAATACTGCAATCTGACTGACGGCGCTACTTCCCATCTAATCTTAATCAAAACAAATCTATTAGCTTTCTATCGCAAATACTGCAGTCTGATTTGCTGTGCTACCTGTTATCTATTTAACAAGAGCTCACAATTTCTATCACGCATAGAAATTAAAATCGAATAATATTATTGTTTTATTAAATATGTATTAGTCATTTCGGCCTTTAAAAGAAATAAACAGTGTATGTTTAAAATCTATTTCGTTTACAACGGCACGCTGTGAGGTCATCCACTGTACTAACTACAAACCACGTAACAAATAGCGAGTAGCGAAGCGAATCAGATTACAGCATTCCTTATGTAAATCTATAATCATTAACTTCGTCATTAACGATGGTTAGAATATAACTTGACATGGACATCTCATTAGAAAGGACAATCTTTTTGTTGTAGATATTGATGAATGTAAGGCACCAGACTCGGGAGGTTGCAGTCATACCTGCCATAACTATGAAGGTGGATATTACTGTAACTGCCCGGCTGGCTATCGACTGATGGAAGACGACAAGACATGTGAAGGTACCGTTTCATAAATATTTATTCTTTTTTTCTAACTTTTGCAGGAATAAGAGCCTTAATATCAAACTAAAAAACTGAATGCATTGTCAGTTTGTCGATAAGCGACAAAAGAACGCAGGGGGAAGGGGATGGTGCGGCTTGTTGTGAGTTCCTTTTTCTTTGGCTTTACGACCCATTAGCGCATTGATTTTCAAATATGTTTGTTAAAATAGTCTTCTTGAGTATTTCGAAATTAATGAAAGCTATTAAAAACTAGCTACCCAAGGCTCTACCTTTAATCTTCGCTTTCATAACACATTAATTAGCATAAACTAATTTATTACAGAGATTTATTGCCCAGCATTGGAAGTTCCATTAAAGGCAGAAATAACGCCAGAAATCTGCACTGATGGTCGTGCAAATATTGCGCGTAACACTGCGTGTGAGTATACGTGCGCGACTGGATACCGTCTTGTAGGTGATAGTTCTCTGGTCTGCCAGATTGACGGATTTTGGCAAGGGACAGCCCCACGTTGTGAACGTAAGTAGCACAGATTATTTAGATAAATCCAGTTTTTGTATGTGTTCAAAAGGCGGTAACAGGTGAGGAAACTGGTCGTTGGACGATCTATTTCTGATTTCGCATCTCCAGTAGCAAAATAATGGTACCTATCAATCATTGCGTTTTTCAGGGTAATTCAGTATTATCAACTGGGTTGATAACGAAAAATTGGCCATCGTAAAGAGTTTGAAGGTTGAAATTTCGAGCGTTAGACCTTCGTCAGAGCGAATGGACGAAGGGCAAACGCTCGAAACGTCAGCTTTTAAACGTCAATTCTTTTCTGTAGCCAATTTACGTTCTTAACTTAGCTTAGCGTTTATTCCTTATGTTTTCCTCCCTTAATCTAAAATAACTACAAAGCAACCATAACGTGACTTTAAAATGGAACTTACAGCTCTGTATAATAAGGCAAAAACACTCCAACGACAGTCGATCGGTCTGGCAAACTTTATTCTGGCTGCATATTAATAATTATATCTACGAATATATATATGTTTTCACAGCGGTTATGTGTCCGAAGTTGACTGTACCAGCCAATGGTGCTGTGGTTCCATCGTCATGCGGGGAAAGTGATTCACAGTACGGTGTGGAATGTTTCTTTGAATGTGATGCAGGCTATGTATTGAAAGGACCCAGATTTACGACATGTCAAGGAGATAATTCATGGTCTGATATGGCGTCAATTTCTTGCGAGAAAGGTAAAGAAAGTAGCCTATAACATACAAAACATCCAAGAATATTTCGTGTGCCTGCAGTAGTTTTCAGTGATGACATTCTGTTACATTTTCGCTTTTGTACCATCCTCCCCCTTCAGCTTCCTGGTTCATCTGTCCTTGACGATGATAACCTTCAGTAAGTAATAATATACATGTATAACGTTCAAAATCTCCGTCTGCATGTTGTTATTAGAGAGTCAATTTGGCGCAAGCCTCAGACTCAAATGCTGCAGTTTTAAAGTATTTGCACTAAAGGACTTAGATTCATTATCTTGCACATATAAATATCTTGCTTTCATACTTAATAAGTGTTTAGTGATCCGTGAATCAAGTGTTCGATGAACAGAGTCGAAGAACTTGATTAGAAGGACTTAGATTCATTATCTTGCACATAGAAATATTTTGATTTTATACTTTATAAGTGTTTAGTGGTCCGTGGATAAAGTGTCCGATGGACAGAGTAGAAGAACTTGAACCAGACAAGTCTGCAGTAGCTCTAGGATTCAAGTGGCAGAAACCGCAAACAAACGTGGACTCCCCTACGGTGTCGCCTAGCAACTACGATGAGAATTATCTTTTCCCTGTCGGTAAACATAGGGTTATGTGGACAGCGACACTATCTGGGAGAGAGATAAGCTGCACCTTTTTCATAACCGTCATCGGTGAGATTACTGAATTTTACGATTCATTGTCAGAAAATAACGAATATCTTACTCAATTAATGAACTCACCTGGTCAACAAACCTTGCGGATAACGTGAGGAAACTCAAAAGATTACATTATTTTCGCTTTTATCAGATGTCTGCAATAATAAACTTCAATTTTGTTCCTACCTGAAAAGCATCTACAATGAGAGTTTACATTCCCGCATAAAAAAGCCCCTTAATCCATATGTGGAATCGATGATCATGTTCATTAGTTCAGTGAATAATGCCATACTAGCGTTAGAGAGCGTTTTGGTTAACTGATTGACGTGAAGCCAAAAATACTCACATTACTACCAACTAATTACAGCGAAGGTAAATATTGGAATGAGTTGTGGAATTTCATACGCAAACAACGAAACTCCCTGAGAAACAGAAAGATGGTTTAATCTGATTTGTTGAGACGGTGTCGAAGGTATTTTACAAGCGTTGGGGGAGGGGAACACCGATGCAGTCAAGGATTAATTTCGTCACTTATAGATAAGTTATTCTACTTTTTGTAGATGTCACCCCTCCCTCAGTTCAAGGCTGCCCAGCGTCTTTTACGGAACAAACCGACACCATTTTCAAGGAAGTTACATGGAAGGAGCCTACATTTACCGATAACGTAGGCGTTGCTAGTGTGTTATCCAATCGTAAGCCAAATTTCGACATGGGAGCTTTTTCAACATTAACGATAATATATGTTGCAACCGATGCTGCGGGAAATGAAGCCAACTGCAAGTTTGACATCACTGTCGAAGGTAAAAAATGTTGCAAACACATTCTCAGTTTTTGCACTATTCATCATTTCATTTATTTACACTGTTTTGTAGTTTTGTTCTCAATCGATACACCCATCGACAATCTTGCTCATCTATCTTAAAAATACCTATTCGTCAAATTTGGTGGGGCACCACCACTATGAACTGTATCAGGCACGCCTTTAACAATCTAATAAACTAGGTAATTGCGAGGCTTAATTTGTTATGATCACAACCCTGCACTCCTATGTGATTTCATTTCCCATCCAAAGTTTGCTTTTCTCCTATCTTACAGGAACTAAGTGCAGGACGATTCATCCTCCCAGGAATGGCGTTCTAGAAGAGATTCCTGGCACCTCTGCAAGGTTGATATGTGACCCTGGCTTCCTTCTCAACCCAACTCCCCCCGGATCGCCTGGACTGCTCGAACGTCCTCTTTACGAGTGTCAGGGCAACAAATGGATTTCTAGGGATGATCAAGTGTCCGAACTGACCAAGCATGTAGATTGCACAGGTAAGAATAATTTTCGAATGCTCTCTCTATTTATGAAAAAGCAAATCATTACTTCAATATTGCATTATGACAGGAAACGTTTATATAGAGAGTGACTCACGTGAACAATGCAGACCAATGAATATGACCAAAGAAAAGTAAAACAAAAAGCTTTTATTTTACTGCTTGGGAGGTACTAAGGAGTATCAAATCTTATTTTCAAATCTTATTTTAGCTTACAGTGAAGCAGACGGGCAAGCTTGCAAAGAAGGTTCCGCTTTGATGGGAGGCATGTGTGGTATGTTAAAATTCATGAAAACTTCTTAGAGGGATTATTCACCACTTTTTATTTTGCGTGATTGCTGCTCTTACAAGTTTCTGTGACTTATTCCACCATACCTCCCTGTAACTGGTACGCAATACCCAAAGATGTACTGAATTTATGTATTATTTTTTTACGGACATAGTTTTTTATACCACTGTCTTTTTTTTTCCAAATCCGTTTTTTTTAGTTAATCATAATTCATCTAAATGGTGTATAAACTGAGACGAAGACATGGTTTTTCAAGGAACCCTCATCTCCAGAACATTGTCTTTCGCTTTTGATAAAGTAAAAAAAAAAAACCGGTTGCATGCCTTTCACTTCGATAAGATTCGTTGTTTTCCACAGATAACTTGTTTATTATTTCGAAAACCAATTAATCATGAGAGATACCGAACGTGGTAGTTAAACGTTGTAGTTTTTGCAAAAGGATCATCATTTCTCGTGTGAGCTTACAATTTGCATATGTACTTTGTGACATGTTTTTTACCTTTTTTCCTCAGTGAACTGTCCTCCGGGAACATATGGAGATTCTGGCAAATGTAAAGAATGCACACCTGGCTTTTTCCAGGATACAGAAGGAATGACGGAATGCATGCCATGTCGAAAGAAATTTTTTAGTAACACGAGAGGATCTACATCAGATGCAGACTGCAAACGTAAGGAGATATTTTGAATTTAATGGCTGAAGTTAACATCGGTTTCGTACTTTAGTGAAAAGGTGTTTCTGCGGTTCATATGCAACTTATACGAGACCGAAATTTGAAAAATAAAAACCGCCCCACAAGTCTTATTTATGGTAATGGTAATATAATGGTAATAGGACAAAGTGGAGTCCAATTCGGTCTGTAATCATACGAGTGATTAACAGAATTGGACGGTCACGAAACGGGAGTCCGATTACAGCTCTACGGAATGATTAGTGAGAAATAAAGCAGCTATGCACTAATCACGTTTGAGGAAATTGTAATGGTTATGATTAATAGTAGAATGGTATGTCCGTCAGAATTCTCCTTGTTCAAAGACGCGATGAATCTCTTGTATCCGTTAATTATTTGTAGCTTCTCGTTTTAGCAATCTGCAGGCCTGGTGAATATTCCATTAATGGTGGCGTCGATCCTTGTTTGGACTGTCCAGTGGGAACATACCAAGACAATTACCAACGCACTAAGTGCCACGCATGCCCAGCAGGTTCGACTACATTGAAAAAAGGAAGTTCTTCAGCTGATGACTGCTATTGTAAGTGATACCTCGCAAGAAGGCATTATCTGTAGCATCTCATTTCGAAAGGCGTCGACTCCAAACTGGGATATCGAATGACACTTTGTAATTTACTTCATTCTAATAATTCTGGCCCTATTTTCCTTATCCTTAATACAAGGTGATTAAAGGTTCAAGAATTGTTATAAGCCGATAGTGTAAAATTTTAGATCGCCAGTTCCTCTCTATAATTGGGGTTTTCATCTACGATTCCCTGATTGAACCACGATGAAAATAATTATAAGTTTCCTACCGTGGATTTTGGAGACTGAACTCTGTCCTGTAAAAGATTTTCTTCTCTTATCTTCCAGGTGCCCTTAAAATCACTATGACGATGCCAACACAGAGTCAAGTCCTACGTGTGCAACAAACTGTAAGACTCGCTTGTTTCATCGAGGGACACCCGATACCAAAGATCACGTGGACTAAAGTTGGAGGTAGTGTTTCCTTAAATTCGTCAATAAAATCACAATTGAGTAGGACTCCTGTCATAGAAATCTTATATGTGAACTGTGGATTAATAAAAGAATACGAGTGTGACCCTCGCGGTAATGAACACCACTAAATCAGTGGTGAAAAAAAAATATCTAGGCTAATAACAAAATGACCAGCTCCCAGTTAGCTTGTCAGATCATTCGGTATCGCAGAGGTCATGAGGCCTGAACTTTTCTAAAGTTTGTTTCCACTACTGCCAACGTAGCGTTCATTACTTCGGGGGTAATATTTATATTCATTTTTATTTTGTTATTATAAATGATACTGCGAGCGAATTATTACGATAATGCCATCATCCTTGCAATGATTCTTTGTGAAAACTGCGGAGTTTCTATTCAAACGTAGAAGCGGTGAACTCATCACAGTCAAGCCAGTATTGGTTGAATAAGTAAGCTGTGTGTAGAAGAATATGCCAGCGCCTTACAAACCCGTGCGATACGAACTAATAATGCACTTCTCACTGTCTGCAGGTTCAATGCCTTCTGGGCGAGTCACCATCGAAAATGTATATGATTCGGACGCGAAGTTGAATGGTGTTGTGTACAGCATTCGCAATGCTGATGTCCTTGATACTGGAACTTACGAGTGCAAAGTTGAAAATAAATTTATGGGAATTGCTAAGCGTGTCACGATTGATGTACTTCAGGTCTCTGAATAGCCGCAGGTAAGGTTGGATTGTTTTACCGAATAGCTATAAACTTTCCTTTTCGCTTAATATTATAATTAACTGAATATTCCATGAAGCGGTCGATACTTTTGTCTCAAAGAGGAATTTTCACTTAACTTAATAAAGTTCTGAAATGATTATCCTGAATCGATTCCTGGCCCATCATATCAGATAAAAATTGCATGTGAAACATGTGAAAATATAAAAAAATTAAAGACATGGAGAATCGCAGGAAATTATATATATATATATGTGTATGTGTGTTTATGTATTAAAATTAATATATATATATGTTCAGCCGCTTAAATTAAACGCATAACTCTCTTTTAACCTATTTTTTTTACAGACGTCTTTAAGCCGAAAATCGAAAATATGGATTGAATGGATCTTGCCTTGACGGGAGGAATAAATTTTTAGCGCTAAATGTTCTAGAAGAAAAATTTAAGTGTAATAGGGTAAATGGTTTAAACCCAGGCGTAATAACAGGGGTAGTTAGAAAAAAAGTATGCTGTCATGTAACGGGCTTTTAAAAGGTTAAGAATGTAATAAAGATTATTTGAAAATTATCAAGCCTTGCAGATTTTTATTGTGAATTGAATTAGTTTTCAATTTTTTCAGAAAAGCACCGTTTATTTAATGCAGCATAAGAACCTTGCATGGTCATTATTATTCTCTGCTCTATGACCCAATATATTACATTCCTACTTAATTCCGTTGAAATTAATTATTTCATTTCAGAGAATTGGCTCAGATTTTGTCTGAGAGCGATGCTGTGAATTCTTAGCGAGAAATATTGAGTTTGGTGCTCCCACAAGCAAGGACTTGCAATTCAGTAATTGGCTTTTGTTTGCGACAAACTCACCCGTGCTTAGTTTTAGATTTTTACCGATCTCCACGTTGGTACGTAGGAATTGATACAGATAACAACTTCAACGACATTTTACTCAAAGTCACTTTGAAAAAACTCCCAAAAAACATCTCAAACAGTTGAGGCGTTCTAGTCAAAGCAGTAACTCCTGTCTGTTAGACGTCGTCTAACAGACAGGACAAAGGCTTAGACAAAGGCTTAATCGATTGATGAGAATTTGTTTCCTGTTTTCTATCGGTAGATTCAGACAATCAAAATTTGTAAGGAGAATTTCAAACCGGTAAAAGGCGCCTAAAACTACGTATAATAGCAACGAAAATTTTGCGCCTACTTCAGTTAAATTTCTCTGTCTTCTTAGGGGGCGAAAAGCAATAGTGATTTTGAGTAAACAATCTACAAAAACAATCGCGCACGCATTATTTCTTTCTCACAGTCCAATTCGATAAATACAAAAAATAAAACTTCAATTAAACGATTTTCCTCACTCATCCGTGCGAAAAAGGCCTACGGCGGCAAAGTCGTAGTGGTCAGGGTAAGAGTGTAAGGAATATAGAAAATATTATTCCAGGGGAAAGAAAAAAGCAGCCAAGGCTAATAAAGAGAGCAAAAGAAAAGCAAGGAAAGCATCTGCGATATAAAATTAATGCTTTAAAATAAATTATCCTCTTACCTCTTTAAAAACATATGAACGACCAGCTCTATCAAGTTTGGTTGCCGAACTGATTTTAGAATTTGAATACCTAGTTGTCGCACTTAAAAAGGTGATTTTGGGGAAATGAGGAAAAAAATTTATGAAATATCAATATCAATAGAACTGTGCAGTAATTAACGAGTTAAACTTTATTTGGCCATCTGACTTTGGACCTCAAACAGTTTCCCCAGCTTTACACACACTGGATCACTTTCCCCATTTTTGTTGTTCGCTTGACCACCAAATACAGATCTCTCAAATTGTTGTGTGTTCACGTTTTGCTGCCATTAAATACTTTTTTATTGGTTAATACATATTTCTGAAGGGTAATTTTTGATAAAATTTACGCTTTACCTTTAGCTCGAGTTTTGGTATTGTAGATACACGAGCTTATCTGTTATAGAGAAAGACGTCATCGTTACTTAGCAAATACTTACAGGAATGAGGTAGAATTTGATTGTTTACCCAATGTACACCTGTGATTTTCTGGGGAAAACAGAATATTGTCCCTCCAAGTTGTGATTTTCTGGGGGAAGCGAAATATTTTACCTAAAAATTCAGAAATCGGTACAGCTGCTTAAAAACCTAGGGAAAAACGGTGGATGATGAAAAGATAACTTTGACCTAACAAGAGCTTAGAGCATAAAGCTTGAGGGCTTAAGCTCATGAGGGGAATTTTAAGATTCACTCTAACGGTCTTCTATGCAAGTTTGATACATTCTGATATCATCAATATACTCCTTCATGGGGAGAGAGACTGTTTGAGAGAACTGAGTTGTAATTACTTCCCGGAACGATTTCGTTAAATCCAATTTTATTTATATCTCCAACACAGTGCAGTTTGGTTATCACAAACCTCCGTGCACATTATCGCTATACAAAAAGTGCTTATAAATCTTAATCACTCTTTTACAATTGGATTTATCCAATGTCTGGTATCAAATGTCCAAAAGGCTTTCTAATGATTAAGAAGTTCACATCTCTGATGTATCACCAAATAACCGTCGATTTAACTCCACTGAAATAATATTAATTACATAGATCAAACATTCCGTTTCAACCAAAAATTGATACAGCTTTGTCAACAAATGATATAAATCAACTCAGGTGTCTATGAATTCCACCTTTATTAAATTTTTGAGACACACGAAGCGCTTTTATTCCAAGGAGCCTTAATTTGTCTTACGGCTCAAACAGAGGACAAGAAACTCATAGGACGGGTGGATTGCCAGGGCTATGCATTGTCCTCGCTCGGTTTAGTAGAGAGATTTAAAGAAAAAGTCGATCAACATGCACAAAGTTGTAGCACTAGTATTTTTGCTCTTATTGGTCGTGATATTTTGGAATTATGTTGAAGCAGCAGGTAAGTATTTCTTTGTTGCTAAAAATGTATTATCACTTCATTGCTTCTAAACCAGTCAAAAAATTTTAGACAAAGAGAGGTTTAGCTGATCTCTCAAGGTAAAAAAGTAAACCTAAAGGTTCTATTTGAACTGAAGCCGAAAAATTATATTAAACTTGCGTTCTGACGATCTTTGAGTCATTTCGTCTCATGGATTGTAGATTCTTATTAAAAGCCACAGAACTTTCTAAGTTTTCGCCATAATTTTTTAAGATGATGTTACCCAAGAAAAGAGAAAAGGTGTGTATAAGTTCCTGTGAAATTCTTTAAATCAATCGGGATTCAAGAACTTTTGATGATGCCCTTCTTTGACTCGATGCACTTACTTCAATTTATTTTACAGCGATACTAAATGCTGTTCTCTTTTTCGTTTTGAATCAGAACAGATCCAAAGATAATTTAAAGTGTTGAAAACTCATTCAGCTCTAGAAACTACATGATAGGAGAATCAATGCCTTACTTCAGCCCTTTCCCATTGTTTATTTTATTTATTTATCATTGTCATTTCTTTTTCGCGTTATTCTTTCTTGAAAGTAAATGGAGGCTGGTCCGGTTGGTCGGCATGGAGCGGCTGTGCAGCAGGCATTTGCGCGGGAAATCAGCGCATTCGAACGAGAACTTGCACCAATCCCCTCCCAAGTGATGATGGAAAATATTGCGATGAAGGAGAAAGCTCGGAACAAAAAGATTGCTTAAGTAAGTGCCAACACACATGTCAGTAGCTGTAAAAGATCAATAATTTAGAGTTAGCCCGATAAGCTAGCGTGAATATTTGCAGCAAAATATCAATTGTAATTTCAAATCTTCTTGTTTGGCAAAATCAACTAAGAAACACATCAGAGCTGGTATAGAAAAAACGGTGCTTCGTCGTATTCATAAATATACAATACTTTTCGTATCATAATTGTATTTCTTTCTCTATTTCGCTTATCTGGATAACTACTGATGTCAAATCATTTCAGTTGACGGGGGCTTCACAGAGTGGAGCCAATGGTCTTTGTGTGACAATCCGTGCGGAGGATCTGTGGTCAACAGAAGTAGAGCATGCACCAACCCCACTCCCACTCCCGATGGGAAACCGTGTTCTGGTGATGCCTTCCAAACGAAACTTGAATGTATCTGGCCGTGTCCAAGTAAGTAAATCCCCTCATTTAAAAGATTCCTATGTAGGGATCATTCATCAGTGGTGCGAAATGAATGTATCATTAAAGTCAATTTAAGTCTTTTTTTCAATTATAAATTCTAAGCTGGTAACAAGCAGTTTGAAGTTATTAGCTTTCACATTTTGAAAAGATATCGACAGGAATTGAGAGAAGGTGCACTTAAAGGGTTTTTTTTGAATACCAATACGAAGATAATAGCCGTTTGTTAATAAAACTTATGATTATAAATTGGCAAGGCTATCTGTGAGACTTCAATTTGCATTGTGCCTACATTGTCTTTTAGCTGGTCCTCTTGACGGCGAATGGGGAGCTTGGACTCCATGGACTCAGTGTCCCCAAACATGTGGAATACCTGGAGGGACCGTTCTCAAAAGAACAAGGTTATGCAATCGACCACCTCCGATGAATGGCGGGAAGCAGTGTGTTGGGAACGGCACAGAAACGGCGAGAGCTTGTTTTGCAGAATGCCCAGGTTAAAATAATTCTCCTATTAAAACATCTTTGTCGAATGCAAAGTTCTACATAATCACGACCGTCACAGTTACAGTGACTGTGCAATCAAGAATTCAGACCTCATGATCATTTTGACGACAAAATTATTTTGATTTGATTGGAGTTGGGTTGATTTATTTTGTCATTTTTATGTTATTGTTTTGTTTTTTTTTATCTTGTTTGATTATTTTTTCCCCATTTTTTCGTTCATTTCTCACTTGATTGCATCCTTCCAGTGTAATACAGTTGCAAGGTTAAACACGAAAGCGTGCTATTTATTTTTTTTTACCTTTGTATCATTCACAGTCGATGGCGGCTTTGGTCTTTGGTCATCTTGGACAGCGTGTAGTAAAACGTGTGGTACTGGTTCTCAATCAAGAAGCAGACCCTGTAATAACCCAACCCCTACCGGTGGGGGACAAAACTGCACTGGGGACTCCTCTCAAGCAAAGAGTTGCAAAATCAAGTCATGTCCAGGTGAGGAATTCTTACTTTGTGTGTGCTTTTATGAAGGTCAGACAAAGTGTAGTGTTTATGTAAATGATGAAACAGAGAGTCGGGTTCTTAATTTATATTGCAACTTTGCCCTTTGCAAATACTTACATTCGTACTATTAGGTGCGGTAAATGGAGGGTGGTCAGCGTATTCGTCTTGGACAGCATGCACAGAGCCTAAATATTGTCTGCAAGGAATCAAGAAAAGGACGAGAAGCTGTACAAATCCTCCTCCAGCAAATGGCGGTGATGAGTGTGCTGGTCTGGCGGAAGAAGAAAAGGTTTGTCCCACACAAGAGGATGGATGTACAAGTAAGAATTTTTTATATCGTAAATTATTAAGTTTTTCGAAAAAAATAATACATTCGTTGGATTGTTGAAAATTTTCCTCATGATCTTAAGCCAAATGTAAATATGCATAAAATCGTTGCATTGAACTTCTTCTTTTTTATAAGTGATTTATGTTCAAGAAGGACAAAAAGGAAGGAACACGCTGGACCATGTTGTTTCCAAATTATTTATTTTGGAGTGCCTATTTAAAGAACACAACATTATGTAAAGCCCAGTCGTTTGGAACTTATCACTTCGCGATTGATTTTCTGGCGATCTTTTAGGTAATGCTATTTTCTTCTACCATACCCAAAAAATACATTCGAATACATGAGAAACATGCCATTTTTAACCTTTTGATTAGTGATGGGGGCACTGACAGCTTGTCGTCCTTGTTTTGTTTAAAGCGTATCAACCCAACAAGCCCGACAAAACGCCTACAGACCCAGCTTCCTGGATTGCAATAGAATGTGAAGCGGCCGAGAAGTTCTCAGCTACTGGGGCACACAAACAGGATGTTCCTTTCGCTGTGTATTCAAACTTCAACTTCATGAAAACTGAGTTGGAAAGCGGGTGGTTTGCCATCCAAGTAGTCCCTGATGATAAAGACGATTACGGGCAAAAGAAGTTGACTAAGGTGTGTTGGTGAGATAAATGTAATGACGGTGTCAGGATCTGACTTGGACTGGTTGTTAATAGTTAATCCTTGTTAACGTTGGTCCTTCTTCGCTCAGGTATGTTTTGAAATAATTGATCCGCTGACCATCAACAAAGTTGTCGCAAATAAAGCAACATACTATTCAAAAATATCCGCGATACCGGATTGGACTAAGCCCGAATTAACTGAAACTGTTCCTGCGTTTACCATCTGGATTGACGAATCACAAGCTCTAAGAAAATACGAATTTCAGTGCGCAAAATCAGATGAGTATGTACCGTTTACCGGATTCATCGTCAAAAATGTTAGGTAAGAATTTGTGTCTGTTCGGATGTAGTTTTTTTTTTCAGCACACTTACAAATATATTTTGTTTGTGTCAATTTAATTCTGTTGCTAACTCACTGACGCGGGACAAATTGATACAGAGTGATCGAAGTTACGAGACTTTCCATGGCTTTTATCCAATGATATCTTGTCTCGTTGAATAAAGAAATTTTATTTCACAAATGTTCATGATGAAAATTAAGAGTCAATCGTAATTCATTCAACAGAGAAATAAGCATTGTTGCCTTATAACTCCACTTTAGATTTACGTACTACACAGAAGGTAATTCCCAGACGTTTAAAGCAAAAGGAGATCATTATATCGAAACAGGAACTGCATTCCGCACTGAAGTGAAGAAAGATGTGATTAGTGGATCGGTGTATGCTAAAGGCACGGCACCGTCTGTTACATTTACGGACGTAATGGCCTCATACGGTTTGAAGCCAAGCTCCCTCCCAGATTTCTTTGTGAATGCTTTAAAGTAAGTAATTAATCTTAACAGTGTTATAAAATCTTGGTTTCCTTGTGTCTCAATTTAACCTTTCCTTTCACTTATCAACTCAAAATACAGGTTTTTAGCTCCAAACTAGGCTCTAGATAGCAAGATAACTTTGGTTTTATCAACGGAGTTAACGAGGAAAAGTAGCCATCGTAAAGAGTTCCTACGCTGACTTTTAGAGCGCCACCCCTTTGTCTGAGCGAAACTCTGGATAGTGTGTAGCGGCTCTTTTTCCTGCGTCGTTCAGAATCTGATTAGATTATCCTCGCTCATTATTCTCTATTAACAATTTATACAACACTCTGAATATTGCCTTTTAAAACTTTCTTTATCGACCATCTATTTGCTGCATAATGTATTGCCTCCTGAGAATAATTGATATCTTAGTGGTCCACATGAGACATGCAAACGTTACTTCTGAATCTTTTTATTTCCACAGAGGAATTGGTCTGTGGGATTTCAGCTTAAAGCCAGCGGAATTTGTAAGGAAGCTCGCAAAGGGTGGAGTAAACAGATTTACAGCCTCAATCGATGCGGGCGGTGTCCCAATTCATGTTGAGATAATAACTGGAATCAGATTTGGAAGACCCGCTTTTGCTGTCGGGTTTGCCTTTGATCGGGAATCGTTTGGAAAAGTTGCTGAAAAACTGTCCGGAATCGGAGTGGATTTCCTGGACAAACTTGGCTTTGAGTTAGAGGTAATAACAACAATATTGAGCAATTATGAAAGTGTAATGCATTATAAATTGGTGAAGGAAATGATCATCGAGCTCTGTGATTGAAATATTTTTGTTTTGTACTTTGCCTTTTAGATTGGGGTATCATTCTGCCCTCCAGAGAGCCTTGGATTTCAGGACGTCTATATTGATGCCGAAACACAGTTTTCGAAAGAACCGCTGCACAGTTTTGTCATTGCAAGTGTTCCAAGAGGTAGGTTTGCTTATTTAGATTCCAAAAAGTTCGGCTTCATGAAGAAAATCCAAACCATAAAATGAAGTGATAGGGTTCTGAGAGACTTCTTAGCAAACATGAATGTTTAAAAATTCATTCGATCTTTGGAAGAAAATGAGAGTGGCACCTTGTCCTAAGATAGAATACATTGTTAGCTTTAGCTTATGAAGTGTGGCTCATGAAGAAACGAATTGAACGTTCGTGATGCTCTCTTGGAGCTCTCACTGCTAAGTGCAATTTATGGAGTAACCAGTGAGAGCTTTTTGTTTCAAGGGCAGTCTGTTTTCTACGGTTCTGTTCCTACCTCTTGCCAATGCCAAAAAAATACTTTTTTTTTTTTTAAATGTAGCACATTGCATTAAAAATATATCGTACTCAGCGGTATGGTTATGGTAAATCTGCGTATTTTGGCGAGAAATCAATGCTATCGGTTATGAATGATATAATGATGTACTTTTTCTACAGGCATTTTCGCTGCAGCTCAAATCGTTTTACCAAAAGACTGCAAAGGCAATAAATTCTGTGAAATTGTTAAGATGATCGTAGGGCCAACCGCCAAGTGGTACATAACAGGTCACTTCCAGTGGAAAAATATCCGAATTGCAACGGGCTTCGCAAATATCCGCATTTTCGGTGGCCTGTATTTTCACAAACTAGAGCTGTATGTCGAGGTAAGTTACAGCTGTAGAATACTCCATAAATTCAACATGTTTCTCATCTCCCTCCCACTTGTTATTGTAGTAATTTTCAGTCGAAATGAAGGGTTTTACATTGTACCTCTTGAAGACATTGAAGTAGAGATTTCAGGACATCGCGCAGAATGCCGCGACATATCCCGAACTTTTAAGACTGACCAGCGGTAAATTTAAAACAGAATTGGCGAAACGCGAGCCACACAATAGAGAAAATGGCTTGAAAATCACAAGAGGGGTGGATGTTTTTCTTGTTTTCACTAAAATCGCTTTGAATAAACCACTTTTACCATATGAATTTCAAAGAAGAGAGATTATAGAGGCCCCCTGTACCTTTGCTGTTGCTTTAGGACGTCTAGAAGGCATATCAAAACGGGTATAAAAGCTCGCTTTTTTGCATATATGCTAGTATGGGAATAGCCCCTGGCCTACTTATGGCGTAATTAGGTGAAAGACAAAAACTCTTTTGCTGTTTTACCATACGGTTATTTTAACTTAATTGTCAGGGAAACCTTGGGGGGGGGAAGGGAGGGGAGAAGAAGGAAAGAAAGAGATAGTTTTGCGGGCCTTGGAGCGACAACAAGGATCTGGGCGAAGAAGCTTTTATTGTGATAGAGTGCAAATTCTCACAACGCACAAAAAAAGTAAATAAACGTCCCTATTGGCCGGTCAAAAACACGCCACATTCTATACTTTGGTTTGAGCGAGAACATTTGATTCAATTAATTACCGAGAACTGTGAATGAAAAGCTCAAAATTTACGGGAAAAATGGAGAAAATCAAAGCCAAATGAACTAAAAAAAAAAAATAAACACAAAAACAAAAATTCTCTTATTTACGCACGGGCGTGCATAAATAAAGATTTTGTTCATAGCGGCTCAATAGGACTTATATAGGACAAGCACGCTGGCTATGTTAAAATACATAATAGGACCATGATTCCTCACTCTTATCCAGGCTGATTGGAATGCTACGACCAAACATATCAAGATGGGATTCCGTGCAGACATCAAGATTCCAGTGAACGGTGACATTTATCGCGATGGTATCAAAGCACCGAATAGCGAACTGTTTCTGTTCGGTGTGTTGGAATACGATTTCTTACAACAGGTGGTAGCCGGGAAATTAGGCATGAGAGGAATATGGAGGAAGGCTTTCGCCATTCCATTTCTCGGTATTGGTAATATTTTCCTCGGGTAAGACTAAGTGTCGCAGCTCACAAAGCTACGGCTTTTGATTCCAGCTATTAGGATTGAGATTAGTCAATAGAATTAAAAAGTAAAATAGATGAACAGTAAAATGAATCCAGGCAAGCGTCGACGGAACATGAACCTATTACTCTCTGTCACGCGCTCGGCGCTACTATAAACTGAGGCACGAACCCTCGAATTGGAGCGAGGCAACTTCATTTGGCTCTTCACTACGGCCACAGTCGGTATTGCGGTAAGGTTAGATGTATTTTTCGCATCTAGCTATTCACATATTTTTATCGTTTTAAAAGAAATCGCCTCACACAGTTGCTTGCCGAGCTCGCACGCTTCATCCGTTGTGTTCTTTCACAAGCTTCCTTTCGTTTTGAAACCTTGACACGGTTTATTGTTCAAGATATCCCGCCTCGTTATTTAATATCTTACGCTTTCTTGTGTTTACCTTGTCCACTAAAACAACATAAGTCGCTATTGAGCAAACTAGAATAATTTGTTTTGCTTTAAAGCGTTTCATGAGCGTGCCTTCACCTTTAGTTCCCAATTTTTAACGCTGATGTATGTTATGCTCTAAGCACTTTGCGTTTGCATTTAATTCCTAAGAAATAATAAAATCTTTTGATGTAAGGTTGACATATCAAGTTGGGGTGCCATTTCCAGTCACTGGTGTCCAGTTTGGAATGCGAATTGAATTTGGATATGACTGTTTGATACCAGCAGACTTTAATAACGATGTAAGTAACACTACATCATTTTGCATAAAAACAGCTATGCAGTGTCGGCATTTGGAACAAAATATTCTAATGGTTCAAAAGATATTCAAATTGTATAACTCAAATACTCCCTAAAAGCACTTTCATCTAAGTCTGAGATTTAGTAAAAAAATTTAAAAGTAACCAATCAACATACTAAAAGTGTCTGATCACGAGTATTGACTTTTATTTTGATTCTGATGCATTTTTCCTAGGTTGTCTTATTCTTACACACTATGTTGTTTAGTGTATGCAAATCTGCTTTTGTTTTCTTTGCCTTGTCGATAGGGTCATTGTTTCGGTGGAAGTGGCTATTTTGGAATTGGAAAGCCTCAGTTTTTTTATGCCAGCATAACAGCATTGACTCTTGGGAAAATCATTCGACTTCTAGGATTGAAATTCCCGCTTCCGCCTCCAATTGCACAAACTGGCTTCCCAGAAGGCGTCGAGGTAAGTTTTGAGAGAAGTCGTCTCACAAAACCACAGCTCTCCGTGATAATTTTTTTTTTCATCCTATGACCAAGGGAAGCGTTGAGTCTGAAGAGGTTCCTTTAATTTTAAAATCAGTAGGGCAGAACAGGCTTCAAAAATCGGAGGGAGGCTACTTCTAGGGAGACTGTTTATTTATGTTAAAATACGTAAGTCTGAGTGAAAATAGAGAGTTGAAAAAAGGCATGAAACGATATCATAGAATCCACCTCATGAAATTGATTGATCGGCCGGTTCCTTTAGACGTAGAATTTTAACCTCTCTTATCTTTGTCGCACCAGCTTAGCGGCGCATTGAATTGGTCTGTCAGCGATAGTTCGAGTCATCAATGGATTCTGTACCTTTCTGCCGATCAAGTTTAATTGTCAAAATAAAAGCATCCCAATCTTATGCAAGAGATACACTACCTCAACTAACATTAGTTCCCCTGGCCAAGTGGATTTCCTTTAATCACCGACCCACGACGGCGGTACACCATGGCCAGCATGATTGAAATTTTGGTCCCTTCAAAATGTATTCCTAAAATCGTAATTCCTTTTTTCTTTTTTCAGGGCTCATATTCAACTGACAATGTTGATCTGCGAATCGCAGGTGGCCCATACATCTACAAAGGATTTATGATCAAAGGACGAGTCAATATTCTGGGATGGGAAATATATGCACACATCAAACTATCAGATACGGTAAGAAACTTTCAGTTGCTTGTTCCTTTTTATGGCTGTTTCCAACGGAGTATTTGTGATTTGGTTCTTGAAGTAAAATGGCTGGCAAATCCAACAGCAGTCATCTACTTTCGGTATGTAGATATTAGAGAACTGGAGACAGCTGCTTGAGACCTTTCTATCACTTAAACGCTCATTGTTTAAGGTCCTTTTTTATAAGTCATAGCTTGGCCGATACTTGAAATTTCTAAGACTTCCGTATTCCAATAAGTGCCTCTCCTCCACTGCTGCTCCACACTACAGCCACAGCTTAATTACCACGGAATCTTTTTACAGCCTTGTAATGATCAACTCCACATGTCGGGACCGATAGTTCACCCAAACTCTTTAATATCGTTTACAGGCAATTTTTGTGGACTTGAAACCTGACCCGATCAATATTTTGGGCATTGCGAAAATTACCCGCAGTCCCTCCCAGCAAGATAAAGGACCTTGGTTTTATGTTGACGCAAGGAAGACTCCAATTTTTATAGAGGTGAGTCGATGCGAAGTTTTAATATGATTAATTACAATAAAATATGATATTTCATAGTGAAAACTCGCAAGTCTATGCTTTATTTGTCAGACAAGAATATGCCTGGGTTTCGAGCTTATTTAAAAAAAATGCTTAGCATGGGCCTGAAGAACAGCAACAGAAACTTCGAAAATAAGAAAATAAATAAACAAAACACACCAGTACATGAATTTAGCCAAGGCCCAAGAGTGTTTCTTCAATTCAAGAGTCGAATCTTCTCCTATATGTGCATGACTTCGCGTTATGGTCTTATACAATTTTTTGTATTTGCCAATTATATTGTCATGGGCAGATGAACTTTGCTATGGATGTGCGGCACGTTGTCAAATAGGATGCTTTATTTTTTTATGCGCAAGAGTTTGGATTGTACAGGTACTAATGAACAACGCTCTTTATCACCAGGCTTACATCGAGGGTTACACAGAACTTCTAGGGATTTCAACTTATTGTCGGTTGAACTTAACAATGACAAGGATGGAGCTACTGATCCAAGGAAATTTCCTGAATCTCATCAAAGCAGAATTGTTCGTATTTGCAGCTTATAGCTACCTTTTCCCAAGTGCCGAGTTCTACGTCAGAGTTACAGTCGACCTAAGTGGAATAAACAACGTAAGTAATTTCCTTTGTGCTCCCTTCCTCAAAATTATCTGAAGACCTACCTGCTTACTAAAAAAATAGTTGGTTTAGAGTCACTTTCACTATGTTTAGTTATTCCCCAAGTTATACGTGCAGCGCAACAAATTTGTTTCTGAGGTCGTTCCTAAGCCAAAAAGGTAACTGTTAACTCAGATTGCGTTTTTCCCTACGCAAAGAAAATAACGAAGAAAACCTTTTTTATCTACTGTTACTGTAAACTTACGTCCGTTCGACGGTGCAGATTTTAATAGACAGGTTCCTGAGTCTGTGTTGTTTGCATTCAATATTCACGAAAATTTTCTGGTCTCGTAAAAAAATCTAACTCTACAAATTTATGCAAATTAACATGGGCACTTTGGTATCCTTTTAGGTACTGCGCTACGCGATACCTGTGTATAGGAAATCACGTGAACGCAAATGCATTTCACGACTTAAAGGCACCAGTAATGATTCAAAAGTTCTGTATTTTTTTTGAAACATTCAAAATATCGATCAGGGCGGGATTACCATCGAGCGCGAAATGCAAGAGCAGTACGTTTATACCCACTTTTGTTCATAACTTGATTCTTAACAAAAGCTATTTTGTGAGAACTCGGTACACAATCGACCTACTTTCCAACGGCGAGGAAGATTCTGTTGTTTCCTCTGAGTTGCCATAGTATGCCATAACTATGAGATACAAACGTGGCTTAATAATTAAGAATTAGAAAAAAATTTCATCCATCTCAGAAAAAGTTAAATTTTAAGACAGCGGAGAATAAACAGCCCGTAATGCATTATGTGACCTACTTTGGATCCGCCATTGGCCAATCATGGATGAGATGTTTCGTTGTCTATTTTTCCAGGCATTAGACGCAGCCGCCAAAGCTGTCAAAGGGGCTTTCGATGCTGCTCAGAAGAAGCTCTCTGATGCAAGAAATAAAGTCATCCAAGAAAAGGAAAACTGCAAAAGAAAAATGGCGCTCAAGTGTGATAACTGTAAAAAGCTGAAATGCGCTCAAGCTGAACGAAATTGTAAAGGATGGTTGGATGCCGCCGGAAAATGGATTGGTGGGGTAGTAAATGCTGCTGGTGAGTCGCTCTCCTTAAGTTCTTTTATAGGGCTTCTGAAAATTTGAGTTTTATTTCAAGAACCAACATTGATGACAAAGTATTTCGTAGCACGAATGAATAAAGGGGGTAAGTTTCTAAAGAAACTGTGGTGCTGCGTCGATGGGAGAGTATAACAGGGTAATTTAGCATTATCAATTGAGTTTATAACGTTAATTTGCCACCGTAAAGAGTTTAAAAGTTGGCGTTTCGAGTGTTACTCCTTCGTCAGTGCGACAGACGAAGGGCTAACACTCCAAACGTCAGCTTTTAAACTCTTTGCGGTGGCCAATTAACTATATTAGTTAATTGGCCACCGCAATTGATAATACTAAATACTAAATTACCCTATTTTAGAATAGAATGAGCTAGTGGCCCTCGGTTAAAGTTTCCCTTGAATGACAACAGCTGAGTAGGGCATAGTAAGGAATTTATTTCAAGGGAAGAGGGGGGTGGGAGGTGGTCACGGTTACGAATGTCCGTGCGTCTAACGTGGAATGATTCATAAAACCGCTCTAATTTCGTGATTAGGCGGGCTTGCAGTGAGGACCGATGAAATAGTCATAGAATTCTAGTGCACATCTGGCACCAGGACAGATTAGCACGTTTTCACTAGCTAAATTACAAGGTTTTTATTTTGTTGAATTTCAAAAAAAAAATTATCCCACAAATGGAGGAAAGGGATTCGTCATGGGATCCATCATTGCTATGCCCTTGGCTGAAGTTACAGTGACAATAGGGCAAGGCCCAAAGGAAACTGCGCTTATCTTTTACTGTGTTTTGTTTTTTTTTGTTCTTATTTATGTCTCTCTTTATGTTTTCGTTCCTTTTCTACATAACGTAAGCCGTGAAACTCCTCCTTCTGAACTACCGAGGACTTTTTTTTAAAATTTTTTTGAACCAATGTGATTCATCAATGTGCCTATTGATCTATTTTGTTGACTGTCGTATTAGCCTTAGAACTAATTTACTTAACCTGATACAAATTGTGCGATAACTTCATTTCAGGTAAATGGATTAAGAAGACTTTCCAGAAGATTGGGAAGGCTTTAGCTCCAGTAAGTTTCTTCAATAACGGGTTGCCATACAAACCTGGTGCTATTTTTGTAAAAAAGTTATTAATATATATGATCTTTATCATCATCAACGTTGTTAAAATGTTAGATACTACGTTGTGTTACAGATTGGAAAGGCCATCAAGAAGTTTTTTAAGGGCTGGAAAAGGAGGAGAGAAATACAAGATATGCAAAATGAGAATTTTGCCCTTCACATACGGAAACGTCGATTTATTAGCAAAATTATCTGCGAAGGCCTTGTAGGGGGAGGGTGCAAAGGTCAGTTGAAATATTGTAAGGTTACTTTTAACGCTTCAACTCTTAAAAGGAATAAATATGTACTTTCTTCTTACCATTTTATATGTAATCTTGCAAACAGGTTATAAGAACAGATGAGTATATTAATTTGAAGACTTTGTCTGGACACAACACCAAATTCTCCTGTCTCATTTCTAAGCTAATTTCTTTTCATAACATCAATCCCTTTTTTTCGCAAAAAGGTGATGCAAAGTGGGAAATTATGATTATACCAAAAAAATGGTTGACAAGACGCATGTTGTTGTTGTTGTTATTATCTAGTTTTTGTGCCAACGTCAAAAGGTAAGCTTTAATGATTTTTCCGGATTAACAGACCGATCTATTGGATGCTAGAAACTGTACTTGAAAATGAGACGTTGTTAGGAAACGTTCAAGTTGTTTTGTTTTTGGTGTTATACGTGACGCTGGGCGTTTCATGATGACATCACAAGTAGTTTACACCCGCATTTTACGATAACTGTCCAAATGTTATCAAATGAGAGGAAAATGCGAAAAGTTACAGTAGAATAACACTCATAGGGCTAACTCAGAATAAGTTGTCTATTTTTTCTATACTATAGTTCTGTAAACTTGGAACAGCCTCATTTTAACACTGAGTGGATGTATAATTCTTTTTCATTTATAGCTTGCAAGCTGTGGAATAAGCTACCGTTATTCATTAAAAACTCAGATAATCTTAAAGTGTTTAAAAAGGCTCTCCATTAGTTCAACTTAGAATTTTTACACTAGTTTTTGTCGTGCATACGTTATAAGGTTATTTTATCACTTTTATTTTTTCTCTCATCTATTTTATTCTTTGCTATCATGGTTTGTGACTTTTCTAAATGTTCATGTCAAATTTAGCTCTTTTTAAATAATTCATTTTTTATATCCTGATACATCTTTTTTTTTTCCTTAGCGGTTTCTTCCCTCTGCTATGGCTCTTGTAAGGCCGTCGAATTTATCGGAAAGGGTCTCTGCAACGTACTAGACATCGCTGTTGGCTTCTTAAAGTTGACTGAGATGGCTTGTAACTGGGTCAGTAAAGCTATCAACTTTATCCTGACTAAGCTGTTTAGAGTGCACAGGTAAATGAAATGGATTCTGAGCATAGCAGATGTTAGCTGCCAACATATTATATCATCAGTTAGTCCTTAAGTTAATTTGTACTGCTAATCCCTATATGATACTGTAAATTTATTTATTACAGTAACAGTAAATTTGTTCGTTAACAAACTCATTAGATTACAAGTAAATTGTAAACGTGGCATCTACGTGGCCTTCAATAACCCATATTTCCTTTTCATTCTTTATGCAGCATCTTATTCGAGTTTGGACTTGCTGCTTACGCAGGTGGTGGACACAGTAATTTCATTTTCAACGCAGCAGTCGATCTGACCATATTTGGAAAACGCCTTTATCTAGCTATTGGTTTTAACCTGAACGATCCTGTAGGAAGTCTAAGGGGTGGGGCCGATAAGGCTACTGACTGGTACAAAGACAAGATGAATCCCAAGAACCCAACAGATACGGAGAAAAATTACTATGACAATCCAAATCCATTTGCCGACTTTGAGATGTCAGGTAACGAGGGTAAAAAAATTATAAACAATCCAACTGATTAAGAATAATCGTTTCTTCATTTCCTTTCTTTCATTTTTTGTATTGGAAGAGTCTCCCTGGAACTTTGAAAAAGCATTCTCTGGATAATAAGTGTCTTAGTTGTACTTGATTGTAAACGTGATGTGCGATTGAAAGAGTCATTACTTATAATAAAGCTAATCTGAATTTCTAACAAAACATTTTTTCAAGTTCGCTTTTATTAATTCTATTTTATGCCAGGTGCTGTAAAAAAATAATTCATTTCGAGCTCAAGAACTTTCTCTTTTAACAAATTAACAAAAAATTCGTGGATAAAACGGCAATCATTCTATTAGCAACATTATGTAGGTCTTAGATGAGAAAAACATAAGCTGGAAACATCTCGTTATCTTTTTTTGTACTTCAGAAATATTCTTAATAGAGAATCAGCAATCGGCGACAGATTACATACGCGGCCCTTGTCTATTCGTGGACTCCAAGGAGGATGGTTCTCATATTAAAGTAACTGGTTGCAATGCAACGAATGAACGGCAGAACTGGGCTTACACCCTCAAAGGGCAGATAATGGTAAGTCTTTACGATCCTTACGCTGCTAATTTGCTGATCGCACGTAGTGGAGGCAAAACCACAGAAGAAAGCCAAAATGAATTACTTTATAACTAATGGTTAATTGTGCTACAAGCTGCAATTATCACTGAAAGAGACCTCGGTGGAATGGCGTTGCTCACGAAGATCTGACTCATTTCACGTGATATTTAGGCTAAGGAGGTACACCTCCTCACCCTCCCCTCCCCGGCTTTTCTACTTGTTAGATATAATTGTGACGATGCTTGTTTGATTTATGAACAGAACTCATATTCAAGGCTATGCATTGACACAAATGGAGCAACTAAGGGATCAAAGCTTGTTCAAAGGAAATGTGATCCGAGACAAGACGATCAGAATTTCCAGTGTGACCTGACTGTCAGGTCCATCAAGAGAAGAAGGGCAAATCAGTGTTGGACCGTGGGTTAGTTATCTATGTGAAATACAATGAGAAATGTTTCGGATCGCTTTGCTTTCGAGAACATCCTTGTTATTTTTCTCGGATACATTGGGCCTGAAAGAGTTAAAAGTAAAAATTAAAACAATGTACACGACATGGCACTTTCTCTTTTAAATCATGGTACCGTCCGGTAGGTTTCGTTTATTTTGTCTTCAACCACATTGCCTTTTTACCAGGTACACCTCAAAACCCCAAGAAGTCGTGTTTTGCGGTAAAATTTTCGGGTGAGGCTCTGGCTGAGTATTTTTGTCCACAGGTTCCACAAGCTTGGATGGCCCAGGTTCATTAGTTCACCTCGGCTCCTTGAAGTGCATTCACCCGCAAGGCGGTGGAGATAATGTAGGAGAGGGAACTAAGCTACTTATTCATGGCGGGTGCAGTGAAAGCAGGTAAAATATAGTTGGATTTGCATGCATGTGACACCAACCTTTTGATTAAAACAATCACCCTTTTTCTAACTAACGTCATTTACTTGCTTACCATTACAATGTGAGGAGCAACTAAGTAAGAGAATGGTCGAAAAATATAATCAGACATTGCAAAAATAGCAGTGATGATGATGACATATAGACATATGTTATCATATTAGGAAAGAAAGAGTGGTTCCCCTCTTATTCAATTTAAGCAGGAGCTTCATGGAAAAAGGAAACAATCACTCACTAATCTGATCTGGCATTCTTTTCGATCAGATTAGAGTTTGTTCTACAAAACGGTAATCTGAAACACACCAAGAGTGGCAAGTGTGTAAAACCAATGGGAGCAGTTCAAGATGGTGTTGTTCTTGGTTTGTACTCATCTTGTGAAGGACATCAGTTTAGTTTCACTGCTGGAGGATCCTTACAACATGTTGGAAGCAAAAAGTGTGTCAATCCAAAATCAGGAGTAAGTATATCGCATTTTTTCCGTTTAAGACTTAAGTGGGTGCATTTTAAAATGGTCGTCCTCATCGTTTTCGCCGTCGTCATAACTACCACGAGTCTTGGAAAATTTTTTGAATGCATGACTGAATATGAATCATGGTTTTTTTATGTTCTTTAAATAAACCAGTTCAGTGCCAAGTGGCGGTCACGGTAGTACTCAGCTGCGGTATATTCATCTCTGAAACGAATGTCGGTGACTTGTGAATAACTTTCTTTTCACAATTGCTCTCAAAAAGAAAACCACCAAAAAGTAGTACATGAATGTAAGTGCACACTGCAGCTCACAGGAGAGCTTTTCATTGAACGGTACCGGTTTCTCTCCCACACGCAGCAATTAGTGATGCAACTTATGGCTTGCGACCATTGAGGACTTCAACTGCGCATGCTCCTACACCAGCGAAGGCCATAATCTTCAGCCTACCAACCAAACAACGAGTAATCTAGATGGAGTAACTTGATTTTCTGCTCGGCTCCTAAAGAAATCGGAGGATGACAAAGTTACAATAATGATTTTTTGTTGCCTGTACTTTCCCTCCTTAAGTGACTCTGTCTCTGTTTATTAATTTCATATTTGAATCAATGTTTCCAGGCAATGATGCCACCCAACAACGAAGAACTAGTGCTCAATAGCAAATGTGAAAACAGCGACAGCTCGTTCACCAAGGAACATCTCCTGTTCAGTTTTATTCCAAGTAAGTAATCCTTGTTTTCAGCCATTGAATCTCTACTATTTCAGTTTCTTTGGTAGCTAAAATTTACTTAGAGCTCCTTTTTAGTTCTCTGCGTCAATGTAAAAAACGAAGCGAAATAATTAAGCATGTGACGTTTTCTTATCAAACGAGATAACTCTATGATAGTCCACTATCCCCTACGAAGGAAAGGTAGTTACTTCGCAAATTGAGCCTACCATTTTGGTTTTGTTATCCATTAAGGTTCTTTTATCCTCAAATCAACTTTCTTTCTAATTAACAGCTGACCCATTCGTTCGCCTCGACAAATGCACCTATTTTGATCAAGCTAGACTGGATCAGCGGTTTGAGGTCGTGGACGAACCAATTGTCAGTGTGTGTAGCAAGTTCTCTAAAAGTGAGTAGTAACCAATGATACCGTGATCTTATTTGCAAACATGGCCGAGGAGCAAAAGACAGCAACGACTGCATAGGTACAGATTTTGTATAAAAAAGTCCTTAATGTCATAAAAAGAAAATTGACATGATCACTTTTTTCTAAGAGAAGCTAATGTACTTATCACCTACTGTGTCCAGATCCATAAAGATATATTTTCTACCCTTTATGAAGTTCCCATGGCATTTTGAAAAGTAAAAAACACTACACTCTACTCTAGCATTGACTATACACAATAATGGTGTCCTCAAATTTAAAGAACACAGGCTAGACATCTTCCCAAATAATGTCAAAAATAGGAGAATGCGGTATCGTGGGGTCCGTAAAATGATTGTACGAGGCTCTATTAATCTACGTCTCTAGTCTGGCAACAAGGGCGTGTGCAAAAGAATTTATAATCAATGAATAAATAACTTTAAGAGAGCTGAGAGACGCTCGCTATATTTTTCTCTCTTACATCTAGATCTTGCTTTCAAAAAGAAAACAGAACAATCGAGTACTGCCTACAATGGATTCAGTAGCCGAGCTGTCGATGAAAATTATTCCAGTCAATATAATGACAAGTCGTGTACTCACACCAACAAAGAACAGAATCCGTGGTGGAGAGTTGATCTTGGACGAGAATACATAGTGACAGGTAAGATACCTATAAATAATATGGTTACAAATGAAAAACGCAAAGTAACTTTGGTCCCTTGCTCGACGGGACTTGGTCAGTGGTTAGCATTAGCATGTTTGATCGTTAAATTTTTCAAAAGCATTGTTCTTTGAAAAGACACCATTTGAGATGGTAAAATATTCCGTTAGTCTCAACATCTGGATAAGCATACTCGTACAAGACCACACTGGTACAATTAACTCTAAGTATAATTTAACTTTTACCCGTACGAACCTTCCCTTCTATTTCAATAATAATCAAGTTTTCCCAATATAGCCGAAATACACTCTGAGTTGTTAATAAAAATACTAAATTTGTCGCTAGTATCATAACAGAATATGGTGGCCTTACTCCGAACGATCTAAAGAGCTTTTTAAAGGCTAGTGAACCACGATTAAGCTTCCTTAAAATTCTCAAGTTCGTCAATTGAAAACCGTTCTACTTTTCTCCATGCAAGGCATCCTTATGCCATCTTTGTTCACCATTGCCTCTTAAATATTCTCTATCTCGCCAAACTATCATACTATGGTCTTCCTTTCATTGAAGGAACTTTTACGCAGCGCAAAATTGGCCTAATTATTGTTATCACAATCCTAGCTGTCAATCCTGTTCTCTTTGTCGGATGTATTCTATTTTTCCCTAGCGATATAAATCTTTTTGTCCCGCGAATGAATACTGTCATAACTACTTCACAGTTACATTTATTTTGATTCTTTTTCTCAACCAGACGTAATGATAGTAAATCGTTATAACCACTTCGAGCGTCTTAAGAACTTTGACGTCAGAGTCGGAGTCAATAAAGATAACTTACAAAATCCTACATGTCATGACCGCGTGAGGATTGTGGGCCAGGGAGAAGCTCTCAGGGTGCAGTGCGATCCACCAATCCCGGGACGATACGTGTCAGTACAGATGTTTGGAGAAGGAATTCTAACCATGTGCGAGGTTACTGTATACTCCAGAGTGGGTGAGTGCATTTAAGATAGTGAAACACCTTTGGTCGTGATCATAAGCTCATTTAGCCACTTCTACGCCGACAGGAAATTTGATGGTAAGTGGAATTGCCATAGGAGATGTTTTCGCTAGAAAAAGCCAACCAAATTTATTTCCAAACACATTAAACTTTGACCTTTAACACTTTTTTTATGCTTTTAAAGGTGCACTAGCGGATCTTTGTCAACTGGACAATGGCGGCTGCTCACAGGTTTGTTACAACCTGTGTAACCTGAAAGTCAAGTGTAGTTGTTGGCCTGGTTACACTCTGGCTTATGATGGAAAAACTTGCATGGGTAAGATATAAATTTTTTATTTAATTTTTTTCGATGTGCCTATTTCCTCTCGTTGAGAAAAAAAGGCTCTGGATGTGTTTCTCTTTCCATATATAACTTTCGCTCGAGATTTTCGACTTTTAACCGTTGAATCTGTAACTTCGCCATGGTGGCTCCGGGGATATTCAGTGTCTTTCCATCACTTACTCTTCCATATAATGTCTTTAGATAAAAATGAATGCCAGGCTAACAATGGCGGTTGCGATGTCATCAATGGCGTATGCATCAACACTCCGGGAAGCTATCATTGTGCCTGTAAGATTGGTTTCCAGCTTAAAGAGAACAGTGAACTCATTTGCGAAGGTAAGAAATAATCAGCATGCAACAAACTTCTACGAAAATGAACTTAAATTTTTGGCACTTTTGATAAAGATAATGGGATTTAATTCTCTTAGTGCAGACCAAAATATTCAAGCAAGGAAAATTTAATGAGGTCTACTTCTTTGTTCAATAAAAAATAGAATTCTTATTGCGTGCCGGAACGCTGAAACGCTTTCTCCGATATGTGGTTTACTCACTTGGACATCCAGAGGGATGGGTCACATAAACTTCTCCCCAGATATTCTCCTTCAGTCGAGATTGCGGAAGTTACCTTTTCAATTTGCAGTGGAGACTGAGCAAAAGAGGCTTTTTGAGGTTCCAAAGTCTCATGCTTTATACAATCCCAACTTATTAACCTTAGAACGCGAAGAGTACCTCTGGAATAAACTGTACATGACTGAGAATTATATTGTATATCTTGCAAGCTTAATTTACTGATTACAAGCTTTTTTTCTTTCTCATTCCATACAGACTTCAACGAATGCAACCTGAACAACGCGGGATGTGAACACATTTGTGCCAACAATGAAGGAAGCTTTAACTGCGAATGTAGAAAGGGATTTAAACTAAAGGATGACAAATATGGATGCGAGGGTGCGTAGGATTGTATATGAGGACTGTATCTCTTAATGAATACGCGCTGTAGTCGGTTTTTGAATAGAAATTTGCGAAAGTGCGAGCCATAAATCGTGACGAAAACAGGATCGTTCACGGATTTACTAAACGGACCTTGAATCCGGTCAGTGCGAGATATTTGTAAATATTAAAAGCAGATTTATAGAAAATATTGTCATATTTCAAATCACATAATAATTTTGCTTTTCTTTGTGTGTATGCAGATGTCGATGAATGTAGTTTGCCTGAGAAGGGTGGCTGTGAATATAAATGCAGTAATTATGAAGGAGGATATTACTGTACTTGCCCGGCTGGTTATCGGCTGATGGACGATGACAAAGGATGTGAAGGTAAACCTTTATTTATGATGTAATCTGCAGTGTCAGTGACTCAAAAGGAAAAGGTTGAGACGCTAGATTTTATTTGAGGTGTAGGCTCGACATTGACTTGGTCATGAGGCAAAAACTGAAAATCTATAATTTCTATCATATATTTTTTTCAGTGTCAGTTTCAATAATATCAAGCGAAGTAAAAATATCAATATGTGCCCTGAAGTAAATAGCTTCTATGACATTTACCTAACCGTCTCATGGAAAAAACGTAAAAATTGTTGGCCGCCTGTCATCTCTTTCACCATTTCATCCATTGTTCTTACTTCCTTCTGGACTGTTTTGATTCGACCAGGCACTGTCTGACAACAACAGACATAGAAACAACTGAAAATCTTCTCTTGTCTAATTGTCAAATTTTTCCAGCTCATTCAAATTTATGTAAATAAAACATGTTTTAGATCTTATTGATCCGATAATTTGTTTCGCAGAAATTTACTGCCCAGCGCTGGAAGCTCCTTTCCGTGGCACCATCTCCCCGACAACCTGTACAGACGATCGTTCAAATATCAGGCGTAACACTGTGTGTACATACGGCTGTGTAGCTGGCCACAATCTCGCGGGCGGAAGCCAATCCTTGGTTTGCCAACTTGATGGAATGTGGCAAGGAACTGTTCCCTACTGTAAACGTAGGTGTTACTCATTCGATAGACATTAAAGATTTTTGCCTTTGGCCAACTGTTCTTTTTAGTCTTTACATTCGTCGACCCTGAGCTCTGACCGTGAAAGCAATCACGATTAAAGATAGCTTTGATTTGGTTTAAAAATTCTCAATAGTAGCCTTCATTCATTTGATCATCCAATCATATTCATACAATTCGTAGCGGTCATGTGTCCCAAGTTGACTGTACCAGACAATGGCGGAGTCATTCCAGCTTCATGTTCCAGAACAGGCGTTGAGTACGGAACACGTTGCGTATTCTATTGTGATGATGGTTATGAACTGAGCGGGCCCAGGTATTCAACATGTCAAGCTGATACTTCATGGAGTGAGATTGCGCCATTATCATGCGTGAGAGGTATGTTAATGTGGGAACGAGGAACACCATTAGGACTGCCACATTCCCGCGAACTTGAAGGAAAAGTGAAGTTTAATTCACCAAAAAGATTGAACCGTAATTTAGGAACTTTTGGTTTAGGTCTGAAGATAAGATTAAAAAAAAGAAACCGAAATAATTATCCCTTTGATAAGTGTGTACCTCCTTCCAGCTTGTCCGTATTCATGATGTCAGCCATAATAAAACTTCCGCTTTTTAATCTCACTTGATATAGATTAAAACCAGTCCTTAACGCACTCGCCTTTTCGGTTAAGTAGATTTTCGCCTGCCGCATAAAAGAATTATAAAAACATTTGTCAGCTATGGATGAACCAGTTATTATTTCTTTGCTGTGAGGTACATGGCATCTTAGAGAACATGATGATTTTTTTCCTAATAACCGAAGAGCACTTCATCTAACTTTATATTCTGTTCTACACTTTTGATTATTTGCGTGGGGTAAGAAACAGAAGAAAATATAAGACAACGGACTCCGCTGGTAAAGATAATGAGGACTTTTTAAATTTTATCTTTTCTCTCTTTCTCCTTTTAAAAGTTTACAAGGATCCATGGATCGCTTGTCCAATCGACAGAGTAGAAGAACTTGATCCAGACAAGTCCACTGTGGTTCTTGGGTTTAAGTGGCAGCTTCCTCGAACCAACATGAAGAACGTGAAAGTGTCGCCTAGCAACTACGATGAAAACTATCCATTTCCTGTTGGCAGACATCGCGTCACGTGGATAGGAACCAGTGAAAGTGGAACACAGAAGAGTTGTAGCTTCCACGTGACAGTGAATGGTGAATTTTAACCTTTTTTAAACTAAAACATTAGATTAATCTGAAAGGTACCCTCTGAAGAGAACGACCGATAACAGTCGATTCACAACTCTCTGCATCTAAAATTTATGGTTTTTAATGCAATTTTTGTGCTTTTTTGAAAAGTAAGATGAGCCTATGTAAATATTTTTTTCAGACGTGACGCCACCCTCCGTCCAAAATTGCCCGGCGTCCTTTTCCGATCGTACCAACTCTCTACAAAAGCATGTCACCTGGACACCGCCAACCTTTAGTGACAATGTAAAAGTAGTTAGTGAGTTATCCAATCGTCAGCCTGGATTCGAGATGCAAACTTTCACGTCTATAACCATACGGTATACGGCCTTAGACGCCGCAGGAAACGTTGCCTATTGCACCTTTAACATAACTCTGGAAGGTATGTGGTACTGGCAAGCTTTTATGCATCCAAACTTTCAGATTCTGATTGCATCATATTCGTAGGCTCAGCACTCACCCGTTACTTTCTTACTCGCGTAATCTGCTTTTTCTGCGTACCGTCTGCGCTGGGATAAATAGCTGTTTCCCACTTTCCTTTTGACCGTGGTTTTCGATCGACAGACAAATAAGTGACAATCGAGTTTCTTCATGCACAATCTCTATTACAGCCAGTTCTAGGCTATTTGAATCTCTGGAGTAGTTCCGAATTATTCTTGAAATGATATGAAATATTGTGTTCACAACTAATCATGGCTTCCCAGGTTCAACGTGCGTTACAATTGCTCACCCAAAGAACGGCATGGCTGCGAAGCTTGGCTTTTTCCTGCAACTGCGGTGTAATCCTGGATACTTCTTTAATCCACTTCCACCCGGACTTCCCCCTGGACAAATGATTATCCCTTTTTATCGGTGCATGGGCAACAAATGGGTTTCACAGAATGACAGAAAGTCTATACTGACTGAGTCCACAGATTGCGTGCGTAAGTAAAATATTCTGTAACGAAAGATGTATCATGTACTAGGCAAGGAGGGACTGGGATAAGATTTGGAAGGAGCAAGGTCGAACATGGGGACTAACTGTATCTTCTCAAGATACAGATATATATGTTTAGAGGATATGCCTCTTACTAACCGAGTTCAACGTCCGTCCTGTCCGAAATGGACTGAGCTTTTTCCGCTCGAATTTGTGGCCCAAGCGAGAAGTGCGCGAGTCATAAATCCCAGCGGAAAAGAAAGTTGTTTAACGCCAATTTTTAATACTATACGGATTGGAATCGTAATAATCTGCAACTTTATGGCCGAATAAGAAGCTGGCAACTTTTCCATTGAGAGATGGATGTTAAGCTATATACTATCATTAGAAAATTATTGTCTCAATGCTAAGAATAATCAGTACTCTCGAAAGTGTTCTGATTCATTGTCCTTTCAAAAGCTTGTTGAGGACCAAGACACCAGGAAAAGTCATTAAATAAGTGGGGAATACGATAACTACCTCTCGCCATTTTTTTTGAAATAAATGAACCTTATGTAAACTGGCCAATTACATGAGAACTAAATCAAATTTTTCTTTTCTTTTCCAGGTTATCAAACGTTCGTGAAAGGATCACCATGCCCCGATGGAAGTTTCAAACAGGATTTTGGTGCTACAAGCATCTGCTGTGAGTAAAATTACTAAGACTGAGAACAAAAGTCAGTACTCATCATTTCGTATTCTCTCGCTAAAAAAAGCACCAGAGAAAATTGGAGTGATCAAAAACATCCGCAGCTCCAAGTGTGGGGCCACGATACTAGCATGTCTTTCTCAAATAGGAATTATTTTCCATAAAAGACAAAGGGAGGTTTCATCTTTCATTTATGGTTGTGCCGGTATTAAATGCCACTGGTTCTAAAGGCTAAAGGATAGAAGCTTCCCTATACGTTTTTTTTTAGCTGGAAGCGGCTTAAGTATTGCCATGCTAACTTCTAAGAGTGATGAAGAACACTACCCTGTGTGCAGTAACCTCTCCGACATAACCAGTTGCGTAGCCTTTTGCCAAAATAGCATTCCTCCTGCACAATTGCAAGCTCTCAAAAAATAATTTTTACTTCCACAGAAGTTTAAATGAAATGGCAAATAATTTCGTCGTCAATGTCTCTTCAAGAATTAGTACCTGGGTTCCGAGACACCCGTAGCTTCTAAAATTCTTAATAAAATGCGCCGAGAAATTAATACTCGTGATGATGTACAAATTAAAATGATTATAAAAGAGCGACAGTGATAGTTACAATGCAGAGTCTCGGAAATAACTTAATTCAATTTTCCGAGTTTAAATGCATTTGATTGTCAGTTGAAGTACCGACGCATTGTTGTCTGCTCTGTTATTCTTAGTAAACTGTCCATCGGGAACGTACGCTGACACCAAAACCAAATCATGTAAAGAATGTACCCCTGGCTTCTATCAGGACGAGGAAGGAAACATGGGCTGTCTTCCATGCCCGAAGAACACATTCAGTGTCGCAAAGAGAGCTAAATCAGTTGGAGACTGCAAAGGTAGTTTTATGTATTTTCATATATGGTTGAATGAGTAACTAGCATGCAGAGCAAGCGTATTTTTAGCGAGCGACTGTTCGGTATTCTCGTGGGAAAAATTATAGCCGCCATCTTTGATTTTTACAGCAGCAGAAGGCTGGGGAGAAAAAGACGGCCATCTAAGCACTTTAAAAAGGTTTATCATAAGGGTCCTTTAGGAAAAATAAAATAAATTACAAAATTTTGCAACTGTCGGCGGATTCTTAACATTTATGGTCAGTGGCTCTCAGTTGATCATTTTTTTTACGTCTGACTTTTCAGCTGTCTGTAACCCTGGTTACTACTCTACTATTCATGGCGTTGAACCATGCGTTGAATGTCCTATGGACACTTATCAGGACAATGAACAGAGAACTCAATGTCACGCATGCCCAGTTGGAACACATACAGCCAGCACCGGAAGTACGTCACTGGAAGACTGCCTGTGTGAGTATTTCCTTAACTAAGCTTGGATCCTTTAAAAGTCGGCTGGAATAGTTCCTAACTAGAGTGAAAATAACTTCTTTGGTAGACACGTGTCTTCAAAAACACGAGGAGGTAACCAAGATATGTTTCGTGTACATGTCTGATGCAATAGGTTTAGTATGACATAGCGAGAAGTTTAATGCATAGTCGAGCATTGTCGACTAGTTACAAGCTCTTCTCCGATCCGGCTCTGCATCTAATCTCTTTCTAATCTACGAACTAAAAATGTATGACAATGCTCTAATCTGAGGAATCATCTATGTTTGTTTCCCCTTTGTCAGCTCCTGTTCGTATTACAGACATCATTCCATCACAGGATTATGCAACTTATGAGAATGAAGCTATTTCGCTTGCGTGCTACATAGCAGGAGACCCAACCCCAACAGTTTCATGGGGAAAAGTTGGAGGTAATATATATAACAAATATAAAACTAAAGAAGCACTGCTTCTCTCTGCTCTCATATTTCCTGCCACCATCTATCCCTCGGTTCGCATAGACTATATAGTGACTACAGTAATTTTCTATTTGACTCAATTTAAGACTCCCAGTTTCTTTAAAAACTCACGTTATGTTTCTTGAATCAGTCAAGGGTAATTACAATGTTTTTCACGATTCTTTATCAACTTTACTTCTTTAATTCGCAGGTTCTCTTCCTTCCATGGACCGACTCGCAATTACCAATATATTTGACCTGGATGGAAAGTTGGTCGGTGTAGAATATGTCATATCCACTGCTGTTGTGGCTGATTCTGGTGGTTATAAGTGCACGGCTACTAACAAACACGGTTCGGTCAGTAAGCAGGTCAGAATAAACGTCCAGGCTGGATCACCGCCCGGTATCGTGCCCCAATAGGTAATAAATGAGTTTTCTGTTCTTTTTCTTAATATGTCGTCTTAAGATCTACCATAATTAAATTATTTCATAATTTGGAATCTGTACCAGAGCTCGTCACGGAAATGTATGCACCAATGTCTGTATCCCAGCAACTGCGCACCTACATCTGTACTTCCCCCCTTCCCATAACCCAACATTAGTAAACTGATAACAAGTTACTTAGGGTTGATGTTGGGATAGAGGAGGGGTAGGTGCCACACCGCTGTCATGGAATTTCAATCATGGTACAAGTATCGTTTTGTAAATCCCAAACACCATGATTTTCTCCAAGAAAAAATAAATTGTCAAACATCTTTGATGTTAAAAAGTTCTTAAAAAGAATGTGTATCACTAACAGGCACAGCAATTTTTTTCCCGTAACTTGATACATTTGTTTACAGAGAATTTTAGGTGTTTGTCATTTCAATTTCTATGCCAGGGTTTCACTTTCGTAACCCTTTGCACACGGCCTGGCGAAGTGTTTATGTCAAGCTTTTTCTAGCTTTGAAGATGCATAACTATAGCAAGGAATTCGGGAATTTCAATATACAAGACCAATCAGGATGGTTGTAAAGCCTGCAAGCAGCCGGCTCTTTTCAGCAGCACTACAGCATGAACTGCGAAGCCTTCGAGATTTAAGCCAGCAAACGAAGCGAGTGTGCGCCATCTAGGAACCCGCAAGCTTCGCGGTTCGTGTGACAGCGCCTGTGAGAACCTGCATGCAGACTAGTAGCTGTGCATGGAGGAAACATCTTACACGTAGGCTAAACATCCTTAAGCAATTTTACCAATACTGTGTTGTGTTGACTGTGGTTTATTTCTTTTTTCCTGCAGACCGTAGACAACCTCTTGAGTGAGCTATGAAGCGACAGCAGAGCAAATATGTATGCTTTAAATTCACGATTGTTCTTAGCAGAAGGGAACGAGACCCATAGCGTTTAATTATAACTGATATGAAATAGTTTTGGCATAAACTTAATAAATGTCGGTTGCAACAGAGGAATATGTGTACACAGGTCACTTGTCGTGCTACGCTCAAAGTTCGAACTCAGCGTGTGAAAATTTAGAGCAAATAAACAGATAAAAGCTTACAGCCAAAAGCTCGGTTTTTTTAACCGATTTCAGCATCGAAATAACGATCAAAAAAACATAATTTACCATTTTCCATTACCCAATGCATTTCCCTGTTTTCTGTTCCTCATTTCACATCATTTCCATTCTCCGTTCCATGATTAAGCTTTTTGCCAGAGCATCAGTCCGCGAGATTATTCTTGAATTTTAAAGCAGTAAATCTTTTTTTTTTTGTTCTTTATTCCACATAACTTACAAAACGTACAAAACCCTCTTAAGGAGAGTGCTCAGAACCTTGGGAATGGAGTAGTGGTACAATACAAGGAAATAATTTTGATTAAGAAGCCTCTTTTATCCAGATAGTTGTTGGCCTGAGTGTTGATAAAACAGTCAATGTTATATTTAACGTGAGCCGATATTATATGTAAACGAGATAAACACCAAAATATAAAAAAAAGTCTCTTTTATTCAAAGGGGAAAATGGAGTTTTTACTTTACCTACTGATAGCGTTCTTGAAAGGCTGATGGCAGCCTAATTCTCTCTTGTTTCGTTCTGAAAGTTGAAATAAGCAGGCAGTTTTCGAAAAATTTTAACTTCTAGTACGAGAGAGAAACTAGCGTCCCCTTTTACCTAGAGAAGTGGAACCAGACCTAGGCGCCCGCGCGCTGACTTTTTGATAAATCAAACTTGGAACACAAAATCTTCTTCATTGGCTATCATTAGTAAAAGTCAATATGCCGTAGGGCAACCAGGAGCAAATTGCAACTCATGTTCATGAAACTTGATAAACACGTGGAAGGTAATCTAAGGTCATCTCACGAAGCCGTATCAGTGGAAAGAGCCATTTTACGGAATCAATATTTTTAGTTTAAAAACGTAAAAGCGACAACCATCCAACACCAGGAGTGAAATGTGAAAGAAAAGCAATCTAACACACAAAAAGGAAGCAATTAAAACGGCATAGTTTTTCTCCTCTTGGTGTAAAATATGCTATTGATGAAGGAAATAACTCATATATCATGGACTACTAAACAAGCAAATTAAGTAGAATCACTTGCTTTTTGCTAACTCCAACTGTGTAATAGTTGTGCTGTGCAAAAGGCGGTTTTAATATAGTCATGAAAGTCAGAAGTCTGCTGGTCTCATTTTCATCTCGGTCCTCTTCAGAAAACGCCTTTCTCCCTTCCAGCCTCCCCAAGTCACTCCAGGAGTATAGGAAGAGCCATGTCTATGATATCTGCCATTCAGGTTAGAATGGAAGCACTCGTTGTACCACCAGGCTCCGTGCCAATGCTCTGCACAGTTTCCCCTCGAAAACTCATCATTATCTTGATCAGGAGTACTCCATGGCCGATCACGATGAGTAGAGAGAGAATCACCAGCAGATCCTGATGGATTAAATCGTGTCATATAGTTACGCATAACATGATGACATTCAAGTCGACAGAATTGCATAAAATCTACAATGCAGTGTAACAATATAAGTATTAAATGAAAATACGAAGTTTGACTGCATGAAACCATTTGAAAATGTTCTTGTGTTTGGTTATAAAAATATGTGGAATGAGATGCTAATCAAACATTGATGAACCGTTAATTGAGAACGATCCGTGCGCAGGAAGGTTTCTGACGCGTCTAGCTAAAGCAACGGTTTTTGTTTCTCTTGCCTGATCACCTTTCCCTTTGTCTACGAGGATGTTCATAGTCTGTTGGCGAATGCCTCCACATTAATAAATGTATAATATGCACTCTCCCTAATTGCATTTGGGTTACTTTGAAGTATTTTATCTTTTTCTTCATCGAGAGCTGCTAATTCCAAACAGGTTACTGACACACTGATTATGACACAGCCCCTCTCCCCAGTTTTACCTGAATAGAAACCGAGGATTAGCCTGTACTTGTCTTTCTCACTCATAACACCAAATATATTATACTCAGCATAAGTTGTATTCCCTTTAAAGTCTTCCAAATCCACACGCAGCATGCTGTTGTTATCTGAGGTCAGGCGGTGAATCTTGTCCAATCCTATCCAAAACTCACCATAAACGTCACCAAAGCCATGTTTGTAGTCGCTCCAGTTACGGTAGAAATCAACCGAGCCGTCCAGTCTCCTCTGGAACACAGTCCATCCTCCACCAGCTGTTGTTTGGTCACAGAATACCTCAAAGGCAGTCATGTTATCAGGTTTGATGGTGTACGTACCGTCAGTTGATTTACCCGCTGATTTGTGGATTTCAGCACAGTTCTTAAAAGCTATGAAGACAAGGAGTAAATTTGGATGTTACTTTATTTTCAGATTTTACTCGACCAGTTAAAACAGAGACACCATTCGAGCTTCAAAGTTCAATTCAATGGTTCTTATAAGTGCATGCTTGTGATTTTGCTTACGACAAAGAAAGGACGGCTCTCGACATAGTAGGCTTTATTTCACACAACCTTTTTACTTTCAGCATATATAGCTGGATTTGATTGACAAAAATTGCGATGAATTTACCATATATAGTACTTGCGAGGCGACATCATCGACCTTTCCCCTTTTCGGACATTATTGAACAATATTTTACAAATTGTATTGCACGACGACAAATTCATGATTCAGCGTTGGAAAACAAAACAGTAACATATCTTGTATAATCAATTGAAAAGATTTAACGATTTTTCATTCTTTCTGAATCAATTCAAAGTTTCTGACAAATTTTTGTTTTAAATATTCCTAACAACTGATTCAGTCGTGAAGGGAAATTATCTCTTTTCAAGCATAACCAGCCTCTTCAGTAATATAATTCAATAGTAAATAGTAAACTCGTCAACACAGAACCATTAAAATGAAACATCTCGATTGCCTGACACGGTACCTGAGCACAAGCGTCCATCTCCAGTAAATCCTTCCTTACATGTACAATTATGTGAGCCAATGGTGTTGGTACAGGTGGCATTCACATGACAGTCGTGATTGCCGGTGATACATTCATCGATATCTAGCAATAAATTAAGTTTAAAATGAACTATGATAGTAATTTTATCCGAAGGAACACAAATAAATCTAAATAATAGAGACAGTTGGGTACAAAAACCTTCCATTTCCATGTCGCAATTAACCAGCACAGCCTTTCCATTTCCACTTGGATCCAACCAGTACTTGTTGCTGATGGTATCTTGGCCTTCACTTGCCTTTATTTCCCGGCACGACTTTGCAGGCAGCTGTGGAATGGATCCCAAAGGAGCTGTGATCGAAAACAGGACAAGAAAATGAAAAGCTTCTTCGCAAACGAGGAAAAAAACTGTTATAGGTGGTACCTGTCTTGAAGTTTCCAGTAAAAGTGTCACCAACCCTTCCAAATAAATTTCCTTCTCATACTGATCGTCTCAGTGAAAAAAACCGGTAAAAAAAGTAATTAAAGTAAGTACTACAAAGACACTTGCGACTTGATTACTACGAGAACAAAAAGATTTATTTGGTAGAAAACAACTTTGGGGGTCAGTGACACTTGTGATGAAAGTCGATTTTTTTAGGTTGGCACTATGTCCTTCAATCAAATGACGGGTATCTCTGAATAATGAAAAAAGATGACATATTTTTAGCACATACTCCTTCCCACAAAACGCGTGTAGTAAAACCGAGCAGGGTCTGGTTGGAAGTTCTCAGGTCTTGCCTCCTTGGTCCGGTTACTCAGTTCACAGGACTTTTCTTCTATCACGTAATTGAAACTTTGGCAGGTGATTTCTCTCTGACAACTCATATCACACTCATAGATGGTTGTTACTGAGAACTTCTTGAAGACAAATCCCTGCAGAGCCATTCCATTTATGCTATTTGCTTGTGTGCATTGTTTACTTGCAGATATGATGTCTATCAAGACGCCAGTATAGAAGGGCCAAACAGCTTTCCACGACATGAATCAACCACTGAACTGTATAGAGGCAAATACAACCAGGGGTAGAAGTTGTGATTGCAGTGGCTGTAGTAATAGTAGTAGAAATATTAGCAGCAGCAGCAATAGCAGAAGTAATAGAAGTTCAAGAGAATATTGATATCCTCTTGTAGAGGTATTTATAGTAGTTGTAGAAGTAATAGTTAATAGTCTTAGTAGTGTTAGTATCTCCAAAAGTCTAATTTGAACAACTAAGAAAAAAATAGAACAAGAAAGATGAGCTGGGTAAAGCTCGGATTTCTGCACTCCGATGCTCTCCTATGCTTTACCACTGAGCCACAAGGACTCTATACGGTGAGCGAGGCCCATTACGAAATTCATGTGTCTTTGTCCCAGGCTCGTGACAAGACGAAAAACATCTTTCCCTATTTCTTTAACGAGCTCAAAAGTCTAAACTGCTAAAAACAATCGATCTTATGGTGGAGTGCAGTACAATTAAACCCTGCTGCGCTCCTCTATACAAGAACAGACAAAGTACTTTGAAATTCTAATTCTAATCCTTTGCGAAATTGTGGATCATCGATATGGTTTACTTCAGTACAAAAATGAAATGGTTAGTCATCTTACAAATAACTCTATGTGTTTCATTAGACGATATCATGGTAGTTAACATTCAACATCACCCAATTTTATCTTAGTTGGACTGGTCCCAAGCATTCCGTGACTTTTGGATGGCATTTGAGAACTTTAAGCTAAAAAAATTCAAATTTGAAAAGCCTGGTCTAAGACTTCACAGGGATATCTCTTACCTTCTAAACTACATAGTGTTTTTCGTTCTTGGAGTTGTTCTTGTGAAAACTATTTGGTGTCGTGCTTTCCTATATAGAATTGTTTGAACTTCTGTAACTACAACTTACGTATCTCACAGTCGATAACACTTGAATGAAAATCCATTAAAAATAACTTAGCAAGTCTAACTCAAACATAGATGCAAATAATTTGGTCAAAATATTATCTGCGGATTATGTTTAATAAGCTAGTCATTGAAATTGCTGTGACGTGTTACATTTTTAAAATTATCGCGCACAAGAGGAATTCTAACAAAAAAGTATGAAGGCGTAATTTTTTCAGGACTTGTTTTGTTTAACACTTTGTGTCAATTTGCCATTTAAAGCGATTCCGAATTGGAGAGAATGACGATCCAATGTTTTACTAATTTGCTCAATACAAATTATCTTAAACTGCAACAAAGTTTAAAGCGGGTTTCTGCAATCATTTCTGCAGTCGGCGCAATTGGGCAAGAGAGGCTTGGTCGAAGACTTCACAAGGATATCTTTTACCCTCTGAATGACAAAGTGTTTTTCGTTCTTGGTTTTGTTCCTAGGGCGGTATCAATATTGAAAAGTTTTTGGTGTAGTGCTTTCCTATATAGAACTGTTTGAATTTCTGTAACAATGGTTCCATAAAAAAACCGCTCTTTTGTGCGCCACAGTCCTTCTTCTTGTCCAGCTGATCTAATTGTTATCAGTCATCAATCATCAGATAATAGCTTCTGTGTTTAAATCTAAATGACTGATATCATCTTAGTGCTCCTATGTATCTCATAGTCAATGACATACTTGAATGAAAATCCATTAAAAATAACTTAGCAAGTCTAACTCTTAAACATAACTGCAAATTATTTAGTCAAAATCTTTTCTGCGGGACAGGTGAGAAGTTTCAGAACTTCACAATATTATTCTGTTTTCCTGGGAGATAATTAAGGTGTTATGACCGGTTTTATGTCTTTCAAATTATAAATTAATGAAAATATGAATTTTTAGAACTACACGATGTGTCGCATTTTCCTCCCAAGTTAGCTCTGGTGTTATGTATGTGATTTTGGTTTTTCAATTTACAAATTATCTTGCAAAAGATGCTTTCCACAAAATTACTCGATAAGTTAGATAGAAGAAACAGTATTGTACAAAAAGCACACTGTGCTATCGCAAACTTTAGAATAATTTTTGCCTAAAGATTTTGAGCGGCTTTTTGCGGTGTTATAAGATGCTATTTCGGTTACGCTGAATATTGAGGCCGGAAAACTTTGTTTTTCCAGGAGAGCACATTCTAGGCCTCTTCTCCACCGTGGATAAATCGATGCATCTGTGATGTGTCCGAGCCAGAATTCTCAACCAAAAAAAAAGACTGCGAAAGCTCAAATTTGCGTTTAATAAGCTAGTCATTGAAATTGCTGTGACGTGTTACATTTTCAAAATTTCTGCGCACGAGAGAAAATTCTAACAAAAAAGTATGGAGGCGTAATTTTTTCAGGACTTGTTTTGTTTAACACTTTGTGTCACTTTGCCATTTAAAGCGATTCCGAATCGGAGAGCATGACACTCCGATGTTTTACTAATTTGCTCAATACAAACTATCTTAAACTGCAACAAAGTTTAAAGCGGGTTTCTGCAATCATTTCTGCAATCAGCGTAATCGGTTTTGAGCAAAAAAGGCTTAGTCAAAGACTTCACAAGGAAATCTCTTACCTTCTGAATGACAAAGTGTTTTTCGTTCTTGGTTTTGTTCCTGGGAGGTATCAATAGTGAAAACGTTTTGGTGTCGCGTTTTCCTATATATAACTGTTTGAATTTCTGTAACAATGGTTCCATAAAAAAACCGCTCTTTTGTGCGCCACAGTCCTTCTTCTTGTCAAGCTGATCTAATTGTTATCAGTCATCAGATGATAGCTTCTGTATTTAAATCTAAATGACTGATATCATCTCAGTACTCCTATGTATCTCACAGTCAATGACATACTTGAATGAAAATCCATTAAAAATAACTTAGCATGTCTAACTCTTAAACATAGCTGCAAATTATTGGTCAAAATATTTTCTGCGGGACAGGTGAGAAGTTTCAGAACTTCACAATATTGTTCTGTTTTCCATGGAGATAATTAAGGTATTATGACCGGTTTTATGTCTTTCAGATTAATAATTAATGAAAATATAAATTTTTAGAACTACACGATGAGTCGCATTTTCCTCCCGAGTTAACTCCGGTGTTATTATTATGGTTTTCTAATTTACAAATTATCTTGCAAAAGATGCTTTCCACAAAATTGCTCGATGAGTCAGACAAAAGAGACAGTATTATACAAAGAGCACACTGTGCTATCGCAAACTCTAGAATAAATTTTTGCCTAAAGATTTTGTGCAGCTTTTTGCAGTGTTGTAAGATGTAATTTCGTTTACGCACGGTAAACTTTGTTTGAACACAAGCGTTAAACTATGGTTCCATGACAAAACTGCTATTCTATACGGCACACTCCTTCTTCTTGTCCACCTGTACTAATTGTTGTTAGTCATTAGTTCATAGCTTCTGTGTTTAAATCTAAATGACTGATCTCATCTTTGTACCCCTATATATCTTACAGTCAATGACATACTTGAATGAAAATCCATCAAAACATTTTAGCAAGTCTAACTCTTAAACTTAACTGCAAATTATTTGGTCAAAATATTTCTGCGGGACATGTATGAAGTTTTAGAACTTCACAATATTGTTCTGTTTTACAATAAGATAATTAAGGTGTCTCTCAAATTAAAAATTTATGTCAATATGAATTTCTAGAACTACACGATGTGTCGCATTTTCCTCCAGAGTTAACTACGGTGTTATATCGCAAACTTTCGAATAATTTTTCCCTGAACATTTCGAGCAGCTTTTCGTAGTGTTGTAAGAGGTAATTTCGATTACACTGAATAATGACGCCGGAAGACTTTGTTTTACCAGGAATGCACATTCTAGGCTCCTTCTCCACTGTGGATAAATCGATACACCTGTGATGTGTCCGGTTCGAGCCAGACTGAATTCTCCGAAACAAAAACAGACTGCGAAAGCTAACACATTTATGTTTAATAAGCTAGTCATTGGAATTTCCGTGAAGTGTTACATTTTAAAAAGTAGACAGTCAAAGGCTGCATGTGGCTACTGATAGAGCACAATTTTCATTGCATTTTAAAGAACTAGAAGTTGTATAATGACGCTGGAAGGTACTGTTGCAGAATATTAGTCTCACAAGCAAAACAGAAAACTTGACGCTTCCCAAATATTAATGAGAACCCTGTTCCAAAGAAAGATGAGCGACAGTAAAAATGATAATAATAGTAGTACAGTCGAACCTCGATTATCCGGACTCGGTGGGACTAGGGTAAATAGTCCGGATAATCGAGAGTCCGGATAATCGAAAATATGAATATAAATGAGACAATTGAGTTATGATCGTCTCGTGTGTTTACATAACCCACGCTCATCGAACTGATCAAGCATGACTTTCCCTTAGCAACAAAACAATGCTGAGCCAATCAAAATTCAGCTGAACGCATTAGAATGCTTCTTGTCTCTTTTTGTCTCCGAGCGCTCGATCTTTCGAAAGCGGAGCGTGTAATGCGCTGTTTTAAACACAATTGTCCTGACTTTTAACATAATTTCTGAATTTTTTTACCTCCTAAAGTTTTTAACATCTAAGGTCATTAATATTCATGAAAAAACGGGACCAGAGAAAAAGTCCGGATAATCGAAAAGTCCGGATAATCGATGTCCGGATAATCGAGGTTCGACTGTACAATAATAATAATAATTTATAGGGGTTAACTTGAAAGCCTCATGGTTCCCCTATCCATAATTCTCTATACCTCTTTTAATTTCCCTGTTAATCATAAACAGCTTTCTTATTTTATTGCAATTCCATTTTTTAAGACTTTTGTTTCCTGCAAAAAGGCTTTCCTCGGATTAGGATGTTCATCCACCCCGCATCTTTAGATATTCCGCCATTCCGCCCATCCACAGTTCCTCCGTTCCATCATTCTGTTGAATAACTAAGTTAACGAATCTCGGAGCTTGCTCGCTTTGCAAATTTAGCGGCTCTTTTCGACATAAGTCGCTGATTCAAACAGTAAAATGCCCGCTTTTCAAAGAAAAAAATATTCTCAAAGTGTGTAATCGTGTTTGACACCAATCATATCGCTATTACCGCTATA